TGGCCAAAACGAGGCTGAAAGCTATCCTGCTTCTTTTGTGGATTTATTGATAGGCTTTCAAGCAAATATTTGTCCTTTGTCCTTTGCTACACCTCCTTCTCTCGCTATATTACTATAGACGATTTACAATACACTTCTTAGAGTCAACCTATAAAGTTTTAAAATGCTATCAAAACCAGCAGTACCGTCGACAAATTTCACCTTTGGATCCTCTTGAGTGTCGAATACCAATAATATATTTAAACCTACGATCGAAGAAAAGTACAACAAAATAATTTCGCCTATCTGCAAGCATCAAATTGACATTTACGATAACGATATACTAGAACGGCAGTTTCATGACTAAGAATATACAATTGATAAATAATTAAAATTACATGTTATAAAAATTCAAGGCGTATCACTGTTTCTTACTTGGGAAATAATCCCAAGGCATTCGATTGCTCCAAAAATATTGCGCTTCTAAATGAAAACTAGTGCCATCTGAAGTTTGTTTAGAAAATTTAATAGATAAATATCGGGTTTTAACCGCACATTAAAATTTGGCTAAGATACTTTTACTACAATTGAGAATCATTCTTATAAGTGGTTTAATTCATTAAATTTTTTCTGAGTATTGAGGAAGAAAAAGAGTGACATATAACTCCATCTTCTGGATATTGCTTCAACTACTAAAATGCCATCTAGTGCCTTTTATCAACGACGAATAACAACGTTAGCATTTCTTTAATCGTCGAAAGCAGCTTTGTGCTCTCTTACAGTTTTAAACATTAAATATAATTCCACTAAATGGCCTGGATAAAATCAAATTGAGGAAACAATAATAGTTACAGAAAATTCATAATAAATTTATGAATATATCTATTCACCATTATGTATCTGTGCTTATTATCTTTTTTTAAAATAATAGTGACTCTCCTATAATTGTGTGCCAATTATCACTTCAACCCTTTGTTCTATATCTGACTGTGATAATACATAGGAAAAATATCAGCTGATGTCGACGCCAATTAAAAACAGAGGTGATTATCTACTAATGATAAGACCGAAGATAAAGATATATCAGGGTACATTACCGCCTTCAGAAGTAATTTACTTTTGAATGTAGAAATGGATGCGATTAGAGCAGCAACATGGTCTCGTGCCGAGTGGTACGCGTTAAAAAGGAAGAGATGTTCACTTATCTCTTTGGTAGACTTTGTTTTGGCAGGCATACGTCGTTTTTAGTCGATCCTATCAATTTTTGATTTGTTTTTGCTTTCTTTTCGCCGCATGCATGGTCAGCTTAGCTCTATCGCAACAATATGGTCTTGCATATTGAGCTTTTCCTCTTAAATTAATGCAAAAATAAAATAAAGGTTAGTGAAGTTTGAATATAAAAAGAACTGCAAATTCATTGAATGTTGTATTTTGCATTAAAACAATCATTAAAAAACTAATCTGATAAGGCTTTGTTTCATAAAGTTCTAATAAGTTCTATAAAATTAGATAGCCTATACAAAATTGTCAAATAAAATATTGTTTGCCTCGGAGTGTTGTAATTAATGTAACTGAAATTCAAGTCTATAAGGTAGCTCGAAATTCTCCTCTGCCCTCTCGCTACACGAAACTAAAGAGTTCTGCTACTGTTTGCACATTTACTATCTATTATATATTCACAAAAACAATTGAGCGTACTCGTACTTTCTAAAGAAAATGCCAGAAAAAGACATCTTACTAGTTATAAGATTGCCTGAATGTCTTGACATTTGAATGGTAAAGATCAAATAAACAAATGTCCACACTCTCCTCTATAAATGTTAGTTTAGTAGTCAGAATAGAGTCTACTCGAACAGGCGGAGGATAGTTTTCAATTCGATCGGATAAGGAATTATTTAACGGGAAATGAAAAAGAAAACGTATGGCTGAAGTGAGTTTACAGCTGGTTTTGAGGACAAGCGCGCATTGCGCAGGCGATAGGCCAGAGTGGCTTACTGGAAAATATGAGAAGAAATCGTAGATATGCAATGCGTATATAAGGTATGAGATATTTTGAAAATTGAATCTAGAAAACAGCAAAACTTATTATTTGGACTAGAAAATGTCTCAACAGAAAAATGAGCTTTCCCCCATATTGCACAGGGGAATCGTCTGATCGAGCATCTAGCAATGCCTCATCAAGAATGAGGAAGCACCTGAAGACTGGAAAAGGTCAAATGCGCTACAAGGGAGATGAAAGCCGGAAAGAACTTGTCTGCCTTAACGCCTTTCGATCCGAACTGACATACTGTCGTCATATAATCGCTTTATGCTAATTAGATTGAGTTGGTGGTGCAAGGTAGAAACGTGGATAAAAGTCGAAAAAGATTAAGACATATTTATGATATATCTCAATTGATCATCAGCTCACTGACATTTACAGTCTGAGCCTCCGGCATTTCTTCTTTGACTGCCCATCTCTATATGTACCTGCCATTGATAACGTGTTAACGGGATATTTCATGGGTTGTCAAGAGAAATTACATCGAGCAGTTTCTCTATTTATTTTGGAATAATAAAAGCCAAAAAAAAGTTAAAGTAACGGTATATTTCTTATATGTCATAAAAATTTCATTAATATCGTAATTCAATAATTATCAGTAAAAAGTTAATCCTGTATTAACCTTCGTTCGAAACTCTTACCCATTCACTTAATATAGCACAAGTAGTAATAAGGATTTGCGCTGTACATATAAAAAAATATGATCTCTAATTATCTACATCAAAACTGATTTCAAATAATTTCCCTCTAGTTTTCGCTCCATTAAATTTTACCTCTTCTAGTTCCTCAATGAAAAGAAGATATTTTTATCGGACAAGCGTTTGCTATAACTTTTTGCTACTCACATAAGATTTTTATTGAAATTTGAAAAAATTTGTATGCAAGGCAGTTTGCTTACACACTTAATAAAAACCGAAAGGTAAACAGTATAGCCGATAGCGATACGACGCTACAAGCATTCCCTAAATGTCTTTTCATGTTTCCGTAAAGCAAGAAAATGGTCAGTACACGTGTATACACACAACAGCCAGAGGATGTTTTTTTTACCGCCTTTCGATCCTTCCTAATTTCTATTAGAAACAAAGTTCACCTTTCTAATAGGCCTACTGAATTCGGTGTTTACTACACTATAAAATATGATGTAATTATATGATATATAATGGGAAAAGAATATAGAAAAGTTTTCGGCAATGTTGCATCCAATGTATTGCGGTTGAATCAGCTGTTGCCACTCATCTTTTCATCCGCAGATACTATTTCTTACAGTTGCACTGATGCGTTGCTGGATTAGAAAATCTATTGGTTAGTTTCGAACCGTAAACGTGAATAAAATATATAATCCTTTACATATATCACTAAAAAAATAAGTAAAAATAAATCAGGTGCCATAATAGAAGACTCGATTAGATAAAACCGATTGCATGAGTCCATATCCCACTAGACTATTTGTACACAGATGTGTAGCATTCCAGAATAGCAGGGTACATACGGGGTGAAGTGGCTGTTTGGATGTCGGGCTAAATTGTTCGCCACTTTGTATATATTTGAGAAGCGAAAATATACTGATTTTTTTTCTTCTACAACTTTCTAGAATCATGCGCTATTGCAATTAACCACCAATAATATTTGCAAATGAGAGAGCGGCTTAATGAGCGTATAGAGATATACTCGACCGAAATGTCAACCGCACTGCAAAAACTGGAAAATTCACTAATAACAATGAAGCTACTGGATGCTAGTGCAAATTAGCGTCTCACTCAAAATGTCAACAATGCCGTTTTCAGATGGTGTCTGGCTAAATTATATATGCATTACAATTATTACATCATTCAATTAACAGTTGAGGCTTTATATTAAGCTATCTCATCTAACATATTAATTTTTGCATAAATTTTTTGACCATGCAAGGAAAACAAAGAAACGCAAACGCTATCACGTATAAAACTATAATCAAGCATTATGAGTCTCTTACTGATGACGTAAGCTACCTTGATGATCGCTGCTGGAAAAGTAAACGTTTCCTCTACACGTGACCGCCTGTTTGCCTCTTTATTTTTGTATATATCTGCATGAGAGTGGAGCATGGTGAAAAATTCTGCTTATCTCTCTTATAATCTGCAAAACGTTTGAGTAAGTCGTTAACAGATCTCAAGTGGCCGATAAGCAGCGGCAAAAAATCAGAGAGAAGTATGTCGAAAGAAAATAATTTGTGACACTCAATGTGCCTGAAGGAAAATTCATATGCTCAAACATCAAAAATCTATTTCCACTATAAAGAATTTTCTATCATTTTCGCGGTCAGTTCAATTGACCTTCAAGACCTCCATCTTTTTTTGACCTTTCCTTCTGCATTTCATCGCGAGTTGCTGTTTATCGGTTTTTTTTTTATATTTTCCTTTGCATTTATATCATCCAAGAAGGTTCAAACTTGTGTTTAGAAAGGAATATGCACGGAAAGCTCTAAAAGTGCATTAAAGAATTTTATTGTTCCGTGTTAATACATGCATATTAATTAAATGAAGAAAATTCCTTCCAAAGTATATTCATTAGTATCCACTTTTTATATATACAATAAATATATTATGGAAATATCACACTTTCATAGTTACCGGGTAAATAAAGAAACAACATTCTATACTCGGATGTGCAGTACATATTTCTAAATGAATAATTTGCATTTAAGATTCAGAAGTTGTTCTCTGTCTAACAATCCATGCATGCATGTTTTTTTTTCGCTTGAACGCCCTTTGAATTTGTCCCCAGGCATCTTGACTCTTCTTTGCAACTGCCCATCTTGTTAATAAACAATCGCTTTTAATTTTTTTGACTAATCTTCGTAATTTACTTTGCCCAACAGAGAATTGAATTGAAATATCTATTTATGGGTTAAGGACAGGGTCAAATTTGGGTTTATTTATATTCTAATCAAAAAACTGAGTAGCGTAAAGCAGGGTTGGGTCGAGAAAATAAACTGAAAACCCTAAAGCTAATTTTCTGCATGAGCGTAAAACACGGCTTATGTATATTGGCAAGAAATTGATTTTAAGCAGATTTTGGATATATAAATATGTTTACATACAAATTAGACGTGAGTTTATATTAAAGTTGTTGGGTAATGTAGGAAGACATGCGCTCTTGTCTGTTAAACGGCTGCACTTAGTTCGTTCCTCTTTTCCCCTTAATGGCTATTCCATTCGCAGTGACGTCATCACGTGACGTCAGATGCAGAGTTTTCTGGTGGAGAATTCGAGGAAAAGTTTTACGAAAGTAGAAAGGAATGGAGAGGCGAAGGTTGTAATGCATGCATTCTTCTCGCTCCGATCACTTTCTTCTAACTCGCGTTAAAGTTGATACGGAGGAAGACATTTTGGACGAAGTAGTCTACAGTTCAGTTATAGCTAATCGTAAGTAACCATTTCTTTTAATATCTCTTTTTTTCGGATTACCCACTTCTGTTGTAAACTCTCATTGTTTACTTTCGCACCTATTGACCTTTCTTAGAGATTCTTTGACATTACCTTATAGCAAATTTTTGCTCAGGTAGACAACCTCGACCTTCTAGCAAATGTCACAAACTTGACTGACATTAGAAACTTATCGTATGAATGCATACATATAGCTTGTGTATCACTATAAATATTAAATAAACATAACTGCAAAAAGAAATAGCTAAATAATAGCGGAAACAAATTTTCTGCATTGAGTATCTATACAAATACATATGACTCGATACAATCGATGATAGCGATTAAAAATTGGATACCCATTGAGTTTTATTATCAAAGAATGCTAGAAGAGAGATTCTATGCACTAAATATTCTAATAAAAAGCTTTCGTGTCCGCTTCACGCTTTGTTGTATATGCATCACTTACAACTGTGATCATTTACTGTTGGATAAGTTCGCTAATTACTAATACATATTGTCAGAATTTTTATAAAGACTTCAAAAATTTTAAATACAAGTCAAATACAAGTCATTGAAAGAAACTTTCGTAAGTAGCCCGATTAGAACAACGAGTTAAACTGTAGATGAAAGAAGAGGTGATGCGGAAGAGTGTGCCAGAAGGAAAGAGAGGGGAGCCTTAGGGCCACTCTCTTCGCTAATAGTTTCAAAGTAAGTTACGGCAAGTCACTAATAGCCAATACTCTCACCGTCTCAAAAATTCTCAGCAACACATTGGTTTTTATATACACGTTGACATACAACTTACCATATATCTTCTAATTAGTGAACGAAGATAGTAATAGCTCAGGTGCGAAGCTAGAGTGAAGAGGAGAAATGATAGAGTCTAAAAGAGCATAACACCTGATATGCAAACGAAAAATTTGTAAAATTTTAAGATTTGCTTTGAATGGAAGAAAAGAAAAAAGAATATGACGTCATCTGTTGACGCAATTGTTCGATAATGCGGTGTTAATCTGATCGTAATGAGTTCGACAGCGTCTGTTTCTAATGCATTCGTGTTATGCGCTCTCTACGTATGTGGGTGGACATGGTAAATATTCCCGTGAAATGTTCCTTTTTCACATATATGTTTTAACAAGTGTAAATTAATTAGGACAGACTGCCGGTGTAAATTAGCGCATTACTTCACTTTTAACGGGCTTTCCAACTCTTTTTTTGATATTCGATCGCGAATCTTGTTCTGCAGTTAGATTGAACTAACTGCAATTGGAACTGTAAGCATCTAGTCGTCATTGTCCCAGCGTTGAGCTCTTATCTCACTCGTAATTGGCTGAATATGATCACATGACCTGGAGCTCTTCGTCATGTCATATTTGTTCATTATAACTTTTTCTGCTTCTACTTTCTTTTGTAAAAAAAAGGCAATTGAAAAGTTGCTGAGAGAGAAGCAGCAGCATGAGCAATGCAGTAGAATGTATCTTGCGAATGTTTGTGTTATTTCTTTCCAACACACCTGGCCTCACTCGTTCCACTCTTGTACTAGCTTTTGGAACCACTTTAAACTATTCGACTTAACAGACAATTAACTTACACAAATACTGTTCTATTCATACATAAGAGATAGGGACAATCTAAGAGGGCAGTTGAACGTTCACTGCCAAACGAAATGAAAGATGCATATGTACATTTTATTATAAAGCTTGACTGATTGATTAGTCTTGCAATTAGTTCAAACGCCAAGTTCCTTGAATAAAATATGTACTGTATTGAAAAGGAGACGTCAAGCGTCATTTCCTTATATGAAACGGTCGAAGTATGAGCCCTATCTGCGAGGATGGCGTTTTGATGTCGAAAAATAATTGTGAAAACAGATATTCACCAAGTGAGTTTTTTCCTCTTTATTCTACGCACATAACACTTCTATAGTCACTTATAACGGTTTTTTCTCACCCTTTATTAATTACAAAATATCTTTTCTATTACCCATTGAGTTCATAAGCGATTGGTCTCTTTAGCTATCAGCTTCGATAGTATATATTACATATTCACAGAATATGTAAAAAACTTTAGTCGTTTCTGGGTGAAATCGACTAGAGAACCGAATGAAATAATAACATAGACAATGAATATGTTGAATATTGTACTTGTCTACTGCACTTCAGTCACACATACTTAAATATTCATGACATATTTCTCCGTCAAATTCCCTTTTACGCCTTTTTTGGTGTTTATGTAAAAGACGAACGAAAGATCATAAGTTATTATTAAGACACGTTCGGTGTCGCCTCATCTGCAAATGAGGACCGTCTAAAATGTCAGCGCGTTTCCAACGGTTGATACAAATGTTTCAGGTGTAAAATTTATGTGTTGTATTTCGCATACTCATAAAGTATTAAAAAAACCTATAGTATTGTACTATCCTAAGCATAATATGAAAATTATTTACAAATGTAAACTCTGCTATATTTTTTAAAGAATTTTATATATTCTGTTCTGTACATTGTATAAACTAGATGTATTTCAGCAAAAAATAAATATACGCTGTACCACTAGAGGGCATGGTTCGGACATTTTTTCAGTGCTGCTATCTCTTGGCTAATATAGTGTAACATTTCTAATATCAGTAAAATAGAAATATTTATTAAAGTTTACGTCAGACAATTAATTGCCTTTACTCAAAATGTAAAATATGCAGTTTTTTATCACTCACTTGGAATGAATGAATAATCTGTTTCCCACCTTTGGAACATTTTTATTAAAAATAAATGTTAAATCATATGGTTTACCACATTACATTTATAATACTTTTCACCTTTCAGTTATTCTAAACTTGTGATATGTGAAGAAAGGTACAAACAACGTATTCTATAAACTGATAGAAAAACTAGCTGTATTTTATGCACATAGATGTATTTGCTTATATAAGGATGGGTGCTTTATCTAATAAATTCTCATTTATAAGTAATCTACCACATACATTGCTGTCGGTCGTAGTTCCGCAGTGACATTTTCACTAGCAAACTTTGCTCTTTAGGAAATTGTCAACAATTTATCGAACTATACAGTTGAATTAATTATGCAAAAATGTGTCGTTTTCTGGAAATGAGGGGCAGTTTAAGAAATCTCTAGGGGAAATTTTTTAATGTCGGCACGTGTAAGAGATGGATTCTTTATTCCATGACTCTCGAATAATTTCATTTTCCTGTTATTACTAGCTGTAGAAAAGCGAGTTTTCTCAATTTTTTCTTTAGCATTCGAAACTATGAATTGCACGAGTCCTCTACTCGTTTTACTCTAATGATACGGGTAAACTGTTCTGAAAGTGGTGACAAAGTAATAAAATATAACCATCATAAAAATTTGTTTTCATGCAGAGTAATAGCATTTAGTATAACAGCAGACGTCACGATAAGAGACTACAAGCAAACAAGAAAGCATTTATAACCTCTTTACTAATTAGGAGTTTTCACCAAATGTAATGATATTTATATTGTATATAAACTACAACAATAAATGAGAATATTATAACAAGACAAATATACCGCATGCAAATGTCAGTACGATATTTTCAAAGCAGAATTTTGACTTATTATCACCCGCCGTCGAATGCCATAGCCTTTACCCTTTTGGTTAACATTTTCGTATTAAAGTCGCGTTTCAGTGATATTTTCTGCCATTTTTCGTTCGAACTTATTCGATGCAACATCATCTCCTAAAATTTAAATGTGCGTGAAATTGTGAAAGGATAAGAGGGATAATATACCTTTTCTTCAAATTTATCTGTTCCAGTAGACATTAATTGATACACGAGTTCAATAATCTGCAAAGGATGTATGACAATATCCAGGTGCATTTCACTTCAAAGATTTGTAAGCTCGGAAATGTCTTTGGACTCTCAACTTTCACAGCTGGAAGTTCGTCGAATTTCAAGGATTTAGCAGGCTCCTTTTCAAGTCGCGCCTCCAAATTGATGCTCAGATTTGTAGTTTTTATGCATCTCATTTACCACACCCTCATTTGCTTTGGTGCAAAATTCGATTTTCTTTTGATTTATTCTATGCGTAAAATAAAAAATATTCAAAGTTAATCAAGAAATACCAGTTGATTGTACTCTACCGATTTACTTTGAAGCTGTTTTTGGATTGTATGCATATTATATATATATATATATATATATATATATATATATATATATATGTACACTATATAATGGAAAGATTACTTAAACAAGGACAAAAGCTATATTTTTAATTTGATTATATTCTTCTAAAGCGAGATAAAATTGAGAGAAATTCCTTATTGGCTGAGCGTAGCTCCGCCTTTATTTGAATAAGAATAGCGGCACGTGGGTGGGGTTTTACTGGAAAAGGGCACGCGTTTAATTGGTTACGTTTTTTGAATCTCCGGGTTCTCCGCAGTTTTAGAAAAAAATTTGGAAATTAAAGAAGACTGTATATAAATTCAGTAGAAATTTTGGAATACTAGAGTCAAGTCAAATAATGTCACTGTGTGTTCCAATGAATTTATGCACTAGAACATCAACTGATTATGGACAAAATGACCCTTCTTCCTACGTTATCGGGAAAGCAGTGCTTGATTGTATGAGAGGTAAATTAAAAGTATCTAAGCTAATTTAAATTTTGAAAAACATTCGTATGATTTACTTTAAATAATCGAGGTATTTTATATTTGCCTAACCTTCCTACTATTTTAAAATTAGCATTTGAAAGATATTTGATAATCTATTCCATATGATTTTTTAAATTTCTTTGTGAAATTTGATTTAATTTAGAAAATAAATTTGAGAATTTAAGTATTCATGATATTTAAAAGTAAATTGGCCGTGTTCATCAAAGACCATCGACTGTCAAGTTCATGCTATTTAGAGCAGATGTTCCTTTCGTGATTTTTCTCGTGGTCGTTTTTCTTACTGCCAAAATCATTTGCACGCAATATTCATCACTAATTTTATATGTGAAATAGCTACTTTTGTAGGTAAAGGCGAGTGTTGCTCAAATGCTAACAATAATTAAAAAAGAACGTGTTGAGCGTCATATCTGCTATGCCTTACAGGCAAATTGTTTCTCATGAGGAGGAATAAAATATTATAATATTTTCACGATGAGACTATAAGCTATATATAAGTACGCTATATATATATGTGAAAAATATAGATATGTGCATATTTGAGACTTGAAATGTCACGCGCTTGTTAATAAGTTTGATGTGTGCAGGTGAAATGGAAAAAAACACGAGTAAGTGACTATTCATGAACAAACGTGAAATGTCAAGGAGCCTAGAGGAAAATTTGTTTTAGCCGGAAATATAATGTTCATTTATCCTCTCTTTTCCACCATATGTATATTCCTTATGTAAATATTTTTACAATGACACATGGGTTAATTTCTTTAATAGAATGAAAATTTCAAGTACTGGGCACTTGATTCAATAAATAGCATCAAAAGAGTTTATCAGTGCTTATCTATTATTGTTTCAGATACTTTAGATTTCCTTATATGTTTATTAGCAAAGGTGATTCATCATATAGTCTAACTTAATTTCCTTTTTAGTTTCTCCGGCTTTACCTAATGCGACTCCTCCAGCTACTCAGACGTCAGAGATGCTAATGCTTCAACAACAACAGCACCAGGTAGGGTTTTTACTGCTTATGTATAACAAAATATATGTACAATTTACCACCCGGCATGTGCGAATTGAATGAAGTCGCGATCAAACTAAATGATAAGAGAAAATCGCGTGCAAACGCAGCTAGAAATTTACACTGACTGCGTTTTAAGAAAGAATTTTTACTTTCCCTCTCTTTATATCTTATGACGGCCTTTTTCTCATTGAAACGACTTGGTCACGATATACATAGTACGTATGTTCGCGTGCCGTACATGTTTTGGTGAAGAGAAATATTTTATGAAACCTATAACCTTAACACGCAGAGAACATATTATTATGTGTTATATATCTTATATTTGATATGCATCGAATATATATTGTGCATGAATTAATTATAAGCAATAAAAATTTTGGCATTTCGAGTGCGCAAATCCATGCAAATTTGATTATTGATGATGAAGACAAGCGCGAAGGAGAGCTATAATTGATTGACTCTCTCGATTCCAAACTTCTTTTAAGTGAGATACTGTCAAGATTGATGATGGAATAGCGCATAACGTTTTACCTGTGACGATACGGATCAACGCTGTTTTTACATTAAGTGATATGGAGAATTTAACCATCTATGACTTTGATTTCATCATCCAGCATCTGTTTCCTATTTAGAAAGTCCTACTTGTGTTCCTGCAAGAGATTATTTACAATATATGTAGGATATGTTAAGCGAATTTTAGAAATTATCTGTAATGTTTTTATTTTAAAGAACAGTTCAGTGAATAACATACTACAGGATCATGAATTGTAATATTTTACAAAGTTATATTTTATATGCTTATATACAATATAATATTGAAATGTGATCTTAAATGCCCTGTAGGAAATCACGTTACTTTTTTGATTGCCTTGTCCGAATGAAATTTGAAATCACTAGGCAATTAAAAAACTTACACTAATAGCTAAATTTTCTAGAAAATGCTTTGAAGAAATCACAAGAAATTATTTTTTTCTTTTAGTTATGGATAAGAAATGATCAGTTTTTATCTGATTGGACACACCCTATATATGACCTTCAGCTAATTTGAAAAAAGATTATCAACACGTCTTGGTGCCCTCATCATCAGTCTAAATTAAGAGAAAGAGGCATCTTTTTGTAACCAAATTTAGTAAGTGGTAAACCTGCATCTATCCTCTCAGCAGGTGCGCTTACAAAAGGCACACGCCAGTACTATAAGTGAAAGTATATTAAGCAAATACTGATCAGGGCAACATTTCGCCCGCGGATACTAATTTAAAAACTTTTATATTACCGTGGGTCGTTTGTATAGTGTATGAAATTAAAAAAAAATTTAACAATTGGCAACTTGTAATTTGCGTAATGGAATATATTTCGCCCTGACTCGTCCGCGTCTATCAGGCGTCGCATCACCTCACAAAGCCATTCATTTATTGACTGGGAACGTGTGTCGCAGTCAACATTCATTTTGTGCGACTTGACCTTAAGGTCAGCTGGGTGACGGGTCAATGTTTGTGCTCGTGACAATAAAAAGGAAGCTTCTACACCCTTATTATCATTTAATTCAGGTCAACTATAAGTCGACAACGGCAAGCTCGAGTCCAAACTTTCATCAACAGCCATTTTCTTCTGTTGCGACTGATGTCACACGATACTCCCCTTACCAGCCTAATATGCCGTATCAAGCCGAGGGAAATTTTACTGAATATAACCCGCCATACTCGGATACAAACATCACTGCACCTTTCTCGCATGAACAGCAGTTTGGCGATTTTAACACTCCTTACACTAGACCGACATGTGATGCTCCTATATTAGAAAGTGACAAGTACACACCGTCCGTTCAATATCCAGTTAGTGGCTATTACGAGGGAGGAGAAACTCAACCGTCCTACATTACCGATTTTTATCATAAATCTCCGTTTATCCCTTACGATCCAACCGAAGGATCTCTTCTATATGACCGCCCGAATAGCGTGTATCAACACTTCTACTCTCCTGATTCTAATTTTAATTATTCACAAGCTGTTTATAGATCAGACTTAGCAACTGCTAACTCCGTTCCTATAACACCTCAGATGGCAGCAAATTATTCCAGGAGAGTTCCGCATTTGGACAACGGGTAACAAACAATATTTTTCTAATGACGTTTTTGTTATTTTTCGACATCTTTTAGCAGACGGCTCGATATCAAGTTTCCCCTTGGTAGTGGACATTCGAGATCCGAGAAATCTAATAGTGGCACTCAAAAGGAAAGTCAATTATGTGCAGTATGTGGGGACAATGCAGCATGTCAACACTACGGGTACAAATTTTATATTAATTGTCAATTTTCTCAAAACTATAATTGTTTTTATTAATTGTTTTTGTAGAGTTAGAACATGCGAAGGATGCAAAGGCTTTTTCAAGGTTTGTAGAAATTGGCTTTTGGAAAGTAATATAAGTATTTCAATTTACAGCGTACAGTGCAAAAAAATGCCAAATATGTTTGTTTGGCAGATAAAAATTGTCCAGTGGATAAACGGAGGAGAAATCGATGCCAGTTTTGTCGCTTTCAAAAGTGTTTGCTAGTTGGGATGGTAAAAGAAGGTACTATTTCAATAAATCAATCGTTTTAAACAGTTGTTATCTTTTAACAAAATGTCATTAGATAAATGTGTCTAATGTTTTATTTATTATGTTGAGTAAATTCTAACGCGCTACAATCCAAATAGTTGTTCGAACGGATAGTCTAAAAGGCCGTAGAGGGCGCTTGCCATCAAAACCGAAAAGTCCACAAGAGTCGCCACCGTCACCACCAGTATCCCTGATTACATCACTCGTAAGGGCACATGTTGACAACTCTCCGGACATTCCAACTCTCGATTACTCTCAGGTAGTTCATAAAATTTCTAGAAACTTTGAATATATTTCGGTTAAGCTAATAAACGTTTTTTTGCTCAAAGTATGTGGTTGATCCGGAAAATTCACCTGTAGATCAAAGGAGAGAGGCCAGTCAAAATTTGTTTGATTTACTCTCATTTAGTATTGAAGTTACAAGAAACTGGAGTGAAAAGATCCCAGGTTTCACTGAATTATGTAAAGAAGATCAAGAACTTTTAATTCAGTCATCTAGTCTGGACCTGTTCATTCTAAGGATCGCTTACAGGTAAATCAATAATTATACTGACAATTTCTAAATTGGTTTTTTCAGGGTACAATTAAGAGATGATAGAATCATATTCTGTAACGGATTAGTATTGAACAGGTTTCAATGCCAACAATCTTTTGGAGAGTGGATTGATTTGATTTATGATTTTGGCTTAAGTTTACATGCAGATGGAATTGATCTCTCAGCCTTCTCTTGCATGGAAGCTCTATGTGCTGTAACATGTATGTATTTCCTTAATTTGTTAAATAAAAAAAATCAAGCTATATTTTTATTCTAGTTCGCCATGGAATCAAAGATACAAAAAAGGTAGAAGAATTACAAAGTCGTGTAGTTAACACACTGAAGGATCACTGTACATTCAACATTGAAGCCCAAAAGAAACCACGACTTTTTGCCAAAGTCCTTCTTAAACTCGCAACACTTAGAAAGTTATCTCAAGAAGGCGTAAAAAGATTGGAGATGTATAGGAATGAGGGAACACTACCTCCATTTTTGGAACATTTATTCTTTGTACTGCAACTACCTTTGTAAATCTTATAAATGCTTTCTCTTAGGGGAGTGCCATTCTTGTAAGCTATATTGATAGGTATAGTCGATATTATATCAGATAGAAATATGTTATGAATATTATAAACATTTACACACAGATAAATATTGTGTAATTTTCTGTATTATTATCATAATTATGTAAAATTATTCTGCGATTAAAAACTCATTGTATTTTATTATGTCTGTTTATATTCAAATATTTATTTAGATTCGTAATTTAAAAACATTCTAACAAGTGTGTATCTTAGTATATATAATACCATAAGAAAGAACAAAATTTTTCTTGCCATTATTTCTGTACTCATGTCTCTGTTTCAATATATTTGTCGATGTAATTACGCATAAGACAAGTAATTAAATAAATTTATTCGGGAATAAATAAATGTACAAGTATTTTATATCTTTGAAATATTATTATCTTTAAAATATTAAAACAAGACTTTTGTGTCAAATGATTATTAAAACATCCGCTAGATGGCATTGCTTGTTACATTTTAACGTCAAATACGTTATAGAACGAAAATTAGATGAGGTATGTTAGAGCGCCATATTTCTTGATTATTATTTACATAACGATTTCAATTTACTTAAATTTTTATTATTGATATTTCATTGTAAATTAAAACTAGGAATATCAATGAATATAGAAAAAATCTTATTAAAATAAGATTTATCGATCTATCGACCGTATCATATCTTGCCATAACATTCAATGAACTATTTAATTTAGCTGAAAATACGCTTTAATGGTCTTGTTTGTGCTGCCACCAAGTGGATATTGAAAACTTTATAAGGGGAATATTCTGTTAAATAGATTAGCTTATAGTCTAGAGAGTTAACGATTAATTCCCATGTTAGGATAATTCTAGATGTTGTAAGACATTATTAAAAGTAAGGTATTAAAAAGAAAGTTGAAATCGAACTGTCAGATATGAGAAGCGTGAAAAATGAATACAAAATGAGAGCAATAATTAGGCGATAATATGCACGTATAAACTGCAATCAGTGCGAAAGGTGAATAAAAGGATTGTATTGAGGGATACTGTTATTTGTTATTCGTCTCAGCTGCCCAGTAGATTACTATTATTTTACCCATAATTTACGCTATATATTCACTATTCTTTGTTGAGAAATCGTATGTGATTGGTTTGTCGTGCATTGTATGTGTGTATACATAAAGTTTCGTGATGTCAACTCGAAGATTTGTGCGTGTTTGTAGAAGCGGGAGCGTGCGCTGACGTCATATTCACACAGTAAACTCCTCCTATCATACACGCACTTCCCTATCGGTAAAATTTTGAAATTTGATCAGTTTTTTCCATGCGGATCTCAAGACTTCTATTTTTTCAGTTCGCTTTAATATTTGCTGGTACACTAGTAATTATAGAATAACATGCAATTTCATATACTCTGAACGACGTCATAGGTAGTAAAATCCATGACTAGAGAATTATTTAAAAATGAATAATCAATATATTGATAAAAATAAATTGTCTTCTTGTCAACCCCGATTTTTAATAGTTTAAATAAAAACCAAGAAAAATACAATAATTTGTGAAAACTAGGACTAGTGATTTGAATTGGGCCGTGGCTCTACTCGCCCCTAAATGAACCGTGTATTAGTCTTATAAGTATATATTTACCGCAAAAAGAAGGAAGTGGGCCATGACAGTGACACGCGTGGTCACGGTCAAAGGTCGTTCGATGATCGCAATTATATCGACCCCTTGTCATGACATTTTGCCAATATCGACTTGTTTTTAGCTTTGATATGTATAAATAATTAATGATATATAGTTAATAAATATGGTGACTGGTGAAGATACCTTTTAGTTACCTGCTGGAATTTTCACATTTTCTATTGATTCTGTTTTTAGAAAAGCGTCTCTTGCATACTACAAATAATTATTTTGAAAACTTTCTTTATTTTTTCGGCACTTTGGTTCTCAAAAATAATTTGTTCAATTAAACGCTACCAATCATTAGATTCTCAGTTGTATATTAATTAAGAAGCGAAGAAGAAAGAAGCCGCTCTCAGTAGATGGAAGTAGGCTCGGACAAGTCTGCCTCAAAGCATCTCCTTCACCTGCCATTTTTTCTATTTTTAATACAAAACGCGTTATCCACTTGACATAGCGTGCATAGATCATTAACGAACTAAGGTAAATTAGACGAGTTTGCAGTGTTGCGTCACAGAGCTACTGGAAATAGCGCAATTTAAACGGTCGACCGAGAAATCGATGAATTCGTTGACGCGGACAAAGTGGTCGTTGAAGAAGTGACAAAAACGTCTCGAGATGGCAAATCAGTGTACTAGAAGCATCTCTTCAAAGACAAAGCTTAGGAGGGGAGCAGTTATTTTCTCGACGCTCTTCCGCTTCTAGGGAGCATGTAATAGACGGTGCACGGAAGCAATTAGAAGTTAGTGCGAACGCGCAATTTCGACTGTAGACTAATGCACTAATCAAACATAATTGTTGACGAGGCCACGTGACTGCTAGGCGTCTACCGGAAAAGGATGCACGCTGGGATTGTGATGCCTACTGAGTGACGTCGCCCAGCAAAGTGTCAATGAAACGCTTCTTGCTGAGTCTATGCTGTGCTTTCCATTTCATTTGCAAAAAATTTTGCAGTTGCTGAACAAAGGTTTTCATTGCTGTAGCATCTCTAAAGCAGTCTATTTTTTGTCACTAATCACTTGCATTATGTTATACACGTGCTATAGACTATACAGCCATTTATAAAACAATATTTGACATAAATGTTGATCCCGCCGACGGCATCGGCATTATGCAAGCATGAAAAACCTTTCTGAGCATGAGATGAACATAATGTTCTGAACAGTAAAAATGACAAACATTATACATGAGTATAAATATAATAGTGAAGATAGGTCAGCGTGGGAATCTGTGCTTTGCCCTGAAGAATGAAGACATTACAACAACTGTTATCTGTATGAGAGTATTGAAGAAGTAGAATAGCCGAATGCCTCGGGTCATTTCACAGTCTCTTCACGCTACAACGCCAGATCTAAGATAGTGAAAAAAATGCATAAAGATTTTCCAAGACGATCCGAAAGATCATGTGCAGCGAACATCCGGCTACCTGCGTGACTGGAGACAGTCTGTCACACTGCACCGAATTTCTGACATGACGAACGTATTCAACGGCACCACCTTCGAGACTTTGCGTGTCTACTTTTTCCTGCCACTTTTTTCCTTCTTAAAAAAGATATTTTACCAATTGGCCTGAAGCTGTGTGTTCTTTAACCCATTGCCTTTTCGAGTCCCTTGAGAAACTTACTTAAGCATCATTCATACGCCTCTCCTTCGATTTTTTTTTATTTGGCGCCAACTCTCCCGCTGATCAGGCCTTTTGTATATGCTCTTTTCATTCGATGCCAATTCTTTCGAGAATTCGCCTTAAATAAACAACAACAATCATGAGCTTTGTTTAAAACTTTCAACGAAGAGTTGCGCAATCTTTACAAAATTAGGAACGTCTTCAATTCACAAAAAGTAAATACCAGGGCCAGGCAGATGTTTTTTTGACTACCATGCAACTTTAAACTTTTTTGGAAAATGACCAAATAAATAAATAATCTATATACGGTATGGTACATAATATCGAAGTACTGTAAAGGGTACGCTATATGGACAGGATATAACAATAGTAAGCGACTGAATGCGGCCCATGGCGAACAGTGACGCCAACTCCCGCCTCTTACCGACACTATGGCGCCAGCGGACCTTAACAAATATTCTTCAAACACGAACACACGAATGCAACCCTATTAACTGGAAATCTAAAGTGTGCCCTATAGCCTATCAACTGCTAAACCAATTGATTTAGTTCCTCAAGATTGTCATAAATAGTTTGTATATTGATATCTATGATGTCCTTAAAACCAATTACTGACATTGACAAGTTAAGTATACTTGACCGGCTCTATAATTTACCCAAAACACCTTGAAGACTATTATTTGCAACTTATCGAATGTTTTGCAAATTTGATTATATTTCCTTATTGGATCAATTGCTTAATTATAGCATTACAACACTTTATTAGTTCTTGAAGCCGCATTAAGCGCCTATTTAACACTCTTTTTGCCGTTTATAAATTAATCTTTAAGTAAATATTAATTTAAATATTTTATTTGATGGACTGGCGTCATCTTGATTTCGATAGACACATAAACATTTACAGGGGCAATCAGCATTTTATCAAGAATCGATCTTTACGGAATTTTGTTCTTTCTTTCATCCGATCGACTACGAATTAGAAAACAGAATACTCAGACAGGCTAGAACTTTATCGGAGCCGAGTCTATTATGGCCAGTATTCTTTGTGAGAAAGAAGCTTCAAAGCAACCGCGTTTTCAATGAACAAATCAAGCAGTTGGCGTCTGGCGGCATGAACAATTCAACCAATCAGCGCTGACTAGGGCGGAGCCAGTAAGGAAAAAGCTGGAGCACTGTGGCAGTTACTCACATATTTTATAAAAGCACCGTTGATTATACTTAATCACTGGCAACCAAGCCAACATTATATATAGTTTTTTCATCGCCGATACTCTAATCACTTAAATTGCCACCCTTCAAAATGGCGTCGTCGAGCAGCTCGAACGATCCCGGCTTGGAGCAACATCAAATCGATTCAAAGAATACTTTCGTCGACATGCAAACTCAGCAGAGCCTACCGTATCCGACCTTCATGCGACCAAGTCCTTTCGCATCAGGTCCTGTTCAACAGGATTCTTTCTCTTCGGTTCAACGGGCTCTCGGATATAATCCTTATGGAGGTCCACATATGGGTACAATGAGTAGTATGGCTCCACCTCATTCAGCTTACAGTCCTGTTACTGCTGGACACTTTGGAATGCACGGACATTATCAAACTTCTCCACCACGAGACGGTAAGAAAAAAATTTGTAAAAGTGTAAAAGAGAGCGCGCGTATAGAGTTTCCAACTAGTTTTATATCGAGCTACGGCATTGTCGAATTTAGACAAAGATGTATATCGAATATCGAAGGGTTTGAATAGTGTAGGCCTTCGTTTCAGGTCCAAATGCTGGTATTCGTGCTATATAGAGAGTGTTGTGTACACACAATTTGTTGAATAATTATATTATATATAATTTGTTTAAAAGTGCGAAGTTTCTCAATTCATTTTTGCAATGAAACACAGAAGCAGTATTTAATGTTATTATCCCCTTGAAAATTCCCCATGTAAACAGTGTACATTTAACAACACATTATTAAAGGCCTGTCATTCATTAATAGAAAAATTTCGGTTGTTATCATCGATTAAACGGAAAATAATTGAAGTAACCTACTTCTATCGGATACTGTAAATAAGTAATTACTTTTCATAAACCATAGTATATACTTAGTAAATTCAAGGATAAGATTTGGTCAAAATTCACATTGTAAGTTTACGAAAAACCTCTATTGATATAATGAGATTTGCAAATAGAGCACGTCTTTATAATCTTTCTGAGATTAGTAGTTAATCGCCTTCATCTTATACAACGTAAATCAATAATGATTGATGTTTTTATTGCACATATAGAAAATCATAATTTAGTATATTTTTGTACGACTTTACAGAAGTTGAAAATGGAGAAAAGATGAGATTAAATGGAAAAGGAAAGAAAATGAGAAAGCCTCGTACTATTTATTCCAGTTTACAATTACAGCAATTGAATAGAAGATTTCAAAGAACGCAATACTTGGCGCTTCCTGAAAGAGCTGAATTGGCAGCGTCACTCGGACTCACCCAAACTCAGGTTTGTTTCCCACAATTTCATTTGTACTAAAAGAATGTTAAGTTCGCAAATGTATACATTAGTCACATTTATGCGGCTATCAAAAATACTTTAACTCTCGCGCTTTCTGTCAGTATTCAATGTTAAAATCTCCACAGTGCCATTTATTTCTCATAAAGCCTAATGAGCTTACAGCCCGAGGCTTATGCGGACTAGACGGAGTCCTGCTGATTCGTTTTATCACCTAGCATATTTTTTGCGCATCCTAGGCTTTACCTCAAACAAATGTAGTGAACTTTAAAATTATACATGAATTACACAAACACACCTATACCTAATAGGAGACTTGTTATTGACTATCCATGATATATTTATTGTCTAAGCGATTCCTGATGTTTGAACGTGCACGCTTTGTCGCATAATGGCGAAATATAATGCTCTATGAAATTATATACAAATTACTCAAGGCAATCACTTTAAATGCGCCTATTTTCTTATCTGGCTCTCAGTAATAACCCACACAAAACATCAGCCTAATACCATCTAGAGTTTACAGACCATTATTCTTACAATTTGGTTTAATATATGTACAAACAGTATACATATATTGTATATATATATATGTGTGTGTAAGTGTAGTTTACTTAATAATTTTACGATATATAGCTATCTCTTTACTTTCAGTTAAGTAAACATTTTGATAGTAAGAAAGAATTGAAATGTAAACAAATAGCAAACTTTGCTAAATTCTTTCAATCAAACGTTAGTGTACCATATAAATGAATTTCAGATAGAATGTATCGTATAATTTGCTGTTTGTATAGACACTTCAACATACAAATGAGCCGATGAGATAATTATCCACTTTGTGCTGACAAAAATGATATTAAATGACTATAATTGCTTTAGATGATGTGATGTATGACTGTAGAGTAGCAATGTGGGCCTTAGGCCTAAATATCTCAGCGGTTGTCGACGAAGAACTGAACATTCACGAAGTGTATGTGTGCTCTTTAAATTGGCTTCATTTGACTTGGGCGGTTAGTCGTGCATGCAGCCGCTTCTCTATCACTACTTCTTTCATGTCCACCGCTATTCATTTCCTTATACATTTATAAGCCAGAAGCAGTTTTCCCATTGCCAAATTCCCTCAATCTCGCGCCGACCATCTGTTGACCGCACGTCAAGTGCACGTCATGTCTGATGACGTAAGAAGAACCAATTTTTTCAAGTTTAATCCTATTTAAAGAATATTACCAAAGTGTGTCTCATATATAAATGTAAGTTAGAATAGGAACGGCAATAGGAAGCAGAAAAAAGATAATTAAAACGTTATGCAAGATCTAAAAAGAAGGCCAGGTTTTTTAACTATATAGATGTATGCAGGTGTAAATAGAGCGATAAGCATCAGAGACAGCACAGTGTGCGACTAGCATTGAAGTTACCGCTCGAACGGCCGAACAGAAGGCATGCAAGATGGCGACGGCGTTCACGTCACTCAGCCATTTCGTTCACTTCATCAATTTACTTGAGTGGAAAGAATTGTGTACGCTTGGTCAGAGAACGGTTTTATTTAGTGTAAGCGCCACTAGGCAGGAAATGAGTTTCCTTTTCTATATACTGGTGATAAGGAAATGCGGGATGTGGGTTTTTGACAAACAAAATTCAATACACCACAAATACAACTCGTAGTCCCATACATAAAGACGGCGACCGGATCACGCCTTCTGTCCAGCCGATCAGCATTGTGCCGAAAGAATTTGTATGTCTCAGCACGAGGTCTGCAATCTGCATGATTACGAACGCCGTAATGACTAGTTGTGAGCCAGCTATTCAGGTCGACGCCATTCGTATGACATGTGCGCCAAAGAAAGTCCTACTGTAAAGCACCGGAATTTTTCTTTACCTCAGTATATGTTAAACTTTCTAAAATGGTCGTGAATTTAGCTTTAGTAGTATATTTTTAGGAATTTTTTGTACATGCGCACATCCGCATGACGATCGTATCTAAAATGGGCGGTAGGCGGTGGAGAGTAAAGGGAGAAAGTGTGGAAGTAGGCGGGTTTTACATGCAGGTGGTCGTGGTGAAGACAAAGACTGCATGCTACTGTCTCTTGTCTACCTGATCAAGTGATGAGAGAGACGCTTCAAAGCAAGAGTAACGTTTCATGCTTCAGGCGTCCTTTTTTTAAATACCACACCCTTGTGCTTGTATCAGTGTATTCAGTATATGGTACAAGTATAAAGGTACTTAAAAATTTCCGAAATTATAAAAACATCTCCTAAAACACTTGTACCTTGAAAGATTGTGAAGTTTAAATTATAGTAACTTTCAATGACATCATTATTTTGTTAATTTATAAGTTTCAATTTCACCTTGTATTAATTTAAGATAGGAGACAATCAGCTAGTTCATATTAGAATAATTAAGATCCTTTAGATTTTCATCGTATATTCCCACAAACTGTTATTTTGAATTTAATAGTTTCTTAAGATAATAAATAAAAAGAAATCAATTTCCCACAGGTTAAAATCTGGTTTCAAAACCGACGTTCGAAATTCAAGAAGATTATGAAACAAGGACAATCAAACGGCCAAGCGCCGCCACAGCAGAGTCCAACCGGTCAAACTCACTGCGCGGACAATGACGACGCAAATGGCGTTGGATTGGCAGACCCTTCCCCTCAACCATCGTCTTGCACTCCCCCTGAATCCTCTCATACCCCAGTCAACCAACAGCAACACATTACACATCAAAATATTAAATGTGAACCAGCAACTTGTCAGTCAGGCATGAATAGTATGATGCCATCCCCGCATCATCCAGATACACCTCCCATGCAACCTCAACCCTGGGCTAATGTGAACCTAATGCATCATGATATGAGCCAGCAATGCGGCAGCAATATGAGTATTTCACCTCACCATATGAACGTTAGTAACGCAAATGCTTATAGTCAGTATCAGTGGGGATACGCACCGCCGTCTGGCGTTATGACCAATTAGAACTCTTGCTCGTTCCTTATGTATCTCTAAGTCATACGTTCTTTATTTTGCATGTGCCTTAAGTGCCAAAATGATTTTTTTTTGTGTTTTCAACGAGCGACCGACTGGCTTGCTTCTGCTGCTGAGACTTTTAAAACTTAATTGTCATACATTAATGTATATGTATATAACCAACCAAATTATTGTTTATCAGTGAAATGATGTCTGTTCTTTTGCATGCTGCCTAAATGTTGTGGTCAAAAAAATTTGTATTTAGTCTCTATTCTATTTATGAAAACGCATACAATATCTATTGTATGAATATATACAGTATGTATATATTAGAATGTGTACATATATTTAAGTGTTACTACAGTCCTTATATATAAATAAATGCTTACAGTACTTATGTTTATAAAATAACTTCGAAAAACCTTACAAGTTTATAATTTTTTCTTTACAGCCTACATTAGGTATGTAGTGCATATTATGGATTATATAAAATTACCGTATCATAAATTAGGAATACAATGCAGTTTATTTTAAATATAAGAACGACTAAAAGTCCTCTGAAATACTACTAAAAATTCTAAATAAGTTATTTTGAAACTAAGGGAATTGACTAGTTTTAGTGAATGAGTCCATTTGAAAGAACTATTTTCACCTAAATTCCAAATTCATACGTCATATGCGAACGCTGGGCGGAGAAAACGGAAGAATGGGCGTGAATTGTGATTATAAATGTTGTGTATGAAGCACGCCGCAGGCTAGAGACGCCGATCGAAGAGAAAACGTCACATTAAAAACAACTCGGACGCCTCAACTCAAGTGGCAGCTAATTAGGAGACGCTCCATAATTAGCTATAGAAAGTCGCTGACGTCCACCTTGTGACGCTCATCTTTCACTGTTTGACGTCTGCGTGCTAAAGGCTGTTGATTTTTGAATCCAAATGGAGAAACTTCTTATTGAAGAATCTTTTTTAAACAGTGTATTTAATTTTTAGAATAAAGTCTGTCAACACGGAGAGATCGACACATTTCACCGAGATTTTCTTCATCAATGCACATCGTTTTCCCGAAGCATGCATGCGGTAGCAAAATGACGCCCTATCACGTGGCTTGCTTCCTTTGGCCTACAGCAATCAAGGATGTGCCTGAGGCAAAAGAGACTTGCTCCGAGGAACAGGTGGCGCATGCCTCTTCGTAAAACTGTCCGGATCAGTATGACCTACATACTAAGAAGAATCTCCTCTTCTGAGATCTTGAACAAATGAATGTATTATGAGTTTTCACAAAATTTAATAAAATTTAATACGTTTTCAGATATATACTGTATATATTTTAAAGAATATAGTTATTTGAAAAGTTCAAACTAAACTACCATTTGGAGAGTAATTAAACATATTGAGAACATGTGTGCAGAGTGAATTTAGAGTGCGTCTAATTGTAGAAAGGTTGGAAGATGCCCGAAGCTTGAATGAAAGATAAGATCTAGAGCGACTCACTGCTAAGAGTATTAACGCATTATGCGATACAAGATGGCTGCTGACACATTGACATTGCCTTGTCTAATTCATTCCAAGATAACGTCTTGACTGAATAGAGATTTCAGGCAGTACTCATCCTTAGAGAAAATCATTTGAGAGAGAACAAAACGGTTAAAATAAATGTTAGAAAGTCCACGAATGACAACAAATACAGCCACCATATCGATTCTTTAGCCTATCATCTACTGCAATTTATGAACGGCAATTATTATAATTATACCACACTGTGCACTGAGTGCATTAAACTGTATTGAGGATAAATATGAGCTATGCATATTCCCATACTCTCACAAAACAAAGTATATATTTTTGTATGTCAGAAAATAAGTTGACCAATAAAATATAAATATTTTGTTTGTTTCCAATCAGGAAATTTGAATTATGTTTCATCTGTTCTTTCCACTTGTAAAATTTTTTAACCATATTCTTAAGTTATGTAATTATATATGGATAGCATCTTATCTGATTAAAATGAGGCTATTGATTATCATTGACAACCAACTTTTTCAATCTGCAATTAAAAGCTCATAAATTTAAGAGTTACCAATTTATGCCATACTTTTTAAGATATTACTTTTTTGTCATACTGATTTGTCCTCATGGCTCAACTTTTTCTTCTTTTTGAAGTCCTCTAGCTAATTGAGTATGGGAAGCAATTGAAAAGACACGGAAAGTGGGCGGGAATAACAGAGAGGTGTCGGGTGATTCTAATAGGATTGAAAGAGAGGATTATAGAATAATGAGATGAAAGGAAGAGAGCTTGAGTGACACCCGATGCTTGTGTATAGATTATCTGCTTATTAGTGTTCTTTTCTGGTTCATTAATATTCATTGCCGAAGAACTGCTGTTGAACGCCCCTAAAAAATAGCAGCTGCGCCACTCCCCCCTGAAGAAGAAAGTCTCTCATGGGACGTCCTGGTTCGAAAACAAACAGGAGACAGGTAATTAGAATTAGCACCGTATTGTGTTCAGAAAGTTTTGCCAGCCAAAATGACAGTCGAAACGTGATGAGATGTATTCGATAGAGGTGCTGTACACAGCGCTGTAGGGCGGTCGAAGCCCTTTCATCTGTTCTGACGTCATACGCACTCATTAGCTATGACGTCATCAAGGTATATAAACGAGGGCTTTAAATGGCCCACGCAAACGAAAAATGTAGTCGAAATAATATTTTTGTGTATTTATTTCGTATACTTGTAAATGTATTTCATATGTTGATATTCGCGTTTATGTTTCATAAAAACGTATTTTTTTGGACTTTGGTTTTATAATAAACAAAGTGTAACTACACTTACTTTTACTATTCTATACTTTATAGAAAATATTATCCTTGTTTTCCTGGTTTGGACTGTTTTGAGAGAAAAAAGTTTTGCAGTGCGGATCTTTGCAGTTGGTAACCGCTCTACTGAATGAACGGACAAAGTTGGCTTGTAGAAGGCGATATACTTTCAATCGTATTCACAATGAGTAGCTTAAAGTTGCAACTAAATGTATAGAAAACTATAAGAATATTTTCCCAAAGTATGATATTTACGGAAGATGCTTGAATACGTTGAGAAAAAAGCTTATAAATTAAGCTAATTCTTATTAGCTAATTTATATTATCCGTATGAATGACCAAACGTATCTAGTTATTTTAAGTTTTAAGAAATCGGATTATTTGTGTAATTGCTTTTAACCCAACAAAAGTGTAATCTAGAAGGTACTGTGACAAAATATTCAAATAAAGAGATATACTGATACCTTCTTTATCCATTTTTCATCAGTGTTTTTTACTACACTATCATTATTTTTTAAGTGAATCTGGGTGATGTATATTTAGGTGTACTCGCTCCTTCGTTGATATTATCCGTGCATCGAAGCCTTATATTCCTGACTTTATCCGGATTGCAACTGGAAATGAACTGAGGTCGGAGTGGTATATAAGTAGAGAATGAGACTGCAAAATCACGTACTAATGATGAGGCTGCAATCTAAGTGATTGTAAAGGCATAGATTAGCAGCTATCGGAGCCTAAACTATCACCAACAACCGCTATTTATTTAATTTTCTACAATTCACTGCAGTTATTTCGACTAATCATAATACTTTGTTTCTAGAAAATTACTGACGAAAGTAGCTCTTACGCCGGTAATTTACAGTCATTTTTGGCCGTAAATCGCTAGTCAATAAGTCGTTGCAGCATTCTATCTCTTTTATGAAAAGCTTTAAAAAATCAAAGCTTTCTTCCTATTTAAGAAAAACTTCATCTCTGATTTCTAAGGATATTTTTTGTAATTATCCTTTTTTACAAAAATTTTTATCAGTTTTAAAATATGTGTGAATTCTTCATTAAAATACAAATAAAAATATTACTCTATCATAAATAAAAAATAATGTCTCATATATGTTAAAGAATTGGAAATTCAGTAATACAGGTCAAATAATTGTATTTGTTTTTATGAAGATTTTGAAGGAGTTGGACGTAAAAACATTGTCATTCAAAAAATATTTTAAGATAAATATACTATCTGCAATCTAGTTCAAATGTTTGTAAAGTGGTTGAAATACGTCTTCCACAAGAATATAAATATAATCTTTCAGCAGCTTTTTACAAAGATAAACTTTGCTCAGTTCCAAAAACTTATCTAGATGTATTTGACACTGACTTTTACAGTTGCAGGGCGTCGACAAACTGTCACGCGCAATGTCGATAAAGTGTCAAACGTTCGCATCAAAGATGTTTTTTTCTTTGGTATATATGACTATTTAATGTATCATTGACGCTGAATGCGTGTGTATACACGCTAAACTCGTTATGAGATAAGCTGAAAACATTAGGAAATGCAATTTTTATCCAATCGATTGAGGCACCAATAGCATGAAAGCGAAAGCGAGTTAAAGAATTATGTCAATATACTAACATGCAATTTTAGCATTCGATTTCGTCGCTTAAATGGCCTTGTTACTAGGGAAACTAGGAGAAGGCGTGGCTAGAGTTCTACTTTGCGTCCATTTATACTATGCGGTCGATATTTGCAGATTTTAGGAGCATTTATCATAAAACAAGGCTCTTCTTATTGCATAATACGGATGGAAAGAACTCTGGATGACGTCATAATGATTTTGTAGATAGCTTTGTGCACCGAGCTCATATTGTCTAAATCAGTTAGTTATTACAGCATCATCTACCTTTATCGAGCGGTAGAAGAAAGAGCTGAAATCTGTTATGATGGAACTTTCGCATATTTTAGAAGCATTTTTCTTAAAGTGTACTGTGTAGAATAAGTAGAAAAGCGTTAAGACGCAACAAGGTATACAGTTGTTGACCCTTCATCTCCAAATAGGTAGTTGCTATTCGCCGTGACATGAATGGTCCAACGATCAACTCATGCACCTGCCGCTTCTCCGCTTCCTTTATACCTAGCAATTTCTCAGTTTTAGTTTTTAAGATCAAAATATTTAAAACCGACTTGATAAGTGTTGATATATATATATATATATATATATATAGTGTGAATAAAACACACATTTTTAGCATGCTTAAATCATGGGTAAATATATGGACATTGCATACTACCCACTAGGTGGCGATTTTGTTTTGTGCCATCTTGCGGAAGTAAATATCGTAGTAATTTAACATTTAAATTAAACTTTGGATATACTTTCAAATGTAAAATACTACACTAATTTGACAATATGACTATTATTTGGTAGAAATAATATCATCTTTTTGTATGAGAAATCAATTGAAAACATATTCTGAAAGTTATTTCTGTATTTCCAAACAATAACAAATTTTAAATTTATACCGGCTTGAATGAGTTTTTTACAAGATGAAATTTTTAAATAAAAATTTCGTTGTCTCCTATAATTCCGTTAACAAATAATAGGAGACAATTGTAAACTATTTTAAAAGATAGCATTTGAGGGGTGAAAAGTACCATTGACCCTCTTAGCTCTTGAAAATGCATTGTTTATTTGACTATAATTCTTAAGTTACAATTTATCTGTCAAATGTTATTGTCAGATGGTTATCATTGCTTTTGTCAAGTAGAAACGAAACTTAATTTTTACACAAGATATTTCTACTAACTCATTTTAAATAATTAGATAATATCTTTGAAAATTTACATAGTTTTTACGAATATTTCTAAAGTAGATAATTTGATGACCTTCATGATTGTTAATGTCTTTCTTCTTTTTGTTTACATGTTTACGATTTTTCCCGAAACAACATTTAATACTAATGTGACAATTTAAGCGCCATCTGGTCTTGGTAAATATTTACGATGTATTGGATATAAGGCCAGATGAAACACTAGTATTTCAGTGTTGAGGACCGAATCCTATTTTCCATCTTTGAGTAATATTTTACCTATTAAAACCTTAAAAACATTCAACAAATAACCGTTAAGTTTTTAACAGAATATTAAGTTATTCATCAGATACTCTCTTAACGATTTAAAGAAGTGTACAAGATATGGAAAACATAAATGAAGATATTCTGAAGTTAAAAGGTGAAGCACCTCATTTGGAAATAAAAAACGATCTAATAAGAAATATGACATCAGACAATTTGTATCATTTGGCTTTATCTACTAGAACTCATAATTTCAAGGAAATGTTTCAGGATATAAAAGTATATTCTATTTAAAGTTTTATTTGCTGTACTTGCTATTTGTAAAAATTATTTTCTTAAACATTTCAAGTTTGTATGTGTTGGAGGATCTTCCAAACGAATGGAAAAATTTGCACAATTTATTGCATCGGAATTGGGTATTAAAACACCATGCATTAATTTAGCAAGCGAAACAGATCGATACGCCCTTTTTAAAGCAGGACCTGTTTTGATAGCTAGTGTAAGTTGTTTCTTCATAAGTATTCCATAAAATAATCAATTTCTCGAAAAAATTACAGCATGGTATCGGAACACCATCAATTTCGATAGTAATGCACGAAATTTTAAAATTGCTGTATCATGCACGCTGTCAAGACAAGGTGACTTTTTTTCGTTTAGGGACTTGTGGTGGGTTAGGCTTGAAACCTGGAACTGTGGTTATTTCTGACACTGCTGTTGATGGGTTGTTTAGAGAGAAATATGAAGTAATTATTTTAGGAGAAATCATTTCAAAATATCCAATAGTAAATCAGCAAATAGTGGAGGCTCTTTTGAATTGTCATAATGATGATGATACATTTGATTGTGTGAGAGGAACTACCATGTGCACATATGATTTTTACGAAGGTAAATGTTAATTAAATATGATTTTTTTTATGGCTTCTTTTCAGGACAGGCTCGGCTGGATGGAGCATTTTGCGGATATACTCAAGATCAGAAAATGGCATTTTTAATTGAAGCTTATAAGAAAGGTGTAAGAAATATTGAAATGGAGTCATTATGTTTCTTAGCTATGTGTCATCAAGCTAATGTGAAAGGCGCCGTAATTTGTGTAACTCTACTAGATAGATTGAAAAGCGATCAAATTTCTGAAACGAAAACTACACTTAAAGAATGGGAAGAAAGGCCAGCAAAGATAGCTCTTCGCTATATAAAATCTGAACTCTCAAAGAACTGAATCTAATAATCAATTCGAATGCGAGATAGTTTATTAATATATATCAAACATATTATATACAAACGTGAAAAAACATGCATGTCAAAGAGATAGTTTGAAACAGTTTTCATAATAAATTTCGAATATATAATCACTGCTAGATAAGATAATAATAATTGCAATAAGTTTTATTTAATATTATTGATTTGTATCTATGTAATCTTATCTTCCGTTTAGAAAATACAACTGATTTTTAATTTATCTTTAAAAGATACAAACAGTAATTGTCATATATTAGCCACAACAGTTGTCAACTCATTTAGTCGACTTAGTAAAAGGATGGCTGTAAACATTGTGTGGCAAGATATCTTAATCATAGCCTTTTATTTTGTAATTGTGTTTGCTGTTGGGATATATGTAAGTACAAATTATACTTAAACTATTCTTTTGATTGTTCATGTTCACAAACAGGCTTCATGTAAAGCAAGTACCGATAGCGCACAAGGATATTTTTTAGCGGGTCAGAGTTCGAATTGGCTTTTAATAGGAGCTTCTACATTTGCAACTAATATTGTTTGTAAATATAAACTAAACGCTAATTCTTTTATTTTGAAAGTCATAATTTATAAATTTTCGCTTTCAGGGGGCACCTATGTTTATTGGCATAGCTGGTAATAAATAGTCACATGAAATATTTCGTTAAAGTTTAACTTTAACCCCTATTTTTTATTTCAATCAGGCTCTGCAGCATCCTCAGGTATTTCAATTGTTATGTTTGAATGGCATGCAATGTTTATGCTGGTAGCTCTAGGATGGTTATTTCTACCTGTTTATCGGGCTTGCGGCTGCTATACAATGCCTCATTATTTACAGAAAAGGTTTGGTGGAAAAAGAATACGCCTAGTTTTGGCTATAGCTCATACTCTTTTAACAATAATATCACAAGTTGCTGGTCAAATGTTTGCTGGCGCTTTATTTATGCGACAAATTTTTGGTTGGAATTTATATCTATCGGTTGTGCTTATATTGGCAGTAACAGCAATTTATACGATCGGAGGAGGTTTAACAGCTGTTTTGTGGACAGACACAATTCAAACTGTAATTCTTATTGCTGGATCAGCAGCTTTAAGTGGAATATCCTTAAATCGAGTTGGTGGTTTTGCCAATTTAAGATGGAGATATGATAGGTCTTACTCGAACAATACAGCGTATTTTAATAGCTATAGTAATAATTTGACATGTGGCTTACCAAAAGAGAACGCTTGGAATATCTTTCGCCCTCTCGATGAAGATAACCCTTGGTTAGGAATGATTATTGGACTAACAATTCTTGCTACAAATGCTTGGTGTACTGACCAATTATGTGTGCAACGTTCGCTCTCTGCTAAGAGCATTAGCCATGCTAAAGGAGGGGTTTTGCTTGCTGCATTCTTAAAGATAACTCCCTTTTTATTTTTTGTAATTCCTGGAATGGTAAGCCGTGTGTTATTTCCTGATGAAATTGCTTGTTCGGATCCCGAAGATTGTAAGAGTATTTGTGGCAATGTAAATGGATGCTCAAATATAGCTTACCCTTTATTAGTTGTTCGCATAATGCCAATCGGTGTAAGAGGTTTAATGCTAGCTGCTCTTTTAGCTGCTCTTATTTCGTCATTGACCTCAATTTTTAATTCGGCGACTACCGTTTTCACTATGGATATTTGGCGTGTGGTCAGGAAAAGAGCTGAAGAGAAAGAGTTGATGTTAGTAAGCAGACTTTTTACGGTTTTGCTAATAGGAATTAGCATTGCTTGGCTACCTATATTAGAAAATATTCAGGGATCTCAATTTTGGGATTACATTCAGCAGATCTACAGTTATATTCTTCCACCTATTGTAATGGTATTTTTAGCCGGGATATTTTGGAACAGAACGACTGAAATGGCTGCATTCTTGACACTGCTTATTTGTATAACTATTGGACTGGCAAGAATGATTATGACATTCGCCATGCCGGGTCCTCCTTGTGGTTCAACTGAAAAAGACAATAGATGGCCAATTATTTCAAAAGTCCATTATCTCCATTTTGCAATTATCTTGGGTGGATTATCTCTTTTCCTTCTCGTAGGAATAAGTATTATAACCAAACCAAGACCGATGCGTAAATTACACAGAACAACCTTTTGGACAAGAAATGATAAAGAATTTCCCGAAGAAAGTGAGGATGAGAATGAGAATGAGAATGCTAAGCCTATTGAAAAGGGTAATTAAACTATTTCTTATAAATTCTTTTATAACTTAACATGCTTTAGAAATCGTGGAAGAAACCGAGGAGAATGTAACTCCTGACAGAGTAACAAAAGGCCAAAGAATAAAGCAATTACTTTTGAAATATGTCTGTGGTCAAAATCAAAATTCTAACTCTCAAGAAGGACCTACGAAAGAAGAAATTAAAAAAATGACTTCTATTGTAGAAGATCCAAAGTCAAAACTCCTCTTGGACCTCGGTGCAGCAGTCTGTGTAGGAGTAGCAATATTTTTACATGGTTTTTGGGCTTGAGTTATGCATAAATTCTGAATTTATTATATATATGTTTTTTTACATAAATACAACTATCAAACAGATTTAAAACAAAAAACGCTACTGTAACACTAATTCCTTTAAAGATGTTCTCATATACATTCCTAGTCTTGACACTGTCAAAATTTAACATAATGACATAGAGACTACTACTTTAAATAAAAGTTCATGCTATGTCAATGGGCGTTAATAATATTTGGTGTATCGACTCCAATTTCTTGGTTAATATGTTTTATATCGAGGGCAAGAATATTCAAACTCAGCTATATTTTGTAAAATTTCTGTAATCTCAAAATCATATGCTCTAGTAATTCACTCAAATATTAGAATTCAAGAGCATTTTGTTTAGTAGTGCCATCTGTGTTGCAAATATTTCTACTGCAAAGAGTAAAATAAAGGTAATAAATGCTATTGCTATCAGAGCCTAATTTATTTCCAACCTATTATTCTTTCAAAAAACTAACCTTAAAAAAATCCTATCTACATAATTCGATTTCGGCTGTTTCGAACTACCATCTCCAAGATCTATAATCTAGTTCTAACAATTGTCAATTCAAAGAAAAGTCACATTTTCCTTGCCATAAAAACTCTTTCCAATTGATTCATATTTTGAACTTGTAAAAAGTAATATGAATTATAAATATTTGATAAAAACATAGACTAATTATATTTAGCGTGCTCATAACAAAACACTGTTAATCAGTTAACTTTATTTTAATTATGGATAAAAACATATTTAATTAATTAAACTGACAAAAAAATATTTTATAATAACAATAATAATTATTATAATAAATTTGACATATACAATATGTACATAGGATATAATGATATATGCAGTATATATATATCTAATATATATATTGCATATACTTATAAATATTTTAAAAATAAATGAATAAATATAATATTGAGTAATAAAATAATATAAAAATATATGAAAAAACACTAATCTTTTTACCAAAACATGTTTGAAATATAACCTTTCTTTTGATCAGTAAATTTAAAAAGACTAATGAATGTACAAGTTAATTATGGAGTGTGTATATGAGAGTATGTATGTTTAAAAGTGTTTCTGTAACCGATAATATTTATTTATTTGATAAAGATTATGTGTGTATCGATACCATCATGAGTATGAATTTGAATCTACAAGAGGATAAATGAATACTGTTTGTTGAATGATTAAATATAGATCAGCAGTTCGTTATAGTTTAGCAAGCAGACGACCTTTGATTAGACCTAAAAGTTACCGTAGCAGATGGCATATCTTCCTTATCAATAGCCATACTAACTCCTTCGGCGCTGTTGGTCGATTCCTCAGGCGTCTTACTCATTTCGTGTTCATGCGTGTCCGCATGCGAATGCGCTGCGTGCTTGTGCTTATAATGGAATGCCTGAAGAGAGAATCTCCTGTGGGTTTGTTTTCTTCCACCACGCCGTTTACTAATGTGCGGATTGCCTTTTCGCATAGTTTTTGTTCTCAGGATTTGTAATTGAGTATAGAGTCGCTTCAGTTCTGCTCGAATATCTTCAGGGTCCATATCGCCTATTGTTATATCTCCTATATCAACATCCCCGTTGGAAGAGACCCCTACGTTTAATCTCATGGCTTCAGATGGAAGAACCGTATCACCACCAACTTCAGAAGAAGAATACGCCCTTTGCCGGAAATGTTCTTCATCTGGTGGCCAATTGATGTACCAGAACTGGAAAGGCAACGAAATAATTTGTGCAAAAATAATCAAACTATAGAATTGTTGTCTCACCTTAGGAGCAAACACGTATACCAAAGTTGCCGTAACGGTAAATTGACAGTGTAAAAAGTAAAGGATAAACACATAATCTGGGTGAACATTTTCCCAAATAAAATGCCTTGAAATATGAAGCATAACCGAGAAAAATGTTTCGTTATAAATAGCGTAGCTAACATATCTGCTCTCAGAATAATCGGAGTAGGCCGATCTCGAACAGTAGCATAGGTAGATGCCGAAGCAAAGGAAGAAAAATTCAGCGAATTCAATAACATAATCCCACCAATGTGCTTTACACATCGTATATGATCCAATAGTGTTGTTGACTAGGTCTATAGAAGAATTTACGCCATGTTGAGCGACATTATCAACGCTTACGGCCGTCCAGGCTGATAAGTATCCTACGACGACTAGCACAACGACTGCAAGATACTTGAGCATGTCTCTGTCTCTGATATGTACCCTATGAGCGTTCCTTGATTGAAATTCCGCTAATACCCTTTAAAAAACAAGAAGGTTAGAAAGAGAATAAAATAAATCTGAAACTCACTTATAAATTTTGAGAATTAGTGCACCGTAAACAATAGAGAATCCTATCTCACGAAGCCATGGAATCAGCAAACATGTAGGCACAGACGGCTGAAAAAAGAGGAGTATAACGGAAGAATACAATAACACGCATCCAAATAAAACCATCAGTAGAATCAGCCACATTGAACTCTTCATAACTTTCTTTTTCCTCCACCTGATAACGTAAACGGCTAGCACGAATACGATTAAAATGCAAAGTCCTTGAATGCAGAGAGGGATTCCTCGACTCAAGGAATTGTAGTCGTGCTGGCAACAGTTAATCTGCCTTTCACAAAGAAATAGCTTTTCATAATCAGCCGACTTCTTTCTTAAGTACTCGCTATAACTGGCCTCTATTTTTGACCCTTCGTAGGTGGTATTTCCACATTTGCAGGAGTAGGAACCGACGGTGAAGCCCCGTCCAGCTTGATGATTGCATACCGAATTGCCTTTGCATCGGTGACTTGATCCAAATGGACCATTCGGAGAACATTGATTGATATCTAAATGTTTCAAATCTACGTCAACGTAGAGCAGACCATTAAGAGACAACAAGTTCTTTGCGTTCGGTTTTAAGCAAGTATAGATTGGAACCACGTAGCTAACTTTCCAAGAACATAACTTCTCTGCCCGCTTATCCCTGTATGGACCGTACCAAGTTCCTGAATAGACTGGTATGACTTTACTAATATTCAAGGAGCCTGCTAAAGGGCTACATCCTTGTCCTGCTCGACGCCTCACGAAGATATCATCTTTTTTCATTTCATCACACATCCAGCCTAGGTACCATCCCTGTACACTTGGACATTTTAAACTATCCTCTTCTACTGTTAAAATATCAACTTTGCCATTATTACTACGACGAACATAGGGGAAGTAATCATATCCCCAATTTTTTGACTTTTTTGATTTTTTTAATGTTCGAGCTGCAATTCCTGCTCCGAGCACCAGTTCATCTGATAGAACATTAGTGAGCAGTTGGTGTGTATAGATGTCTTTCAAAATTGGATTTTTCTTTCCAGCTGTAAAAGAATAATCAAAGTGCCTCAAAAGACCTGTTAGAAAGTTCGCAGTAGATACAGCTTGCCGACTCTGCTGGGCAAATCTTTCATCCAGAGTCAAATTGAAAAGCGTTCGATTGAAGTCAGCTCTTGGAACGATCGTCGTAATATTACAGTTGCCTTCCTGCAAAGTCTGAGTGTATATGAAATTTAGTAAATCATCCTGTTGTGGTGTGCATAACACGGCAGCCGCCAGAAGCAACTGGCTCACAACGTACAACATGCTTTACATAACGACCGCCATTGCACCGTGCTATTATGCAGAATACACTGCAAAGCATCCTGGGTAGCCTTCTACCGCCATTTCTACATAGAAGATGAGATAGCTGCTGCACTGCAAAGACTGCGCCATCTACAGTGTGTTTATAGATGGCACTACTTTTATTTCCCGCGTGTGCTTTGATTTAAAAAAATAAAATTTGCATAACAGATATAATTTTGACTCATACGGAAAAATTTTTTCTGCAATTAAGAATATGACTTGTCAAAGAAAACACTTCCAATAGTATATTTTTCGTATTTTAGTTTCTATCTCAGCTGCGATTTTGTAAGGTGATATCTAAGCGCTTTGTTTTTCTCATTAAACAGCTTGGCGAACGCTTTCGTACTTCCCTCAGTTCAATATATATTTTAAAAAAAGATATACTGTGAAATAGATATCCTGAATAATCTCTCCTGTTTGACCTACAATATGCGTTTTACAAAGTATACACAAAGACCTTAGGCCTATCTCCAGGTTTGCAGACATTTACGAACAATTTTGAGCTCTTAATTAAACAAATATAAAGCAGAAATTTTCTGATATGTTAACCTGAATTTTAAAGAATGCTTGCTCGAATAAAAAGAAAATATTCATTGAGAATATGATATTAAAAATACTAACTATCCAGATAGTTTCTCATTTCCAGGCAAATTTTAACTATAAATTAATGGAGATAACAAAAAATCTTTTATATATTTCAGCATTTATTTGGTCTAACTAGACACAAAATGACATATAAAAAAAGTACTGGCACACAATGAAAAGCAAACAAAATCCTGGCTTGAGATCCCAGGTCAAATGATCACTCTAGTTAAAAATCCAATTAAATAGAAATTTATGCAAAGTTTCTTTGACGCATTTGTATACTTACATTATACAATATTAATAAATATACTATACAACTGCATAATGTATATAGTATATACCCTTGCCAATTTCTTATATACTAGTTTAAAAGTATATGAATAAATTGTATACAAGTAAATGCTTAGAGCTGAAAAAGAATTCATGCATGTTTAAAATAATACATCTAGGTGAGTCTGGCCTCTTCTTCTATCTCATCGTCACAATCTAATTTAGGTGGTAAGCCGGTTATTACAGGTTTCAGTTGCCCAGTAACTTTGTCTTTAGCCATTTGCGCACCTTTTGTCCTCTTCCATTTCATTCTTCTATTCTGAAACCAGACTTTTACCTGTTGGATGATGAAACAGTCAATTACAACTGTCAGTCAATGTCAGATAACATTTATCGCACTTGTATTTTGCTACCTAATTACCCCTAAAGTTGGTGCCTGTCATAGATAACAGAAATGGTTGGCAATTTATTCTTATTTGATTATGCTTATACCCTAAAGACTTCTGTTTTTACTCCATTTTAGAAGTCAAATTCCTTGAAGTAGTACAAACTGTTTCGATACCATTAGATATGAGATACTATTCAATAAAATTTTTAAGAAATGGAATTCTTATGTGGTATGACTACTACCTACATCTAGCAAAAATAAACTTATCACAAAAGCTCACTCATTTGTTATTCTAGAATCCCTCTTTTATGTAATAATTTTAAAAACAAATTGAAAGTCAGAGTTGAGCTCATTAATAGAGCTGGGCTTTGTTATAAGAAAAAGCGCACCAACAACCTCCTTCACTCACAGATGCATGAAGGTGAGAAAAGAGGCACATCACAAGTCATCTCTCGTTTCAAACGACGACTCACAGTAGGTGGCAATAGGCGCCTTTACGCTTGTTTGTATTACTACTTGAATTGGCGCACGTGTTGCGCCGATGATTGACTTTGATCCAAAAAATACGAACCTGCCTCTCCGTTAGGTCCAAAGCCATTGCTATCTCATATCTCCTCAGACGAGTAAGATAGTTATGGGATGAGAATTCTTTTTCAAGTTGTTGTATTTGTTGTTTGCTGAAAGCCGTGCGCTCCTTTCGAGGTTTACTATTGAGGTCGAGCGGAAACGTGTCGGATGGAGTAGAGGCTTGCTGGCCAACAATGGCGGCTGTTGAGGAAAATAACAAAGGGGACGTGATTGCGTAGCTTTTTTATTCGCCTGATATGTTTATTTTTTCACGTGACACTAAGCAGAACTTGTACGACTTGTTTGCAATCGAGGCGTTGATGACATGCCGATAATATTCCCTAGGTAGTGATAACCATGCGCACTGCGCGCATTTTATTTTACTGTGCTGGCTAATTTTAGGTGACTCGAATACTTTATGATTAGGCTGCAAGTGAGTATTGTCGAATCTAACTTTTCATTAGTGATAATGAAATTAAAGACATGGCAATTAATCACTTAGGAGTGAAAATCACATCGTAACGAGATAAATAAACTATTTGACTCCCAAAGGACCAAGTTAAGCTCAACTTTAATTAAATTCTAGTTACGGTTTATAGGATTACAGTATAGCCACGTAAAAGTATACCTACGAAACTCATTATAACTAATAAATCTTCTATTATTATGTGTAAATTACTATAATATGAAATTAACAAATATATATATAGAATTTTATTTAACTGAATTCAGACTTGTCTATTAGAGAATATTTAAGTGTTATTCTTTTTGAATAAATAGTAAATACGTATTTAATATTTTTTAATAATATTTAATAGTAACACTGTGATAAAAAGTTTATTTCAAAGTTAAGAAAATTGTAGTCGACGCAGTGGCTTAATTTTTAAATATTTTGAAACTTAAATCACTGATTTACAAAAATTGAAACAAAATATAAAGTGGCAATACCCTTTGGAAATATTCAAGTGTAATTCATAATATTTTTGATGTAAAATATACTTTTCTTTTATATTTATCTTTAACTTGTATTACGTTTATATTTTGATCTCTTTCCTAATCTAAAAATGTTTTATTTTTCTCTCTTTTAATAACTTTGAGGCTGTATTTGATGTTAAATGGTTAGATCCTGAAGGATCTCTAATTTTAATTACCAATATTTTCCAGCGTTTTCATATGATTGAAAATGTCTCTGTAAGAAAATATTTTTCCAACAAAATCTAAAAATCTTTTTTCAGAGTCTTCTAAAAGTCACAACGTTTTGAGTGTGGAAAACACCAGAGAATTACTTAAATATCTACTTCTTTCTTCGTATTTCAAAAGCTATACAACCTATTATCATATTTATAGAAATTTCAAAGTCCTAACTTGTAGTTTATTTACACACAAATTGATCGTAATTAACCTGACTTAAAATCTGATAGGAATTAAAATAAAGATTTTACATTAAATTTATATTAATACTATAAGTTCTTTCTTCCAACAAGAATTTCATCAATGATAGTACAGTTCAATAAATAAACATAATTACCCTTCTCACTTGTTTCATCTTCGTGGCAGGAATTAGCGGATTGACAGATAATTCTAGAATCAAAAGATGATGAAACAAAATTCCTATATCTTGATGTGTAAAACCCATAAGGTGATGTCAACGATGTCCAAGACGCGTCATAGGCCGAAGAATAAAGTGAAGGTATGGCGTGGTGGTAAGGAGTATGATGATTATAAGCGGCAGTTGGCGTTGTCGTTGCTGATGAGTAGAGTCTCGGCTCCATAATTGCTCGGATTAAGCGCTGATAGGAGAATGCTGCCTAGATATACGTTTCCTTCGGCTGCCGTGTGAAGATTGACAGCTCCGTTAGCACCTTGGCACCAGCTGTTTCTTCGAAAAATAACCTCGAGATAAGATAAGGTAATTTCTGATTGGTTGACTATTATCGTAGGGGCGGAGTTACAGTATTTCAAATGTTTGCCCCGTAGTTGACAAAAGAAACAACAAGGATAAAGCAGTGACGTAATTTTAAATCTGCTTGACAATTGCGGCAATGAGCTTACGGGATGCTAGCACGTGCAGTGTGAATGATCAGTTGTTTTCGAAGCAAACACTGTGTTGGTATGAGGCTCTACATCTGGTTGCCACATTCTCTGTTAGAGTCGTTAACACTCGCCCCTCATACGTCATATACCCAAACTTTTGGAGGTCCCTTTACTTTTGGTTTTCAATCGTTATCAGAATCTCGAATGATTTTTTTGTTTATTGTAATACATTTAGTACTCAAAAATTGTATTTATTTCGCAAAAAAAACATGAAATTTTATAACTCAATCATCAAATTACAAAAAAAAAACAGAAACACTTGGGCAGCGCCATCTATTGTCAATCTGTACTATTTTCCAGAATCAACTTTTGCTTTCTGTTCATGAGAATCCTTAATAGTCTGTCTTTCAGTTGGAGGAGGAAGGTACGGCTTAATACCTTTTCTTTTACGATCCTTTACAATTCGATCCTAGTTTCGTTCAAAAATCAGTAATAAATAGCTGTATACCGCTAATTGAAATTTACCCAAAAAGTCTTGCAATTCTTATAATTAGTAAAAAAAATTCCACATTGATCCTTGTTATATCCTCTTTCGTCAAGACATCTTAAGGCTAATCTATGTTCCTTTAAAAAAATTAGACCGGTTAGGAAATCAAAACTTTTAAAATTTATATAATACCAGAATGCAAGGATTTTTCATATCGTTATCCATTTTGCTAAATACATTGGTATTATCTTGCTTCTTTTCCTTTACAGAATTCATGAGTGCAATTTGAAAGCAGGATATTATCGCTCACTGGATAAATACGATGTAAAGTATGATTTATTAATAAAGGAAATAGAAATGTATAATAATATTTAAAAAACAAATAATGTTGATAAGTAATATAAAATTTATTATTAAAAGCTCAGTAAGCTATGAAAATCATAAAAGAGAAAAGTTATAACCTTCTTGAGAACAACAAACCAAACACCAAGTGACCGGTCTACAAATTTCCGAATCGTATTGTACAACTATTAGATTTCATCAACATGGAAGATTTGTCGTCTAGTTCGGAAACTGATAATGCGGAGGTAACATCATTATCCTCAGATCCACCCGTTGGATATTCTTCTTCATCTTCTTGGGATCCTTCAAATAGTCCTGATTGGGACAACGAAAAGCCAACAGAGCAATGTGTTGCTCGAATAAAACGGTTTTCTTTTACAGCATACTCAAACGTAGTTGCAAAAAAAAATATTTGATCATAATAATTAATTGAAAAGAAATTTTTAAAAATTCACAAATTAATATTTTTCACTTCATTGTAGTGTGTAATTTTATACATTTAATAGGAGTCTTCTAATAGTCACTCTTGAAAAATTGTATTTCTAACTAAAGATAAATTAATTAACTGAAACAGAGACATTCTTTACATTTGCAAAGAACCCCCACCTGGAATGTTTATAGTACCCGATCAAGAGAATTTAACAAAGGTAAAACAAATCAATTAATTTCCACCAGACTGTAAACAATGAACTCAATTAAAATAATAGATTCATGCTTTAATCACTGGACCATTTGACACACCTTATGAGGGCGGATTTTTCTATTTCCTAATTAGATGTCCCTCGGATTATCCAATCAGACCTCCGAGAGTAAAGTTGATAACAACAGGTGGCGGACGAGTTAGATTCAATCCTAACCTCTACAAGAATGGAAAAGTTTGTCTAAGTATTTTAGGGTAGGTTTAAAATTTAATTTAATCAATATCAAATAACTCTTTTATAGAACTTGGTCTGGTCCGGCCTGGACCCCTGCGCAAACGATATCGAGTGTTTTAATTAGCATACAATCTCTAATGAATGATAAACCCTACCATAATGAGCCAGGTTTTGAAACTGAGAAAGGATCAGGGCACGTAGAGCACTACAATGATATTATACGACATGAGACCATAAGGGTTGCTGTATGTGATATGTTAGAAGATAGCTTTAAGTGCCCAGACTCCTTGAAGTGAGCGAAGACTTAATTATATTACACTCCAATTATATGTATCTATTTTTTAACAGAGAAGTTATGCAACAATCTTTTCGAGATTTTTTCGAATATTATGATAATGTCTGTAAAACTAATATGAAGCTACAAGGTCATGCCATGAATGTAAGTCTTCAAAAAAATGAATATGTTATTATATCTTAAGCAATTTATTTTTCTTATGGGAATATATTCTAAAACAGATAATAATTCTCCATGTCTTGTGATTGATTAAAATATTTTTTGACGCTATATTGTTCATTTTCTGACAATGTCCATTTTGAACAGGATCCTTTTGGGGATAGACGAGGAAAATTTGATTACAAGACTCTTCAGAAACGATTAGCCAATATTAACAAAAAATTAAATTTATCGTCAGAAGATAGAGAGGATGATGATACAGATTCTTTATCCGAATCTGATGAAGGAATGGCTTCTGCTCTCTCTGTGTCGACGGCACCTTAAATTCTGATACATTCATTTTATTAAAAAAAACTGCATTACATACAAACTGTTATAACATTTTTAATAGTAAAAGTTAGAATAACTAGTGTACTTTTCAATATTTTAACTTTGATTTTATTTAGAATTGTGTTACTTTATAGACGGCAGATGGCGTAGATGAATTGTGTGTAACTCGTATATCTTTTGAATATCGTATGTATTGTTGTACGTTCAATATATATATATATATATATATATATATATATATATATATATATATATATATATACAGTATATATACAATATATATACATATATATTAGTAAACATATTTTAAATATATTTATATACGAACACTCTGTACATTTTAAAGGAAAAATGTAGTTTGAAATGAAAAAAGCATTTTAATAAGAGAACGAAAGGTATTATCCTTTTGGTCGGCGTGTATAGAATACATTATAGTATAAGCCTCTGTGAGGGGTATGTACTCTGCATGACTTCCTGCAAATAATTAAAGAGTAGCTATAGTAGCAGCTGCTTTGTGATCAATTTATGGTTGACTAGGCCACTTTCTCCGTTTATGTTCAACTTCTCTTGTTTTCTCTTCCTGCTTTTCTATAGGTGGGATCAACAAGGTGAGAGAGTAGCTGATGAGTTGTTTACGCTGTACTCTAACGACTTCCTGAATAGAACATATTTAACTGCTTAAACGTTATCTATTTTCTTCACATAATATGCATAAAAGAACTGAATATTTTTACAATACTCACTCACAGTACACCTGTCAAAAGCAATCATTGTAATTTACACGCATCGTGAAGATGTAGGCCTCCCCAGTAACTTCAAACATTCGCCGACCAACCTATCGCCGAAGTCTGCCTTAAATCTATTCTTGAAGCTATTCAAAGAGCGCAAAATGCTTTAAAGCATATAAAAGATTGCGTATTGCAGGCCGCAGGCGTGAAGAACTTTTTTATTGTTTCAGGAATTTTGCAATTCTAGAAAGCGTAAGCGCGTAAAACGAGCGTATTTTGCGGCGTCTAACATTATATAAGCAATTTTAATAGCGCTGCATCTGGTCACTTTCTTTTCAGGGTGACGGTGCATAAATGGAAACTACATAATGTCATACACAAAGAGATGATGGTACCCCTGAAGAGAAGCACTCTCTGATTCCCGCTGAGCTGGCGGCCTATTTTTTTCTAAATATGGGTTAAGCTGAAGAGAGAGTTCTATTCTTCACTTTTTTCAAATACGCTCGCGTATGTAATTATTATTATAATTGCATCACACCTATCTGGTCTTCCATATTGGTTGTTTACCTAAAAAATATTTATTTGTTTGAATAGCCTGTCCTAATTGTAACATATAAGGAATAGCTGTTCAAATGAATCCTTCTCTGACACCTATATTGGAGGAAGTCTACGACTGTCTGCGCACTTAAAGCAGAGCCGGCGGCAGTGTTAAAGGGTCAGCGAAACTAAGCTAATTTGTATCTTTAATGCAAACCGGATTTACACTTATAAAGAGGGACGAGAAATATATATACAAGTAACTAAATATATATTTATACCATATAAACAGGCCTATATGTGGTATAGAATTTACTCACTGTGAAATGTTCCACGCCCGCTGCCTTTCTTTTCTGCCTGCCCAACTCACCATGATTCCTTCAAACTGGAAAATCAATGTTGTGCTTGTCGGCACGGACCAGTGCACGGACATATCGCCTGCGCTAATGGAGATGGGCGGGTGAACAGGTGGGCGATGGGTGTTGCGGACGCGTGCTAGAGGCGTCTACGTATTCCTCCTTCGCAACCTGTGAACTTCTTTTGGCTGACAAAAAGAGAAAAAGAGATTGTGCGGTTTTTCAGGAAAATAAATGATGAATATGCGCATTGAAGTAAAAAAGTGGGGAGCAACTATAAACTCACTATGAAAAACCCGATACACTAGCACTCGTATATAAAGGTCATAATAACCGACGTCATATTTCAATGAACGACGCCTATCATTTAAAGCATTGTAACAACTACTATTCTCAACTTTCATTAGACGCGCTTTAGTCGAACTAATCTCGGGCGTCTAGCAATTTCATTGTGATGGGCGGCAGGACACACCAGGGGGCGTGAGGGGGCGTTAGAGATTGGCCAGTGACAGCTTTATGGCATGGGCTGATGACTACGCCTAAGGCTCATCTCTGTTCTGTGCGGGCTTGCATTTGCTTAATTTATGCAAGCAATTGAATTCCTATTCTATACGGAAGGGAATGACAAGCGTCTGAGTGGTCAATTTAATGCCCTCTCCTCATAGCATTGAGGAAAGATATTCAAAGTTGAAGTTTTGTATGTAAAAGCCTTCCCGTGTAATGACGTTGGACGTCTGAAGGAAGTTAGAAGGCGTGCATGCAGAGATAATTAGGGTGAATTGGCGGAGAAACGCTCTCTGCAACGATTGATCTCTTCCTGACTGTAGCGTGTCCCAGACAGTATAATCGCATTCGTTATGTGCCGTTGTTTTCTTGCGTGTATATATCCTTTTAATAAATATACCGCAATGCACTAAATGAAATAAAGAGTGTATCGTGAATGGACCATTCAGATGAAATTGAACGAAAAAGTTTCAGCAAACCGTAGCATTTTATTCTGCCTTACTTATACAAAGAAAGTAACGCTTTGAAACGCCTTTATAACGCCCTTCTCCGTGTTCGCCTCACACGCTGCTGCATGCTGGTATATCTATATCTTGAAAGATGTAGTTTTTTTAGCTTGCTTTGTTAGTTATCTTTCTTCTCTTAGTGAATTAATATTCATAAATTTTTAAATAATAACTACATCGAGTTTTTTATATTGCCAAAGTGACCCAAGTTTCACCATACACATGCGTGCAGCGACCGAATGAAAGGGCCGCCGCCGACGACAAGCAGACTGCATTAGAGACGTAGAGATCTTGAGAGGAGAAAATTGTACAAGATTACCCTTAACGACTTGCCCCTAACTAGCCTTCAACTGCATCGTTTGAACGCTCGACCGTCAGTCACTTTCGTATCGATTTTATACTGTGCTGTATTAGTACAAAGTGGAAAGTGTAAAAGTATTTAGGAAAGGAGTGCGTGCTCGATATATATGGTGTAGTGTATCTAGTGGAATGCTTAGTGAAATTGAAAAAAAAAGCACCTGCACTTGAATCCGCGGGAGGTGGGCGCTACGTATGATCATTCTTGCAGAGTCGTTTGCTATAAGAATGTCGACGGAGGCTAATTCTGCACCATGTGGCGCCCGGCAACTGCCTTAACTTACGCCCAAAAATCTGCACGGCTCTCATTCATCTGACTGATGACTGCTACCGCCTACCGCCCCTTCCTCCGACGACTCGCGTGCATCTAAACAAGCGGCGGCGTCTTCTTTTTTTGAAGTTAGCCGCCGAGCCTGATCGTTTTACCCAAGTGACGTAATTTGCGCGCTAAACGGGAAAGGTATAGACACGATTTAACGTCTTTTTCTCGCCTTGCCGACGCTTCTATGACGTAACGAGTACGCCAGATAAAATCAACGATCGGCGTTTTTCATTTTACGTTATACATCGATCGGGTCGGAATTCGGCGCTCAGCGCGTCTCTATAATTGCCTGTAACTGATATAATTCTCTCTAATCATTGTCATTACGTCATAAATCAGCTATCATTGTTTCAGACTACTGGCTTTCGACCGATCGACCTTTTGCATAATGTATACTGAAAATTGTTTAGTCGCTATAGTGCATGAATAAGCGATATAAACATTTCGTTTCGCCTGTAAAAGTGGCAAAAAATCCGACTGACTACTCTTTAATTAGATTCCTTTTCTCGCCCACTTCTTCCCTACCCTATATATGTGCATTCGATAATTCCGATTCCATTACGCGTGATTTATTCCATATACGGCGTGTTTATACCGATATATTCGAAGCGTGAACGTTGGAAAATGTCCTCAATTATAAACAGCGTAAAAATTCTTGTACTCCCATAATATATAACACATTAAAGCATTAAAGTATTGTCTAAAATAAACCGTGTCCCTTATAACAGATTTAAAAAAAACTCTTACGTAAGCTAGTGTGGCGTCACGCTTGGCTCTTGATTTTATCTTATTTAAAGTACCCTCTTCGTTTAAGTATGTGGTACGGAATAGCCTATTTAAGTCAAACCGAAATGACACTGAAAGAATTTTTTACATGAAAAAAGAAAGTTTTCATTCAAGTTTTTCATGTAGAAAGATTCCATGCAAGCATGCATGTATACATCCTAAAGATTTGAAAGATATAATTTGTATACACGAAAATGCATCTTAGTTAAAATGACAGTGACCATGGTGGAATTAACTCAAAATGAATTCGATTGTCTGTAAAGGTATTTGGAACGTGAGCAAGCGGTGCTCGAGCAACATGTAATTAATGTACATACGTATTAATTATTAGTATGCGCCATAGCGCGTTAATTATGATGGTGAAGAATGGTATAGGGCGTAGCTATGGAAACGTCGGTAGAAGACCAGGTGCGAGCGCCTCAGGAACTTTCTCACACCAAACTGCTTTGTGAACTACACTAATTATAAACTTATCAAACGATATTTAATACATGTATCATAATTTTGGTCTATGTAGATGTACACCTAGTAAATATCTCAATAACACACACCGTTCGATTCGTGTAAACTTGTTAAGTTAACCCGACTGCCTGGAGCCGGAGTACAATTTGCTATTGAGCAGTCAATGAATTTTTGCATGCAGTCTTTCGCGTTCTTTGCAGTTCGCTGGCAGCGCCTAGCCAACTGTCAATCAAACACTTACTAAACGCTGATTGGCTGGAGTCGATCTCTATCGAGGCCGCTAGGCGGTCGCTTAGGAGAGCCGCATGTCTCTAACGCGCCCAGCGCCTCAACCACATATTTTCACTATATATCCGTCTCTTGTACATGGCTACTTCTGCAGTGCTAGGGGTAAATATATTTTTTTTATACTTAGTTTTATAACTTTAGAGTTAAGCGATAAATGGCTCTAGCTTTTGCTATCAAATTTTTTTATTAGTCTTAAGAAAATATAGTCTAGAGTAAAAAAATATATTATTTCGCCTTTGTAAAATTTCATATATAAGCGTTTATAAGTGTATAACAAATAATAAATTCGTTTGTTGGAATCTTGAAGTAGAAGTTAGGCGCACGCTCTTTTCCACCCCGGGTGAGAATATTCGAATGATTGGATAAAGTTAAAGGCGTAAATGATGGATGAATTATATATAGTGAAAAAGGTATAGCCATAGCCTTTTTGTGGATATACATACAGGTGCAAGCGGGTCTATTCAAAAGACTTCTATTCTTTCAACTAGTTAGAACGTCAAGTAAATGATTGATGTCGAAAACAGCGATTATATCAGTGTAGACCGAATTTTGCAATCTAAAAAAATGTGTACACTTATATAAAACGATCTTATACACGTTTCGAACACGCGTATGTGTATATATACTGATTAAGTAGTCGGCCCTTAGGCGGCACGTTCAACTTTGTCAACATACTCTACTACGCTCAAGTAGCACTTGTAGTCTCGCGCCGTTCGGTACAAAGTGATAAACCCAGATTGTATAAAACTCATATGGAAAAGAAGGAAACGTATAATCCTCCGCCAACTTCCTTTGGGAGGCATTGCAACATGCAAACTCATTAACTTTTTGCTCAGTCGGGACGCCAATAATGAGCTTACATCTGACAGTTTTCACACGACTGCAATATCGGCCGCAAATCACTGATGGACGCCATTCGGCGCCCGTATGCATCGACGAATAGGGCATGGAGACGTTTGTCGATCATGCATATACAAGTAGAACTCTATACTGCGGTTGGCCGTCTAACTCGTTTACTAGATTTTCGAGCCAATTTCTGAAATGGACATCGACTTGATGAATTAGTTGTGGCCACATTCTACAGCAGGCTGACTACCGATAAGCTGTAGATAGTAAAGATATCTAATTATACGCTAACAGCTGCGCGATTCGAATGTGCATTACGGGGAGGGTTTAATCTCTCTTTTTTCTCTCCCTCGTCTTTGTCGCACACCAGCTCTTCTCTCAGCTATAAAGTTTATGTCGTGATTATCGTCGATTGTCTCCTTTCATCGAGCTAAAGCGCGTTTATATCGATTAGCTTAAGAGAAATTTAGAACGATTTACGATTTTGATGTTTCTGAAACAGGTGCATTGAGAATTTTCTGGGTCATTGCGAGCCGCCGCCCTCCTTCTCAATTTTCACATTTTCGTTAGCATGCAATAATTATGGCGTACGTTAGTATAGTTGTGTATTGCTAGAGGAAGTATAGCTAATTAGGAAAGACGCAGGAAAATATGAGTTAATCATATCCTGTTGACGTGTGGTGTGTTTGTAGCGTTGATAGCTAATTGACTTCACCTGCGACCGATTTGTCACTTTCAGGATTCATCGGCTCTTGGCGCTCCTTTAGCAATGTTGGCAGCGCAGTGTAACAAAATAACAGCGAAAACTCCTCCACCTCTCGCAGATGCAGCTATAGGAAAGGGGTTTCACCCTTGGAAGAAATCCCCCTCTACAACTTCTTCGGGCGTACCGTCACCGCCTGCTCAACATCTTCGAACATCTCCGTCTTGTGCACAGAATAATCCTACGCCAAAGTCTACCTATCCTCCTGAATTGCTGCAGCATTGTCAATCGGACACTCTACGTGATCAGGCGTCGGCTCAACTGAGCGTTTATACGAGAACTCATCCAGCTTATGACTGTTGGGGAGCTATGAAAGATCATGGCTGTAGCACGGCTGCTACAGCAAGTTGGCCATGGGAAGTTAGTGGAACCAGCGGTACGAGCTGGTCAGCATTTGACATGCATGCGACGTCACCCCTCCAGCTACCTACTAACTATCATTCAACAACTTCTCCGGATTACTCAGCTTTGGCGCTGTCTTCCACACACGCCAGTTTATTACCAACCGGTAGTCAACATTTACTACAGGACACTTATAAGAGTATGTTGCCATCAACAACCTCTGGTCAGAGTTCGGCTGATGTCTTCCTATCCCGACCAACTCATGGTCCGTTATCAAATATGCCGTCTCCCCGTTCCCAAAGGCGTTACACAGGAAGAGCGACGTGCGATTGCCCCAACTGCCAGGAAGCGGATCGTCTAGGCCCTGCCGGCGTTCACCTGCGAAAGCGGAATATACACTCCTGCCACATTCCAGGTTGTGGAAAGGTCTATAATAAAACGTCTCATTTGAAGGCCCACTTACGATGGCATACAGGTAAGATTTCTGATAATAAAATACTCTTATTTTCCAAATTTCTTTTATTTCTGTCTTTGTGTGTAAAGTCGCAGAACGAGTATACATATTTCGCGCGCGTCTCCTACTAGCAGTGGTGCCATCTGTAGTCAATTTAAAAATAGTGATAGTGTTAGCCGATAAAATTCTGCCATTCTATTCTTTATAACTGTGTATTACTAAAATTAAAATTCTTGAGTGGTAGAAAGATATAAGAAGGGATAGTTATAGTAAAATCTCTGTATATGCAGGCGAACGTCCATTCGTATGTAACTGGTTGTTCTGCGGTAAACGCTTTACTCGCTCCGACGAATTACAACGACACTTACGGACCCATACAGGAGAGAAGAGATTTGCCTGTCCAGTATGCAACAAGCGATTCATGCGCTCCGACCATCTCTCAAAGCACGTCAAAACGCATAAAGAGGGAAAGGAAACCGCCTCAGACTCCGATTCCACACCGAATTCACCTCCTTCAAGACCTACGTCATGACCTGTACAACCTGTATAAATATAGATTTTTTTTATTGTAAATGTGATGTTGTTTTAGAATATGCATAAACAGTATATACTATCATAGTTAATAAATTCCATCCTATCGATTTGAGTAGTTGTCTTATTTTGATCTTCATTGGAGAATTATAGAATATTTGCAATGATTTTGAGTCGAAGAAGATTGAAAAACAAAATTGCAACAATCTATGGTTTAACGATGGCTGAAAGGTAGTTTTTCAAAAGATATATTGACTTAAGTCGAATGATTTGGACTCTTGAAAAGTCTATTTTATAAATGCTCTATACCTATTGTATAAATGTAACAATTCTTGGGACAATTAACTCCTTGAATTTCTGTATGATTTACAATTAACTGAACATAGTGATCTCGAAAAACTTTTCGCTAATTCTTAACGTTAAAAGCAAACATAAATGGTATAGTTTTGAAATTGATTATATAAATCGGTATATCTATCTTAACTTAAATTAACATAAATAGATTATTAATTAATTAAAAAATTTAGGAAATAAAAAAAATGCTAATTAACATACTTTGAAGTTGAACAAGCTAATAAAGTATTGTTCTTCAAAGTTCAACAACAATAGGAACTCTGTAAAGTACCGAAAGTTTAAGCAATTATTATAAGAAAGGATAATTATTTTCAGTCAAATTTTTCAATAGGACTTTGTGAATGAAGTATTCTAATCCCAGGAATTATTCAAATGGTGTCAAATTGCAAGCCTGTGACTTCAAGCTTGTAGAATACGTCATATCCTTTTGCCATGAAAGAAGATATTTTGAGTAGAACGCCATCTGTAAGAGAAAACTATGATAAACAATCTTTTCTGGTACAATTTTTATAAAACTACCTTTTTTATTTTAAGCTAATAAAACATTTTCATGTAATTTTTATATTATGGAATAAATATTTTGTAATTCATTTGCTAAAACACGAGGTAGGATACATTAGTTTAGTGCTCTGATATATCTAACAAGAAAAATATGAATTTAGTTTATTAAGCATTAACAGGAAAAGCGGTCTGAACTGTGGAAAAATTTATTTACTCGACTAGTTTCGGATTGTCCACGAGATGACGTCACTTTAATAGTTACTGTTTCTGCTGAAAGATGGCGTTTGTATAGAAATCAGTATTAAATCAAGAGCTTAAAAGATAGAAATTTTATTAGACTGAGCTATCAATAGTTATTATTCACTTATTAAAAATTTTTGTTAAATGATAATAAATCTTAGCCCAATGTTATTTCTTTTTAAGGGGAAAAATTTTGTTTTTGTAGTTTGCCTACAAATACAGTTTTATCTTGTGAAGAGCATATATTTGTCACTTCTTACCGTCGTGTAAATTATTTAACATTTTGGTTTTTGAAAGAAAATTTTTACCAATTATCCTGAATTATCTTTTCTTCGAGGGCAGCGGTAGATATTTTTGCTCTCTCATTTACGGAATGGGTTAAGTACTCATCGAACTGCATTCCAGAGCAGCCCTGTTTTCCCGCTAAATACTGCATTCTTTTTTAGTAATTTAGTGCAATTAATTATTATTGACCCACATTGGCTAGAACATATTTCTCTCTGTGTTTTCATTGTTAATATCTCAGAGCTCTAGGGAACTTTTGTATAACTTCAATGGAGAGTAGTAATATATACCAACTTGCAGAATGCATCATGTATATCTGTTTGTACGCGGACGGAACGTGTTTTTTCAAAGATTTTTCTTATGCACAAGTATAACTTATCCTATGTTTATAAACCTTTGAATATGTTCATTTTCGGCTTCCAGTTTCACTTCCTCTAAATTCTTTTTCAAATAATGCTATTTTGCAGTATGAGAGGTAAAATTTATTCATGAAGAAACTAAAAGAGTACACATCAGTTTCTAAGATCTAATATTAAATAATAATTACTCTTAGCGATTTGTTTAAAATTGATACACACAATATTCTCGTCTTCATGTTTTACTCGTATCTTACTTCCAAAAAATTCATTCTTAAGGGAGATCTTCATCCAAGAGTAGTTAGTTTCCTCGGACCGCAAATGCATTAGAAGATAGAAGCCATCTTGCAATCATTTCTGGTCTTTAAAACTTTTGACCTGTTAAAACAGTTGTTAGATATCATTAAACATACAATAATAATAAAAATTGTGATTTTCCCCTGAAATCCAGTTGGATATTCCATACAACTTTCATCTTAATACAAAAAGATAACTCAAGAAAATAATAAATATCACAGACTTAATAAAATCTTCTATTGTTCTTTTATTTAAGAAACCGATCGGATTTTTTTTATTTTATACACTTGTGTGCTTAATAAACAAAAACAATGATTTGGCAAGAAATAGGATTTACCGACGTTCTAAAGTTCTCTTGAGAATTTGTACCTCTTTTGTGCCAACAGATGGCTGTACGAGTGCTTTGAATTTTAAGCAACAACTTTTAAGTAATTTTTACATTGATGTTTAAACTTGACCAGTATTCTTCTTTAGATATGCGCATTTTGTTCAGCATTCTATTCAGCATTTACGATGAAAATAGTCTTCCTTTTATTGTTTTGTGTGATAGTTAAAAGCATTTAAAGTTATAGCTGTAGCTTTTGATGGGAGAACAATAGTTAAAAAATATCTTAGATAGATACATTTGCCTATTTTGCTTTACAAAAAGGATTATTATTTTACGAATAGCTTATTCAAATAGCTAAAGAGTTATGATATCTATTGGTAGCACAGTTTTATTTTATGGAATACATAAACCTATTCTCCCCAGGAAGTAGTTTTAAGTACATTTCATAAACCTTCAATCTATAATTGTTTGATTTAATTATAAAATCTTTTCTCATGTAACACCAAAGAATACATTTTACGATACAAAGTGTCCTAGTTTTTCTGGAATTTCAGGGTCTATTTCTGGTTCTACTGTCTCGGTGACTATAAATTCAAAACAAAATAAACATGCTTGTGACATTTGACATGTTCCGTACGTATATACAAGTTATAGACTTGGTATACTGTATGTTGTGTAAGAGTCGTATGAATACAAGTATCTAGAACTATCTAATTTTCCATAATATTACTAACTTGATTATCCTAGAACCTACACATTTTGAATAATCAAAAAAAAACATTCGTAATAATTCTGGAGAATGCTTCTGAAAAAAAAAGAAAAAAGTACTCAATAGCGTGGCCATTAACGGAACCATTAGAGAGAGAAGATTCGTCTGTGCGAATAGCTGAGAGAGAACCGTTTGCTTTTCTGTAAATAAACAATCAACGCAGTCTGATTTAGGCCTATATACCACGCTCAATCTCATGATTTGGTCCTATATACGATTATTTAGTGTCCTTAAACATATTTAAGTTATTGCTCAGTACTCTTTTTAATATTATACAGGTTGATGAGCAAAATTTATAGAATAAATTTCGCAGTATTTTTGTTTGGCATATAATGTTTTCACTTGTCAAAAAAATTTAAATTCAATATATGAATTCCTCTCTCTTTCCTATACCAGTTTAATGAAAGACAACTTTGATAATGACCACCAATGGAGCTACAAGAACACACGTGGCTAGTGGACAGCGGTCAAGAGGCTGTAAGTGTTTACGTTATATCAAGTGACGGCCGGTCTGACATTAGCGCCGTTTTCTGAACCATTTACGATTGCAGGCGATTGTGTAAGGTGCCTCGAGCTTGTGTGCACTGTTGATGCAGCTGTGCGAAGTCTGCGTCAACCAAACTTGATTTCTAATGAATTCGAAATATCTAAGATGCTCAACGTAATTTTCAATTTTTTTCATTTGAGAGATCAATTTATAATTTTTTTAATAAATGAAGCAACGCGCCAAAAGTTGCATGTTAAAAAACAGCGTAAGCGATAAAAGCAACAAACTATGCCGTGATAAATGACAAAAGAATCGGTTGAAGGAAGATAAGCGAGAATTTGATGCTGGGGCAACATATCATCACTCAACTAGACACAGCGCAGGAACCAGGAAGAGATAAACCGACTTGCGCGCAGTCCGTATACGTTTTCATCAAGAAGCTTCTCTACTGCTTGTTAATTTTGAAATTTCCATTAAAAAAATTTATGCATATTGTATTGGTATAATATTCTTGTTAAGAGTAATTATTAGTATCCCTCTCCCAGTATGTGTGTTTTCTCAAGATTTAATCGTTTAGTGTATTAAAGTGCGCAAAGCAACTTTCCCCAACCTTTGAAAACTGTACAGGTGGCGAATAGATGAAAGGATTAAGAAATGAGTGCGTTATCAACTTAAAGACGACCAGAAGCTCTCTTGAGGCGCGTGCCTGCTTATGCGTTTACGGCACAGAATCTGAGAAAACAAATCAAACTACTTGTATAATTTTCCCTGTAGAATATATTAACTATAAAAAATGTTAAGTTTTCGGCAGCTAAGGGTGGTAAAATAAATTTTCCAGTTGGTTGGACTGCAAGCGACCGAGCCAAAACGTTTTAACATCCGATATCAAATGTGATGACACCCCCGAATTTTTTATTTTGGACTCGCCCTACAAACTAGTAGCTGGTTGGTTAAAAGTTGGCCTCATTTAAATAGCAACTGAACGAATGCGCTACAAACTACAAAATGGAATATTCTACTTCACAAGTCAACTCTCGGGCGTTTACCGCAAATTCTAGCTACGGAAATTTAGCCTACGCAACACTGAATGGTTACACAGAACCTTCAATTGGTTCTAATTTAGAGGAGTCCGCAAAAGCTAGAAGAAAAGACGAAAGTACCATGGATGATAGCGGAGTAGACGATTCCAGTCCGCACAAAAATTCCTCTCCGGAAACTAAGGAAGATTTAGATAAGGAAAAGAAATGTAGAAGATCTGAGAAACCACCTTATTCGTATATTGCTCTTATTGTTATGGCAATACAAGCGTCTCCGAGTAAAAGGTGTACTTTAAGCGAAATTTATCAATTTTTGCAGTCTCGATTTTCATTCTTTCGGGGACAGTACCAGGGTTGGAAGAACTCGGTCCGTCATAATTTGTCATTGAACGAATGTTTCATAAAATTACCTAAAGGCCTCGGTAGACCAGGCAAAGGCCACTACTGGACAATCGACCCAACCGCTGAATTTATGTTTGAGGAGGGTTCTTTCAGAAGAAGACCCCGTGGTTTTCGCAGAAAGTGTCAAAGCGCTCTTAAGCCCTTTGGAATGCTAGCTGCACCTCCTCCTGCCCCACATTCCAGCACGACGAATTTGGCGCCGACGATGCTCACCTCCTATGATATGATGACTCAACAGACCGCTCATGCTGTAAATCCCTATGACTACAATTATCATCATCATCAGGCGACTTCTGGGTTACCTCCAATATCGTCTGACTACAATTCGTCGTCATGTGCGATTGACAGAAATAGTTGGATGAAGGCGTATGTTAAGCAGGAGGGAGAATATGGAAATATAAGTGAAGGCGACCATTTTGCTGCCGGTGAGTGCTTTGAATTTAAAAATATAAGAGTGCAAGGAGGCCTACACCTGCCGACATATAGCTGTTATAATGAAAACACGCACAACGCGTTATCGCGGTCAGCTGTCGAGTGGCTCGTTGCTCGCTAATTGGATGGAAATAAATCGTTTTGAAAAAAAAACGAAAAATAACATCTATAAGATTATTATAAATTATTATGTCAATATCTAAATTTTTTTATTGAGGTCAAGCGAAAACATGGTGAGCGACTAATATCACAAAAAATTATCTTAAAAGAAGCGTATAATAAATCTTTCTGTATAAAAATGATGTAGCAATGAAATATTAAAGATATAATATATGGTTGAAAATATAAATAGCGCATAAGAAGAAAATCATCGTAGATTAGGAAAGAAAGTTTGGGTGTATATTTATTTGTATACGGAGTTTGTATTTAAGTTATATGACAGCGTTTAGAAATTTCTATGCGTGAAAGCACGAGAGCGATAGAGACGAATCTTAGATAGGCACAAATTTAGAGAAAAAGAATGAAAGAAGGCAAAAATGAGAGAGAGAGAACGAAGGATTGTATAGACAAAATGAATAAGGATGCCAAAGGAAAAATGTAGGCGATGATGCCTGTACACCTTATCTAGTCATCTCGAGTTGCCAACTGGCATGCTATATGTAAAAAGAAAGAAAAAGAGGGAGAGAACAGCGAATACAATGGACCTTTTATAAAGGAATCTCCTAGCTGTTCTCTTCGCTTCTATTAGAGCCTCCGGAAAAAGTTTGTCAAGCGTTTGTTTACGTTGTATAGCAGAGAAAAGCGGCCAAACAACGACAGCGCTCCGCTTTCGCGGCGCAAACGAAGGTAATTTTCAGAAAGTGTTTGCCGCTATGCTAAAAATGACAAGACAAGTAATATATATCCGCGTATAGGACTGTAGCAGTCGGTTGGCTGTCGTTTGTTTGGTATTCAATTTCTCGCGCCTGTTAGTAGGTAGGCCTATTAATACTGTGTGGGAAGATTTGCGTTTGGCGCCAATGACGTAACTTGTAGCATGCGTGCAGTTTGCCAAGTTAACGAGTATGTAATTTGCAGCAGCGGCAGCAGCAGCTAACAACGGCAGATTTTACACCGATTATGACCGCAATACCGCAACGACAACAACAACAGCAAACAGCAGGTACCATCTCTCAGCTCCGCCTCCTACCGCATCCTCATCATCCTTGTACTACTATGGTTCAGATAAAGCTGGTATGGCTACCGCCGCAGGCATAGTATGACAGCAGTATTCACGTAACCGCATCTTTGACAAACTACAAACGCCGGTCGCTCTCTAACGCGTACAAGACCACCCATAATATATTTTTTTGTATATATTTATAAGAAGAAAAAACGTTTTCCTGCTCGTGTTCGAAATACAAAAAATCTCGTTTGCTTTAATTCTCAAATTATATTTTACGTGCGGATATATATATACCTACATCTCCCAGCAGAATTAGATGAAAAGCAAACTGGACAGTTAGACGTAAATATTGACGAGGAAAGAATGTGCCAGTGCATGCATGGCGGTGAGAATTTCTCAAAACACCTTGTTTAAAAATGAAACGTCTGCAGGCCAGTGGACGTTAGGACACTCTTATCTTCATCAAGATCAAAGGCAGGGACGGTGTTGATGAATTCATTAGACGAGCAAAATCGGACATTTTGCATCTGGCACAGACATTAGGCGAATGCTGCAAGTCGGCTTTGGCAAGTACGCGTGACCACCAAACGCAACCACATTGCGCCAAACGTGTCTAACTTGGCTGCCTGCGAGCCGTTTTCTTCGTCCGACTTGTCTGTCTAACGCACATTTTTATCGCTCTGGTCCTAAGTAACAAAGATTTCTTTCACCTTATTAAATTATATTGTATTAATTACACAGAATCTGAGTGAATAGATCAAAAAATATACTACTAATGTACTAAAAATTTGAGCTGAGAGTAGCTGCTAAACGTCCAAAAATTTCACTTGTGGTCCTTCGATGAAAGTATATCAAAACTGTAATCAATTATTAAGTTTGATATCTTCAGTAAATCCGTAAAAAAATTCAGAATAGCTTAAAACAATCGTACTAGAGAGGGCGCAGATATCACACACAGCGACATCTATTGATTGTAAAAAACCCGAAGAATACATTTTTGCTTTTATAAGTTATACTCTCATCTAAGATTATAGTTCAAACAAATCTTCATTACGGAATTATTTGGAACCTTCGATACGGGCTGAAGAATCAATAAACTTCTTGTTTATGAAAAAATGAAAACATTTGGCTGGAAATTATGATTTCGCTCTTAACAATAATACTTTTGTATAATATGATAATCCTGATGATTTATTTTAAATAGAAAAATTGGTATTTACTTTCGATTTCATATCCTATTATATCTTTATTGTTTTTCAATAAAAAATGTATGCAATAAAATATTTTTTAAAGTTTTTTGAAAAATGCGCCTTTTTGATATGTAATGAAATCATGTTCGTAAATTTTATAATTTAGTATGCGTCCTGTACCAACTCTTTTGTGACGAAAGAAAGGAAAGCAATTGTGAAGAGGAAGTGGTAACCCATTCATGACTGCGCATGCGTAAAAGAGCGCTTCTGTGAAGAAAACTTAAGGTTTTGGCTTTTCTATGAATTTATTTAAAATCCACTACTAAATTGCTGACAGCAACATAAATGGCAAAGGATTATTTCTGAATTCATCTGTTGAACAAAAGTTACATTTATATCTGGATGCATTTAAAAGCCATCTTAATGAAGATCACTGACTGATGAATCTGGCAGGTTGATGTTTTTCTAAAACAAGCGACTCTCATTCTTCTATAGAAATGACTAGCAATGATCTCTTTCCGTTAAATCGGGCTCAAGATAATAGAATAGTAGAATCAGACGAGAATTTTTCTAACCTGGATTGGAATGATTCGGCCATAAAAAAAATAATACCTGTACATGGGAGCACAAAATATCTACATACAGATCGCAGACGAACTTGGTCTCCATATTCTTTAGAACAAGCAATTGATAATGCTGAAAGTAACTTAAATTATATGAAATACTTCAGGAGTGATGATAACATAGATAAGGTACCCAGAAATCCTCCTGTAATAACTCCGGTTTCTGGAAGACTTAATGCGGTTTGTTAGATATTAATTACTTTGAATTTAGCTAAAACAGTTTTTGATAGGATGCAGAAAACATTTCAAGTATTATACGGCCCATTGCCTTTAAACCAGTTGTTTTGAGCCCAACGCGTCGGTTTACATCGTCTTTACAAAGAGCAGAAACAGCAACAAGTAAGTATTATATATTAATCTTTAAATATAAAAATAAATAAATTTTACTTTTGCAAGGCTTCGGAACCCACTCGCCAAGTGATAGTGGAGTTGCAGCTGATTTTGAAAATTTGCTTCGAGAGAGAGAGAACGAAATAATACAATTAAGAAAGACAATGGCTCTGAATGAAACTGCTATCTTAAAAGTTTATGAGGAAAAGAGTGAACATTGGCAAAAACGTTTGGAAGGTGAAAGGAGTGAGTGGCAATCTCGTTTAAGAGATATAAGCAAGCGCGCCAGAAAAATTGAAGAAAATTTGACTCTGCAAATAGCTTGTTTAAAAGAATCAAATATCAACTTATTAGCAGAGAATCGGCAATTGAAAAATGCTGTACGAAATTTACAAGCGAAACTTGACTGTAATAATTGTGATATACTCCAATTGCAGCAGGACTTTGACATTCAACGAAATTATTATCCAAATTTCAATAAATCTGGTGTGGATTTTCAATGTCAAGTAAACCTGGAAGAAGAAAATTTTGGTATATTGAAGCAGGAATTTGAAAAAGTGAAAGATATTTTTGAGCGTGAAAAACACCAGTGGATTGCTGAAAAGCGTCAAGTGGTGAGATATCACAAATGCTTGGAAATGAACTACAAACAAATTCAAAAAAAGAACGAAGAACTCACTGAAGAATTGGCTCAACTTGCGGTTGAATTGGAAAATCGAGATCTTCAACTTTTGGAAAATACTGTATAATTTAAATGCTGTCCTTTTTCTAAACTATATTTGATTTTATTTACATTTAAACTTTTATATATGCATATAGGTGCTGCAATAATCAGCTGCTAACAACACGTACGTTCAGTATTATATTTGACTTAAACGGCTTATAGTGTAGTTCTTTGTCTTGCGAAATATAATTTTTGCACTGACGAAAGTGAATATGTCTCTTTTGATTAGGAATAAACCTCATTCAAACGGTTGTAATTAAATCTATCTTATTTTAACGCAACAAATACTCAAAACTACAAAGTGACAAGTGCTTTATTTTAGTTGCGACTAATTTGAAAATAATTCTTTTAAGATGTTTTGATAACGTCGTCCAAAATGTATTAATACAAAATATTTAGTGTGAATCTTGAAAACCAACATTATAATAAAGGAAGGTCGCGGTTTGTTGATTATCTAAAGGTCTGTGGAATATTCTTATATCGATTAATAAAAGAATGAATTTGAATACAATTGTCGCTATTTTTAGGGGGGTATAAATACAGTGAGCGAAAAATTCGCACTTAGAAGAGGGATCGTAGAATAGTTGACGAATCAATTTTAACGGATATGAAATATTCTTCAAGCTAGCTGTGTTATAAGGAAATTAAAAGAATAGAGACTTATACTTTAAATCATTTATGATAGCTGATTTATAATGATGATAACTTGCTCCACGTTTATCTTGAGTTTATTCGTTATTTACAGTCCAGTCAATACAGATTCAAATTTGGATCCTTTAATTTTTGACACCAATGATGGCTTTTTAGACTTGGCTGACAATGGATCCGGAGAAACAACTGCAGGTTTTTACTTAAATCATTAAGAATTACTCCTTAAAACATTTTTTTAAAGCACCCACTACGGCAATTCCTATTCAGAATTGTAATGGAGTTAACTGCCAGGTTTGACCAATTATAAACAGAGAAAAAAATTTTCATATATATTTATTTTAGTATGGGGGTACTTGTATCCCTACCAGTGACGGATATGAGTGTAAATGTATAGACGGCTTCAGAGGGGCCAATTGTTCTAAAAGTGAGAACCTATCTTTAAATTAGTACTGAATAATTCAAATTATTCCACTCTAGTTCTTGTTCCTGAAATATTCCCATATGGACCAGCTGAGACACAGGACTTAGTTTTTAATTCTCAGGATGACTACTCATCTGATAGAATCCGTATCAAGCATGGCTTCATGTTTAACTGTAAAATTTACAGAAAATTTTACGTAAACTTTATACCAATTTGATGAATAACAATATATATGTGAGTATTTCAATGAAACAGATAAACTCAAATGGATATATCACCTTCAAGAATAACTTTCAATCACCCTATCCCGTTAAATTTCCAATGAAATTATCTGGTTACTTATCTAAAGTACCTATTATAGCACCGTTTTGGGCTGATTCGGAAGGACGAAATGATAATGATAAGAACCTTGTTTATTATTCTGTATATCAGCAAGATGATCCGTATTTTTTCGAAGGTTCTGAATTAACAACTAAAGTTATTAACATGGTAAAACATGATATAAAAACAACGGTGTCTAATCAAGGAGACTTTATACCATCGCTAGTGACTGTTATAACTTGGAAAAATTTGGTAAAATGGCCATATGAAGAAAATATTCCGAAAAATGAATTCAACACTTTTCAACTTGTACTGACAACTGATCAGAGAACTTATAGATCTTATATTATTCTAGTCTACGGTAATAATACATGGACGCCATATCCAGCATACTCAATTGGCTATCAGGCTCCGCCTGTTGATGGAAATTATGGTTTTTTTAACCATTACGCTTCTGGGAAAGGTGTTGAAACTAATGAAGAAGCTTTCAATTTGAAGAATACTTATGGCAATACGAGTAAGTCTTGCAGTTTATTTTATTTAAATTATGATATTAAAATATTTTGGTTACAAAGACTTGGCTGGAAAATTTATTTATAAAGTAAGTGACACAAATTGTGAACGAGAGTTACCTGAATATCGTTGCCGGAAATTTTTGGCTGAGTCAATCTTATATGATGATGAACTTCGGGACGCAGATTTAACGATCCCTTCGTGTCCTTGTCACGGGTATGTTTCTATGATATATGATATATTGCTAATAGCAGATCACATATTTCTCCAATTTCAGGTTTATTGCTTTTTTAGATTTTAGATTTGTAATTGATGCAACAACATCAAAACCAGGAAGGACAATCTGTTTTTATTCTATTATGCCACCCTTCTTTCCTGGTCCAAAATATTTTACTGCACCAAGTAGGCAATGTTGCTATGATATTTTTCGGGGAGGATTTTTGATGACTGGGAAAAAATATGATGATGGTTCTCTGTGGGCTTTTAACCCAATTTTCTATCCTGCGTGGCATGAAGAAGTTGATCTACAGCCGAAAATAGATTGCTGTCTTTCTGTATGTAAAAGTAATATTTATATGTAAAAGGTACTTAAAATTTTTATACAGGAAACGATGTGTTCAAAATTCTATAAAAAAAGGAAAAGAAGCACATGCCAGGGATATATATTTCCTAGGTTAACATGGGCTATGGGTGATCCACATATAAGAACAGCAGATGGGAAGCAGTATGTTTTTAACGGTTTTGGAGAATTTTGGATGATAAAATCTACAAAATTCAAACTTCAATTTCGAACTGCTAAAGCATTAAATCAGAAGAATGAACCGACGGATGCAACTATATTTTCAGGTGTTGCTGGAGAATACCATGATGATGCAAGAATAACAGTTAAATTAGATGATTTACGAGAGAGTAAAAAATTTTAACTTTAGTCTGCATAAAAACTCATTTTTAAATTCCGCAGATTTATTAATTTACATTAATGATGCTACCGATGCTGTTTCTTCCTGGTGGAACGATCCTTTAAAAACTGGACTTTATTCAGACAACGGTTTAACATTAAGTAAGAGTAACAGTTCTCTGCAAGTCGTCTTTCGAAACCGTAAATATTATAATAGAATAAAATATTTCAACATTGTAACTTTGAAATTTTTCAGAGATCTCTCTTTCTTTAGAGGCAAAAGTTCAGCAATTAGACATAAGGATAGCTTTACCTGAAGAATTAAAGAAAGAATCAGTCTCTGGTTTAATAGGTACATTTAATGGAAATATGTCAGATGATTTTGTTCAACCTGATGGAACAATTCTCAGCGAAAACTCAACTGAAAGGGAGCTTTTTACATATGGAAAACTGTGGCGCACAACGGCCCAAGACAGTGTATTTTTTTACAACACGTCAATTTTGGAGAGTCATTCATCAGTTAATCAAGAAATTGACACGTTTGAACCTCTTTTCTTCGATGAAGAGTTTGCAAAGATGAATGCAACTGAAAGGGATGCGTTGAATCAGTTTTGCGGCGATAGCTATATTTGTAAAGTCGATTATGCCATAACAAAGAATAAAGAATTGGCAAACAACACAAAAAATTATAATGACGAGAAAACTGATGAAGAAAAGAAAGTTTCTAATACTCCACCAGCTTTTGACGTTGATACTATTACCACTCTTAAAGTTGAAGTTAATAATTCCTATCAGTTTACTCTGAATGCTTCAGATTCAGACAATCAAACTATTGTATTTAGGAGTTTGAATTCCTTACCCGATGGTTCCTTATTTGATAATGTAACAGGGATTTTTAGATGGACTGTCATATCAGACATGTATGATAGTTTCTTAAGTTTTGTGGCCGTAGATAGTGAAGGATTAGCATCATCAGAACTGGTAATAGATATTCAGCTATGTAACTGTTCAGGTAATGGTAAATGTGATTGGGATGAACCTAGAGAGGCTTACAATGATACTGACTCTTTCTTAATTGTTGAGTGCATATGTGATAGGGAATATGAAGGAGAGAGTTGTCAAGATGATTATGATGGTTGTCAGAACGCGCCATGTCTTCAACTTCAGGTTAACTAAGCATTGTTTATTATTAACGCTGACTTAAAGACTGCTGATGTTTTTCAGAACTGTACAGACTTAAGTGCTGATGAGCACAAACTTTATAAGGTTGGGTATAACTGTTCATCATGTCCACCTGGTTATACTGATTTTAAGAGTAATACATCTAATGTGGAAAAGCAAGCAAAGTGTCAAGGTGAGAAAAACATGATAATATAAAACCAGATATTACATCTATTGTCAAATTATTAGGCTGGCGGGTTTAAGTACAATTAGCATCTCTGATAAAAGTGTTAATATTTAGGCGTAATACATGACGTGATTGTGCTCAAAGTATAGTTTAGTTTACAAAAGTTTTCATAAAAAATCATAAAATTTTGATTATAAATTCATATACTTTTCAGATTTAAATGAATGTGCGTCTCCTAATACCAACGATTGCAAAAGTCCAGCTGTATGTAACAATATAGTTGGCGGATATACCTGCAACTGTCCTTCTGGCTACGAGAAAAATGGTTCTTATGCTTGCAAAGATTTGGACGAATGTGCCTTGAACATTGATAAATGTCAACAAAAGTGCACGAACAATATAGGATCTTTTGCATGTTCCTGTGAAAATGGATATGTGCTTGACTCAGATCGCCATAATTGCACTATTATGTCAAGTAACAAAGATTCGTGTGATTTGATGGGGTGTTCTCACATTTGCAAATTTAACCCAAATGAGTGTGATTGTCCAAATGGTTTTATTTTGGAAAGTAACAGAAAAACTTGCAAAAGTAGGTTTTCATTATAGATTTTGCTCTAGTATATACTGATTTTCTTTTCAGATATCGATGAATGTTCTACTAATACTCATTCATGCAGTCCCAAAGAAAATTCAACTTGCTTAGACACAGATGGTTCATATGTCTGTTCTTGCGATGCAGGATTTATTTTACTTGAGGACAAGCGTACCTGTCAGAAGTGTCCGATAGGGAAGTGGGGAAAAGATTGTTTGAATTCTTGTAAATGTTTGTCAGCTGATGATTGTGATGCAAAAACTGGATGTATCCAATGTCCCGCTGGTTATCAAGGTGGTTCTTGTGAACAAGATATAAATGAATGTTTAGATAACAATCTCTGTCAACCTTTTGGTGAATGTAAAAATGAACAGGGAAGGTTAATAGAAAAGTTTATTTTACTTTTCTCATAGTTTTAAATTTCTTTTCGACTTCAGGTACACTTGTGTATGTGAAGCCGGCTACGAATTTGCCAATGGAAACTGTACCGAAATAAATGAATGCTCTCATTATCCAATACTACATGGAGGAGATTCTGCTTGCCGTAATGGAGGTATTTGCACCGACAAAGTCAACGGATTTTTTTGCAATTGTACATCAGGTTTTAATGGTTCTCGTTGTGAAAGCGACATGTCTGTTTGTACCCCAACGCTCTGCAAGAACAATGGAAAATGCACTGAGTTGACAGGACTGAATTACAAATGCACTTGCAGTTATGCCTATTCTGGAGTCCATTGTGACGTTTTTAATGGAATACGAAGAATTGGTTCAAAAATCGTTATAACAAACAGGGCATGGACTTCTGAGTATGCAGACACAATGTCCTCTAAATACAAAAATATAACAGAGGAGATAGATGAAGCCGTATGTCTCATGTATTCTTTTTGAAATAATAACTACTTTAATGCTTTTTAGCTGGTGAATCTCATATCAAAGACTTCTCTTAGTCCATTCTTATTAAGAGTCAACGACTATCAATTAACGTAAGACTTAGAAAATTCATCATTAATTATTTAATTATAACAATAACCTATAAACAGAGACCAATCCAACAATATAAACGTTCAATTTAACATGTATACAAATTCAACTGAAGCTGTAGACTTTAGAGCTCTGGGTTTGGAATTCCATACAATCTTTATTATAAAATCAGGTGAAAGATGGATAAACGATCTCATAGTGGATCCTTCAACTTTAAGTGTTGGACTTAATACTGATCAAGTGTACAATACAAAACTGATTACTGTAGATTGTAGCTTGGGTACTAGGGATTGGAAATTTTCAAATTTGGATAAAGCCAACATTACGTCAGAAACGAAAAAAGCCGTAAAAATCAAAATAAGAATTTTCTGTGCAACATAATTAAATTTCAAAATTTTCCAGCTCGACGCATTTTACGAAAATTCCGCGATTGCCAAAAACTTCTATAAATTGACCAATTTCAAGTTTGAGTAAGTATTTGCCAAGATAATACGCCATCTACCGCTTTATATATGACACAATTAACTTTTTAAGGGATGATTTTGGTAGTATTCTCGTTAAATATCAGACTTTAGTAATTGAAAATCTCGGTAATGAAAAAGAAATTGTCAAAGAGCTGTTTAATAAATTGACTGAGCCTCCTGAAAGAAGGCTGGATGGTTTATCAATTGATATCAGCGGAATTAAGTACGGCAGTGAAAAGCTTACAATTTATAGTATTCCAGCAAAAATTAATATACTTAATTGGGATTTTGAAGATGATCTGATGAATAACAAGAGTTCCAAATATACTGAACTTTTAATAGACACTATATCTGCTCTTAATAACTTTTACAGCATTCAGAGTATCAGCAAATCAGAATTCATAAAAGTATCCGACATAACATTTAGGTAACAAAACTATATTTATCACTATTTCATATAGATACATGACATTTTTATCCAAAACAGTAAATTCACTGAAACTCCAGACATAGTCAATAAAGTCGAATGCAAATATACAATTTTGTCTTTGAAGCAGTTTACTGACTCAGAAATGAAAGATTTAATTACAAAGATGATTGAATCACTAGATAAACGTAACCAAACGAGATGGCTCCAAAACTTACAACTTGATGCCACAAAACTGAATATAGATTCGGAGTCCACTCTTCCGCTTGACTATCCAGCTACTATTCGCATTCTGAATTATAAATATGAAGATGTTGTATCTACACCTTCAATAAAGGAAAATTTGACACTAGAAGCAACAGATGCGGTTCGACAATTTTATTAATATTTACATTTTTAAAATATGGTTTCTCCAACAGCTTACTCAATTCTTCATATCATCAACTCTAAACAAGTACTTTGTAAAAGTTCATAATATAGAATTTTCGTGAGTTGAATGCAATTGATATAGCTATTTAACATTGAAGTTAAATTTACTTTTAATCTTAGCGCTGGATCAGTCGTTGTTAATTATGACATAAGACTTTTGCTGCCTACTACAAATGATAGTATGAGAGCTACCGAGGTTGAGATGAAAAATGCACTGCGTAATGATTCGCAAGGATTATTTTTGAAAAATCTTATGATTGATGAAAGGATGATACTGATTGGCAGAACACCTGAAAAACCTCCTACTGAAACCTCCGGGTCTGACAACTGGAAGGTTATACTGGCTAGTGTTATGTCTGTTGTTGGTGTTATTTTAATAGTTCTGTTGGTCCTCTTGTTGTGCTATGTTTGTGGATGCTATAGAAAGTCGACGGCAGGATCTTCAGAAGATAGCTGGTCCGACAACCAGAGCTTTAGACCGTTTACTAGCGCCGCCTATGACAAAAAACGACATTGGCAGGATGCTCCTACTTTGAGCTCGGCAAGCAGCATATCAGTTACCGGGGGTATAATTCCACATTCAGAGGAACAGAGAAATGAAACATCTGCAGTTGACTGGAGCGTATTAAGGGGATTTATGAAAAGAGAAAACAAAGATACTGGCCTGCATAGAGATGCTCCATCTAATACTTGGGTAAAGTTACTTTAAGTTAATGGAAATTTTAATCTTACATGTATATTTTGAACGTATATATTTCAGCTTTGGGAGCCGAAGCAGTAATCTCTTCAGTGTATTATTTAAAGACGTCGAAAATGAAAAATCTTGTAAAACAAAATAAACTACGCGTTCACAATTGCTAAACCATAATTTAAAAAATGCTATTTCGAAAACAGAAATATAAATAAACCTATAGCACACTTTCTATAACCTTTCTGCTAATCTTTCTGTAATAAGATACTATGGTAATTGAAAATACAAGCAAATTAAAGTGCAATAAAACCAAGATTTATCAATATTACAGTTTATTAAACCCAAAATTCATTTATTTGGATTCAGTTGGTTTAAAATCTAATTAGAGCTTTAAACATCATAATTCAAACTCTGAAATGATTCTATAGGAATTATTGTAATTTTATACATATTCTATTACATTTAAAATCATGCATAATTTTCTCATATCGTAATAGGCTATATTTTATATTTAAAAGAACAATAAAATGGCAATTTTTTTTGAATGATTTTCAGTCCACTTTGCAGATGTTAATTTTGTCGCAGTATATGATGTTATAATAAGAGTTTTTTAAAAGTAACTTTCAAAGACTTCAAAATTCTCTCCGACTAAGGGGGCAGAAATGTTCTTTCATAAAATATTAAATAATGAAATTCCGTTTTCAAATAAATATTTAAAGTTTTCGGACCCGCCAATTTTGATACAGGCCCATTATAAACGAATGCATAGAAACAACAGCACTGAAACTGAGTAAACATCGCAATTAAAAACACAAAAAGCCCATAAGAATCGGATTGTCTTTGATGTCGGCCGACAACGTATAGTATCGAATAGCGAGCAAATACGCTTCTATAAGGGTACAGAGCCTTCTTATGACGTTTTATGGCGGCAATAATTCCTTATATGAAGGGCTTGCGAGCTTTTGTATGACGGCTTATAAAAGTTTTCGCGCCTTTAATACGCCTACCTCATTATGACTATTCTTTAACTGTTCTTATGGTTGTATTTTAAAAAATTACCTCGGCCCACAGACAAATGGTTGAAGAAGAGTGTGCACATAGATGTATTGAAAGTGTATAAACTACTCAAACTAGATGCTCATGAATTTTTTAGACACGCAATGAAAGAGCGCGCGCTTGGGCTTCATAGAAAAGTGTCCTGGGCGGAAGATAATGGCAACTTCTTTCCTATGGGTACTCTTTTCACACGTCATTCTAATTTACGATTATATAGGCCTATAATTAAAGATTCTGAAGAAAGCTAATTATTCTAAACTATACATCATATATTTCAGCTTTTAACTACAGAACAACTTTCATTTGATTGAGGCGAAATGAGATATGCCATTCAAAAAGTATTTTTCATGAAAAAATATTGACAAAAGAAATTTTTTCTATGTAATTGGATCGAGCGTTACATAATTCACAGAGCTTATTTAGAGCGAGGAAAGCTGTAGTCTCTAATTCTAGTTGTAACAAAGCAAGTATGATTATCAATCATTTGCTATTGTGATCAGTTTGTGATCCATGACTGCCTTTTCTCTTTGCCACTTTGTGCGTATGTAATGAATATAAATATAAATTGAAAGCTACTTTACAAGTATATTAAGGGCTTATACAGTGCTCCATTTAACGAAGAATTAATTTCTCACTTCCCGCCGACGTTTTGTCCGCACATTGAAGTGATCTAGGAGCTATATAACTAACTGAATGTCAGGGAAGATTAGGTTTGACGAGTTGTTATCGAAATTATATCAAAACGTAAATCTTTTCATAAAAAATATGTAAGCCTCACATTAATATATCATTAACATACACGAAAGGTTCGTATCAATCAATTAATCGATATACAATAACGACATCCATTACATCATTCAAAAATTAATTTGTACAGGTAAATATCCTCTAACGATTCATTATTGAGCATAATTTGAATGCGATATGGCCAGTTGATGGGAAAATAGCGTGCCAATTATTTATAGCACTCTTTTTTATCTAATTGTGCGTGCATACGCTGTATACTGTATATAGTATGTATAGGATATATATATATATATATATATAAATATATATATATATGTCTCAACTTTCTTTATTAGTTGGTAGAATTGTAAAAGTGTCATATAGTTGGCTACAGTGAACAAGAAATTAATTTAAGAAGAGAAGTTTTATGCAATCAATAAATCGAATGAGAAGCAATCATAGTGAATAATTGCTCTTACAAATACAAACTAACAAATAAAGTCAATCAACTTGAATTCAAATGTATACAATTAGTGGCACGCTATGTGTACATTACAATGATGAATGACGCTCATAACTAGCCCATTAACGCCAGTGCTTAATTACATATTCATAATTGAGTTACAGGCCAAAATTTTGAACGAGTATAAGTAATATACTCTATATTTTATGCAAAATTTATTACACTTGTCAATGTATAATGTTGCACGAGAATATAAAATTTTCTAACCATCTATATATGCATATTGGTGACACCGCCTATAGATTTATTGTACCTCATTCGATTTATTATTTATGACACAATAACATTTGAATAATGGGAAACTAGATGCAAGCGTTTGCTTTACTATATATAACACGTGATTATATACACATTGTATATATGAAATACATAAATATTAGACATACATAGCCTGTATGCCTCATATAAGGCATGTTTTATGCAATGGTCTATCTGATCAAATAAATATGTATACTTTAAATACTGTATCTATGCGTAAACATGTATGTATACAAGTAATTATTTGTATATACATATACAATACCAATGTCTCAATAATCATAACATTTATAAATTAAAATACATCATATAATGTCATATAAGTATGTTGTCTCCTGAAAATTATATAGTAAAAATTTTTATAAATATAAAAATTATATAAATGAGCTGATGCAGATTATTTTGATGTAGATTTTTCTTCATCGAAAGGTCGAAATAACGAAGTTCTTCTTCTAATAGAACTATCAGAACTTTCACTCGGAGAGGAAGTTGGAACAGAAATGGCAGAATTAGTTCCATAATACTGCACTTGGTCGCTAGAATTAGGATAATGAGGATGACGAACTACAGGTGCTGAGGGTAAACTGCTGGTTAGTTGTGGAGGATACCGACAGGCAGGAGAGGCTCCAAAGTAAGGGTGATGCCTATGTGGGGCAGTTGCGGAGTGTAAAGCAGCATTAAGGACAAGGGCAGCTAAGGCGGGATCTGAAGCAGCATGTTGTAAAGCAGCATATGGCCAAGCTAGAGCTAATCTTTGTCTTTTGTCTTTCATTCTTCTATTTTGAAACCAAACTTTTATTGTAGATTCTGGTAATCGAAGTCGGGCTGCAAGCTCACATCTACGAGGTCTGGAAACGTAATTTTCTCTGGAAAATTCAGCCTCAAGTTCAGCCAATTGCTCTTTTGAAAATGCTGTTCTATATCTTCGAACATTAGCATTGTTAGCATTTAGGTCGTCGCTGTTCAGAGATTTCATGTCACTTTCGGCTTTTTCGTGGTGATCTGAAACAAATACTCTCGCTTTTATCTTTCTCTTCGTAATTAGGCCTTAAGAGAATGCTCCTTTTCTACTTGTTTATAGTTGATTAATGAATGAAAGTGAGCATAAATGATCTAATTAAAGTAAAATAGGCCTATTTAAGTGCAATAGTACGACGCGTGCTGGACGCAAGCTTCTCAGTTGGACACTGATTTAAGTCAGCTAAAAATGAAGCTTATACGACAGTCGGTCACCACCCACCAACCCCGCCCACCCATTGAGGTGACCATCACAGTTCCATCATTGTATCTCAATTACATTTTCAGAATTAAATGACTAACTTTCAAACCTATTACATATGCTAATCGAATGCAAATGACATCTGATCAAAGGTGATGCCGGCTTCGTGATTGAGTCATTAAGATAAAATGGCGTCCAGTGATGGCAGTTGATTGACAAAATGACCGAGAGTCGATGATCCTCGGGCAATGCCTTTAGCCATGTGTTTTGCAGTCAATAAGCATTTTAGGAGCTTATTTCTTTCTTACAAGTGTTACTTAAATTAAAGATATTCAGTCAAAACGTCCGATATACAGTTATGATATTTTCCATGTTCTCGCCAATATTATACATTATAATGCTCTAAGTAATAAATCGTATTGCTCACCTTCTTCAACAGATCCGGTTTTATAACAACCCTTCATCTCATAACCTTCGTCCTCAGTAACATTAATGAATACATCATCACAAACTTCTGTTGACATCCTCAATAAACTAAAGGTAACAATATCTAGCAAAAAATAATAGAATTTCAAATTGAAGCTTTCACGAAAAAACGTAGAGCTGGAATGATCCGAAAAACGCGCGAACGAGGCGGAAACAAACAACACTGTTATAAATCACTAAACTTGACGTGGGAAGCAAGAATTTTCATTCGCCTCTCTTAATTCGTTTTGGTGCTAACTCGCTTATATGGGCGGAGCTAGAGAATGTAACGATTTTTCTCCATCCAAGTCTTCCTTTAACATAAAATTATACAGGTTAAGGCTCGTTTAAGATACAATGTTTTAATTATATATATATATGTAAAAAGCCTTGAAAATTAGTAATGTTATAATAAATAGCAAACAAATTCCCATTTCTTCTTTCTATATCACTTAAAAGATACAAAGTTTGAGAGCCATAGCTAATTTTTTTACTATATTTCTCTAAAACTAATTTTAGGCATCGTTTCTAAAAACTCCAAATACATTTTGAAAACAAAAAGGTCTGTGCTATAACAAAAGATCTTTTATGGTCAGATTGTAACATTATAATGTTTGTAGTAGGCCTCGGTTATATTAAAGCTACATGAGCACAATAAACTCAGCAAGTAGATTCAAAAATTGATGAAAAATACAAATATAGACGATAAAAAGCGCTCATGACTCGAGATAAGAAGCAAAAAATGTCCCGAAATTGGCTAACACTCTGGAGAGACACATCTCGAGCCGTTGATATTGCAGTAAAGCGTTCTATTGCACAGAAAGATAGCAAGCAGTTAAGTGTACTTGGCTATAAAACCCTGTGAAATGAGGACGTCGCATTGGAGAGATTTACAAAGATAATCGGTGTCGCTAATCCAAAAGATCTACGCTCTTTGCTACGCTATTCAGAGGACAAATGGAAAAGTAAGATGAGCTCTTCTGATAAGCAGATTCGTTTCTTCATCTCAATTATTCTGTCTTCTCTTATCTTATGCTGGTCATTCTAGGGGTAAGATTAACATTTATCACAAGTTTTCTAGTCAATTGTAATGTAATAATCGAATTGCCTTGAACGCAATATTCATTAATCGGACAAAGAAAATATAACAATTTTTTGAAGTGTTAGAAGTGAAATCTCAAACGGGCCGTAATAGCTCAGGATCAATTGGGAAAGAGAAGATGTAATGGTTATGTCTTCCAGTCGGTTTGTTTCTATTTCCTTTTGAGCATCTGTATAATTTGTCATAAACGAGTTTGCTTTTAAGTTAGAAAGTTAATGCTTGGTATTAGCTGACAGAATAGGCCTATAACGACCATGATCAAGTTTTGACGAACGAGCGCCGAAACGTAATGGGCCATAAAGCATCTATCAATTCCAAACAAGACTTTCTCTTGTTATAGAAGAACAGTTTTATGATAGGCAGTTACTCGAAAAATTCGACACGCTTTGTCTCTACAACTTGAAACTATGGCGGCTCTTTTAATGTCGACGTCTAACACAACTCGCCGCTATAGATCAAAGGTTAACTACAAAAAAGTCATTGCAAATGTATTGTTCAAGTATGTCTTTAATTCGTTTATTGCCTACCACTCGAATCTTTGTCTTTTTGGTGGGCGGAAGTGATACATTTAAAACGCGTGCATACAATTACATAAGGAGAAAAAAGAAGAAAAATGTTTCCTCTTGAAAATTTAATGAAATAGCTATCTCCCCATACGGCAGTGTGTCATTTGCTAAAGTCTAAGTGGCAGGCATGATCAGAAAGAATGAGCAACAAGAGAGGATTTGATATAGGACGATTTGAAAGATGACGTCATTTAGCTGATTTACGCCAATCAGCGTTTCGTTTATGACCTAGCCACTATTCTTACTTTGTGTGCGTGAGAACATTAGAAACGGACAGATGGCACGTTTTTTATTGCCTTAGCAAAGTATTTTCTCATTGTATTCAATTTTTAACGTCTTCATTTCTCTACTTGTAAATGTATGGGATAATGATCGCTGACGAGAAGAGCTTGTTTTCTATTGAGATTATATTCCTTTTCGAAATTAAAAATACCAACAGAACTTGGCTCCAAATCTTTCTTGATACTCTTTCCAACTATCACAAATCGATCGTAAGCACAATTACTATCGGAAACAGTCGTATCCTCTTCCTTATTAACAAGCCATTTGAATCTCTTGTCTTTTATTAGTCTCATTTCCTTGTATTCCTCATTAGTTACATAACTACAATCTGCATTAAAATCTCCAGCTATTATAGCGTCTTCGCATCCCCATAATTCATTGATGGTATCATATACTTGAACTAAATGTGTTATTTCTAATTCTGCCATCTTTGGTTTTGTATGTACTCCCATCATAAAAAATTTTTTCAGTTCTGTGATGAAAAGTATTTTAGACATAGTATTAACGAAAATTATCCGTCACTAAGGTGTTTTAAGTTACATAATATTTTTTTGGTGTTGAACGAATGCAAGCAATTAGCTCATGATAACTATCATATCTAACCCTAAAGTAAAAAGGTTGTGTTTTTATTTATTCTAGTATTTATATTTTTCTCGTTAACGAACGACAAATCTGCATAAATAAAAGCCCATAAAATACTCATTTATGAGTAATTACTTTGGCCTGGTACAATTATAGCACTTATTTGCAGATTATTATCGACATAATGAGATCCGATAAAAGGGATAAAAAGCAAGGTAAAAGATGGCGAATAAGTTAAATAATTGCTTTTAACATTTTATAGGAAATTTAAGGAATTTTAACCGCTTCAAGTGAATAAAAAAATTATAAAATAACTTTTTTTACTTACTACAGTGATTAGTTGAAAATAAAGCTGCAAATGGTGGCCTTTCAAATTGGCGGAAATTTTTGTATTGGTATGTCTTTAAGACTTTGAGTTTTGAGGTTTTATATACGTAGGCATACTGTTCCTTGCTGCGGGATCGACCCAAGCGTTTGCTTATAACGTATTGGTAAAAATCATTTCTGAAACATTGAATGAAAATTAACTTTAAGCAAGGTAATTACAAAAAACTCGGTTAATAATAGCATCAAATTTACGGCATCAAATGACTCCTAATTTTACAAACAGTAGATTTGTGTAGACTCGATGAGCATCTCTGACGATGATTATCTATCAATTGTGGCTTACTTTTTTTTAAATTCTGATATATACAATGTGTTTTTTGAGATGTACAAAAGGCTGTAATTACGAGTATTGGTTGAGGAGAGCAATTAGCCTAGGAAACGATTTCATAGAAGAATCACGTATTTCTTGTACAAATATAAGATCATATTTAGATAATATCTAAAGAAAATTTAATAGAGATATTTTAAAAATATAATTGATCAAGAACTGAATTTATAGCTTACCTTAACGAGTATTTCCCGAACATATATAGAGGAAGATATTTTTTTTCTCATTTTGCTCTTACCAAAAACTTGTATATTAAAAGCTGCTATATTTAGACAGGGGTTATTAGTTCTAGTGTGGCCATTTTCTTTGATCAAATTCTCAAACTCTCTGCTAATCAGTAATTCTTCAAATTTAGATAAACTACAGTTGACTGTTTTGAACTTCGCGTAGAATAACAGCAAAAAACATAGAATTGGTAATCGCATCTTCTAAAATATTTTACACTTGTAACTTGGGTGGAAATATTGGCCTCAATAATGGCCTCAATAAACACAATATTTATAATCGTATTGTATAGGCTGCAGCATGGGCATTCAGGCCTATCGATCTAAATTGTTACAGAGCATTATGGGAATAATATATTTTGTACTCGCCGAAACTTCAAAGATTTCGCATGATAACGTATGATTGCTAAAATTTATTTTATGCTTATGAAATCCGGCGTTGCAGCTATTATAATCCACTGTATATACGACACAATAACGCGCACTCGTTCAGACACTTAATCTATCATTTTATCTCTCTCAATCTCCCCTCCCCCTCCACCTGCCCTTTTCATGACACGCTATGGATATTTGCGGATATACTATTTGACTTTGTCTTTTAAATGGAATCTTGGTGCGAGGCTTATGTTGGGGTAAAAACCTTAAAATATGGCATATCAATGTTTAGGGCATAATGCGGGTAATAAGCAACAATCGATCGGAATGGGCTAGCTTGTAATGACGTCATAAAGGCAGTAAAATGCACCATTGAGTATTGTGTGCCAACTTATGATCATGCCGAAAGGAATAGTTCATTCTAGCGTGATCTTTAGTTTAAAGTTATACTTGGTACATTTTGGCAACACTCGTTCTTAAATATTTATGGTGATTGGTTGCAACCAGTTGTTTAGCTCCTCCCACATATAGCTATTCCCTGCGTTTACTCTGATAAAGATGTATCTACGCTGATGAAAGTGTTAGAGCGTATACTATTATAACAATAGGAAATGAGTAGATTTCAAGATTAAGAAAATTTTTATTACATAATAAAGAAAAACTAGAAATTAAAGATAGAAATCATATCATATATAAATCTTGTAAATATTTAATCAATATGAAAGGTCGAAATACAGTGATCAATAAGTTGAAATACTTTCTGAATAATTTTCATTTCTGTTTATTTTTTAACGACAAACATCCTGTACGTGTAATTCGCGAGATCAAATGAAGACATTAAAACCTGAAGATAGCGTCAAGGGACAGTTTAAGAAAATGGTTTTACAACCATAATAAAAAGTGCATTATACCTGATAAGGAAACGACAGGATGATCTGAAGACTAAGATAAGTGAAAGAGGATCAGTTGTGTGTAAACGAGTTTATGCGCTTCGATGAAGTTCAAATATATTCCAGCTGTTTGGGTGTAAATTTTTATTTACTAAGTTATATTAAGACTTTCTTTCTAAAGCTGTAAAATTTTGAATAAATATTTTCAATATAGCTAAAATATTCTTTATATTCATCAGTCGATTTAAATATACATATATATTGTATATGTCAATTACAGGCCGATTTATTACCTTAATAAACCTTTTATGAATGTAGCATTTGCCTAATCAATACACTCAATTCCTCATTCACCGGTAGGAAGAAAGATTTCATTAACGTTCAAGTAAATATTGTACGCCAGATGACGCTACTTTGGACAACGTAACAATATTGGAGTAAGTTTCGAAAGAAAAGTATATCCTCGACTACTCACTTTGTAAACAAAAACCCTCAGGAAAATAAAATCTCAAGTTATTATAAAAATAATTAAGGGTAGTTATGTCTCTATTCCCCGAAAGCTTGTTTGAGAAAACATGTTTAGAATTGGAAAATCCCGTAATAAACGAATATGAATTATTTACTGACTCCTTAGGTGTGAAGATATTTCGGAGATATATACGGGTAGGAAGTAAAATAAATGTTTACTACTTTCATATTTTCAATATTTTTTTCGAAAAAGGAATCTGGTTTATATGAATATAAAATATATGGAAACCTAGATGTGCAACCGGAAGTTTGTGCTGCAGTTTACATGGATATAGAATATAGAAAGTATTGGGATACTTATGTGGAAGGTTGTATACATAATTATATATTTTGTATTATATTTAAATATATTTAGAGTTAAAGCCGATCAATGACGGATCGAAACATGGCTTGTATTGGAGAATTAAGTTTCCTTGGCCGATGAGTAATAGAGATGCAAGTACAGAGATATTGAAGATATTCTTATCTAACTATACCATTTATTCAATACAGTACACGTTCATTAGGGAGCTTCAAGAAATTGTGCAATTAGACAAAAAATATTGGGTGGTTATTGCGAAAGCAGAAGTGTTTGAAAACTATCCTGAAAAAGATGGTGTTGTCAGGGTGAAGGAATATGAGCAACAAGCTGTGCTGACTTCTGACGAGTCAGGAGGAACAAAAGGTATTTATATTCTCATAATATATGGCATATAGTACTGAAAGTTATTGTTGCAGCTTTCATGAAGTATTATGACAACCCTGGCGGCTCTCTACCTTCTTGGCTTATCAACTGGGCAGCAAAGGCAAGTAAACTGTACAATTACATGCTTTTTAAAATAATTTTATTTATTAATTACAGAAAGGAGTTCCAGAATTTTTGACTATAATGCAAAAATCATGTAGGGAATATAAGGCATATTTGGACAAGAAAGATAAGAACTAATTTTTTGCAGAGCTATTGAGGCAGTGAATTTACCACTTTTTTCTGATGCCTTGCCCTAATAAAATACTATTATGGGCACGACTTTCTTTTATAATTGTGATAAAACTCTAAAATATTTAATGTTTTATGCGTCTTATAAAGATTTTATTGTCAGTACTGCCATACATAGCTATAATTTATTTCTTTGTCTCTCCATCGAAGAATTTATAACAAAAATTCTAGATTGTTTAAAATTAATTTCGAAAATATGGTAATTTATAAATGTTGATTAGGATAAATCCTTATTTTACCTCAATAAATTATACAGAGGTCAGCCAGGGAGATTAAGATTAGAGATAAATATTTTACGCTGGAAGTGTCATAAACACTTTATGTGTTGGTAATGTTAAAAAGAAGATTTTTCTATATAGTTATTGGCGAGATTACCATGCAATTAGATTCTAAAATCCAAAATTTCAATCGACTTTGTTTATGAACAGTGTTGAGCTTGAAAAAATAAACAGACCTGCCAAGCTAATATAAATTTAAGTGAGTATCTAAAGAAATGTTTGAGGATAATCTATTTAATTTAATTCAACATTGCAATAAGATGTACATTGTTTCTACTATGTAGCTTTTTCTTTGTCAATAGTATATAATACGACATTTTCCCTATAATTCAGTTATACTAACGCTTAACACAAAGTGCACTTTCGTTTCTAACAGCTTAGTATTTTCCAGAGAATCTGACTAATTAAAAGTTAATTTATTATTATCTGTGCTTGACTATTTTAGAGCTTCTTACCATATTTAGCTGATTAAAGTAATCAATACATTTTTTATGAAGTTATAATTGGATATTCGAGCTTCTTTAGTGACAAATCAATATTACAGTCTATAAAGGTGAAGGATATTCAGATAATAGTTTTAAAAAAATATCATTGGTATTGAACCAATTCAATCAATATAATCGTTAGATTGTTTGTTGCAGACTAGATGGCGTGTACTCTATTTTTCTGTATCTAAATGGTATAACACATAGAAGGCGCAGCTGTGAAACTTCCGGTTTATTGACTTACCAGTTCATGTAATACCACGAATCATTCGAGCTTTATTATTATCCCTGATACAGAAAGCTGTCGTCCTAATTGCTATTTTTGAGAATAATTAGGATCTTAATTTTCAAACCACAAATTACGATATACTATGGAAGTAGCCGATCCATAGAAGATTTAAGGAAAATGACAGTTTGCCTCAAAAGGATTATTGTTGGTGTATGCCTATTAAATTATGGTTTAAATGATATTATCACTCAGAAAGAATGTAGTAGGACAGAACTGTAAGATTATTATAGCTATTTTACCTAAAATGATAATTGAGCTATAAATATGACATTTGTTTTAAACAGGAGTTACTATAGCCAGAGCGACAATAAATGCTTGCACTGTAAAATCTGTAATGACGACGCGAATAGAAATGGTGGGGATGACTGCAATTTAGGCATTTATAGATGCAAAAAAAATCACTCTTTTTTACCAGGTTCTATTTGCATATCTTTAGGGTTATCAGTTACTAATTAGATAAATTTAACTGATTTTTAAAGTGTGTCCAGCAGTTAAAACGTCCTTAGGGGAAATATGCTCAGCTGAAGTTGCAGAGACGTGTAATGTTCTGTGCACAGATGGTTCAAAAGCAACTCTAAAGTGTACAGTTGTTAACCATAACAGTAGGAACACAATTTACACTGTAGTTGATGGAAACCGGAACTGCTCCTGGATTTTGTACAGAGATAAAAAGCAACGTCCCAGAAATACTAATAATTTTTTTAATGGAAGTGAGAATAAACAACTAATTCATAGTGCCATTAACAAAACAGCCAAATCTGTGATAAAAGGTAAGTCTATCGTATTTAAAGGTTGAGTAAAAATTTAACAATCATAAAAAGGAAAAGAATGTCCAACGACAAATAGAGATAGAGATATAGTGATTATTGTAATAAGCTGCATAACTTTATTAATTTGTATCTTTGGAATAAGCTTGTGCATAATAAATTATCACCGAAGTAGGAAGAACAAATCTCCAGGTAGGGGTAATTGTTACATTTGAAGAATAGCTATTAGCATATTTCTCTTTCCAGATACTGCGACGACACTTCAATCTCACAAAAGTTTTGATGCCAAATCTTATACTGACGAAGACTTGAGGGAGCCAGTTTTAATAGTAACCGATGTCCCAGCTGTGAATCGCACCATCAACCTTCAGGACGATGGAGAACATCAAAGTCCTGAAGAGGATTGGGATATAGTCGCTTACCCTCGATGTGAAAACAGTTTGTAACTACACGAAAGATTGATTGAAAATTGTTTATCTTCATTCTATGATATCGCTAATGACGATTATAATGGGAAATTATGATAAGCTCAATGTAAAACATCAGTTTCGTAAATCGGATGTAAGTTGAAGCCTTTGCAATTGCATTGTCTGTCTTGTTAAGTTTATGTGGGTTGTATCATTCAACTCCTGTGTTCTGTTGTGATCATGCTATTGTTAAATAAGTCTGTTGCAAGATGGTTTTAGTGAGACCTATATTAAAGTGGAGTGCTTGTTAATCTTCGAAGAAAATATCAGTGATACTGTCTTTTTAAAGAAAAAATCGCCAGAGTTGGTTTTATATGCTTGATATACGCTTTTAAATATAAAAGAAATATTAGAACATAAATTTTCTTTTAAGACAAACATATCTTTCTCAATAAAGAAATTTTATGCTATTTTTTATTCGAATACGGCATAGAAATAGTGTCTATTGATGCTCGTCTATTTGAATCGTGTTTTCTCAAATGAACGTAACGAGAGAAAAGCTGGAAGAGACAGTCTAGAAGAAAATTCCGGTTCATTATTATTTATTCTTATATCAGATTTTATCTACAACTATGCTTCTTTACATGCAGCTTATCTTTTTAAATTATTTGTCTTGTTAGATGTAGCTAATAGTGGCACAAATTTAAGGACTAGATTCATTACCTTAATATAGCAATTACATACAATATAATGTAGCTTTCTCGAATAATTCTTCGCTTTTTCTAATTTTAATAGTAATAGGTAATCATTTAATATCCATAAACTGATTCTGCTTAAATTTGATTTATCGATCTCATATGCAATATAGATATACCCAGTAGTTTACTGCTTCTCGATTATAATCCCAAAATTAAGGTAGTCTCAAGAGTATTCATGAGAATGCAAATATAAGCTTGAAAAAGATTAAATGATATGAATCTCTGCGTTTGGTCTATATTATATAATTTCATAATACAGAATGCTCAGGCTGTATGTATTTCTATATTTCTAGCAGAAAACCTTACATAAACCTATTTCAGTAAGTCATAACATAGTGACATCTTTCGGTGAAAAGAGAAACTATAAAGCTAAGAGGCTCTGATTAGAGGCAAATACGATGCAGAGCATTTTATTAACTTTATTTTTAGACTATAGAAAATTGTAAATAAGCTACTTATAGAGTTTGATAGAAAGCTAACATTTTTGAACCTGGTGAAAACAACAAGCTAGTCTGAGTTAGATACGAAAATGTTAAGATCTCGCTTTCCTATCTTCAAGAATAAAACTGAAAGCAGGTGCAACGTATATTTTAAAGTGCAATTCCTCTACTAAATATTTGCAACTTGCTGATGGAAGGTAATTACGATTGAACCTTTAACCTTCTCTAGAAGAAGAAGAATCACTTTCAAGCTGAAAACCTAGAAGGAAGTCGATGGAAAGCTAGATTTATAAGAGCATAAAATCACCCATTCAACTCTAAAAGATCACGATGAATGAAGTCAGATAATAACATTGAAGCTAATATCAATTCATTTATTTACAGTTTAGGCTTGAGAGTGAATTAAATAAAAAGATACATTGCTAGTTCGCCACTGTACTTACATTACTTAACGTAGTATAAATTTTCGTTAGCTAGAAAACGATAAATATACACATAGGCAATTAAACTTAATATTTGCAAATTAAACTTGTCGTTTCATTGAAATGCGATTTTACTTTAGTGGTATTCCAGTACATAGAATTGGAGTAAAGCTGTAAATATAAATAAACTTTTGCTAAATATCTTTTGAAAACTGATATGTTAACATATTGAATAGAGAGAATGAGAGAGAGAGAGAGAAAGAGAGAAATGATTCAGCGGAAATTATTACCGACAGTCTTACAAGAATCTAACATACTTTGTCAAGTAACGAAATCTTCCATTTTCAAATCGCCAAGCTAATTATTTTGATAATCACTTCAAATCCTTAGAAACAGTATTGGCACTGTTAAGTTTATTTAGATATTATTGTCGCAGTTCTAAATTTTTCTAATTAAATCAGATAACGAAGTTCATTTTCCTACTCTTTGATTAGGACTTTTCTGCTATTTCTCTTCTTTGCAAGTCATTAAAATCATTCCAGAAATGCGGGTAAAAGAGGGAGAAAGTAATTTGGAAAAAATCTAGGCTCGTTATAACAGAATTTGACGTATTCTACCTCGCGTGATTTCTCATTCGTAGTTTTCTTTCTCAGGATATTAAATATCTGCTTTATACTTAGAGCCAGTCAAATGTTAAATAATTTTAGCGGAACATTTCTCTAATAAAGCGATTTAATACTTTACACAATTCTAATATTAAAACGGATATATTTTTAAGAATACTCTGAAACAAGACGAAGTGCATTCTAGGGAAAATAATAATATTAAACTAAAGTAATCATCCTGACTTTGTTCGTTAATGGTGAAAACCAGACCTCTTTTTATCTGATTTACTATCGTAAATAACTTCGTTGTTCAAGAAATTTTTTTAGTTTAAATGAATTTCAATTTGTTGTAATGTTTAAATAATTAGGAATACTGTTTATATATAATAATAGTTTCATTGTATCATTACAGACTTTAGTGAATTTATTTAGTAAGTAAATACCTAGTGAAATTGGTTAAATTACAAATTAATATATTAATTGAAGGCTCAATTCTAAGTTTACTCGCAAGCTAAATTATGTAATAATACGTAAAATTAAGTAACATAAAATTTTTATAGTAAATCTTTCCATCAGTTTATTTTGAATAGAAAGGGTGCTGAGTGACATAAACTTGGGTTAAGTAGGGGTGACATGAAAAAATTATGAAGGACCTGTGCCGGGCGGCATAGGTCCTCGAGGTCTTGCAAATGGGGCTTGTCCCCTTGGTAACATAGGAGCCATGGGTGCCATTCCAGGCCTTGGACCTGCCATTCGGGGAACCGGAAGTCTGGGTCTTGGAGCTGGCGCATTTTCCCGAACTACGATAACTTCAACTCTATCCTGATGCTTCTTTTTATAGATTATAAATGCAACGACACATATTACAATTAAACTTCCAACAGCAATACCTCCATACAAAACTCCTGATTGCCAAGCAGCTGTTGTAAGAAAAAAGATGTTAAATCTTAATCAATTAATTTACTTAAAACGCATACGGCTTTCGGCAGTGCAACTTTCTTTTTCAAAGAGACTTTCGCATCTTGACCCACCACAAGCTTGAACTCTTCGAGTTATTCTTGTTCTTTGGCGACTAAATAAATATAAAACATTATAAATTTTACTGTTAGTTATTTCCACAAGTCTTTTCATTTATAAATTTATTTTGAAAACTTATTTTTCTTTTAGGTAAATATTATATTTAATTTACGCACGTGCAAGTACCACTGCAAGTACAACTTGTCCATTGCGACCACTCCGAAAGTAAACAATTTATACGTTGAGTTCTGCAATTGTCTATATAGATAGTAAACAATAAGTAATGTAGTTTGCCAATAGAAAAATACAATTAAGTAAATACCAAAAGAACAAGTGATGATTGTCGTTCTAGAATTTACTTGTTTGACAGCTCCGGCAGCTTGCTGAGCCTTTAAAGGGTGATAACGAATAAAACGAGCATTTATAAATGGGGAGAATGATGCCATCGAGCTATCATCATAGTTTTTTCCACCTTTGAAAATCTAATTGCAAGTATAAATAGGAAAAAATACAACTTTAATTCTTAACTTAATTTCGTGTTTTATCATTATACCTCCGGTTGTCCAGAGCTGTCAGTGTAAAAATGAAACGTTTTCGAGTCATTTGAATACGATACAGCAAATTCCGTCACCCAAGTTTCCTTTCTTGGAAATAAACCGTTGAGTTTCTCTTCAAAGAAGCCACCTTGACTTAGTAACCCTCCAACTGTTTTAGGAGTAGCCAAATCGTACTGCATGAATTGGGATTTTTTTACGGTTTCAGGATTCGACAAATCTTCAGAAGTTAATTTCAGCGGTGCACCAGAATAAATCAAAGAATATTCTGAAGGGAAAGAATTAAAATAAATGAAGCTTGAAAAAATTTGCTGTGATGAACCTTTGCCATTCTGCGTGAAGAGAGCCTCCTCTTCGTCTCCAACCATAAAAGCTGGCGGGCTATTCATTTTCGTCTTTTCACTTTATATTACAATTATGTCATTACTTAGCCTGACAATGAAAATGAAAAGTCAACCTCTCTGCACTCAGTTGAAAGGTTCCAGACAGTGTGATCCAATCGTTTGGTTCTGATCGGCAATCTGTTTCGTTTACATTTTAAAAAAATTTCAATGGCAAGAATAGAAAGTTCATATCACAATTACAAATATATTTACATTTACAACAGCTCATCATTGCCGATTGTTGACCAGAAACATAATTAACTACGAAAAATAATAAAATAATCTTCTGCATTCTCGGATTTAGAGTGAGTCTAAGAAAGTTTTTTTGCTCTCTGAACTCTCAAATAATAAGAAAATGACTTAAATCGTGTTAATGGCATTCAAAATATGTAATGGAATACTTATTTGTATGGTTTTGTTTTGTTACCAATAATCTGACAAGCAACGAAAATTAATTCATATAGAAAATGTGTTGACGAGAACGGAGAAAAAGCTCATTACTTAAGATATAATTTCATTTCTGTCTATTATTTATTACTTATTATGAATTTAATAAGAAGTCCCTCAAGCTGTCACTAGTCCCTCAATTTTCCACAAAAAAATCTAACATTTCATAGTATTTTATTCAAAGGCTGAAGGAAGTTCTTAAGATTGAAACCTCTAAGTTGTGTTATTACTATTCTAATCCAAAACTCTTTCACATGGAATTAAACATGCCGCATTATCATTTCGGGCGTCGAAAGCATATAGGCTGAAAATATTTAAATTTATAGCATGGTTCTAGCTCTGTAAGCATATAGATAAACATTATATTTCAAAGGAACAGGAAATCAGACATAAGCTTACTGTGATTGGTCGAAAACCGCGTACAGATGGCGATGGAAATTCGAACGTTCGCGTGTACGTCTTTAAGATCTATTGGGTGAAGTTATAAATATAGACACAGAGTATACATAGACAAATATGTATATGTATATATAAATATCAGAAATTTATTGACATATAGCTATATGTATGGAATATAATTAAATTTTACTTATTTCAACGCAACTTTGTTTTACTTGGAAATGAGAATAGGATAAATTTTCGGATTACTGCAATAAAAATGGATTGTAATAAGGAAATACTCGAAATTTGTTCGAACATCGTAATATGAGGATTCAATGTTCCGATATATTGGTGCATACCAGCCTGATATTTTTGACCTTTTCACTTTTCTCTAAAAGTAAGTAACCATGTTCGAAAAAATGAGAAATATTGCACTATCGTACGCAAAATGGCGATTAATAGTGTTGACAGAGAGAATTAATCGACTATTTAAGCGTATTGTGCGGATTTTCATTTAGAAGCACCTGCGCGTAATAAGCTCTTTTATACAGAAAAATAATTGTAAAATAGGAAAGTAGCAAGAGACGAGATTCATAAACAGATCTATGGAGTATTATGGGTCTTCAATGCTTTACTCTATCGTATTTGCGAAATATCCACTGTCTTTTTCAATCAACATGTTTTGTTTGGGTGAGATCAATAATCCGATGACTTCTACCCTATCACTTCTTCGTACATACCTGAATTTCAGGTCTTTTATGCATGTAAGGAAGCGTGTCACGCTAATCGAGCTGTGACACGATGGAAAGGGCCTCGGGAGATGTATTGATGTATCGTTAAGCTCCTTCCAACTTACTTCACCTATGGGATAACGCGTTTCCTTTCGACTTTTTTTTACATTTCTTTATTCCACTTGTACAATACATTGTACGACAGTCTATATGCAACAGCAGAAGAAGAGCGCTACATCATTAAACATAGATAAGAATCAATAGTTCATCTGTTTCATTAGATTTAAACTTGAAATTCTAAATTTTAAGAAAACTAAGGCAAGTGTATAAATCGTTGGAAGCGATGGGTAGCCTTGTCGTCAGCGGTCTGTGATGAATGACTATATTATACTAGACGCTTTTACTTTCCTTCGTATCACTTTCAAGAGAGAATTTTTATCTTCAATTATACACTACTGAGCGAACCGGGATCTGCAATTCGACGTTTTAGCAAACATATAATATATTCGACGGTGGCTTGGGGTGCCAACTTTGCTGCTTTTGCAGTGTCTTATTGCTTCATTCATCCTATTGATTTGTGCCTTTTCTTATGCTCGTCAGTTCCTATATATTTATCTTTCTTTATCGAGAAGAAACATTAAATGTATATATTACCTTTCTTATCCGCATTCGGTCAATAGAAAAAAACAAACTGGCACGACTTCTGGAATGAATCGTTAGGCAAACACAACTTCCCAGCACGCGATGTAGAAGCCATATGCAGCTCGTTAACGTTAGCCAGAGCAAACGACCTTTGCCATGATAAACATAGCTGTAGGCCCGTTCTGACACTCTTGACAAACCGTTACAGTTAACTTAACGCTTTCCGTTAACTCATCTAGGCGTTTTCCGAGACTCCTAATCTGATTACATAAGTTATATCCATATATTCACTCAATAGCACAAATAGCAAATTTTATCTGCTTTCTTCTGTCTTAGCTTCCCTTAAATGAGAAAAAATTTCTTAAACTGAATTATAGAAAATTAGACCTACTCTGGATCAAGTACAAGCAACGCTGCTATGGATTATTGTCACCATTTAAGTTTATTTCTCCTGAGAGCCAGTAAATTATTGTTAAATGTCTCCAATCCTGCGGCTATGCCTTTTTTCATATATTTAACTTTATTTTATGCACAGCTTGTGCAATAGAATGGTTATTTCGTTATGTTTATTGACGTTTGAGAGGCATTTTACCCTGAGAAGCGTCTATCTCCTTGCGTTAAGGCGTTTCTCTTTTAAACTTTCATCAGCAAGCCTATATATTTTTGCTTTTTTTGAGAATAAAAGTGGGTGGAGGTGAGCTTTATTTGTTAGTAAACGGATTAATCTGATGCTTTGAAATAATCTTCAACACAGTATTTTAGTGAATGTCATTAATCCTCTATTATACAATATACTGTATATTTTATGAGTTTAGTAATTAATCTTAGGGGACGCTTTTACGATACCATATATGGCTAGTTTTCGTCTTTATTCGATAAGCCTACAATATATTGATTGGGCCTCCTGGTTCTTAGCATTTGCACAGAGTTCGATGTTTGTTTCATCAATTCTCCGATATAAAGCTAATACAAGCTATTTATTTTCAGTATACATGTATACTGCAATCATTTTCCGTAAAATTTGACGTCAAATTCTATTGCTGTATGTACAAACTAAATCCGTTTTATTGGCCAAATCGGATTGAAGCGTCTACTATACGACGTTCATTTCATCTTCTTGTGTAAAGCGTCATATTACAGTTTATTGAGCTTTATGTTATATTTTGTCGACATTTATAGAACTCTGTGTTTTTCATATTGAAACAATTTTAAAACAGAAATGACTCTCATGAGATTTCAGTAGCTTTTAGGCTTTAAAAGTTTGAATAAGAATTCAATATAGACTGATATCGGACAATCCCTATTTAATAGGCATGCATATAAATCTTTTATTGGAAGACTATCAGCTTATTTAAATTTAAGAGTAGACGAAGGATTTGTTTTATTGCTGTATATAGCTTGAGGCTACCAATGTATTGTTTTTAACAAAAGCAACTTTTTTCGTCTTCTCCACTCTCTATAGGTCTTTTCTGTTTAGTTAATCTCCTTTATCAATTCCCCATAGACTACTTGAGTTTAAGCTTGATTGTAACGGCGAAGTAGAAAGTTATGCACCTTCGTATTTATATAAACAATTGAACTCAGTAAGCAATACGAAATGAATTTATTAATATATCTATATACTTAAAAGTATGTTAAGAAAATTAATATTTCAGCGTGATATATCCTCAATTTAAATATACGATAATCAGTAATTAGTACTTTGTAGTTAGTAAGTAGTTTATATCTTCCTCCTTCGAAGGAAAATTCTTTGATACACTTTCTCTCTCAAGTAAAGGGATATAACATGTTCCTATTATATATACTATTCTTCCTTTTTCTTCTAGGTGAAATACGGCACAGAACTCATCGAGTTCGAAGTTTACGGTCTGAAGGAAAAACGAGTGTCGTCGGGGATTCTGAGATATTGGACTGTGATTTGTTCGTTCCACCCGGTGCTAGTCCTGATTCCATTTTTATATTATGGAAAAGAAATATCAAAGGCGAATCCCCATTTTATACCCAGGTTTGTTCAATAAGAGTATAAAATCGTAAAAAATATCATATAAAAATATGATAGCTACTTCTATAATTAAATCATACATTTCAACGTTTATAATTAATAGTATTAAAATATTTTTCATTTCACTTAGAGAGGAAGCGAAAAATTGGTAACAGAACAATTTAGAGGTCGGGTCAACCTTTACGAGGGAGGTACAGCTAATTTTTTTTGGCTACACTTTAAATGAACTAGAATACAGAGAGGTTTTCCTTGCTCGCTTTTTAGGACCGTCTATTCAAATTACGAACATTAAAGAAGAAGATGAGGGCTGGTATGAGTGCAGGGTTTTAGATGTATATAAGAGATATAACCTAAATTCAAACGGAAGCTGGATATATCTAACAGTACACGGTGAGTGTTTTAATAGTTTATCGATTACGCTGAAAGCTATAGACGATAATTACTATGAGTCAATATTATTGTGTAAGTTTTAAAGTCGTCACAAAAATTACATTCAATGATAAAAATACTAATATTAGTATAAGTTAATATATAGTTGTATATCTTTATGGAAAAACGTCAATGAGCCTCGTATTCTACATGCACTTAAGGAAATGAGGTTTAGGCAGGTGAAAGAAGTGTTTTTCTGCTTAATTTTATTAATGCATTCTTTTTCCTGAAAGTTTCTTTATACTAAATTACACATAAAGCGACAAATTCATTCAACTCTCTCTCTCAATAGTGCTAATCAAGGAAAATTACGAATTTACTTTTCTTTTTGAAATGTCAATGACATTAAAGGTGCACATAAGCCAGTATATTTAGCAACGTTTATACGTATTGACTATTCATTATATACTTGCCCTAAACGTCAGTAACGACAATGAAAAATTAGGCGTCTACAACTGTTATTCGAAAGCATTTGTTATAGTTCATACTCCATAGTAAAAGGGTTCGGTCTTTACTTTATTGATTTTGTTCTGGTCAGTTTACTCACACTGCTGAGCACCATTATAAATCATGTTTTTTACCCTCTTCTTCCTCATCAAACGCCATAAAGCGAAACGTCCAGATTACGTGCATTGAAAAAGTTGGGCAACAAGCAAATTGATTGACGTCGAAAAATACAAAGAAGAACGAATGTGCGGCCAACTGACGTTGCAGAGCGTCAAGTATAAGCACGTAGCATAAAAGAATCGAATTTGCGGGCGAGCTCGAAACGAACAGCAATCACCGTACAGGGCCTTGACGCTAGTTTATTCAATTTCATCTTTTACTTTGACCTTTTACTTCTTTCGGCTTGTCGTTCTCCGGAAATCCATTCCTCAATTAATAAGTCCTATATAGTGCTATGTATTTTTATAATTTTCTAGAGAGTATCTGACAATTAGCTTTATTCCAAAAGACCCAAAAATACCTATTTATCCATGTAAACAATTTTTTGTCACCGACTGTGAGGCAATTACTCGGCTGCATTGCACGGCTTTATTGCCAATAGACCTAATCTATCTAAATCACTTTATTTACTGATCAGGTCCGTGTGTCTATTTGCTGCGTTTTTTTTCATCTCATTTTCTGACGCGAATTCTTGATAAGGTTGTTTGTCGTGTTTATATTGGCCCCTACCGATCTTTAATCGATATTTTCGATCGATACGCTCTAAACGAGAACATTCTTAGCTCAATCAACAGTCAGGGGCATCATATATATATATAAGTTTTTTTCGCTTCGTGTACGAATAAAATATAAAACAATATACAGTATATATATAAATACAGTATAGATGTTTTTAGTTCTGTCTAGATGCTATATTTTTATATTTTTATGAGTCCAATTTAAGAAATAACCTCATAAATAAGCAAAAAAAGTAATTATGTTAAAGATTTTTTTATTAAATATCTTGTAAATTAGGCCAAATTGGGTATTCAAAGCGAAACTCTTAAAATTTCGTGCTAATTGTAGTAGATCATTCCCCATGTTTGTGAAACCAAATAAGGATAATTTAATATATTTGAATGAATGTACGTGAGTATAGAGTATTCAAATGGTAATCTATTATTTGAATGTGAATCTACTAAGTAAGTGTTTGTAGAAGTAGCGAAGGTATGATAGTCCTATGCACACTTTAATGCGTGGCCGCTTCAGCTCAGCCAAATCGAAATAAGCTATCTTTGAGTTTATCACGAAAGTGTATATCTGTGTATTTGTTGACATCGCTTGATTGGTTTTGTTTTTACATTAAAGCTAATCGGATGGTAATCAGAATGGAATGAAATGTACCTCTGTCATTTTATAAAAAAAAACGGCTTATGTTTGAGGAAACCCAGATGTTACTCTGAGGTGACACTCTTTCAAATCCACCAACTTCTCAGATAATCGGAATTAATTTAATTTAAAATGACTACATTCTTAAAAAATCTAGAAAATGTGCTTTTAAGATTCTGGATTTTTTATGCTTGTGTCCATTCGATATTTTTTCGTTCTACCAATTCCCGAATGTACGAATTTATCTTTCATAAGACAAGAAATCGCGCATATCTAAAACGACGCAACACCATCTATATGTATTGAGCAAAATAAAACGGTTAAGCCCAATAGATGTCGACACCAAGATATCTGGCATGAGCACGCTATGAGTTTTATTTCATTTGAAAGATAACAAGGCATGTATAATTGTATTGAAACTACTCATGATTAAAGTATAAGCCTTAATTTTAAATTATGAAAAATAGACTGGTACTTTCATTCTTTTTTTTGTCTTATCGTTTGTGCACACTAAGTTATTAAAAACAAGTTATTCTCTAGATTTAGCTATCATGAATATCCCATGTTAAACTTTAAAGATAAAATCTATTTTAGACTTTTGGAATGTTTGTAGGTGGTTGAGTGACCTCAAGTTTTTACTTATGTTATATAAAATACGATCTTCAATTTCTCAAAAACTTTTTGCATCTGGTTGGTGCATTTTAACCTTGAAGTTTACTCGAATAATCTTTCGAAGTGAAACTAAGCATCACGGTACTAACTTGTATGACGTCACCTGTCACGTGGCCCTAAGCTAGAAACCCTTTTTGGATATCAGAGGCACGAGAGTCACTAGATTGGAGTGTTCTATACCATGTCAGTGAGAGTGATTAGATTGATTTCAACCAGTTTGGATAAATTAAAATAGATTTGAAATTTTGAGGAATCAAATTCAAATTATTCGAAAGAATTGGTTGAAAGTAATCTTGCAAACAATATATACATATTTTCGCTGAAAGACCGTAAGTTTGTGAATTTTTTTTTTGTAGGGGTAATATATTTCATCTGATATTTATAGAGTTATGCTTTCAAATTTTATTTTTGAAAACGAATCAGTTACAGAGACACAATAAACTGAATTAAATTGCATATAAATTACACAAACTCGCCATTAGGCTAATCAATATGAGAACAGTCGAATGTTATTGATTTGTTTGGAATATTGGGACTTTTTTGCACGATTAGTATAATTTATTAAAACTATTTGTTTATACTTTTACACATGTACTTAAACGTAAGACAGCGTTTATAAGTTTTGGAGTGCTGGGAATTTGGCTAATTCCCCGTAAAGTAAGGCTGCAGGCAAGTACTAACTGGAAAAGTAAATGTGACATAGGTCGATTAGGTCAAATGACTGTTTATGCTTTATCATTTAATCGTCTGTTGTCCGTTACAATCTCTGCAGATATTGTTTTAAACCTCCTGAGTTTATTCTGAGCCCAATCAATTGGTGCTAAGTCTACAAAGCTTAACAGATAAACTGCCTTGGAAACGTAGCCATAGACGAATACTGAATATAATTTCTTTTTGCTTTTAGCACGCGATTCAGACATTTATATAAGATTTATCAACAACCCCAGCTGCTAGAAAGCGTAAAGCAGATATTTGGCAAAACAAGTTGCGTGCTTGACGAAAATTGAAAGAGAAACGTAAAGGATTGCAGAAATATTGGGACATTTCGAACGGTTTTTTTGATGCTTATGGCATACAAATTTTTCTCTCATAACGAGTCTGTATAGGGAAAGGCCGTTTTATCCTCATAATTTATATGTTTGTCCCGTCACTTTTTTATCAACTAATTTAATATATATACAGCATATATAGCATATATCCTAAGTGTATTTAGAGTGAGTGAGAGGCCTTATGTAACGTAACTATTTCGCTAGATCCATAGAGCATATGTACATTGCTATTAGCGTATATATAGAAAATATATTTATAAATATGCGTTTGTACTACTAAAGATGGTAACGAAGCGTAAAATTCGCACTTGCAAACTGTAACCATCTACGGGCCTCTATCGGGCGTCTATTTACTGTGTCTTACGCTTCGCTAATGTCCTTTTCTCCTCCTCAAGCTTTTATTCAACATGAGTTCTGTTTACTTAATACCCGTGACGTCTATTTGTATTTGTTCTTTGTTAGTGTTTCTCTGTAAAAGCGACGCTATACTATTCACATTTAATCGCTTTATAATAACGACAAGAATTAATAATATATCCATTAGATTCCCATAATATGGACAATTTCATAATTACCCACAGAAAAATCTATGACTCTGGCGAATAATTAAAAGTATGTTAAATTATACTTATACACGAAGATGCTAGAATATTAAAAAGCGAAAGCAGAATAATTGTACTAATGAATTTACCAATAATCAGTGTAATATATACACACATCAATAGAACTATGAATGACACTAGTATGTTTGGCGAACGTCGCAAATGTAGAGTGCAAACATCGCCTTCACTATCGCATCATTTATTAGATGATTGGTAGGATTGCTATAGAACGGTACTCTTGAGATTCTTGCGATTCAGCCAAATGATTTGTTCTTTTTCTAATTTTAAATCTATGTCAAGAGAATTTACCTGTCTGAAATATGTTAGGCTTCTCTCATATTAGCCTACAAATGAAGACGCCTAATGTGTCTTGCCCTCTACTTTTAACGCGGAACAGTAATTACGAGACACGAGTTGTCCTGACCATCTGTATACTATTTCTTTTTTTTTGATTGATTTTTCTTGTCTTCGCTTTAGTCATTTCTCATCACTGCGTCCATGCCCTAAATTGTGTCTGATCGAATGTGTTTGTTTTAGTTGGGAAGCATCCATTACATAAGCCAGAAAAGGAAAAAATCAATAGTCTATACGTAATCCTTTAATGCTCATGAGATTATTCTCCGTCACCGAATTGAGTTATCTCTTCAGGCTTTATTAACTATAATAGCGACGGCTGTCTGGCAATACGTTTTACATAGAATCTTGAAAGCATAATTCGGAACTTTCTCTTATCAAACCTACGTACGTCACATCAGTTTTCTTTTCAGTGCAATGAATGTAATATCAGCGACCTGGTCTTTTGAGAAATGCAGCGTTACCGGGTGCAAGAAACTGGAACATTTCATTATAGTTTATATATTCTAATCCACATTACTACTTGCGTTTGTTATGACGAAGACTATAGGGAAAAACTTGATGGAGGTAATTTCCTGGCAACCAAGAGCCTTGTGTCCTTGTATAAAGTAATAGGAATATTAAAAAGGGAAGGCGAATGAAAAGAGCAAGATCGCTGAAATCAATATCTCTATATTTTCTATTCGATATACTATATATTTTGCATTTCCTTGCCAAAAATTCGAGGTCAAAGCGTGATATCGTATAGCAGATAAATATACACTTGACGGAATAAATAGTGCTAATAATAAATTAATAGTTACTATGATGTTCGCAGCTCCTCCAGTGATAGGAAATAATTCGCCATCATTCTTGCTTGGAAAAGAAGGACAAAACATCGAGTTGTGGTGCTCAGCTACAGGCAGTCCTGAACCACAGCTAACTTGGTTAAAAGATGGAAATGAAGTGCTCAGCTCTGAAGACATAATTGTAGATGGAAATAAGGTAAAACTAATAGCGTCAATACTATGTCACAGTATAGCTAACAAAATATTCCGTACATAGATTCGATTAAATAACTTGAAAAGAGAGGATGGAGGGGCTTACCAATGCGTCTTTAAGAATGTTGTAGGTCAAGCTTCGCATACCATTAAGTTGATTATAAAAGGTAAAACCGTAAAAGCGATTATTTTCTTCTATCTGATTGCTATCGCCATCTACAGGATACGTATACATCATGGAAAAACCTCGAAACATAACCGTTCAGGACGGAAATGAAGCGAAATTTATTTGTCATGCTGATAATGAATTTCATAATTCCACATTCAAGTGGTATAAAGATAACGTTGACGTTCAATTAGTACCTGGTAAGACTTTCGTTAAAACTACCTCATTTATAATCTCACCTAGAAATATACTTCGTCTCAAACAGGCTTGGGAACTTTACGTTCATCGATTTTATCGGATGGTACATTGATTATCAGAAATGTCATAAAAAGCGATAGCGCATGGTTTGAATGCGAAGCAAAAAATGAAATTTCTACTTCGGCTAAAGCAAAGGCGTTTTTAAATGTAACTTGTAAGCATCATTTTCATTTAACTTATATTTAATAACAAGCAGAATCGAAATTTTCGAGCAAAAAGCTCTCTAATTCTTGTTTTTTGTATTATTTTATTCGACTTTTTTTGTTTATTGTTTGGTGATGGATCGAAAGTCTAGGACTACTCTCTTGAGAGTTTTAGTTAAATAAGATGATGATGTTACTTCGAATTTCTAATAGGGGGCGCTATATAGCTTTTTCTAGATTACTACATTAGTGTCGCAATTTTACCATAGACGATTGAGTCGTCTTTTTTCTATAACGTAAAAATTACGTTGTCCTCTCTCTAATTAAGCAAGTGCAGTCGAATGGTTTGTTGCCCAAAGACTTTTCTCATACGCGATCTGGAACGAATAGGAAGTAAATGAAGAAAAACGAATTTCATCGATTTTTAATTTGGAGACAAACTTGGCTCTGTGCTATTTGACAGTAGTTGACTGTATAAGCTGAAAATGAGAAATTCTCGTACAGCACAGCTCAATTCAAGTAAAGAAATCAATACTTGCAAAACTAAAATATCTATAAAAGATGTATTTTCTCATTAAATAATTATAATTCGGATAGCAAAAAGTAAACAATATGACTGCAATTCTTCGACTTCAGATTCTTATTTTTGTAAAATTCTTTGGTAAGATTTCTGGCGTATTTTTCTGTAAATGCTAAAAAGCCAAGAGGAAGGCCTTTTGTGACTACGAATGTTGCATTCGAAATGTTTCGATTTCTGTAGCCCTAAGAGGATCATTCATGTATTTTAAATTCATTTAATAATTCTTTTTGTATCTGTTTTTAGACTTGCCAGTCGTTTTAACTTCCGACATGACAGTTCTGCTACCCCGTAACATGCCAGGACTACTCAGTTGTCCATTTGACGCAAATCCACCTGTCACATCTGTAGTATGGACTAAAAACGAGCAAGAAATAAAGTTTTTAGACTACACAAGAGTTTACAAGAGGAATCTTTCCGATTTAGCTTTCAGGTAGAAGAAAAACATATACGCTTTATCTGAATATCTAAATATATAATTAAATAATAGAACGGTCAGGGAAAGTGACGAAGGTGCATACTCTTGTACACCTTACTCAGCACTAGGTGCAAGTAAATATTCTCCACGTTTTCAAGTTCATATCCGAGGTATCTGCTTATATGAAATTCTCTTTGTATTTTACACTAGACAATTTTTCCAGATCCTCCCTATTTTAAAGAGAGGCCTAAAAGATACTACCAGAAACAAGTTGGAGATACAATTTCTATTCCCTGTGAAGCTACAGGGGATCCAACTCCCACGATAAAGTGGCAAAAGGTCTTTATCCCTTGTGTTTTGCTTGCTAAAGTGATAAAAATTTATGAAACAGCAAAATGGTCAACTAGATCCAGAGAAAAAATTGATTGAAGACAGCCGATTAGTAATAACGTACTTAAGTATGGATGATAGTGGTTATTATGAGTGTGAAGCGAGTAATGAGGTGGCAACTATAGTCACAACCACATTACTTATTGTCGAAGGTATACTTCGAAATAATTTTTTTAATTAATAATATGATACCAAATTTTTTCAGTGAGCTCTCCGCATAGAGCTCGCAACATCTCAATAAAAACTACCGAAAATACTGCAAATGTCAAATGGTTGCCAGCTTTTGACAGTGATTATGCAAAGCGTCAAGATTATTTTATTTGGTACTTTTATTACTTGAAATTTTTATGACTTTTCATTAAATTATTTATCAGGTATAGAGAAATAGAAAAGAATACGAAACAAAACTGGACAACTATTGCTGTACCGGATGATTATACTAGTCTTCTAGTTGAAAATTTAAAATCTGATACTCGCTATGAATTTGTAATATTATCTCGGTATGAATAGACCTTACAAAATATTCATAAGTTGTGTAATCATTAATATGCTTTTAAATTTTTGCTTATTTCAACAGTAATAGCTTAGGAAATGGTTTATTTAGTGAAAGACACTTAGTAAAAACTAAAGGTACTTTGAAATTTTATTAGCATTTTATATTAGTAGATTATGTAGTAAAAGTACTACTATTATAATAATTATTATTATTACTCGTGTAGGTAGTAAACGTCATATTACAAAAACTGAAGTATATCCATCAGCAGCTATTGCTATTCCTCCTCCGGGTTGGTTTTTAGCACTTAAGCCATTACTTGTCTTATTAATTCAACAAGTTTATTCTCCAGGTCCAAGGCCCGATTCGCCAAGAAACTTAACCATTAAAAATTTAGGAGACACTCTAGAAATCCGTTGGCTTCCTCCAAGAAATTTAACAGTTCCCGTCCAATATTACATTGTTTACTTTCGGTAAAATAAATTTAATATGAGTCCGTACGAAAGAATAACTGTCCCTAAAGAAAAATTTTTGTATTTGCCAAATTACATAGAACTGTGGGTAAATTCGATGATCTATCAGGTCCAATAAATAATGGGACATCCTTTGAATGGAAGGGTTTTTCCCGCGGTGCTAAGTATCGTTTTAAAGTATTCAGGCGAGTTTTACATTCGATATCTTTAAATTTTAAACAATAAAACTAATGGAGAGAAATGTCATCTTCATAGCTATAACAATGGCGCCCAATCGAAACCTAGCGAGGAAATGGTTTATCATACTGGAGGTAATCCTTAGCAGTAAAATATCGAGATGATAAATATGTGTTTTTTAACATTTTTATAATAGATCCAATGAAAAAAGGCATAAAACTATCCAAGGCTGCAATAGGTGGCATAGTGGGCGGTTTACTTTTCTTCATCTTCACTGTCATAATGTCCGTGTGTGGCGTTAAAATCTTCAGTAGGAATCACGATAAAAGAGAGTCTGTTGTAAAATACGGTAAGCCTGTTCAAAATACTTTCTATTTATTTATTATTTTTATTCTAAATTATTACTGCTATTTATACATACGTTATGTATTCCTAAGGCAATGTCAAATATTTTGGGCCAAGCAACCCCAACAATGTGGAAAACAGAAAGTACGTATCAATTTTTGTTTGATATGTATAAATGATTAAATTGGATAGGATATATCGAAACAGCAACAAATTTACTGAGTTGTGATTTCATTTATTTTACAATGCACCAGTGGAAGTAAATCAGGTTCGTAAATTGCATGCCGCCTGAATTATAATAGCTAAACAGTCTGATACTCTGAAAACCTCAAAAAAATCTTTTTCTATTTAATATTTTCTTTATCAGTAATTTCTTGTGTCCTGAGTTTATAGATGTTGCATTTTTAAAATGATATGTAACAGGCATACCTGTAACTGGTAATCAAGAACCTGTTGAAGAAAAGATGTTAGACCAAAGCCAGTTCAATCATGTTTTGTACAGCCACAATAGATTGCCTATAATACCGCCAAGTGATCAAACATCAGAATGCGACCATCTAACTTATGATCATGTTAGCAGTTTCAGCGGCTACATAACTCCCTTGACTCCTATTGATCGATCCAGAGATAGCCTTAAAGGGAGTGTGAAAGAAACTCCGATCTAGTTTTAATTCTCTACTGTGAAGAAAATAATTATCTGCAGTATTCTTTCTCGCTCAGAAATAAGTGTTGCCGAATTTCGAAGGACACACCTTTTGCTAATTTGTTCTGATTTATTGGCAGTAATATAATTTATCAGAAGATAATTAATTTAATTTTGTAGCTGTCATGAGTCGAGATATACGATATATGAATGCGTTAATGTATAAGCTTGTAATAAACATACTTAAATAGTTATGTTTATTGTACTAGTTGTTATTTTTTGTACGTGTTCTTTCAAAAATTTGCAATAAATGATACATGCAACATTTTCTTCAACCAAACATTGATTAATAATTAAATAAACTAAATTATCATTTATTTCAATGCAGCCAAAAGTGCTTCAGATTCGCTGTCACAATCAAAGATTTTTATTTTCAGTAGTTGGCATAGCAGAGGGTAAATATCCACCATCGATGCCTTTGTTGTTTTTCCATTTTCTATAATATCTGGTCCAAAAGCGTAAAAAATTCCTTGCATGTCCTTCTCTGCGTTATCGAATCCATGATTTCCGTTTAGTTTTTTCTCTGGGTTCTTTTTCATAAATAAAGTTAAACCAAAATAAAAATCATAAATTTCATCGAACTTACATAAAAGACATAAGGTAAATCAGTGTAGGCAAATATGTCGCCAACCCTTGGATGTTGTCCATAATGAAATCTTTCCGGAATATCTTCTCTTTTGTGAACGTTCAGGTGTTCGATTTTTGAGAGTATTTGATAAATCTATAAATATAATTATTTCGAGTAAACGGTAAAAGTACTAGTTTACTTTGTTTTCTTGCAGTTTATCTTTAGCCCATATGTGCAGAGTACAGTCGAGCAAAATATAGCGTTTAGGACACAAGTCCTCAATTAAGCTTTTTACGTTTACAGTTTTTTCAGAATTCAGTTGAGTCATTCCATGATCAGAGAAGATCACCACATTTACTTCGTCTTTCAATAGGTTATCTTGTGAAATATTAAATTATAAACAATATTATATATCTTATACGAATTTAAACCGTATTTGTTCTTTTTTGTATCTAAGATATCCAATAATTCAAGCAGGTTTTCGTCAACAATTCTACAAGTTTTTTCAGTTATTTCACTCTCTACACCATGAAAATGTCCAGCATCGTCTGTAGCTCCTACGTAGAAACCTTTAGATAAGATATTTGTAATTTAATTTTTAATTAAAACTAATCTATAATAGCCACCAATAAAATCGGAACTATCATTTACAAATAAGTCTAACGCTTTTAGTAAGTCATTTTGCATATGGCATATAGGATAGCCATCGATATATTCCGAAGAAAGCACCGGGACAACATCATTTCTAGCAACAGTACTTCCAAACCAACGATACATATGAACCCTTAACGAGCTCTTTGTGGCTGAAATCCATAACGGCTCAGCTTCACTCCACCACATTTCGTCTAAACAAATCGGATCTGGTGGATTAACGAAAGCTCTAAATTCGATATTTTTCTCTTCTTCAAACATTGTATTGTTTATAAGCCCATGGTTTCCAGGATGTTTTCCTGTCGTGGCACTATAATAATTTGGAGCCGACATGGACGGATAGCAAGGCTGGAGCATATCTACTGAAAATCCAATTTCACGTATTCTTTGCAAACTTTTCATATTAAATTTTTTTTCATAATCCCATCTTACTCCATCCAACAAAATAAGAAGCAATTTTTTCGGTCGATTCTCCTTAAAAGCCATAAATCTGCTTGTTTTTTTTGTCTGTCAAAAAAAAGAGCTACTCAAGGACTCTCAATTTCGAAGGAGTAAAGTATAATTATCTGTAGCGCCATCTTGTGTTTACTTTTAAAAACATGCAATAAATTCCAGGAGAATTGACGAATTGTGATATCATCACACGAATTACAGCACCCAACTTTACTTACGCGCTAACTCACTAATAATAATGCGGAAAAAAAACCAAAAACATTGCATAATATTGTTTGTTCTACTTTAGTTACAACGGCTAGTTGACTGCATCTTAGTCATCGTTCTCTATGCAAGTCTACGTCCTAGCGAAAGTATATACGGTAGATATATTAAAGCTTTTTACCTTTAAAATATTTCAATTTTCACAAAAAGAAGACATTAGCTACTAATTTTACCTGCCTATCAGAATCTATATTTATTTTAAGCCGAAAGCTGTAAGCTTTATAAGATAATATTGTCCAGACAGTTTTTGATAAATGCTAAAAATTAGTACCTATGGCATAATCATGTTTTCAAGATCCATTTGTGCTATTTGGTTCTATTATTTGGTCTATAATTGTAATTTAGACGTCTTGGACGTTACAAAACTTCTCTTACCCAAAAAACCTAAAAATACTACCTATGTAAGTCTCACTTTGGTTGATGATTTTCTAGACTGAAAAAGTTTTAAAAGATCCCTACTTGACATATTTTACCGAAGGCTCAAAAAAAGTTAAATTTCAAAAAACAATTACTAAATGCCTGTAAATTTCAGATGACAAAAAAAGTGATGATTACCAAAAAACTAATTAATAGAATATTGACTATAGCCTATTGACTTTATTTATACTGCATATTCTGGAAAAATTTTTAACCCTAGCATAGAGAAGTGAAAGTTACTGATTCTTGTATAATTAATGTCCTTTAAAATAATGAAACAAGTGTATATCTAGTATATGCTGTTTTAAATTTACAGAAGAGCAGGCAAATTTTATTAATTTTTGCCAGCAGACCAAAAATATACAAATCGGGTTTCTTAAATTATTATTATGTTCAAGAATCTGAATTTTTTTCAACCGTTTTATTAAATATTGTAAAAATTGGCTTCTTACGAATATCTCTAACAGATTCTTCTCATTATCGCTTTATATCCTCATATTCATTGCCTATAATATGTGTTAATGTAGAAAGTGCTAAAAATCTTTCTGTAGTAAGAATGCAATTATCTCGCCTAGTAAACAGAGTGATAAGAAGTATTAAATCTGAAGGTAGGAAGTTAGAAGAAACTCTGTAGCAAATGAATATGCTACAATGAGCAAACGGCAATTTCCACATTGGACATATTACTTCGAGTGTTTTTTTAAGAAGTATTTTAAGACTTAAACTAGTAAGAATTACATAAAGATATATCTTTTGTTCGCTTATTGGCTGACAAGCAATCTTTATTGCTTTATGTATTTCTTTTGCATTCTGAAAATGTATTTTTTTCTTCTCAGAACTAATATTTTACAACTCTTATCATTAATGACTATTAGTTAGTCTTAATCGATCAAGGGATTTGAAGCGCACCCTCGTGACTGCAATGCTTGTAACGTATAATTTATTATGTCTCTCATTAATCTTTCAGGCTCATGTCCAAACTGCACCATTGTGAAGTCAACAAAAGTTGTTAAATCTTCAGCTAGAAGTATTATAAATGTATTGGATATAGTGTACAATTTTACTCGGGATCGCTTTTATCGTCTTCGTGTTTGCAACTTTATATATCGTTTGGTAAGTCTACCGCTTAAAAGCTTGTCGCTTTAAAGACAGACGCCTCCAGGTATAGAATAAACCACAATTTTTATCATTATTGTGGTATTTATTAGCTGATGGCTTTGCAACAGTTTGATTATAAGGTAACTTTACTAATTTATTCATAAACTTTATTTCAGTAAGAAAGATCTGGAAGAGCAGAGAATTGTAATTATTTTAAGCTGACAAAGTTCTTTAAAGATCGATGTACACTGGCGCCTTCTGTTTATTTTTAACTAAAAACATTTTAGATTTACCTAAATCTTTTATTTCTATAAGAATTTGTCTTAAATGTCTCTAACAAAAATTTTTTATGCAAACAAAAATGTACCTAACCAAGGTCATATTTTTTTTTAAAATTCTTCGGTAGTGTTTTATAGGCACATTTGGAAGTATCAGCTTCAAATAGACTGCGTTTAGGAGTTGAACGCGAATACATGCTCATAAAACCCTCGGGGAGATCAACGTGAATACTTTTATGAACCAAGTGTAAGCTCTTTTCAATTTTTGACGGCAAGACAGAAAAGTCAGCAATAGGATATGTTCCGGCATCGGCAATATTTAACAGTCTACAAGTTCTTTTAGCAATAAAAACATCCTTATTTTGTTCCCCTGATAAATGTTTAGCTTCACTCTCTGTTTTTAGTGGTTTTACCAATAAATGTTCAAAACTTTTAGCCCGTTCTTTGATAAATAATTTAAAACGATTCTTCCGTTTCATCTTAGGCGAACTTTCTGAGCTACTACAAGAAAAAAAAGGCTCATCAAACGATATGTTAGGTTTTGAAGTAATCATTTCCCAATCATCCTTGCCCTTAACAGTTTCCTGAGATACTTCATTAGAGTTCAAACGCAGATATCCTGGAGGGAATATTCGAACAGGAATTAAATGCCCATCTTCTCTTCCAAGTACTGCAACAAGTCCTCCTCGAAATAATGCGATACTTCTAATTCTCTCATGCATGGCTGCACAGCCTAAAATGGTTCCGTTTTCAGCATGCCCAGCGTATAAAATATTTGTCTCCGAATTTACGAAAACAATTGTGTTATTTTCCGTAAACCATCCAAATAGAGAGCATTGCTTAATGGAATTTCCGAACGCAGAAAATGTGCATTTAAGTTTGGTGTTTACGTTTTCGTCCAAATCATAGCAATGAAGCTGTTTATCAAGAGCATATTTTCCATCTGGACTAAGGCAAAGCCATCCATTTTTAGACATTCCATCAAATTCGAATAGCTGTATAATATTTTTTATTGTTTTATCGATTTTAAATGCTACAGCCACAGTATGAGGATAAGTTCCTTCGATGTATTCAGTTATTAGGACTACGGAAACTCGTTTAGGCACACATTGAATGTCGTCTATCCTATTCAAATTGCATCTTGTTAAAACGTCGTTACATTTGGTTGCTTTTTCATTACTTAAATTTACATAAGTCAAGGACGTCCCTTTTTCACAAAATAATAGAGAATCTTCATGAGGATGATACATAAAGCGAACGATTAGGGTGTGGGGCAATTTCATTAAGTAGTTTCCGGTTTTTATATTAAAAATTGGAATTGTTGATGCAGCTAAAACAGCAGCATATTTGTCATTATGTGAGACAATGATATCGTTAGCTACGTCTTCAATATCTCGCAATAAGAGTAAACTAGATTCACTACCCCCTGTATCCATAATGGCAAATCTGTATTTCCTCAAACTAATAGCTATAAGGAGGAGAAGACGTTCGCTTGTTGCTTTCATCGCGAGTAAGTCACCGTAATTACCAAAGGGTAAAAAATACTTGCTCTCTAGGGTTACAATGTTCCAGACATCTATACCAAAACAATCTTTACTAGTATATACTGATTTTCTGCCCGCCGTTATTGCCCTATATTTTTTAATATAGAGAAGCTCCTTCGATGGAACTGCAGCGACCAAGTCGATTGGATTATTATAGATATGTGGTAGCTTTTGAACAGTATTTACAACACATTCGCTGTCTTCTATTTCTCTTACATTTTCGTTATCATCTAGATTAGAGTAAGAGAATTTCTGAACGTCCCATATTTTTATAGCTGTATGTAAATTTGACGCTGTAGCTGATAAGGGAGAATCACTAGCTGATATTGCAATCGGAAAGTGGCCGTCACTATGAACATTTACATAGGTGACATGGTTGGCCCTTATAGGCGACATTGATAAACGCCAGATGTGCATGAGTGATTGCTTTTCCTCCGTAGCTATAGCATTTTTACTATTTTTTGTTATGAAACAATTTCTCCATCTTCTTTCAACCTGTTCATCTTCTGGTTGAGGAGCTGTCATTTCGACCACTTTTAGAGCATTTTGATTGGAAGTATCAATCAATAATAGGTCCTTTCTGTCAAAATTTAGCAGAAGAATATTTTCCTCTTGGCAACAATTTATTCCAGTCATTTCTCGTATCATACAGTCGTTCCCCTCACCTTTCGATTTTTCGAATAAGCCAAGTAACTGTAAACTCTTAAAGTTAGATTTTCTACGACCCTCTGTTAGGTGTTCGAATTTCATTATTTCCTTACAAAAGTTACAGGAGTCCTTTTTCAAGTCAACAACACTTAAAGTGCATTCTACAGAGTAACCTACATAAGCCCTTTTATCGTCCAATGAAACGCTTATGATTGAAACAGCATTCTCAGATTTTATAGTTCCAAGTAAGCTCCTAGTCTGCATTTAAAAAAATTATCAACATACAGAATTAAAAAGATGAATGATCTTACTTGTAAATCAAATATTAATGTACCTATCTTCGTTCCAAGAAGCAACAGCTTTTCGTCATGGGTCATAGCTAAAGCATATATGCTTAATGAGTTTGACGAGAAGTTACTCAAGTAATCATCTAAATTCACTAGCGTATTTCCAGTTTCGACGTTAATCACTTCTTTTTGCCTAATAAAATATCGCCTACCGACGTGCTTTAAATTAGATATATTGGGAGCCCTTAAAATTCCGCCTTTTGGTAATCCCGATTTCGTATCGAATATTCTCGTCTCGCAATCTTCCTTGATAGCTGTCGTTATCACATATTTATCATCCGCCGTTAGATGGATGGAAGCCTTGGCCTTGTCAATTTTATCTATGGGAACACTAAATAGACGTTCGCCAATCTTCATATCCCATTTTCCCAGCGTGCCATCTTTACTTAAACTGTATAAGTATTTCCCATTTGAGGAAAACGTTAAATCTAGAACGTGTTTTGTATGATCTTCAAGGAGGTATCGGAGAGCAGGGTTTGGTGGTTCTAAACAAGCAAATAGAGGAACGATCGCCGACGGCTTTTCTCTTTTGCCATCACAAAATCTAATTAGTCGTCTTATATATTCGTATTTCTTATTGTCATAAAAAGGTAAAAGACGAGCTGATATCTCAAAATCTAGCGTTTCTCCCCCTGACTTTTGAACATTTGTGCCACATAATTGAAGCGTATTTGCTAAGAGTGATACTTCTGGGTCATCAACTGCATAACTAGATTCTTGTAATTGTCTAAAATCTGATAAAACGTCCTGAATAGTCTGAGCAGCCACTTTAGTCTTTAGCCATTTTAAGTTAAAAAGGACTTCACTCTTTAAGTCCTCAATTCTACCAGCGCGTATTAGCTGGTAAGGCAATTCACTCAATTTTCTCATATTGTATCGAGTTTTAGCGTGACGCTGAGTGTCAGTACCAAAAATTAGCGGCTGAGCCCGAACTTTACGATCAGCCTCGATTTCTTTGAAACGCTGACTGGAACCAGCTACTTTAGGAACCTTAAAACTTTTCTTTGAACCTCGTGTATATTTTCCTAAAAAATAATCAGCTATTGACGAATGAAAGTCTGTTCTTAATGAGTCACTCGATAAATATCTGTCTTTTGCAACTTTGATGAATTGCCTATGATACCAATAATATACCATAGTCCCGTCTGACTCTCTCCTCACAATGTAGCTAGATAGTTCTGCTTGTAAGCGAGGCCAAAGTAATGGTGGTATTCTTCTAGTTGGAGGAAGCCAATGCTGAAACACTTCTTGTAAACTGTTGAAAAAGTAATTAGTGAGAATTGAAAAATCAAAAGGAAAATAAATGTACACTGTATCATCCAAACTTAAAAGATCTTCTAATTCCAGATCCGATAAACCATTTCGAGACGCAGTAATATAAGACAGAGTATGAGTAACAAAAATTTTTCCAAAACTTATTTCCACATTCTCAAACATTGTATTAATAATTGCTTGAATGCACGGTTTAAGAACCGTCTCTGTTAATTTTTTAAGCTAAGGTGTAAATATACTAAAGGAAACTTAATACGAACGATTTGGAGGAGTATAGGAATGCCATTTTTTTACTTGCTCATAAACCAGCTGAAAAAGATTATCTCTTAGGTGTATGCTTTATGGTTTTGTAAAAACTGATTTTACCGTTGTATACAATGGAAGGGAACACTCAAGAAAAGCTTGTTGAACAACTTTTTCCTGAAAAGTGGTCAAAGTTCTATTCTCCTTAGCTAACCATTCATCAACTAATTTCCAACTCATTTCTTTGCTCAATGGTTTGACTTCAATGTGATATCGTTGATCTGGCACAATTGTTTTCAATCGACCGCAGACGCCACCTGTGTTGCTAACTTGAGACACAATTAAAGTAACATACTGTGGAATTTTCCAAGGTAGCCATTGAAGGGAATGAGAATTATTGCTAGTCGATAATTGATCCAAGGAGTCTAGAATGAGGATTAAAGGTTTCTCTTCAGTAGCACAGCCTAACAAACGCTGAAATAACTGCTTCAAGTTTGTCCAGTCAGATGGTATTTCTGGCCTTCTCTTAGAGTCGAAATATAGTAATACCAATTGAGTGCATATAGACGCCAGCGTCAATCTAATACTACAACTTCTAGCAGTGGTGCCCAAAAATCTGATTACTAAATAAGGTGTGGAATGAGGATATTTTTCTCGCAACCATTCTTTTGCTAAACTAGCACATTTTGCCAGCAGCGACGTTTTACCACTTCCGCTAATCCCGTAAACAACAACAGTCAAATTTCCATCATTTTCCGTTGTAACTAACTTTTTTACACTATCGATCAATGACTGACGCCCCCTAAAAGCGTCTGCTCTGTTACGGCATGTGGCGAGATGCTGATCTAATTCGATTATAAAACTGTCGGAAATTAGGTCACTGCTTAAGCCGAAAAAGGATTGACCAACTAGATTCTTCATTCGACTCTCGAATTCGTAACAAAATTTTTTAAGATATTCATCGTTCTTCGTTAAACGCTCTGCCTTGTCGTTCCATTCGACAGTTAGGTCGCACTTATTAAACTTCCTTTGAAGCTTCGACACACACTTCTTTTTCATGTTAGTTAGCTGTTCCTGAGTCTCTCTATCTATCGTTCCTGTTTTAGTAGTTGATTTTATTAACTTTTACTAAGCCGTTACGAAAATACTCTTTTAAATATATGCTCCAACAGTTTAACTCTATGCTTTAGAAAACTGGTGACTTACCATCAGGTAATTTATCTAGATATGAGGCAGATTTTTCATGATTTTTATTTTCTTCTAATTTTGAAATTTTTCGTGAAAAGTAGAGTATTTTTTTATGCTCCATATTTTTATTTACTTCAAAACCTTTATCAACTTCCATTTCGGTAACTGTTTCGTGAACAAGAAAGCGAGAAAAAGCTAAATATTGTTTATTCAATAAGAAGCCATTGTAAATGTGTATACCGGAAATGAAATATTTGCGTTTATCTTCTTTCGAAATTTCGTCATCATTACAAAGTGTAACGCCTTTTCGTAAAGATTCCTGTAGCTGACTATATAATTTTGACCACTGCTCAGCTGCCTCCCTTTTTTTTATTGAATCCTAATCATAGAGGAATATGAAGTTGATTAAAGTAAAGAAAAAAGATATATATTAAAGATATTCACTCTGTGGTTATAATTTGGAATGAAAGTACTGATGGGTCTCAATCTGTAGAGATTTGGAATGATATTCTCGTCCTTTTGATACCATTTATCGATCAATTTAACCTGACTAGCTGGTAATTTACTTCTAATCATCTCCAGTTCTTTATCGACAATGTTCGGTGGAAATGGGCGGTATCCATATTTTTCACCTATCATAATAACAAAATTCGGGCCAGCCGAAGTTTGTTGACATTTAACAATTTCATTCAAGCAAAAATCAATAATCATGTGATTATCGCTGGATTCTTGCATTATCCCCCATCTAAGATCCATTGCCTAAAGGATAAACATATTTTTTATTTAGGACTACATCCTCACTGTTGCCTACTGCTGCATAACGAAAAAAACGTGCTGAACAGTAAAGTAAATAAAATACAGACTTTACTTTATCAATTTTTTTTGTATATGTATACATATTTCGGTATGAATGAATCATCGCATGAAACTTACATGAAACTCTAGTCCATAACTATCTCTAAAGAAATCTTTCAATTTTGGATATACGTGCTCCATCAGGGCGTTTCTTTCTTCGACAAAATCTAAATAAATAGCTATCGTTCTCTTAAACGTTTCAGCAAACTCTTTTAGTACGAACCGGAAAATGTGGATGAAAGGAATATCTTGACGCACCTAGAAGTTATTCTCTTTATCTCATTTAAATTCCCTTCGAGCAACGGTTTGCTAGATTTATAATCAATCAAATCGGGTCGATAATGGGATAACGAGACGTGCCTATCCATTCCTGCCAGATTTCTGCGTATTGTCTCTGGTACATCAGGTGATGCTGGTGTCTCTGGTTCCTCAGTATCCTTCATATTTTTAAGTTGCTCCTTTGAAAGAGTTCGAGAAATTGCGTACTGAAGCATTTTTTCGTTTTATCCGGCATTCATAAACAAGCGCAGTAAGTGCCTATTGGCCGATGTTTATAGGCCAAAACAACATTGTGAACAATATTGGATCAGAGCAATACTGTTTCAAAGTTCTGTATTCATAATAATATAGACTATAAGATTGTGCTTCACAAAAGAGAAAGAAGTTTAATACAGAACAATTTCCCTTAAGCCTATATTACCGAAGAACCAGACTGCATTTGCTCATTAAATTTAGCATATTGTACCATATATTTATACGAAATAATTCAGGTTCTCCGTTTGCATCATTCATCTGCAGATCGAACGCTTTTTGTACTTCAAAAAAAAAATTGAAACAAAAAAGTAAAGCAAAATGCTTCAATACTAAACTGGTGCGCATAAACGAGAATTTTTTTACATAAAGACTTTACAGTACCTCAAATGATGCCGCTGCTAATAACTATAAAATTTTATACAACAAATAAATTCAGACTAGTTAAATAAATTGACTAAAAATTCTTATTTTTATCTATCATTATGCAAAGACGAACGAAATTGAAACTATTAGGCAGGTATAATTTGCGTACGTCAAGTGTTTCTTTATATATACTGTATATATATATAAATATATGTATATACTGTATATATATATACATATATATATATTATCTTTGTTCCATTTTAAATTTCTAGCTTCGGCATCATATGAGGTACTCCTCTTGTCAGTCGGAACTTTTCGGTTCTTTATCGTTCTCGTTTAGGCAATCTATCTTGGACTTTGGCGAATTTCTCGGCGAATTTTTCGGTGATGAAATTGGAGTAGTTTGAGTGATGGCCGAGCGAGATTTCACAAAGTTGGACAGAGATGTTCTCTGCATAAAATCCAGTAAACCGGAAGTGGAGGTTTGCCGAGAGACTGCTGTTTCAAGAGTAAAAAGAATATGTTAACATAGATGTGTGTTTAGGAGCTTGTGTCTTCTTTTTTTCCTAAAATTAACCCTTTATGTAAAAGTAGACTAAAATAAAGAGAAAAAAGAAAAACAACCAGAATAAAATATACTTACTTGTCAAAGTGAAATTTTAAGAAACAACATCTCCTATATTCCAATGTACAACATAAAAGTGTATGTATGAAGAAATTTACAGTATACAAAGTATATATATATATATATATATGTATATATTTGCAAGATATTTATACAGAATATGTATATATATATATATATATATATATACATAAAACTTAAAATTGTGTATATTGTATATAATTATATTATATTTAAAAAATCTTCGTTTATGAAATGAAATGTATTAAGAAATCAGATTGAAAGTTTATGTAACACTGTTAGAAAAAAAATAAGACAATGAGAAATGCTTTTCAGTGTGTCAAAATAAAATATGGTTATAGGCTCTATTGGGATTTTGATTTGTTTTTAATTATTATAAAAAAGATAGATATATACATTATTATATAAATAAATATATGTATATCTTGTTAAAAAAGGGAATGTTCATGCTGCGCATTTAGTATTTCAAACTATATCTGACAACATACACCTCCAACCATCTTCATGCAACTGTACGCAGAATACGTAAATCATAAAAATAATAAGAGTAATAATGAAACCAATAAAAATCAGTTGGACATTTGACTCATACCTTTCGTCGAATCATCAGTAGATGACGATGAGGCGACAATGTTAGATAAAGTCTTTGTTCCCCTACTTTCTGATTCAGCAATAGATTCCTTAGTCTTACCAATATCATTATCAGTTTTTGTTGCTATAGGGAATGCACTGGCTGTTTTTTCTTTACTAGAAGGAGGAGGGGGTGGTGGAGGAGGAGGAACAGACTGATTCTGAGTAGTATTTTCGGCATTTGAAGTTTGAGATTGTTTTCTTAGTTCGGCATCTGCCCATATTCAAATTATAACCTTTAAATACAAATTAAGTTGATTTAATTTGATGCAACCTTTTATTGCTCTCTCTTTCCAGTAGCTCTTATTTTTCGTAAGGCATTCCACCCATTGCCTGCGAACTTCGAATCTCATTCCTGAATAATGCAATCGCTCTTGTTAAAACATGAAGATGTTATTTTGTTTTGGATTAAGATAAAAAACTTTCGCCAATGCGTCCTATCAGTTATTTAAATAGTATGATCTATTGAAAAATTATATAAAAATTATAGCGAAGCTTAAAAATATTTTTAAGTGCACATTTTTCTCTGCCTTCTATTTAAAAAAAGAAGTATGCTTATAAATCACTTAAGTGGCCAATTTTACGATTAACAAATTGCAACAGCAATGTGCACTTAAAAGATAACGTGTTGTTGCATAAGCATATATCATTATATAAATTTCTTTTTTGTTAGTTCACTGCAAACGAAAATTACAGAAATCATATCGACGTTCACCTTTCGGAACAAATTTCCGGCTATTGTTCCCAAGTCGGCTACGTACTGAAATTTAATATATTTTTTAAATTTAATAAAAAAAAGACTTCAAGTTTGAATGTGCAAATTATACATACTCTCCCTTTGTCATTCATATATTTGCATTCACTAAAATGATATGCTTACAATAGCATCATGCTTCGTAAATGTAATGGAATTGCATAAGGACTGTTATGTACGCGTGCTTTCTATTTGCATATAAACTAATTACATATTTTACTTGAAATCCTCCTATCCGCAAATGCGCTACTGAGTACAAATGATTCGAAAAGTCAACTCTAGGTGGAGCTATACCTGTGACTGGGGTGCGAGAACGTGGTGAAGATGACCGACTAGATCGTGCACTGGATGCAGTACTTGTCGTCTTCTCTGCAGTCTTTTCCTCAGTAATTGAACCGTCATGGAGACGTGAAGTGGAGGAGTATGGAGTCAAAATCTTCTCCAACATGTCGCCCATCACTTGGAAGCTCGGGTCAACTATGAAATCTATAAAGCCTATCTGGCTTTCCGCCACAAGCGTATTTTTCCGATCACACAAAGGTGAATAAGGTAGGCCCAACTCGGCTTCATGATCACCCTGTCAACATGAAAAAATATATGCATTTAACTCTTATAATTAGGCATTAAAAGAAAAAGAAATTACTTGTCTAAAAAATTCCTCTAATAACCGTTCGGTCCAGCGAACGTGCAGTTCCCAATCTTTGGCTGGATGGCTTATGTCGGCGCAATGCAGAACCAAGGATAAAGCCTTTGATTTGTCGATACTGAGAAGAGATGCAAATCGGGGTATACAATTACACACTGGAAGGAATAAGTATATATAATATTACTTTTCAGGCATCGACAACATATTTTTCATATTCTTTATTTGCTGAAAGTGGTAAGACATGTCGGTAGCTAGAACCATATCTATGACTAGACTTCTGAATTCTCTATATTCTTCCGGCTTTAAACCACTAAGAATATTATGCTCATCTTCTCTCATTAATCGAAATGCCGCGCTTATGTGGTGGTTCTCCAAAACAGCTTTATCGTTATACAAGAGAGCAACGCTTGAACTGCAATCGACGTTAATTATTTAGGAAACAATTCCGGTAAATCGATATTAAATTAACCGACTTGGTATTTATATGGTAATTATTCGTTGTTCCTGTGTGCTCAAAGTCGTGTACGCAAGCGGCAATGATTGTGGCAAACACTTCCAAATCGGTTAGCCAATGCTAAATATAGATTCGAAAGGCGTAGTTATAGATAAAGCATTAAGAAATTTTGGAGTGGGAATGAACTTACCGCTAAACTGCTTTGGCTGAGTATGTGATGTACAGTTTGAGCAATGTCGGCCGCGTGAATTAGATTATGGTATGGATTTGTGTACTTGCTGTATCCACTCTCCAATTGGGCAAGGAAGCTTTCTAAGACTTGGGTACTTATCTATTGATTTTGTTTATTTGAGTATATTAAATAACTAATACCATTTTTCTCATGTAAAATACATACTTTAAATTTTGCTATTAAATCGTAACGTTGTAATAGCTCATAGGTGACAAACTTAAGCGCGTGGTTATCCCCAGCTTCGTTTACGGAGAAAACATCGAACGACCAATCGTCTAAATTCTGTTTCATTAATTTATATGTTCGAATTTTCTCAAGCTTATAATTTTTAGTGCATTTAAAATACCTTTAATAAGAGCAGAACATTTGGTGGAACGTGTAAGCCTACAGAGCTTGACATTCGCCTATATATTCTGGAAAATGAAGGTAGCGATATATTCAATATGACGTCTAATATGTAATAGAAAACTGTAGGCCTATCATAAACTTTAATTGAGAAACCTTACTAGCAGCGTTTTTTCCTCCTACACAAACGTTTATAGCGACATTTCGGCATATTTGCAGAAAAGCGGAGGGATAAAAGAGGATTTAGCGGAATAAAAAGAGCGTGAAAATCGATCAGAGCGTTTTCCCAAGTCATTACTGACCGCCATCTGTCATCAAACTAGCAAATTTTTTCTTAATGACGTCATAGTTTTCTACCTACGAGCATAGAATAGTGTTCGCATGATAAAAATAGAAGATGATTGAAAGGGAAAAAAATCAACAGAATCGTACTCTTTGCGAATGTAGAAAGCTAGATGAGAGAAAAGAGGGAAAAAGAGTGAGAATGAAAGAGAGGGAAAGAGAGAGCTAATCAATCGATACGTGTGAGGCGTGTTTGCCATACAGCAAAATACTGCAAAAATACTTTTGTTTAGCAAATCAGTAAGATAACGAGACGTCACTGGCAGGGGTGAAAAAGACAATGTAGGATATACTAGCAAGGTTTCTATGGAGACGCTCTACGTTCTAAATATATCTCGACCGTGACGCGCCTACAAGTCGTATAATTGAATGATTCTAGCAGGTATAAATAATATAAATCCTTGAAAAAAATATTCTTCCAAATTAGTTACCTGTCAACCATAATACCGGCTCGTATTGCGTGGGCGACTGTTCGAAATTTAGGTTTTTCTTCCCCTCTTCGTTTAATATTACTCATAGACCTCGTGAATGTTAGGGCTAACCAATCCCTGACTTCACTAGGAACGGCATCCGGTTCGACCTCGCTAAGTTCGTCATCTTCATCACACAATCTCCTGTTTTTTCATCAAAAAAAGGAAATCAATATTTTTTAAAGCTATATTAATGAATTATTGCAAAAGAAAACACATGAATTCATAAATATTATATAAAAACATATACAGTTGCCCAAAGTTTAAATTCACAGATACAGTCGGAAAGAGGTATACACCTTAGATACTCATAAATATAAAATTTTTGCATATTTTATGTAATATATCCTGTAAATTTTATTAAAATGGAATTGAAATTCATATATATATATATCTTTGATTCTACAGTATATATATTTATGAGAATTCTGTATCCTATTGGTAAACTTCAGCACCGTATACATAGCTATTAGACGATCGAAACTAAGCGTCAAGCGGGGAGAAAAGTTTTAGTGCATGAAACCATATACACACGTCTTTATCTCAATTATATATCTCTCACTTTTGATAAAACAATACATTGAACGTTGCGAAAGCCGACCGCGTAATTCTCATTAATTTAGCAGAAAATCGTTACAGACATCTTTCGAACGATCACTACATACATCATTGGAAAGGAAGCAGACCTATATTAGTGTCTAAAGTCTAACAATAACTCATTGAATAAGTAAATAAAATGGGTCTGTGACATAAAATCTTTGAGATTCACAACCAGAAAATATTTTTTTGGAAAAAATATTCCCAATCATACAATTATATAATAGAAATGTACTGAATGGAGTTATTCTACTGGGGCGTGATAAAAGTGAAGGGGGAAGGAGAGAAAGATGGTATTTACGGAATGAAACGTCCCGAGGGAGAGTTTTTGCATGCTTTGTTTCCGAAGCGTGAAAATATCTCTCATTTAAAACGAAATGAAAACAAAACTGCTTATAATGTTGATGATTAGTTAGCAGAGTTGAAGGAAAATAAATAAGGCTGCACACTATGTAGAGACGATAGCCGGTGCAGACTGACGCATGGCATCGATTAAAAATATTCGCCGTCGACAGCAAACTGTCAAGGCAGCTTTGGCGTGATGAGCATCCATTTGACCGTCTATATATTCTACTTTAGATAAGCGACATTTGCTACTAACCAATAATGGAAACATGAAAAGGTAGTAAATTTTCAGTGCATTTTTAGTGTATATATGTACATTAGAGTAATACAGTGCGTATTTACTGATTTCTATCCCTCCTTTCCATATACATCCACTCACACATAAATCTTCTTAATATAATAATAGTAAGAATAGAAAGAAATATAATTTTCATACATTCAGTTTATATATATATATATATATTATATATATATATATATATATATATATATACTCAAGCGATCGATTTACTATACTGCAGTCGTGCAAAGCCCAGCATGCCTACAGTATACAGCCTTCGTACGGATTTATAATTAAACGTTCAGTATAAATTAAACAATTGATAATATAAAATTTTTTTCAGTATATCTTTCAATATGATCTGCAAACACGCGACATATGATGGCGGCAGTGCTTTTTATAAAGTGCACAATGCCAGGTACAACTGCAATGTCACACCGACGTATTCTTCTACATCATTTAATGCGAAACTAAATTACACCTTACCACGCTTTACCATTCTCTTTACATTTAGTTCCTGCAGAATCCTGTTTAACAGTGTTCCTTCTCACTGCCATTATTGGTGTTTCTAATTTTTTGTTGATTTTTTTTTTAATTAACAAAATATCTTCTAATTATATATTCTAATTGCTTTTTATCCATGATTATTACGGCGACAGTAAACACACGTGCATACTAACAACCGACGCCTGATCTGCAAAGATGTATGACACGAACAGCATAAACAGACTGGGTAATGACGCCCCCTAGTATTGGAAATTTTTCGAAAGATGTCCGCTTTCTTTCCTTAACCCTTGTTATAAACTAGGCCTACTGAAACGTATATTTTTACAAAAGGGAATTCTAGGCAGGAAAAAAATGGCGTCTTAACAAGCCCTGTGGCTACCGGACAAAAATTAGATTACGATTCGTCTAGTTTGGCAGCCTTTATAATTAGCATAGCGCAATGTTCCGACATAGACGGCCTCCGGCTGAGCATTCGGTGCGTTTAAGGGCGAAATTAAATAAAAAAAAAAAGGCTGCTGCAAAGATTTTTTATCGATCCACTCACTCACTCTTCATACGAAAGAAATATAATCGTATAACACGCGCGGCTTTTTAAATAATTTCGCGCCATATATTAATAAGAAGAGTTGGTTAAGTTAAGCGCAAAATGATGTTAAGCAGGTGATTTTTTCCTTTAGCGAATAAAAATAAAACCTGTCTTCTTTCGTTTGCTTAGTTGCGTCTTCTACTTGACTTTCACCCGTTGATTCTCTAACAAATAATATAAACCATTGTGTGCATATATATATAAACATCGAAAATAAAATTTGGTCTTTCTAAAATTAAAGCATAAAGGGAAAGCAAATAAGCGAAGTACTCTAATTATATACATAAAGGTTCGTGTTAAATCTATACGCTGAAGCATTAGTTTGAAAATTAATAGAAGCTTGTTCTACATATAAATATATAAACATTTAAAAATTATTACTATATATAATTATAATAAAATTATAATTTAAATATGAAAGTATACACTTTATTATATACTGTATCTAAGATAAATACAGGATATAAAGAAGTGCTCTAGTTAGATTGATATTTTTATCTATATATTTATATTTTGACAAAACGCATATATAAAACAAGATATATATATATAACTATATTTATATATACATATATTAATATATATTTATAGTATATGTTTGTTCTGTTATTTTTGTTTACGTATTAGTTTCTTAATTATGATTCTCTTCCTTAGATACTTTTCAACATATATATGTACATTTATGCAGAAATACATATACATCCATATATATGTTAGTGTCTGATGCAAATAATACATATGCGTTTTTTGTGAGTTAGTCTAAAACTAAAACACGCCGAATTTCTACCTCAAATCGTCGTTGCGAATTGACGACGTAAGTGATTGAGTAGGGTTTTTCCGTTTCCTGTTATTTTCAAACGTTTTCAGCAATCGCAACTTAAAACCTTACATATGCAAGATTATGAGCGCTTGGTTCGTTATATACGAAAATAATTAAAGAATCTCAGTGTCAAAACTGCATAAAATATATGCACTATACGGTGTATAGGCATATTATACAGTTATTTGATCGCGTTCATATACATACACATGTACATGTAAACGATATTTACTGAAAAGCTGCTACAAAACACACTCACATATATGTATAAAATTATACATATAAATTCAGAGTGTTTGTGTGAGTGTGCGTCTGTGCACTTTTAGTTTGATATCGTATCAAAAACATAGCCATCTATAGAAATATCACCCACTTTGTTTCATCAATGTAAGTTGCCTCCAAGACAGATGCTGCATACGCAAGGTTCTTTATAAGATCTTCCCTGGATATATCATCCTTTTCGATTTTCTTAATAATATGACGTAATCTAAACAGAGTTTGCGAAGAAAAAGCATATAGTAGCAAAGTTATAAATTATATTAAGTATAATTTCCACCTGACAGAGCAAACACGCGAAGCTTCGGCAGTGTTAATATCTGGTAGCTTTTCATTACCTAAATCAACGCTCGAATAGCTGTTGGATTCTAAAGAAAATTGTGTAGAAGCCTTCGAACCATGTCTGCTTAAAGGTCGATCGCTGCTTTGACTGGAAGTCGGTCGTTTCAAAACTGTTAATGATCCTGATCCTGTAAAGATAAGAAATGTATAGTCTTTGGTCTACTATGATTGAAATTTCGTTTCCTTAGCAACAACAAGCATTCGCTCATCCGTCTTTATTAAAACATCTGTTGTAGATTAAGACTCTTAAGCGAAGCTAAGCTTATCAGTAATCAATGTAGAAATATATAGATGGTGAATAGAAAGACGAGTAATAAGCGTTGATGTGCAATCATTTGTCAGAATGCACTTAAATCAGCGGCAAATTGCACTGTATTCTCTCGCATCATAAACATATTCGAAGACGATTTACCTTCTTCGTTTCTCGTCTAAAAATACATCTAGTGCAAAAAGCGCTGTTTACTAATTGACATCTTATAGCCTCATAGATTTTCGATAATACGAAGATTAAATTAAAGAATCCCTCTAAAAAGGTTTTGAGGTAAATTATGAGTTGTGCTTTTAAAATGAAATAGATGGAGCTGTGCATAAGAGATCAACAATGCCATCTATCGCCTTAAAACTTACTCGATAATTGACCATTTTTGGTTGTAGATAACGGCGATTCACCTCCTCTCTTATCAGGTGAATTTGCAACTGTAAAAAGTAATGACGATATTAATATATTCACTAATAAATAATTGAAAAGTTATGTGACTGATTTTTGCCTATTAACTCTGTCTTTGTTCAGTTAAATCGAGAAAACTCTTTAGTCGTAGACATCATAAGAAAAATAGTCAAATGACTTATCCACTCAATACAAACCTTCATAGAAATCGCCATTAGGCATTTGTATAATAAAACTCCTCTCTTTTCGAAACCTATAAACTCGAGCTGATTTGGTAGGACTTTGGAATTGTAACGCCCCTAAAATTTTAGACAAAATTTCGACAGAAGATATTTTTGACACATTTAATTTTTGTTCAATTGATTGTAGCTTCTCTGTTGTAGATTTAAGTATATTATCATTTCGCCTAGAGTCTGCTGTTGTTTTATTAGTATTCAATAGAGGAAGTAATTTGTCATCCATCTCTCGTCTTTCAATATCTTCATCTTTACTTTTTGGGTATTTATTTCGCTTTATTTTTTCCTTATAGACTTCAGAATCGCTAAAGTAGTTCTTTTCCAATTTACTTACGAAGAGAAAATCCTTAGGTGATGCTTGTTGGCTATTGTGCCTGGAGTAATTTCTATTCACTTTCATTTTTCCTAATGAATTCGGAGGCATTTTCTTGGCTTTTCTAATTACGAATGGAGCGGATTTCACCCTTCCATTGTCTATTACTAGCTTTTCGGTTTGTTTAACAGAACTGCTATGGATTACAGTATCCGATTTCTCATTTCGAGTCACTCGAAGAGTTTTATTCGGCGCAGAAACCGTCGAAGGTGAAAGGCTCATTGTAAATAAAAATTCACAAAGTCAAACCTTCAGTTCGATTACTCTTAGTATTAAATATGGGATAGTTATGAATGATAATCCCTGCTGCGAAAGGCCTTCTCTAAATACTAATTCCTATGCATGAGTAATATATGTCAGTTTAGTTATTCAATTATGGAAATTTATTGTTAGTATTCATTGACTTATTAAAGCTTAAATGCGCAATTCAGTTGTCTCAATAATCAAATATTGGACTTTAACGTTATACACCTCAATTTAATATTGAACAAAAATAACGTGGTAAAAGGACCAAAAATGCCTAACAACCGCTGAATATCTAGTTGAAAGAGAAAAATTTACCGAATGAACACTTGCCATACAAAAAATCGATCGATTTCCGATATTACTACTATTTTAAAACATGTGCCTTCAAAAAGTTTACTAAACAGCTCGCCTCATTACTGACCAAGACATAAATATATTCTATTCGGACTATTATGCGTATATATGCTACTTACGCAGGCTTATATATAAATTACATAGAGAGACTCGAGAAAAGCGAGACTCATTGGTGATTGAAAAAATATTATAACAAGCCAATACTGTGTAAAAATTTAAGAATTTTATACCTATTGTGTATTGGCAACCATCCACCCTGACGATGCAAGTTTTTCGTTTATACTGCTTACTCTCGAGATAGATATTATCAGAACTTCCCGCTCTATGTAAAGACTTCATATGTCCAAATGAGCAATGATACAAACTGACAAACAATGATATATTTCATATATATATATATATATACTATACATACAACCTATACAATATAAACTGTATATATAACCAAAATACGGTGTATATACGTATAAACACACACATGTTCATACAAAAATATATATCTAAATGGCGTGTGCGCATTTATATATATATATGCTGTATATAAACAGTATTTTATATCTTAAACAGTAAGCTATAAGAGTAAATGAAGAAATGAAAGTATCTGTTTTTAATTATTGAGTTCCTTAATCCTAATTGTAATTTGTTAATTCAATCAAATTATTCAATAAATATTATTATATTATCCCTAAAATATCTCTTATTAAACTCATACCTATGCTTATTTAATAAAAATATCCAGAGAAAAGATATATACTTAATTATAGCTTATAATATTTCCAAAATGAAGATATATATATATATTAATTGATACTCATATTGGCAAGTAATTTATATTATACATGAATTACAATAAATTTACCACGCATGTTACCTAAAGCAAAATTCACTCTAAAAATTGTTAAAAAACTATATTTAACTTCTAAATATTAAATTAGAATATAAAATTTATACTATTAAATGTGTATGTTTTGTATATTCAGCAATTATTGAATTTTAATTAGTGTTTTTCGTACACTAAACTATCAGATATTTTAAGTTCTATTTCTACAAAAAAAAGTTAACAAACTACGTATAGTTATATGAACATAATACACGACAAACTTGTATTTAGAGCAAATTATATCCAGTAGTAAACAATAACTGCATAAAACGTGCTTTTTCTAACGTTTCTTTGCACCATATAGTTGCTATTGAGATCACGTGTGCCGTATGACGTCACATTTTTTAACGCTAAAACTTTTCATCTCACCTGTTATGTACTTTCTGAACATTTTTTACAGCAAGGCTTCTGATTTTCGACTACTTGAGAATAGAGTTAAGTTCAAATATTGACTATGTTAAGTCAATTCAACATTCATAAGAGTTCGAGTGCAAACAAGCAGCCAATTATAATGAAAATTTTGTAATTTAATATCTAAAAGATATATCCTCGGTAAGGTCAAAGTTATGGAGTGGATAACTCGGATGCAGTACCGAGTATTAATGACTGATGAAAGCTATAAACTAATCACTAATGCGGAATCGTTATTTTGGACAAAAGACGACTGCAATCGATTGCCATCTCTATTTCTCACTCAATTTTTCTCCGCTAACATAACACCAGCAAAAATCGTTCTACATTCTCTTAAGTGTAATTGAATTTAAACTTCATAAGACAACTATGTTATTCGGAGGGTCATCCGACAGATGGCAGCATCTATCCATGGAAACTTTAGGAGAAATATAGATTTCGATATCCACAATCAATACGTATCTATTACAAAAAGGAATTGCTTTCTAATGATAATGTTGAATATTCCAGTTTTTTGCAGCTGCCATAAGAAATTTTTAAACCCGTCACCGACTGCTCAACATTACCCCTTAATATCAATGTCTCCGACTTATAAATGATGGTATATTAAATCAAAGTGTAAATTAATGCTAGGCTCACTTCCAAATATTTGCCAAAAAAGGTTCTCGAATATGCATTACGAGGCAGTTTATCTAAACAAACCCTATTAACCCCGCTGTTTCGGTAATAAAAGTTCTCCAAAGGGGTCTGCATTTACAAACCAAATCACGGTCAAAGCTAAAAAAAACACCCATTTATCGCTTGGCCATCTATTTGTCGTCTTTGTTTTTAAATAAATCTTGGCTGATAGATTACTTTTAAAATGATAGCTACGTATACGTAAAATGATTCCTAGTCGTCACCCTTAGGACTCAAAGAAATAGCAACTAGGCCTCATAATATATGATACTAAAAGCCTTCAAGTGCGTATAATAACCTTCCTGATATTTGTTTCCAGTTTATATGTCCATTATTTATAAGAAGAAAAAATTTAGAATACATTGAATAACGCACTTGTTATCTATATAATAGCTAACATGTTTATTTGTCATATTTCACCAAAGAAAATGAATACGACGAGAGAAAATATTAGGTGAACTTTCACTTAGTTACCCGATTGTCAGATTTAAGCATAAGACTAGAGATTTATCTATTTGAAAATGGATTAATTTAAAAATCGTCAAAGACGTTAATTTCATAAATATAAAAGATCAATATTTAAGAATCTGTTTGAAGCGATTCAGCAATGCGTGCATGTTATAAGAAGCTGAAGAAGCAAATGTACCATAAACTTTCGATATATGGCCTTTAAGTCTTACATGTTCTGATGTATCTGCCTTACATATGTAGATATACATGTTTGACAGCTAATTAGAAAGTATGTTCATTTCATTGTCTTCACTCAGATGACTCTATATGATTAGACACAAGTAAAACGTTAAAGTATCACAAAAGTACACCTGAACCGTGAATAAGGCTTGATTTAGAAGAGCTTTCGACCTAATCTGCTTAACGCTTGTGTAAAAAATGAAATTGAGCGATGATATTCAACTCAAAACAGAATTATAATATCTAATATATGTTTAACTGCTTAGTGTACCTAAAACATAACAAATTAATTGAATATTTTTGGATATATCTGAAGACATATGCTATGAACTTTTTACTAATAGTATCTACTGCTCCTTATTTTTCTATCTCATTTTTTCTCATATTCAAATCTGATTTGTTGAAGAATTATTAGTAAAAGATTTATCCATTTGTTTTGTCAACAATTTTAATCTATTTTTTATTGCCGATAGACTGAATCATAAATTAAAGCGTCTAAAAATTAGCGCACCTGTTAGAAAGCATACCTATTGTATATGCAGTTCCATCCACTGTAAAAGTCGCACTTTTCGTTCTTTGAAATTGCCGAAATATGGCTGCAGCGTCAGGAGGCTGATCTGCTTTCGACTTTTTCATGCTCTTCTAGTTTATTCCAATTTTTTTTTAAATAAAATGGAAACAAGAAAAACAACAGCACTCTGCCCGGAGAAACGTGAGATGCAAAGAATACGCGTTTCTCATATACATTTTTAATGTAATTAGTATCCGACAGATGTCGCGCTTACTACGAATTAGTATTATAAATGAAATGCCAAGTTGCTTTGTTGTAGCTGTTAACTTGTCTTTAAAGTAAAAATAAAATTTCTTATTATTATCATCTCGTTACTTGGATTTTCACTGATTTCTAAATCTTTCTCTATTTAAATTTAAACATTTAAACACATAGAATCAATATTTTGTCGATAATCAATTAGTGGGTAATGTCTGAGTAGTTTTTACATACTAAGAAATTCATTATTGATCCTTTAAGCCTAAGATTATCACAATTTTCGTGCAATATAATTTAACCGTTTAAAGGCGGAAATAAATTTTAAAAATTAGACGTTTAATTATACAAAGTGACATAATTAACACGTTCGATTTGAGTAAGGGTATAGTATTCTTTTTTAGGAAAAGGAACGACCGCTGTACTTGAATAATTACATCCTTTACATTAGATGTATAGCTCATTGGAAAATTATAGAGTTAGCTGAAAAGCCTATTCAATGTTCTCTTTAAAATTGAAAGGAAAACTTCACCAATCGAATATACTTGCGTAGAATTTTAGTTGAAAGGCATTTGATTTATCAAAATTTCTGCACAAGGTAAAAGGAAGCAAAGACAGAAAAAAATAGCATACAAAAAGAATTTGTATGATCATTTGTCACGGAGGTACCTCATAAATATTTATACAATTGAAAAACTAAGAAGAGATGGCTTACCTTTAGCTGAATTTACATTGACTGGTATTGGCTGAACTACTGCTTGTTGCTTATTACCAGTGTGCATATCATTTGGATTTTTGTGGGGAGATTTTACTGATTTACTGAAATTATAATTTCTACATTAAATGCTAGCTGTCAATTTCGGCAAAAGATAATTATTAGTTTATATTCGAGAATAAAATGGAATAAAAATAAAAGAAATGCAATTAGTACCTTCTAGGAACCTGAATATGAGGCTCAAGTTTTTTGCCCTGAATTTCCAAGGTTAAACTTCTTCCTTGAACAACGTTTATCTGTTTCTTGCTTGAAAAGGAGCCCATAATTTTTGCCAGTTATAAGTTTTTTATAGCACAAAAATTATCGTTTCATCACGGTCCACTATTGCTCTCCTATCCTGAAAGAGTACACATGATATAATTAGAGCAGTATATGCGTATTAAATTAAAGAAGCTCAAAAGGGAATCTAGGCCTAGATATGAAAGATATATGGAGGAAACCTGCATATGGAATAAGTACTTTGCTGAATCGGCGTTTCGCCTTCGATTTCTTTGATGATAAAATATATTCGTCTTTATAATTGGTATGTCTTACAAAAATTAACTTTTTCCAAATCACTTTCATCTCAACTCTAGATGAGACTTGGCATATAAAATTATTTGAAACGTTTTATATTGCCTGAAAACTAAGAAATATAACAAAATACTCGTTCAAAAACTTTTAATTTTAGAAATATCGTTTTCTATTTTCCGTACATTTAAAATCAGATTAATTACCATATTTAAGCGTCCTTTGTTTATGTTTCAGCACGTTTACTCGTCACCATGAGTGCATTGACATGTTGCCATGGTAACAAAACATTATAGGCAATTAAGTGGAAAAATTATCATTTTTCTATGCTATTCTATAGCTATTTTCCTATATCTTTTAATTTATATGTAAATGTATATATTTTTCATTACGTCGTTAGTTTTAGTTGCTTAGAGTAAAGGATATAAAACTATATATAGAAAGAATTCACCATATTGTCTAACAACAAGCAAATTCATTCCGGAACAGAATAAGTTTAAATATCCAATAATAATTCAGCTCCATCAAAAAACTACATATAACTGCTGTATAAATCTATATATAGATTCCTTTAAGAAATTTCTAATAAAGATATATATATATATATACAAAGCCATGATATCGTATGTATGTATATATGTATAAATTTATATGTATATATATATATATATATTGGAAGTAAATTTATGTATTTTATACTAACTATAAAATTATTTATCGACAATTTTTTAGTAAAGAAGAACAAAATTTCAAGGAATATATTAATTAAGACTTGAAAGACATAAAGTTTTAAGAACATCAAATGGACGAATTTCTGAAACAAATTAATGGAAATTTACAAAGAGGCTACTTACATTCAGTAAATAAAATGTTTTAAACAGTTCTCATGTGTTTTAAGTGTCCCCAATCTTATAATGAGTCTTTTCAAAACTGTTTCACAATATAAAATACAATGGCGAGACTATAAAAAATTACCCTTTGTGAAAAGTACTCATTTATAGTGATTCCAATACATAGATATAAAATAGAAATACATCAGTTGTGATATAACCGGGTCAATGAAGATACGCACTTGTTGATCTACACAAAGCGTCTTAGCATTGCCGGTTGTCCCATTTGTATAACCTCATTTGATTATTGTTACTGCAATCTATAGCAACAAAAGTAATACAGATATAAGTATGATTTAAAATTACAAAGTAGGAACTAAATTATACATCAAAGATTATCCTTCATAGTTTACAATATTCTTTTAATTTGTGGATTTATTCAGGAATTTATAGCAAATCATTTTTGTTTAAAAAGCGGAACAGAACTTCTTATGTTTTTATTGTCCAAAAAGATTTATTGAAGTCAAAAGTAAATATACTTTGGTTGAAAAGAACACAAAATCATTTTCACAACAAATAAGGTAGCTAAAAAAAAGTATTTTTTTTCTAGAATAAATCTTATAATATGCTATTAAAATTTAAAGCTTTTTCCTCAATAAATAAGAATCTACTATGAGATACTGCATAAGCATTGTCAAATATATAATATACAGAATATTTAAGCTAATTTTAATATTCTTACACAAGCATATATATTATATTTAAAATATTTCTGTATATATGTATATTTACTTAATTATAGAAATTTGCTCGTCTTACTTGGAACATTTGCAAGATAACAAACTTTAATAGAATAATCTGTAAGAGTAGTAAGTTGGAACCAGTAGAAATGTTGTCAGTAACATCTCGACGTATATTATATGTCTTTTGCCTCCACTAGTCGAGATTGATTTTAAGTGCATAATTTAAACTCTTGGTTCATCATTCCATGAGTTTATTCCTTTAAATAAATGAAATTTGAAGATAGCTAGCTCGTCTAGGTCATATAATATTTATACATAACAAGTATCAAATAAAGCTTCGCTGCAATTAATTGTGATTTTATATGATAAATTTTTTAATTGAAATAGAGCATTATTGCGATTAGTCGTGTCATTAAGACGTTTACACGTTGGTCAAATTTACTGGAGCAAAATTAGTTTAATGGAGATAGTTTCTAAAGTGTAGCTGAGTAAAATTGAATGATAGAAAACGCATAAAGATTTTACAGAGTACATATATGCATTTTGAAAGATAAAAGTTTCAGAATTAGCCTTGTATTACAAATAATAATAGACTTACTATCCTCATAAATGGTGAAATAGTGTCATCCTCTACATTGCACACCTGCGCCAGGTATAAACTAATCGAAAAACCCGTCTCTTTGGGAAAATACCTTTTCTTTTGACGTCATAGTTACACAGAGGGAGAAACAACACTGTTTCGTTTAAGGGAATACAGGTGTGTAACGCCTGTTACCTTGGCAACAATTTTCGCTAGCGGCAAAACACCATCATATTGAATTTATCAGTTGTCATGTAAGGTGAAAAAAGTAAATCTTAAGAAAAAGCAATTTTCGATTTTTACTTCTAGAAATTCTCTTTCAAAAGAGGTTACCTTGTGCATTTTTTGAAAAATATTTGTTTTACAGATTAAATTGCTTTTATGAAAAAGATCCTCAAAGGAATACATTGAAATAAGAACTAAATACAGACCACCTTTAAGCTTTTAGTCCTTTTTATAATTTTTCAGCATAATCAACGACCAATAGAAGCCATTGACAGCTAGAATATCACTTTTCCTTACTGTAAGGAATAAATTAGCCAGCATGTGCATATTCAGCATAGCCTGTTTTTAGTGGTATCTAGATACATCTAATGCCTATATGTACAAATTTTCATTAAAAGATGGAAAATACATTCTTGATGAAATAAGCTTCTTTAAAGCACGCCTTCCTATTTAAGCATCGTATTCATCTTCTACAATGAAAACCGGATTGTTAACCCCTCGAATATTGGGAATCTTTCGACCATTCAATGACTTTGTCTCCTTTCCCATTGTTCGAATTAATTGTTCAATTACTGCTCTTTTACTTTCTTTTGCTAAAAAAGATGAATGTGGTTTGAAATCAGTTTCTTTTACCAGATCATCCACTGGAAAATCATTTTGAGGTTCAGATATAAAAGAAATATCTGGTAAATGAGTCAGATCGTCATCTTTTATCTCTATATTAATTTCATCATCCCCATTCTTGAGCTCCTTTTCTTTTGATGTTATGGGTTTTTTTGTTTCGGGAGCAGATTTGACTACTGCTACATCACTAGTTTCGCAGAGAGATTTGCGTGAAAGTGAAATTTTACTGCAGCTGACATTTTCCTCTGAAATATCGGAAAATCGGTCATCACTTGCTTTATTATTTGATAAGTATTGTTCTTCTCTTATGTAAAATGAATGCCAGTGATGTAGTGCATTTTCATCTTTAAGTCTCTTCCGGATTTTTATATACCTTTTCCTGAAAAAAGTTTAGCTTAAACAAAGAGAACAATAAATAATCACTCTTTGAACTGTGTGTACGAAATTAAAATGATCGCCTTTTTATGGCCAGTGTCAGATGTTCAAAGTCAGTAAGTTTTTTGAGTAATTTGACTATTCTTTGAAATTTCGAAGATACTTTTAAAGCATTTCGAAGTAAATTAGCTAATCAGAATATAGAGACAGCCTCATCATGACGTCGTAGTTAATTGAATAGGTAACAAGCAACTCTATTTAATTGGATTTAACAAAATTACTCATTGGTTTTCATTTAGAACATGTCGAATAAAGAGAGAAGCTGCCTCCATATTCTATTATTTAGATACTAGAAAATGCTACTAAAATTTTTATAGAACATCTTAAGATATAGTTAATTGCATACACTACAACAGAGGTACGTAATCGAAATAAAGTGAATGGAAGGAGCTAAGGTTAAAAAGAACTAATAATTTAATTATAAATCTTTTCTTACCTATTAATCCAGAAGATATATAAAAAGATGCAATAAGCCGTGAGCACCATAACAGTAAAAACAGCTATACAGAAATAAGCGACTAAAAAAAACAATATAAAGAAATAATAAAGGTCTTTTTAAGAATAACAATTGTTTAGAAGTTGTCCTTACGAATATATTTTTCTTCCATGGTGAACGCAAAAAAAGCGTACTGCCTGATTGAAGTCAAATGCTTTTCATACTTAAAAGCAAAACGCCGTTTGCTGGCGATCGAAGACCATCAAATAGGATTGATTTTCAAATTAACTGAAAATGAGGTATCCGAATCTTTATGTCATACTAAGCTTTCACAAAAGCTCCATACGCGTTTATATAAATAAGTGTATTTTATACATATTTGCACTTTATAGTTTATAATTATTAGTTGTGTAGTCTAAAAATTACAATTCCTATTCTTAAATATGTGTAAATAATATCTTTTTTGATTCGCCGCCGAAGTTTACATTAAAAGGACTTCTTGTAATTTAGATTACTAAGCATATATCAAATTCATATTGAACGCAGTTTCAAGCTACTACGGAACACAAAGCACCCTTTAAGCCACCATATTGAAAGGTTCGGTTGTACAGTTCGTGCGAATCACTGAAAGAAAGTTCTACGTGCCATAATAATTTTTTCATTTATTTCTGCTCATAAAATGTAAATATGACTGCTCTGTCAAGTGAATCGCCGATTTTAATTGAAACAACTGCAAAATCAACATCTACTCTCTCTATTAAGGAGGATAATTCTAATACAGGTATTAATTCCTACATCATGCACTCACCAAGTATTTTACTGATTTCTTGTCATTTTGGCTTTTTGCAGCTCTCATAATTACTATTATATGTTTTGGAGCGGGAACATTTATGATATTACTCGGATGTTTGCTCTTGGGCTATTATATACACACTTTGAAGTAAGTCTAGTTAAGTTAGTGACCCTTTTTAGCCACCGATGTATTATACAATATGGAATTAATGGAATTTTTCGTATTTTAGGCAAAAACAAACTACAGCCATGCATACTATAGAACGTAGACGACAGCATAATAAGCACCTCCAAAAATATAACCAGATGAGAAACTCCTACACTTCACCTCCGATACCACCCACCTCTCCTCCAATATTTAGTGAAGATCCATCGACAGTGTCGACATCAGACGGATATGCATATGTTAATGATGCTTTTGCGAAAGACGGAACAATTACGATAATTAATGATGAAAAAAGAGCATCCGCCAAATCCATACCACCAGGTCAGAAGTTCATTGTTATAGAGAATGGACAAAAGAAGGCATTAAGAAATTATACCATAGAATAGCATAATCTATCAGATATATTTACAATTCTTTGGTTCTCTTATAAGATATAACATTTATTTATAGAAATATTTATAAACTATTATATCTAATATAGGATCTACATTATTATATTTCATCTTTAAGTGATGATAATAGATTTTCAAATGTATATGTATGGCTATTTGACTAAGAATCCTCTTTACTCGCAGTAAAGAAGAAAAATTAAGTGAAAGCACGTTTCCCTTTGCTTTCTAGGCTTGGCTTTCGTTTGTAACATCTTCTACGGTCAAATTGTTACTACGCTTGCGTTCTTGTAGAGCAGAATCTGGTATAGCTGCAAAAATATTCAACCTATATAACGTACACTATTCGAATAAAATCTAATATTGAAAGCAAAAGATCGGGCAGATTCGTTTATAAATAGTTACTTAAGTAAATCAACTTATTCCATCTCCCCTTTTCAGGTGTTAATATATTGTTTTTTTTGACAATTTACTCGATAAAATGTCTATAGAAATTGAAAGAACTTACATTGTGAATTACTTTCTCCTTTCTTGAAAAAAAATTTAACATATATGATGATTGTAATTGAAAATAGCAAGCTTGCACAGGCTATAAGAAGTCCAAAGATATTTACTTGACTGTTGAAATCCCTAGATATCTAACTTATTTATGTATTTATTTATATAATACTTACTGATCGAAGAAACCACAGCAAGTCTGTCCATCTAAAGCATTTCCACAACATTCAGCTGAACAACTAAACCTTTCCAATTTTCCTTCACTTATTTTGTGGCATTCTTGAACCATCCTTTCGGTAAAATGTCTGCACCTTACAATGCCGTTACGTGTGCTTCTATGGAAATGCCAATTATATATCTCTTCTTTTATATCCGGGCACGATTTATCGCATTCTTTCCTGAGATATTTTCGTTTCTTGGCAGAATTTAATAAAAAGGAGAAAAACATGGTTGTTTGTGTCAAATGGGTAATGAGGGTACTTTACTCGAAGGCATATTCTATATTTCTTAACCGCTTTATTACATGAAAATGACCTTATTAGAGGTTTATCGTGATTTTATGAGCAATAACTAAATTACATTTCTAACAAATATGATAATATTAAATTAACGATCGAAATAATTTCCCCAGATGGCATTACCTCATCTTCAAAAAATTTGATATTGTTTCACAAGATGGCGCTGACTATTATTATCTTCAAAGTTTATTATTGTTAAAATTTACAGTAGTATGTTGAAGATAATCAAATATCTTGATAATAGTTAGAAAAAGCAATTGTTCCATATGAGCCATATTAGAATAACTGTCAGGCAACACATCTATTATATCTCGATAGACTGGTTATTAAGTAATAATTTAATTATTGTATTTTTTTATGCTGCACATTTGCCTTGCTGCTTTTCTTTCAGTAGCTTCATTATTAAACTTTTGGCTTATATTACATGTATTTATTTAAAAACTAATTAGTTATTTTATTAGCGTCAGAATGAGATCCAGAATATATGGTACAACACTTCAAGTTGAAAGTTAATATCCTTAGAACAAGCTCTCCTCAGACATTGTTTCCGACGAATTGGAAATATCCGATTCATTGACGGTCGAATAGCAAATATTGAGAAAGCTGATTACAAATACTAAACAAATTCTAGCATTCTTATACAATTTTTTACTCACAGATCTTCATCTGTATCGTCAGATTCTGTTAGAACTTCCTCAGTATTTAAGTCTTCTCTCGATTCTCTTTCATTATAAAATGGACGAACTGTTCAATTTGAAGATCAGTAAAATAATAAAAATACACCAGAGAAATTTAAATGTCTTTTAAATATCAAGAGTTATATTAATAAATAAATGATCTGACAAACTTAATAGGTATAAACTAAAAAGAGATTTCGTAAAAATTAGACGTTAATTACAAAAATTTCTTTGTATTACAATAACATTTTTTCTCCAGAATGTAAACATGCTGAAAGTTAATTATATTTATACTTACATATATTTTCAAAAAAGTAAAAAAATGATGATAAAGTTGTCCACAAAAATCCGAATGGATACATCTAAAGTTTATCACTAAAAAAAATTTTTAAGAGAAAATAGACATCAACGCCGCCTCACATTCGTTCTTTGTACATTTCCACAATCTTAACAGGCTTTTTATAGTATCAATTCAGTTTTTTTTTCTATTTCCAGTTTTATGATTCCCCATTAGGTGTAATTTTACATTAAAACGCATGAAACAAGTATTTATTTTACATCCAAAAAAATGAAAATATCTTGTGGATTATAAAAACCATTACTTTGATTTATTTTAGAATAATTCTTCAGCTATTTATACCGTTATTTGCCGAAAAGAAACTAGATAACAAGCTTGAAATAGAGCAACCAGAGAAAGTCAATATTAATTACTAAAGGGTGAAATAGCATAATCGTTTTACGAATGATACTCATTTCACGGAAATCTTCTTGAGGATAAGATTAAAAACGGAAATTGCGCAGCAAGTGATGCATACATATATATTATATCTCTATATACAGTATATATATATGACTAGATGATAGAACAAGAAGCTATAAAACATCTTTTGAGTTGTCTCTGTTTGTTTACTATTTAGTATCGAGTTTACTTGAGTTAACTCGTATAATTTTTATTGTTGAAATAAATAACTTTTGTCCAAAAGTAGACATGTTTAAAAGAAATATATACGATATAAAACGATCTTAACTTAATAAAATACTGTCAAGTCATTGTCTTCTTTCCTTAAATCAAATTCGTCATTATTTTCCTGAGTTGAACCATCGGATAATTTGAAAGCTTGACTTAAAGAATCTTCTTGCATAATTAACCCAGAGAAAGTCTCAAGAGTTGGTACTTTTTGCGATGAGGAGGTAAGACTTTTAGTTGAAGAAAAATTTATAGATAAGCTTTTTAATGAAGTTCCTAAATCGGCTTTATCTTTTTTAAAACAGTCCCTAGATTTAACAATTTTTAGAACAATCACTATAGCTATAAAGGCACAGAGAAGACCAAATACTGATAAGGTAATTGATATTATAACCGCATTATTCGACTTCTTTTTCGTAATTTCTGCTAAACTACCTGTTGTTGTTGAGGATATTTTGCTTGAGAATGCTTGTACTGTTGATTGAAAGTTAATCGATGAACTCTTTCCAGTAATATTAATGAAGCTCCCAGTTGTACTCGTGAATGATAGACTGACAGTCGTTTGTTGAGTTGTTTTTAGATTATACGTCCTCTGGTCTGCTCAAGAAGAAAAAAGTAATAAAAGGTGAACGTCTTAAAACGCTATTTTACCTTTTACACAAATAAAGTTCTTCTTGTCATTACAGTCTGAATCAGACCACTTAAAAATACCAGAATATTTTTTGTACAATGCACAATTTCCCTGCCCAGCAGGCCTACTTTCTTCCCAATTTGTCGTTTTGGGAATTTGACCTGAATAATGACCTCAAATATAAAATCGAAAGCTTGTTCAAACGAAAATACTACCATCCAACCATATCCATTGCTCTCGGAAGAGTCCAATCCAGTAACCATTAATACGATCTTGTACTTTTTGGCCATAAGCTGTTCGATTTATCTCTATAAATTCTTCTTCACTTTCAATTATAAGAAGGCAACCGTTTCTTTCTTTGCAATAATTTTTGGCAACTGACCATGCAAGTAGAGGCGTATTGTAGAATACTATACACTTTTGAAGTTGTTCTATCTTTAAAGGTTTCAGTTTTCCCACAGTCAAACAGTTTGAAGAGTTTAAAGAATATTGGCATACGAACGATAGCGGCCAAGCGCACGCTTTAGCAGTTAGCTCATATGACTTAAATTGGTTGAGATGCCCACAATTAGCATTCTGGAACGTACTTTTTGGCAATTTCAACCATATACTTTTAATAAAAACTGAAACGATCAATAAAATATTACCCTTACCCTATTTGTATGTACTATTTATTTTATATGCCTTGTTAAATAATATATAATCGTACAAAAGACCTAATAGTCATATTGATGCTTTACAACTCTGGGAATGTTCTTAAAGAAATAGAAAAACAAGCAGAGACTAGGGGCTGATGAATGTAGGATATTGGTTTTTATAAATATTATTATTATAATACTGTATAACCTGAAGATGGCGATAAATTCGCTTAGTAAAAAAATGGTTATAAAATAAAGCATTAAACACAATTGTAGCAACCTAATACAAAAACATAAAATTAGTATAGAAGGACAACCTTGATTGTTAATCCATGTCCAGTTTCTTTCAATTCTTTTAGACAAGCCAATCCAGAGTTCTTCATAATCCTCCTTCAATAGCAAATCTTCGTGAATATACAAAGTGGAGTTCAAGTTTGAGCAATAATCCACTGCCGAAAACCAGTCAAGTTTTATTGAAGGTATCATAGAGCAAAGTGATTGATTGCTTTCCGAACAATTGAATTCTAAGGTAGCAATTGAAAATGGGATTCAAATACTTGCTAGTTATGTATGAAACATATAATAAAAGCTATCTATACAAGTTAGGTAAATGTACATATATATTACTAATATATATTAAATACCAGTTGTTGTTTTAGTTACTAATAATCCAATCACTAGTATTATTGAAGTACAAAGTCTTAGAGTTTCCATTAGATCTTGAAAGTAGAGATTTAACAATACGTTTAACTGTATAATATTCAAATAAATAAGGTTCAACAAAAACCTTTCAACAAAGAATGACGAACTGCATAACATAGGCTTATGGTGAGAACTGTGAGATATTCAAAGACCAATTCATCCATTCTTATTTGTAGCTTCGCTACTTATCAACATTGATGATGAAAAACTTGAAATTTTATCCAATAGTTATTTTATTCTAGTCAGCGTCATCTCTATTCTTCTTGTGAATCAAATTATTAAAAAATAGAAACCACGTGATGCTTCTCATGAACAAGGCGTTGGCAGTTTGTCAGAGTGTGCACAATGTTTTCAACCATAATATTATTATTTATTTGTCAAAATGAAGCATTTGATGTACAATTGTCCAATCGATCTATTGAAGTTATTTCTCAACCTTTAACCTGGAGAAGAGCAGTTAAAACTTGCAGGAGTCGTGGAGGTATGGTGTGGGAAGTTAAAAATGATTCAGAACGTTCTTTTAGCGCAGCCATCTTAGAGATTCAAAACATTTCGACTATGTGGCTGGGAGCGAACATTAAAAAAAGCTTACGTTGGAATGGAGAAGATGATATGTCCAAATATAATTACACAGCTTGGAAGTCAGAATATAAACTTAAAAAAGTAATGTGCGTTGCCTCTGATGTAAATGAAAATTACGATTGGTCATGGGAAGATTGTACTTCAGAATATCCATTCTTTTGCCAACATACCGTTACTGCCAATATTTCAGGTAAAACACTGCATTGCCAGAAATATTATAACAAATTATGTTACTTGTATTATAATTTTCTAGAAGACACAGGATTTTGTAATAATGATAAACAAACTCTTGTTGAGGATAAGTGTTTGACATTTCATATTAAAAAGTTAAGCTTTTTCCGAGCGTTTGAAGTTTGTTCAGAGGACGGAGGATCTCTAATTGTTATTAATAAACCTTTACATAAAATTAGCAACTTTTACAAATTAATGGAGCCAATATCCAAAACCATCAATAGGTTTTGGATTGGGTTAAGCAACTCTTGGTTTAATTGGAAGGGATCTGGTATATTATTTTATATTATGAAAAATTCAGAATGAATTAATATTAAATCTGTATTCTTAGGAAGTTTGCTGGTATATCAAGCTTGGGGAGACTCTTACCCAAGTAGCTCAGGTAAATGTTTAGCAATTACAAAAAATAAGGATACAGATTTTTGGCTGAATAAAGATTGTAAGATGCAACTGCCCTTCGTTTGCTCTTATGAAACATCTACGAACTGCGCTAGAAAGAAAACAAAAGGAAAGAAAAAATCAAATAAAGATGATCATAAAACTTTTTGGGACAAATTTGTTGATAATGGAATGTGGGTTGCTATCGGCATAGGAATATGCGTTCTACTTGTTATCATGTTTAGCGCTCTCATTGCCTGTTCACAAGGACAAAAGTTTAGAAAATCTAGGTATCGTTTTAGAATACAATAACTATAATAAATTGATTAAAATCACTTTCACTGAAAATAAAGAATATGGTAATAATCACTCACGTGAATGTTATCATATATTAAACACTCATTAAAGTTCATTTTTGTCTAAATCTTGCAGTAGAAAAAGAGCCAAACAAGAAAAACATTTTCGTACATTTACTAGATGTGATTCGATTCGCGATGATCAAGAAACGAGAACTCAGCCTTTTGCAGTTTCATCAAGCTATGAAGAATTGGTGCCTAATGGGCCTAGGACAATTGACTTCAGCAATAGACCTTTACCCAATCCAGTTGAAAGCTTTTTACAGATACCAAACAATTCGACCAGTACACATATTCACTAAGAACTTATATATTTTCATTACAAACGGTACACAAGCTGTCAAACGTATTTGTCCTCTAAAAAAATACACGTAACGATATGACTTGTATCTTAGTGCATATCAAAAGGCAAGAGCTTAAACAGCGAAGAATTTTCAGGATGTTGTTGGATTATACTAGATAAATTTATAACAGTTTCACTCTCGTTATCAAGCTTGACGTAGGGATCATGGGGAGCTCTTAAAGCTTTATCTATAATTTCAATCAGTACCGTTAAAGTTTCTTGGTTGTATCTTTCTCTCACAAATTTTTTCTAGAGATAAAAAACTGCTTAATTTTAGAAAATTATTAGGGTAATATTAACCGTTGCTTGTCCTATGGATTTATTGTTTCTTCGTAAAAATTTAGCTTGATTCTCAAACTTGTTCATTCTTTTAATTAAAACCGAAAATAATGCCAAGCGAAATCACGATATTGTAATTACTAACTTTTCACTGACGGGATTATTCATTTGAATTTGCTCTTCATTTGCTTCCTCCATTTGCTTTTCCAGCATGTTTTTACAAGCAATTAAGTCTGTGTGAATCTTTTTCTCCCTTATGAAGTGAAAGAGTTAATTTCTAAAAATCAAAGTTTATTGGTCATCTTACGTTTCCAAATTTTTTAATTCTGTTTGAACAGATTCATTAATATACTGTAACAATTCTTTTTCTCCTTTGTAAGTGATTACTAGTGCACCCTTACAATTCGCAGTTATGGTATCTAAAATTTAAATCATTAAACTAATTTTAAAATATTTATCGTTACGCACCTCCGCTATCTGCCGGCTGAATGAAGTTGTTTATTTAAAAAATATATAAAATTGAGAATTAAGTTAATTAATGAAAAGAAAATGAAAAAAAACCTCTCTCTTAGTTAAATAAATTTCAGCCCATAGCCTCCTCCAAGTTGCTTTTAGTTCCTGAGTATTTCTTTTACGATCAGTGTTCATAACTGGTACAGTGTCTTATATCAACTGTAACATACGAAGAGTTAGTTATAAACCACCTGGTTTCAAATGCAGCACTGTGCCTTCACTTGACAAATTTGGCTACTTTCTATGACGCACGAAAAGACAGAACTGCACGACATACATTTAAAATTTGACATTATACCGTTCAGGAGATACTAGATTTCTCGTATTGTTTACAATAGATACATACATAATCACCTTTTATAAAATTACTTTGTTTTATCTTTAATAATTTGACAAGATGCGTAGAAACAGTAAATAGACTACTGAAGACAGTTCGTTAAAACAATTTTGCGCCAGTTTTTAAAATGGTTGCAAAAACAGTCCCTATTTACGTAACACATTCCTTACCTAATCATTGATTATATCAAATATTATTAATATACAGTATATCATTTTGATTGTAGGATTTTAAATGAATAAACTTCGAGGCTAGGGTTGCTTGTAAGACAGACGAATAATTTGTGAAAATTTTTTATTTCAGAGACATTTCCGTTGACGGGAACCAGTTTATAAGCAACCATTTAATTTTTCCTACCTTGACCGTGGCCTCACTTTTTGCTAGATAATCTGTATCAAACTTATCTTAGTATTTTTTGCTGAAAAACTTCATTTTTTTTTGAATGACTTAATCAATATTGAAATTGATATAAACTATATGGCTTAATTTGTGTAAGTCTTTAACCATTCTGTCTTGAATCTGTTTTTCGACGCAATATTTTATTTAAGTTTTTTGTTTTGTCATAAATTTGTCAGATTTCTGTTAGTTTCACATGGGCTGTAACCCCAGCATGGAGAAGAAAAATACGTCTTATATGGAAATTGCGAATAGCCGCCAGTCAAAATTGGTAAAACCTAAATCACGCCTCCCTGCTCCCAAAACAGCACTTCATAGACTGAAAGATAACGGAGATAGCAAATCCAATACAAAAAATGCATTCATACCTGAAACTGAAATAAAAATGATTGATGATGCTAGTTCCATGACTGCATGCAGCAAAGAAACTTTAAGTGAAAATACCTCAGTTGATTCTATAAAAGAACCTTCAAAAGCCAAGAATAACGGAAGCAAATCGAGAATAAAATCAATATCCAAGTTATTTTCATTTGGAAAGTCAGCTAAGAACTCCGTTTCATCTAACTCTAATAGTGCAAAAGCGCCTATTCCCTTAAAGTGCAATACAAAACTTAAATCTCCGACTAGCCTATCAAAAGTTCATGCAAAATCTAGTCGTGATGAGAAACGTCTTCCACTCAACAAAGAAAAAGAAACAACAGTAGAAAAAAATGTTGCTAAAGATAACAGTCAGAGAGAAACGTTTCAATCAAAATTGAAACCGCTAAAGACAACTATATCAAAGCCTGCTATTATTCGGCCAAAAGAACTTTCGTTGAAAAAGTCTGCGGACGATAATGTATTTGTAGCTGAAACGCATAATCTGAAAAATTCATCCAAAACAGAAGTAAAAAAGCCATTACCGCCATTAGCTCAAGCTGAGGATTTGACTTTGAATTCTGATGATCTAATGGATGACTATGACGATGTTGGAGAAATATCAACTTACACAAATGGGTCTTCCGCAGTAATAGACAATCATGCTTCTTCTATAAGTACAAGGTAGTTTATTGAGTACTTACGAAATTATAATATTAAATAATAGTTGTTCTTTTATAGGAGAACAGGAAGAACGTTTTCTTTTCCACCCCCTATGGCTGAGAGTCCCCATAATTCTATTGAACTAGATGCTTCTATTTATAATCATGTCGTCAGCGATGTTACTGGGTTAAAAACGCTACTTTTGAAATTAAAGAGGTGCTTAAATGAATCGGAGGATTTAGAAGGATACCTCGATAGGGAGAGGAGAATTCATGAACTAGAAAAAGAGAATGAACTTTTGAAAAAGCAATTGCGAAATCAGCATTGTATTTCGTCGGCTTCCACTCAAACGGAGTCAACATTCTCTCACTCATCACTCAATTCAAATATGACTAGGTGAGATAATCAGTGCAATAGTTATTTTGCATTTATTTATATATGCATGTGGCTACATTAACATTTATAGAAGTTCACCGATGCAAGACTGTAACTGCAAAGCGTTAAGACTGTGAGTGTTTTTAATATTGTCAAATGTATTTTGGCATTGAGATTTTGGTGCATGAATAAATGCATGTTCTTGTCAACACAATTTTATTTAGTACGTTTTTATTAAGTACTTTTCGGCACATTCTAGTCTATTTTTATCGTAATTGTTGTATAAAGAACTATTGCCCCAATTTCATTAACTTGAATTTGTGTATCTTTCTGCGATCTTACTGATGCAGCTATTTAAGGTATGTATTTATAAACATTTATGGAAAAACTTAATGTTTGAACTCACCTTTTATCAGGTCAGAAGATCGCTATCAAAAACTAAATGGGGATTATAGGGCAAAAACTTCAATTCTGCGTAAAATTCGAACATAAGGTTATTATTAATGATTCATCCGCCCATAGAAGAAGCTGTTTCACTGGTTATGGGATGGTATAATTTTGGTATGGTTTTGCGATGTTTTATATACTTTCAGGATTTATAGGAAGTTTTTAAATTTCTAATCACCTATATTAAGAATCATCATGTTTATTTGTTGCCTTGTCTAAATGAGTTTTTTATGTGTTTAAAGTTGTATAGTATTTAAGAGTAAAATATTTTTGGCTCTATTTCTAAAAGATTCTTTTTATAATTATTTTACTCGTCTTTTCGTGAACAATTTTTTATTTTAAATTCTGATATATCTAGAGATATTTTTCAATGCAAAAGCCGAACTCCTTTAGTCATTGATTTTCCAGAAGAAGAAATAACCTAAAGACATATTAATCTACTTGAGTCACAAGGGATACGACAGAGTGCCTTGTCATATAACTTCCTTTCGGTATCCTGAGCAGTAAACACACATAAATATAATCTTTCACATGCTTATAATTTATTATAAAAATGTATTCAACAGCCAATCCTCCTAACTGTCTCAAAATAACAACCTATTACTTATTAAAAACAAAGTTAAAAATTTACTAATAAAAGTTTACTGCTGAAATAAAGTTCTTTTAAGTTCAAGATACAAAAATTTCTCTGCAGGCTAGGATTTCGTTTAGAATAATCAATTACGACTGACTATACCTATATTTATATATTTATGCTCTTAAATACAATATAAATTATCTTAATATTTCTATATCTATATTTCCTGTAAGCAAATAGTTTGTTCAAGTTTTTTCCCTTTTTGCTTGGTCGTCCTACAACTATAAAATCTATCGACTGTTTGTACCTTATGAATATTTTAGTTCGGTCATATTCTTTTACCTTATTATTTTAATTGAGTTTAAAATGAATTCCAGGCCACTACTTACATAATTCGAAAATAAAAATAGATTTTGAAAGTTGGAAATATTGAAACATGCTACTATCGAAATAAAACTTATAATTTCTGTAAAAAAAATTCAAATCATTATAAAAATTGAGGCTAATTAGCGATATTTCCTGTGTTCTTCCAATCATAAGCTATTTCACTGCCATGCTATTATATGTTATATAATAAGTCTGATGCCTCAAAATTTAAGTAAAACACTTTGTGTATAAAAATAGCATTTGATGCATATCGATAAATTTACGTTAACCAGCTAAAGATCCCAGTGGTAATTCACAAGGTTGTGGAGACGTCATGAATTAAATTTGAATCTCTTGTCTTTGATGACAGCTTAGATTAGTTTCAGTCTAAGTTATTTTACTAATATATTAATCTTAAATGTAGTATTATTTAAAAAAAAAATATTTAGATTAGTAATTATTGCCTTTTATTCAGAATTTGTGTCAAATTTTAGAAAATAGTTGCTTTTTAAGATAACTTTAAAGCCTCACTCATCGATATCAGTTGTTCTGCTTGCAGTAGCAGGGGCCTATCGATCATTTTCTGGCGAAAAGTGAAAGCACCCTAAAAAAATCAAAAAAGACGATGCAATAATATTTAAATATTACAACATGTGATACATAATGACATTGATAATAAATAACAAATACGTACTAATATATATACATGTATATATATATATATTTATGAGTTCTTGTCACCAGCTATTGTTAATGATAACATGAATCATTGGGCAAAACTTGATTTATGTTTACCATTAGGTTAATGAATCTAGACTATACATTGTATGCTAATGAAATTGGGTACTTTTACCTTTCCGGAGAGCTGATGTTCATTGTAAGCTTCTATCAAACGCTTTGCTTCATTAACTTTCTCCTCCGAGGGTGAAAAAGCCTTTTGGACAATATCAATTTGAGCTGGATGGATAACTTGTTTTCCAGTAAAACCTAGTGCAGCTCCTTCTTCACTTATAGTTTTTAAACCTAAGTCGTCTTAAGAAAAGTATAATTTCCAATTAATGTCTGAGAAGATATTCGTCCATGTTAAGATAATAGTTTTACCTTTAAGATTTATATGGACTGCGTCAATGGCTTGTAAATTAAATGCCTTAGCAATTGTAACAATTTTCTGCCGAACATAGACTAGGTTCGCCAAATTTTCCTCCTTTGATGCCCCTAAATGGATTGTAAAATTGCATCTCAGAAATAATGTAATAGAAATGTCAAACCAATGTCTGCGATAAAGTCATCGCTTCCAAATATTACGGCTTCTGCACAAAAAACTCCTCTTTCACGGAGAGAATTGGCAGCTTTCGCTATATCTTTCATGTTAATCAATCCAATCGCGCTCTCTATCATAAAAATCAATCGAAATGGATTCTGAAGTTTTCGGTCACGTAGTTTGAACCTTGTCATACTTTCGAACTAATAAAACATAATCGGAAATTAGCAAATATTGATATTAAGATAACTAATTCAATCCTCCTATATTCAATATTTCTAAAAGTTTAATTAAATTTATACCATGTTCAGAATTTAAACTGCACTAACTAACCAGGTTTAAGTCCTCCACAGTTTCAACTTTAGGTAGAACAATTGCTTCTGGAAGCCTCTCCGACAACAGGATAACACCAAGATCATCTTCGGTCAAATTTGAAGAAAGAGCATTCACACGTACTGCACATTCAGCTCTCTTAAATTGTAATTCTCCAAGCACCTTCCTAATTGTCCTTCTTGCTTCCTCCTGAACATAAACACATATATTTCATGTCATGTATGTTATTGCATGAAAAGTAGTTTAATTGGCGTCGTTTTAAATTTTTTTCTCACAAATTAATACACTACTTTTCTGTTTGCTGCGACTCCATCTTCACAATTCATTACTATACAATCTACATCCAATGATTCAACTTTTTTCAATTTCTTTTCATCATCTCCGGGTACATACATTAATGCTCTCCTGGGTACATATTTTTCTATCGTTTTCGTGCAATACCGTCGCCGAAAACCAAATTTTAAAAGTGTGTTAACTCTATAGGACATTGGCGAATTTCGGGAACCGTACAGAAATGTACTCTGAGAGTTTAGAATAGTTGTACTCTTAAAGCGTCTTGAAGTACTGTAATCCTCCCTATGAAAACAACACATTTAACAAAGATTCACATAAATCCAAAAAGTGGCAATGTTTGACGGCAATACCTTCCTTAGGAGAGTTTCAGATTCCGGAAAAGAAGCACTACCTTCGTTCTACGTCCAAAACTACAATAACCAACAATCTGCTATACTTGATTTTGAAGTAACCGATTTTGTTTTAATTGCTGCCTTTTCTGAACAAGAAGGACCAAAGCTAGTGGTAAGTTAAAAAAATATCAGTATAACATGATCCTAATAATTGATTTTTTTTTAAAGGCGACTATTCCTGAAAACGTCAATTGTGATACAAGCTTGCTTAATGATTTCGTAACAAAAATAGTATCAGTTGATATTCAGCAACAAGGCAGGTTTATATGTTTCACAAATTTTACTATCGTCAATTCATGCTTAGTTCATATAAATTATAGTTAATCTCATAGCTAGCTTTTTGAGTAATGGTTATAAAGATCATTTTGTAACTCATATAGGAATCATGTTAAAACTTACAAATAATGAGTTGTTCATCAGACTTTAGACTCTTTTATTTTTGATTAATATTAATTATTATTAGAGCAACTTCGGAACAGAGCGGAACAGAAATGCAAATGTTTCTAACAGAAAACAAGCTGGGCTTGTATGCTTTGGTAAATTAATATATTTTTAAGTCGATAGATTTTTAATTAAATTTTATCTCCTTACCGACTTGAAAAGGTTGAGCATGTTACTTTATATGATGTGGAGGCAAGAGGATTCGTAAGACCCTATTGCATTGGTTATATATCTCGTCATAGAAGGTAAAGTCATGTCAAAAATTTCAAAAAAATTGGATTTGTTTTAAAACATAATGTCCTTCCAGAAAGCTATTTAATTATTACTCGATCATAACTAATACCTATTTAAAAGATGGAATAAGAATAATGTATGAATCTAATGGTGAAACCTTTGATAAAGAATTACAAGAATTTATTACCAACTTAGAATATACCCTTGGTATTTACATTTTTTGTCATGTGCTATCCAAATAGAATTACCATTTATTAACTCCTTAAAGAACTTGTAGAGTGTGAAGAAAAAAGTGCCAATTTATCTGAAAATGAAAAACAAAAATTGAGCAAATATTCTGTAAGCTCCGTAAAGGATACCTTAACGGAGATTTACATCATTGCTGACTCCTTTGTAAAGAAAATGGTATAGAAAAACTTTTAAGTGTAATCTAGTCGTAATTTAAACTTATTTTATTCTTTAAGCAAAAATTAGGGAAAGAAATGACTGTTGGAAAACAGAGGAAAATGTTCAATTCAAGCTTTACTCACAAGATCATAAAGAAAAAAGAATTGGCAGAACACCTTAGACCCTTGAATGTTATATGTCCAAAATTCAATCAAGTTTTATCTGTTTTGCAATCTTTACACAAAGTTTGATTTAATTCCTCTGATAGTAGTAGCCGTGAATATATCTAAACGTTTTATTTTTTAGACTTTTTCAATGCCTGAAGAAGATGTATATTTGAGGATTTGTAAACCTTTAAATTTTGACAAAAATGAAAATCGTTGGATAAGCGATTCTAATTTACTTCATTTTGCAAAAACATCTTCATGTTTTGCGGACCTTATGTATTCACTGTTAATTGGAAAAGTCTTGATTATTATTTCCAACGACGAAAAACGTTTGAAGAATTTATTGTGTTCATTAAGCATTGGTATACTTCCACATTCAAGGTGATCTGATTTACTTCTAAGAATACTCTTCGCAAGATGTGACTTAACACCAAATTTCCTGCTATTTCAGTCATTCGAAGAGAGTAAAGCAAATTGAAAATTTATTTAGCGTCGAGAATTTCATCGATGAAGGCTTCCAATTGCTTGGTGTATTACGGTATCCTGGGAAAATTATAGAAATTGGCGAACGTTTTCAGAAAATTTGCTTCTTTTTCGATGCTGATCAAAATCGATCAAATGTTTCAAAATATTATGTAAGTACGAAAGAATGCTTTTTTCTTACAAAGCTTGCCCATTGAAGCTTCATAAAAACTATTCATTGAAGATTAGATTTACTTACTATTCTCTAACTTAGTACAATATTTCATTAGAGTAAATATTCGTTAGATGGCACATAAATTTAATGATATTAGAAATAACAGGTTTCTTTTTACATCTTCATCAGGCTGGAAAGCTAAAAGAAGCCCAAATAAAGTCAAAGACTTTTCAAAGTAATGAAGCTTTCTCAAATTACTTACTGAGGTAAGCGATTATTATTAGCAAAACAGGGAACTGCTATTTTACTTATTACTCTTTTCAGTATAATGCAGGAATACATTAGCAAGGCTCATATTCATAGCACTGGAAATGCAACTAAAGGTTTAATGAGTCGATCCCAAAAAATGACGAGATTAAAACTTTCGGATCAAGATTTTGAAATAGTTCTAGTGAGCAATTTCTTTACTTAGTCCTAAAATTTTTAAATGTCAAGAAATCTTCTAAATATCATAATTACTAACGAATTGTCTTCGATCGACCTTAAATGATAATAATTACATGAATAGCTCTTTTAGATCAATTTAATGATAATTGGTACATAAAAATTTAATATGTCAACTAATATCAATATTTCTTTACAACAGCATATTGCATCAACGCTCTGAAGATCGAAGACTTAGCTAAGAAAAAGCAGCTTTCAAATAGTAGCTGAATTTTTTAAGTTAAATGTAGGCCTGTTTACTATAATGTAACATAGTTTTTCTGCATTACCTTGAATAAATATTCGAACGGAAGTCACTCTGTGCATAAAACCATTCAAACAGTCCTTTCTGAACACTCTTCTATTGACATTCGCTCCTTTCCATAACGAAATCGAATTCTAGCAAATTGTTGCTGCATCGATTATAGTCTATTTGCGCGCCAAAACTATGCGATATAACGCCAGAGGTCGCCCTTAGAAAATAGACGCTTGGAAGGCTAGAGCAAATTATGAAGCCGTTCGTATTCCTCAGTTTGATCCTTTTTCCATCTTTTCAAAGTAAGTTTCATGGCAAATCTAATTTAAAAACAAGCTGATAGTTATGAGTAAAACTTTACCAGAAAATTAAACTAACTAGATATTTTTAATTTTATATACAATAGTACTTAATCCAGATGCTAAAACATCTTGCACTGCTCAGCAACTGCAACTTTATAATGTTTAATCATTTCGAATACATGTGATAAATTTATCAGATTTCTAGTTAAGTCTCAATTTATGTGTGAGTCAGCAGTCTGAAAGGATTAGATTTGGCTCTTGTAGAAAAATTTTTTTCTATAAAAATTTAAGTGAGACTTCATGTTGTGCTTAAAACATACTCTCTATGGTAAAAATCTGAGATAATCGGCGTAATTGATGTCTATTATTTGCCTGTTTGATAATTTACACAGCGATTGGATCGTCACTCAATCATGAAACGCCCTTTCGCAGACGGGCGTGGTGGCTCTGTCCCAAATCGTATTTTTCATTCAAATAGTAGATAAATTTATGTAGAGGTAATGCACGTATATGTGCTGCTCTACAAATAGGCATTTAATACGTTATAAATTTGTTTATCAGGTGTAGAAAGCTTGTGCCCATTAGGAAGTTTCGTCTGCTCAAATTTGACTTCGTACTGCGTTGAGCGTCGTAAAATATGCGATGGAGTTAAAAATTGTGATGATGGATCGGACGAATTGGATTGCGGTACACAATTGTTTTACTATCAATATATTATTTCTATTGTTACAACTCTAGATAAATATTCTATTTAGATTTGTTTACAGGCGACTTGTTTGAAGACAAAATGATAGACGCTCTTTTCCCAAAAAGACCCAGTGCCGATAGGCAAGATTGCTCGAAGGCGCCATGTTGTATGTATATTTTTTCTCCTGTATGAAAATTAATTTAACATAGCAAAATATTAATTTTCTAAATTAATTTAGTATTGATATTTCAATAGTTGAACGTAGTATAATAATCGAATGAGATATATAAACTACAGTTTACATAAAATATTTCAACCATGTGATTGAGTTCTTGAATTATTTTGCAATTGCGTTAAAAAGAAATCTTTTTTTTCAATCATCCGTCAATTATGTTTGATTAATTATCACATTTATCGCAATATTCTACAAGCAGAAGTCTGTTGAATCAATTTGAATTTTGCCAGACTTACAGAACTCTACGGAACAGTGCATTTGCTGTGGTTTTACCCTCATGTGTGCAAATTTGAATTGGACAAGTTTACCTGTTCTAAACGAGGACGTGAAATCTCTGTCAGTAAGCTATTTTTCACATCTAATTAAAATTAAAGCATTTTCCTCACGTAGTGACATTTCCGGCAATAGACTGCAGCATATCACCTTCAAATATCTACAATACATTCCAAATATTCAAAAGTTGTAAGTTAAATTGATCTTTTTTTTTAGAATAATAATAGTTCTTAAGTATAATCTTTACTCTCCTGTAGAACGATTATGAATAATATGATTGACTTCATAGAAGACAATTCCTTTTCCTCTGCTGCATCCCTACAATATTTGTAAGTGCAATAGGGTTCATTTATACTGTTTACAATAATAAATCAACGCTCTTCCAGATACCTTCATAACAACAACATTTCAAAAGTTCAACCGAGATTATTTACTTTTACAAAGCAACTAAAAATTTTGTGTGTATTTTATATTTATTTAAAGCTTGACTTTGTTAATAAATTCAATTACTCTACAGAGATTTATCGAGAAATAGGATAAAATATATACATCCGAATACTTTTAAGAATTTAAATCATCTCATTTCTCTGTAATACTAGTGTAATTCTAAAAATCTGTTCAAAACTTTAGAATTCTTTATTCGTCTAGAAAACTGGACAATAATAACATACAAAGTTTGGATAGTGGAGTTTTTTACGGTCTTACTTCCCTTGAGCATTTGTAAGTAAAAAAAAATTAATGAAACCTTATTAATAAGACATATTAGATACATAAAATACAAGGCATTAATCTATATTTTTGTCTTAGATTTTTAGGCGATAATAAACTTGAGTATATTGGTGAAAAGGTATTTTATGGCCTTGAAAATTTGGTAGATTTGTAAGTATTCATGAATGCTACGACAAATATTCACTTAAAAATGTAAACTTACATTATGAACATTTTGATATTTGCATAATATATGAGTTTACTTCTCTTTTATATTAAACAATGTATTAATAACAATTTAGCATGTTTTTATTTACACATTTTATTCATCAAATATATAGTGACAGACATATGTGTATGTACTATGTACTAATACATATATATACTATATATATACAGTATATATTAGTATGTTGATTCTGATCAAGTACTTAAAAGGCGTCGACCTCACTCAGTCAAAAGTTATTAGACTTGTAAAAATTCAATCAATAAATTCCCTATGTAATTCCAGATGGCTCAACTCCAATGAAATTTTGAAAATAGCAAAAGATGCTTTTACGATGATACCTAAGTTATCCCAATTGCTAGTATTTCAATACTAGTAAATAAAGTGATATAAAATGTTGCTACTTTTCAGATCTCTGGCTAGAAATTCACTTACAACCTTGGAATACTTATTTAAAAACTTAACCTACTTGGAAGCCCTGTATGTATTAACATGTTTTAAAGTATCAGTTAAACAAGTCAATTTTCTTGAAAAATTTGTTATCTTCCAAACAGGAATATTTCAGAAAACATGATTAGCTACTTAAAGCCTTCAACTTTTGCATCTTTAGAAAACCTCAAATCTTTGTAAATAGCTCTTCTTTTCTATTTTTAGCATTTATAAAATGAAAAGATTATTGGATAGTTAAAGGAAATTATGATATTTTATATGAAGTTATAACAATAGATGAGAATACTTTAATATGCTGTTACATTTTATCGACTCTGAAGTTATTTTTAACTAAAGCTATTTGAAATTTTATCGTACAATGTATAAAGCATGTTAAAGATGCGAATTCTATGAAACACTTCGTTGATTGCTTTTAAAAACATAAAAGTGCCAAGTAATAATATTATTTCGTTTTTTAGTTGACGAATTCTATCAATAACAATAATAATAATACTGATAGTTTACTAATTTTATCACGTAATACTTTTAATTTGAAGAATATGAATTTTTCATAATAATTTAAATATTATCTTTAAACATAATAAATATGCATAATATAGAAAGGGAAGCTGCTCTTTAGTCGGAGCTGCTTATCTTGATATGCTATTTTATTAATTCTCTTTGGTGGTCTCCTAGCCACCACTATAGGAGAGTTTAGTAAAAGAAAGGCCAACCGTAATAATTTAATAAATTACATCAGAGATCTACGAAACAATGATTTAGAAAATTTGGTGAACGAAGATGTTTTTTCTCCGCTCGAGAAACTTACTGATATGTATGATTTCTTACTGAATTAACCTAACTTGTTTTATTTTATTATTGACTAGATATCTACCCCATTTTCACATGTGCTCTTTAGCTTTACATGTCAGAAAATGCTATCCCAGAGGAGATGGTATATCAAATCACAAAAATCTTTTAGCATCTCCTGTGCTACGAGTATGCGTTTGGATAGTATCTATTCTAAGTGTGGTCGGTAACATGAGGGTAATTGTCAGTCGCATTCGATCTATGAGGAAGATTAGTCGTGGAAGAGGTCACAGTCTTTTAATCGTCCATCTGGCCGTCGCCGATATGCTTATGGGAATATATTTATTTATATTGGCCGTTCAGGATGCTTTGTTTAGAGGACATTATCTGTCAATGCAGAAGCGCTGGAGAAACAGTTCAACCTGCACTGTATGTGGTCTGCTTACAACTTCCTCTTATTTAGCATCTGCCTTTTTTATTGGCCTAATATCCATGGAAAGACTTGTGAGCGTAGAGAGACCGTTGCAAACTCTTTCAAGAAATTTTACGACGCTTCAAGCCTTTACTGTTATTATCTGGACCGTAGTAGGAATTCTTGTAATCATGCCTCTTATACCACAATTAACAGATTATTTTTCTACCACCTATTACACAAACAATGGAGCTTGTCTTCCTCTATATATACATGAACCAAGAGCAGTAGGCTGGCGTTATTCTGCTGGAACTTTTCTGGCAACAACTTTATTATGTTCCATGCTAGTATCAATTGTTTATCTGAAAATGTATACAGCTATAAGGCGGTCCTCAGCTTCAATTTCGAGCAGTGGTCACGGAAGAGAGGTTCGACTGGCTAGAAGGTTTGCCTTTATCGTGCTCACGAATTTGGCTTGTTGGCTGCCTGTAATCGGCTTAAAAGTGACGGCGCTCAATCGAGCGTCAATAAATTCGCGCGCCTACGCATGGATTGCTATATTCGTTTTACCGGTCAACTCGGCTCTTAATCCGCTTCTTTATACGCTCACTTCCTCCGCTTTTAAATTTAAGTGTTCCCGGCCGAATGTTATGACTGGTTTGACGGAAGTGAGTTTAAAACCTATTTAAAAATAATTTTACACTTCTAGTATCCTCGCATTTCTATGTATAATCTCCAATTTCATTTTAATAACGTACTATGGCATAGAGTAACGTTATAAAAATTCACAATCTTCACTTTATTATATTATATATTTGTTTTATTTTGTCAGAATACAATAGGGTTTTATTCATGATATTCTCTTTCAGACGAATGCTACCCTCTTACAAAGCCGATTGGCATCATCCAAATCAATGAACAGTAAGCGACAACGAGTGACTCAAATAAAATAATTAACAAAGATTATTTCTGATAAAATCGCCCGTAAAAAAACAGCAAAAAACTGCTTTGTTCTGCTTGTTTCATCTATACACTGTTTTTAAATAAGACTGCAAGCCTATAATGAAAGAGGAAATATACGCAATGTTCAAGCCGATAGTTTATTGGTCAGACCACATATGGCATTTAACAGATGTTTGAACATTATTCAGTGCCCGTGTATTCGGTTGCTGCAAATATATGAATTTTTGCTTCCTTTATATTTTAGTGTGTAACATTTCATGAATATTTTTTATATTGATGTATACTGTATATGTTTAAAAAAAGTATTGCAAAAAAAAAAACGACTTACATTACTCGTTAGAAATATACTAATAAATGAAATTTGGAAATTGACACTGTGCTTAATCCGTTATGACATCATTAACGGAGAAGAAACAATATAACAGTTTTGACAATGAAAAAATCAAGTGTAAGGAATTAAATGGACAGCTTAAAGGTAAGTAATGTTCTAAAGAGACATTTGAAGCCTGATATCAACATATATCTTTATCTGGCTCCCTACATCGACAGAGCTGACGATTGAAGAGGTAATTAACTTGTGCGGGTTTGGAAAATTTCAATGGAGATTATCCCTATTTGCAGGATTGGCATGGGTCTGTAAACATATAGCTCCTTAGTAAATAGAAGTATTAATTAAATGAGAACTATAAGCAGATTGCCGACTCGATGGAGATTATGATCTTGGCCATTCTCGGTCCCATATTAATTTGCGAATGGAATATTAGCAATTTTAAAGTAGCTCTCGTTACAACAGTTAGTATTCTCTAAGCCACATAGAAAATATTTATATCACACTTCACTTCTCTTAAATCTTATATTTTTCATTCAGTGTGTCTTCCTCGGCTTTCTTATTGGATCCCCTGTTATTGGTATATGCGCTGATAAATTTGGCAGAAAATCTGTAAGATTTATTCCAAAAATTAACTATTTTTGTATGATACCACGAAATGTAGGCCCTACTCAATCGATACACGACTATATTTAGATGTACTATATAAAAAGGAAATTTTCCTAAATGGTATAATGCATATACACCATGCTCTATTGTTAAATCCAATATACTTTAAAGTAAGGTTTCTACAACACTCGAATCCATAAATGAAAATACGACTAAAAAGTAGAGGACACTAGGTCAATTTACAGAAATATCCCTGAAACAAAATTTTTCACAGCTTTTTAATTTGCTGTGAATAAAGTAAACAAAACATTTTTTACTTTTGACAACAGGCTTTATTGTTATCTGCATCTATCGCTTTTTACTATGGATCACTGACGTCTGTGGCCCCTTTATTTATTTGGCTCTTGATTCTGCGATTTATAGTAGGCATTGGTGTTTCTGGGACACCTCAGGCGTAAGTTATATAATTTAAATGATAGATGATATCATTTTATCCTTCACGTTCAAATGTCAAGTTTTATATAATTGGTGACCAAATAACTATAATTTTTATAGCATAACATATTATTCTGAGTTTCTACCGTCGAATTCTCGAGGAAGAAGTATCATGCTAATTCAAGTTAGCTTTCATTTAAACAATTATTTTCTATTATTACTTATTTGTGATGATACTATCAGTTCTTCTTCGCCTTCGGCGCTGTTTTTGAGGTTGTCCTTGGGTTCCTTATTATACCGTCAGCAGGTTGGAGGTGGTGGATTGTGACCAGCTGTCTGCCTCTTGGAATATTTATCTTAATAACAGGAGTTAATATATTTTTATTCCTCCGTTTGTTTAAGAATAACAACAATTCATTTTTCTCTAATAGTTTCTGCCCGAGAGTCCCAGGTACGACTTGGCAAGTGGAAATGTAATTGCAGCTAAAAAAACCTTAGATTACATTGCCGAGGTTAATGGAATTGATATGCCTTTATATAAATTGAAATCTAAACAGACAGTTAGTAGCAGGTGGCGCCATCTATTGTATTTAATAGCAAATAAATTGCAGGAGGGCAGAGGTGATGTTAAGGAACTTTTCAGCAAACAACATAGAATATCAAGTTTACTTTTATTTTGTATATGGTAAAAATCTTTCTAATATTCTTTTAGCAGAAATTTATCATTTAAATTTATTATCTCTAGGTTCGGATGTGGATTCTTATATTACGGGATTTCATTACTAGCCACAGAATTAGTCAAAGAAGGACAAACTTGCATTTCAGGAGCGAAATTAAAAACTTTATGTGAATGTAAACCTCTGAAAACAGAGGATTATCTAGATTTAATGCTTACTACTGCTGCTGAACTACCAGGTTCTTAGGCAAATAATCTTATATAATGTCAATAATATAAATATTGATAAACCTGTAGGTTTATTGATGATGATTATCGTCATTGATAAAATTGGTCGGAAATTCAGCATACTAGCCAGTTTCACAACGTCTGCAGCGGCTCTATATCTTCTTCTCATATGCATGAGCAGGTTTGTTAACTCTATAAAGTTTAAAATATATATTGAGATTTGTTATTTAACGGTCAATTAAACAATATAATAGATACCCAATGGTTACTCTACTGTTCATAGCACGGGCTTTTATATCAGCTGGTTTTCAAGTAGTTTACGTCTATACACCCGAGGTAAGTTTAATGATAATAGCAGCCAAAGGCAATCATCTGAAATAACAATGCTAATCCATGAAACAGTATTACCCTACAAACTGTCGGGCAGTCGGTTTAGGAACCTGTTCTGCATTCGCTAGACTTGGAGCATTGATCACTCCATTTGTTGCTCAAGTTTTGCTGCAATCTTCTCATTACTTAGCATTTGGACTTTATGCGACTGTTGCCCTTATTATAGCCGGTTGTGCAATTATTCTACCAGTTGAAACTAAAGGAAGGGCTCTGGAAAACAACAATTGAAAGTTTATCAAAAATAAATTATCCTCAAAACTTGACATATTTATTGTAATTTTGTTTAAATGTACAATTGCCAATATTACCAAGGGCAAGATATCGCAGATGAATTAACACCCAGCGAATGCTGAGTCAATAGCAATTAAGGAAACGATGCATTGTTTACATCCGTATACCAGCCTCGCGCTTCTAGTCTTAAACAGGCATTCATTGTATGTAGCGTAATTAGAAGAACCTTGTAAAACAATAGAGGAACGTTTGATGTATGAGTGCTTCATTCTTTATCCACTAAATAGCACATTTGACAATCATCAGTTTTTCCCTTCGCTTGATTTCTTTTTTTCTTTTATACGCAGGTGCTGTCTTCACATGCAAACGCCCATTTATGTGGAAAAATTACAAATTATGTCAGTATTATACTGTATAAATGTTTGAGCGCTATCAAAACGGCTATTGAATTTACATAAACAATTATAATATCCGCTTGTTTATACTATACTCGATTGCCTTTTATACGATAATTAAAAAAGAGTAAAACCCTTTTGCAACAATTTAATTAAATATCTTAAAGTTCCCCGATCCATATATGATTTTCGAAGCGTAATAAAAACGTTCTCTTCAATCTTTAACGTATATAGAAAGTAATTAACGACGAGACATCAAAGACAGATGTATAAAAACTATAAGAAAAAGTGTGGGAATCCCCCAGCTGTTCACATATCACTAATTAAGTCTCAATCAAGTGCTCTCCCTCTACAAATGCTTACTCTCCTTCGCAACACGTTTTAATCGTTCGTACTAATGCACTCTCAAATAAAAACACCACTTTTGCTCAACAATCATCAATATATTCACAAATACTCTGTAACAAATACAAGTCGTATCATCAGCATAATCAATATTCATTAAAAAGTTTCGTGCAATACTCCACGGTGATTAGTCAACATTCTCTTTTAGCAGCCAATCAGCATCCAATATGCGTATTAGTTTGAGCTAAATGTCGGTTTTATAGTGTGGTAAAAATTCTTCAAGATATTGGCGCCCGGATTCGAAAAGCTCGAAGAGGGTGGCATAAAAGCGACGTTATAAAGCCTTTATGTGCATAGTCAACAATAATATACCCTCTAAAGTCGTAAAATTTTATATTCGTCTTCGTTGACTCCTTAACTCTTCACTTTCTCTAAGTATGGATAACAAGCCCGATGTTGAAATGGAAGAAAAACGACCCAAAAGGGGTCTTTTTTCTATTGCGGATATTCTTGAAATAGATAAACGAAAACCAGAAGAGAGTGATTCGGAGAACGTAGATATTGAAACTCTTCCGAAGAAAGAAGATGTAAATAATTTGGCGAATTTCGTTCAAGAACTAAATACAGCCAACGCATTAACTTATTCTCACCTAACACCAAGCATGTGGAATGCCCTTGTTCATTCAAAAAATGTTGAATCTGGTAACAGCATATGGAATAGCGAGGATTCTCAATCAATTCTGGCTCGAAATCATTTTGTTTCTCTACAAGGTAAATTATCTATCCCTTAAACTTTACATTGTATATATTTAAATTATAAAAATACGCAATCGTCAAAAAATTACCAGCTCCCAAACCTCTGACACGAAGAATGAGGAAACCAGGAACAGACAGAAAACCTCGCCAAGCATATTCTTCTAAACAGCTAGAGAGACTAGAAAACGAATTCAAAGTTTGAATTCTATGAAATTCTATAAACTTTTTGATTTATATTTAACTTTTTTTCTCATTTAGAATGACAAGTATTTAAGCGTCAGCAAGCGGTTAGAGTTGTCTCAGGCGTTATCACTAACAGAAACCCAAATTAAAACCTGGTTTCAAAACAGAAGGTAAGACGTTATAAATGAGCTTAAAAGGTAAACATATTAAGCCTTCTTTTAAAATAAGAACGAAGTGGAAAAAACAGATGACAGCGAGACTCAAAATAGCTCAGAGACAGGGCATGTGGGTACCGTCTCAATTGTGGTGTCCGCCCTCTAGCGGACTTCAACAAGTACCGTCCACAGCCTTCTCTTTACAACCGTCAAATTCAACGTTTTACTGATGTCATTGTATTTTTAATCGTTCATAGATATAATTATTCATAGACAGTATTTTTGTATATGTAGCGAATGCTATTATAGACCTCTTTGATCTATTATTATGGGAAAATCACTAACAAGCGTTCTCTAAGGATATACGAAAAGCTTAACTTCGATGAAATAGTTGTTAATAGTCATAAATTCCCCGGATATTTATCAGACTTTGAACACATGCGCGACAAGCGAGTCCCAATGACTAAATGTCATTTAATGAAAATATTACACTCTGAATCATTTTAACGAATCTTGCGTATTTTCCTACTACCTTAGAAAACTCTTTGAATGAGATACTCTAATATACAGATCAAAGATAGAGAAGGTTGGTGTTTGATATGTTATTTAAATGCTGTTTATGAACATATGCTCGTTAAATGTCTACTAAAGTCAATTGCCATAAAGCTAAAATTTGCCATTGAAATCATCTTTGTTCAATGTTTGTCTTATACAGAAATAAAATTCTCAATTATAAGATTAAATTATAAGAAAGGCTAAAAGTCAGTAAAAAAGGCGTTGTTAAACGTCAATTGTTAAAGATGAACATCCAGTATGATACAAGTTTTGGCACCAAAATTTTACATATCCTTCAATTTTTTTCTTATAGTATCTTGCAATACAGTTAAACTATCTTTGTCTAAATCATTTATTAAGAGCAAAGATGCTTGGAGAACGTTATTCTGCACCTGAAAAATATTACATTTTAGAGTTCTAGACACGTAATTACTTAAAGACTATTGATTAATTTTAATTTTATCACCTACCTGACTAACAGAATTTTCATGGAGAAAAAATTTTGGTTTATTTTTTGAACTGCACGAACCCTTTTTCTTTGTTCTCAACGGCTTCAGTCCCAATTCTACTCTTAATTTGCTTTTAAAAATAAATAGACAATGATATATTAATTAATTGATTAATTCTTCGTTGTTTGAAAAGAATAATAATGAAGACGTACTTAGTTTCCTCTAAAGTAAGATCATCTGTATTTTTGAAATTACTTTCAGATTTTCTTCTGGGTTCTATTTGTGATTGGATTGACTTTGGATCTTGTTTTAGTTTAAAAAAAGTGTCATCATCACTTAATACTCGCGGGACAGGCTTTTCAATATCATCTTTTCTTATGAGAAGACATTGATCGTTATCTTCTCTGACGGTATGTGATAAAGAATCAGGTTCGAGTTCTCCTTCACTTAAGTCAGTTGAGGGAGTACTGTCTTCCTCTTCAGAAGAAGCTTCATTATCTGAAGTATCTGGAGTTGATGAACTATCTTCTGACTTCTCTCCCTCTATTCTTAAAAGAACGCCTTTATCGTCCGCTTCTTTTTTTTCTTCTGGTGTAACTGCTGCTTATAAAAATGCTACTTTACTATTTGAAAACGTTGAATATATATCATTATCAACATACGCATATTATCCAACTTTTGTAAGTTAGGTAAAGTACGGATAACAGTTTTCCTATAGTGATCGTTATTTGTACAGGGGTTGTCTGAGAGCCACAAAACCCTCAGCTTTTTAAGGCGCTTTAAATAACATATTTCTTGTAAGTCTGACACATTATTTTTTCTGATATAGAGTTCTTCTAAATTTTTACAAGCAGAGAAAGGCTTTAGTGTAGATACTTTATTCATACTAAAATTAAAGTAGTTAATAAAACATTAGAGAATTAATTCATTTTTAGCATAAACCAACCTGAGACTTAATATTTGAGCATTCTTTAGCTTCGATATAGAGTTTATGTTGATCAAATTACTTCCCCTTTTAAAAATATGTTTATAAATATTGAAAGTTGATAAGAACCGTGCAAAATAATGATTTTTTTTAATACAATTCTTTTTTACATACCAACAATTTAATTTTCGAACGTTAGATAAATCTGAACACCTGGTTCTACTTAAAATAAATTCCTCTGTTAAGATCGTCATAGTTAATTCTTCCTTTTTTTGAATTTTCAATCACATCGACTTTATCAGTGAAAGAATTCTTTGGTTTGGTTATATGGTACAGAGAGGTAAATGGGCATTATTTTTCGACGTGCAACAAGAACCACGTCACAAGAAACTGGTAGAACCGAGCACGTGTGTTTCGCGATTCTCCAGTCGGCAAATGATCGATATAGTTTTATAAGTTTATTGAAATGGCTTCAGAAAAAATTCGAATTAGATTAGATATTGATCCTAGTCTTATTGATTTCAATAAAATACCATCTAGTAAGATATGGTATCATTTGAACTTTAAGGAACAGCCTACGATATCTTCCTTACTGAACGATATATCAACGAAATTTTTGTGGAAGCAAACGTCTCATTTAAAAGCATCGTTACAGCAATATCACTTACCAAAAGAAGAAACTACAAAAATAATTGAAGAAGATGAAATTTTAATGTAAGGTTTTTTTAGTCTTCAAACTGTTTTTTACATATCTTCAAAATATTTTCAATTAATCAATCAATTAGAATTCATTGAATATCTTAAATAGTATTGAAGAAAGATAATGAAAAGTATATTTATACTCTAATCAGTTACTTTTTCTGCAGAATAACTTATCATAAGAGCATTAAGCGGAAAATTTCTGAGGGTGATGAAATTTGCTCAATGAAAAAAGTTTTTACTAATAATATTGATGAGGCTGCTAATACGTCGCTAGTTAACCATTCAAGTAGTAATTTTCAAAATAAAGCTGTCAACAATACTGAAAGTCCAGCTCAGACATTAAATGACAGCTTTGAGGACAAAACTGATGTCGGTTTAGTCCGTCGACGAAATCGGAAACGAAGAAAAAAAAACAAAACAGATGTAAATGAAGACGCCTATACAAACACAAGTTTCATATTAACTAATTCTACAGTAGGTTCAAATATTGTTCCCAATATAAAACCACCCAAGAGCAAAAGGCGTTATAAAGATATACTACCAGCTTCATCTCACATTACGTTTCTTTCCGACGAAGAGAAGGAAACTGTCGAAACTTCAAAAAATACTGACGAAGATAACAATGGAGTTCCCTGTAATGAAAGTTTCAATAACAACACGAATCAACTATCTGACGAGGACAAACAAACAGAGGAAATGGATGTATCTAAAACTGAATCTACGCCATGCCAAATGCCTGTAGTTACAAGAGAAAAAAAAACTACAACACCAGTTATTCAAGATGATATTATCATTTACAAGCGACAAAGGAACAGAAAAGAAATTAAATCTTCAATGGCTCAAGATTTAAATAGCTCGACTCCTTGTACTTCTTCTATTGTGAAGAATGGGATTTCTATTGAAAGTCTTTTAGCTAAAGGTAAAGAAATGAAAAAGCCTCCAGATATAAACGATTGGATTGTGTATAAGGTTTGCTTACTTATGTCAAAATTTAACAGTTACGTGATTTCTATTTGTTCAAATAGATTTTAGAATTGGGCTCGTCATATACTCCTGAAATAAGTGATTTTCGTTTTGGTAAAGTTATTGATTACGATCAAGTTACACAACAATTAGACGTTAAATTAGTGCTTATCAAGAGCGACGAAACATATGAATTAGGCACTTTGGTAATTGTGTCAGTTTCTGAGTAGTCCTCTAATATTCAATTGGATTTATTTTCAGGATAATGTCTGCTGGACTTCAATGATTGAACCGAGAGTAGTTGAAGGCTTTGATTTAGCGAATGTGAAGTAATAATTATGCAGGATAGAGCATAACATAATCCACTTGTCAGCCACTTGAATCATTCGCAACGTAGTATTGCCGTTCTAATATTTTTTAATCCGTTCGCTCGATTTTGTTTGTTCTTGGGCTAAACTACTTTCTAGTTTACTTAACAATTCATTGTAGATTTTGGAAATTCAGCTGTCTATTATCTTTTCTTTTGTATTGAGATATTTCACAGCATCGTGTGAATTTTAAGTCTACTGTGTTGACTACTTCATTCTTAAATTTTTGATTTTGATTGAATAATATTGTTTAATTAATAGACGCTCTGAAATACCTCAAAACTAATTTTTTATCCATCATCCTTTTGCTTAAATTTCTTAAACGATCACAACTCATATTTTGAATATCTTTTGACTCATGACACCATAGTTCTGTTAACTTTTTCTTTTTGTCAGGTAAAGAAATTTGATGCAAGTTAGATACTGGTGATTCAGTAACTAAAAATAAACTCTCGCTAGCGTATATTCGATTCATGTTAGATGCTGGTCTAGATCTTTCCCTGGCAGATAAATATTCTCTATGTGAACTTCTCTTATAATTTTCAATATTTCTGTAGTATAGTTCAAGCTTTCTGTCAACTGTTTCTCGTTCTTTCACATTGTCCAATAGTGCTTGTTGATAGTGGAGCCTTGAGGGAGCAGTTTTTACAGTTCTAACGGGAGGAGGTAAATTATAAACTTGAGCTGTTGGCAATTGAGTTGTTGAGTTTGTCCGTGACCTGTATATATCATTGCAACGATTTCGTTAAATATATGTAAAAAAAAAACTATTAACCGCATTACAACTAAATAAAGTAAACGCATATACACGATAGATATATAAAAGGAACTTAAATTTCGTTTTAGATTCTAATCTCAAATGGATAACATTAAAAAACTAATTCTTGTTTCGTAATGGAATTCTAGTTATGATTAAATAAAAAAAAGATATGAACTCTATATTCAATCGAAATTTTCCTCTACGATTCTTTGTGGCTTCTATCCTTTTATCAAGTCTTTCCTTTTTTATTATCATCACAGCTCGTTGCTGATTAATGGCTTGAACAGCTATTCTCTTTTCATATTCCAACTTAGCGAAAAGTCTATTTTTATAACTTGATAAATCGTGATGAGCTATGTAAAGTTTTCTAGCTTTTTCAGGTGAATACATATGCTCAAAGTTAACAGTTGTATCTTGGTAGCTCCTCATCGTTCGAATTTCAAACGCCGACTCAGCTCAAGGCGCTCTAAAAAGTAGTTTATTGGTAAGTTCATAGGCCTTTGATCATTGGTTTAGAACTGATATTCTATTTAAGGCTAGGCCCAATAAGACACTTGTATTATCTGATATTTGTATTCACCGAAATTGTACAGGCGAAAAACCACTTTAATATCTACTTCGATACTTCATATATTTATATGTATTTCTATATTCAGTATATATACTTTAACTTAATATATTAGTTGATATTATGTATGGTGTTGTAATCTTTTCAAATCTTTACTTTTAAGTTTTCTTATTTTTTTCGATTTACCACTTAACAACACTATATAAAAAATTCGGCATACTTCTTGAGTGATTAGACTCTTAATATTTATCACAATTTGCGGATGTTGATGAGTGTCTCGTGCGTTATCTATAATTTTTATTTACTCAAACTACAAAATCAGTTCGATACACTTCGATACTTGCAATTCGGTAATCGATTTTTCATTCTCGGCACTTTGTTCTTTTTGAGTTGACATTTTTCACTTTAAATGATTATCACTCACACTACGAAAAAACAATAGAGCCATTACGCATATATAGTTTCAAATTTTTCCGGTTATTTTCCTGATTCATCTTAAATCGACGCTTTAGCTCTTAAATAGAAACTTTCAAAGTTTGTTGGTTATTAAAAATTTTGAATATAGAAATTTTTTCGCAGTTTCGAGTACAACACTATGCTAATTCTAATCTCCTATTTCTTTATCGCCGCATTTGAAATAATGCAAAAAATAACTTCCCAGAGTTAGCTTATTTTCTTGGAAGTTATTAGTATCAAGAACTTAGAATATATATAAATATGTCTTTGTAGGAAGTTAAAAAAATGGAAAAAACAATATGCCACTTGAGAATATAAAACTTATAGAAGCTATCGAATACAGTATCATCAAATAATATAAGGTTGCTGCTAATATGTGTAGAGAAGTACGCTTAAGTATACTGATAACGAATCAATAATCGTATTGATACTCATTCTGAATTTATAGCTTGCAGTTCTAGAACCGATCATTCTATTCCAAAATTTTCGGTAAAATCTTGAATAAATGCACAATCAGTACTCTACTTACTTGGTTGGAATAACTTTTTGGTAGTTTTTTCCCCAAAATATAAATGACTACTTTTAGTCATTTATAGAGCAACTTTTTATAGTATGAATGTTCTAAAGATGTTGTTTGAAAAAAAACTGAATGAACATTCATATACTATCATGTGTTGAATTTGTCTCAAGTGAAATAATTAATCACGATGTCGAGGGAGAGAAATTTATCTCTTGGGTGTGGCATTTAAAAAATTGTTACTTGTTCTCTATAGCAATCAAGTTATGCGTATAATTCGAAGGTATGTGATAGAAGCGATCTGTGGCTGTTTTGTCAAAATTTATCTTTGACTAATATGTTCCAATCTCAATTGCCAGCGAATAATTTGAAAACTATTAATAATAAACTCAATAGAAGCTCTGAAACATTAAAAATTAGAAATGTTCGCCAGGATATCATTTCTCATACTTTATTGAGAGGAGAAGTTTTTAGTTGGTCAAAAATTAATTACCAAGTTATTTTGGGGGTTGCAGGATTTGGAATATTAATACTTTTGTTATGCTCTTTAACTTATTATGTGAACTGCAATAGTTTTCATTTCCAAGCTAAAAAAAAAACAAAGAAACGTATACTCAATAAAGACATCCCTAAACAACCTGATTGGATAGTTGCTGTACCCTTATCAAAGGCACGAATACAAACTGATTGGAGAAAAGGAAGAATAGGAAAAGGACTAACGAGAGTTAATTGCAAAACTATTAAAGTAATTACAATAAATTTTCTTCAGTTTAATAATGTAGATTCCATTGTAATGATCATTCTTTTTAATATTTAGATGATTCATACTACCGAATCTGTCTCCTCAGTTGCCGAACTTGACCTCCTATTAACAAGTGGAAAGCATGCCTTTGCGATTATGTGGCCATCAAATCAATATAGAAATTCAAATGCTTTCTTCAGTATTGGTTTGTCAAATGGTGAGTTAGACTCCCTAGATGGAATTGAAAGTCGTTTCATTGTTGGCCGAACGAAATCGTCTGTTGCATTCGATTTAATAGGAAAGACCATATTTCATAATAATCAAATAGTCAAACACTATCCTGGACATATGAAAGAAGAATCTTGCCTGCCAACCCTTCTATACATGTATGTTGACATTGATAGGTCAATGTTATCGTTTGGTTGTGAAAAGCATTTCTGGGGTGAAGCATTAAACCTTAGACTACTAGGCACAAAAGTTCATGGTTTTCTCCCAGTACTTTCGGCTTGCGGAGTGACAGGCAGCGTTATGTTATTTTATAAAGGACAGTTTGATTAATTGTGTAACATAATATTGCTTCTCTTAAACGTAATATTTCGTTGTAAAAAAAAAAACATTCGTTAAATAAACGGCTTATAGCAAATTGTACAATTTGGATTACAATAACTATACATGCACAGCATAAATATGCAGCTTTTTGAAAAACATAGTCCATATTATAAAAAGATATAATTTCTTAGCATGCAATAAATGTTCTAGTTATTTACAATTAATTAATTCATCCACTTCCGACAGTTGGACGAAGAGCAAAGGCACGGTATTTTATGCTGATCATCTTCAAAGTCAAATTTGTAGTCGTACGTTAACTATAAAAAAAAAACAAATTATTATAAACTGCAAGCTTTAAAAGTCAAAATGTCTTACCTCCTCGCCTCGCGTAATTCTTCGTTTAGCTATTATTATAATTTTTAATTCACCTCTTTCAAAAGGTACTACCTCAGCAACACAATTTGGATTACATGAATGATTTATATATCTCGCAGGTCCACCACACATTGTAGCGTCTATTACATATGAATCGTTAAGTCTGAACATATATACACCTCTGTTTTGCTGTTCATATAATCTTTCACGAATGTCGCATAACTCAGCACGAATTTGTTCTCCAACGTATTCTATTACCATAGTATGTTTTTCTAAATCTCTTGCAGCATACAACCCTAGACCTTGAATATTGCTTCTTCTTAAGTATACGTTACACCTCCATTCTACCTTCAATTTTTTGTACTGTTGGGACTTGGAATGAACAAAATGTTTGTTGTACAAATCTAGTGAAGACATTGCGTTGCTTGCACTTTGATGTGGGTGTCGAGTAGGACTCGTATTCAAATTAGAGCTCATTCCTGGGAGCGGTCTAGTTTTCATATGAGTTTGCATTTTTGGTTCTGATCGGGCACATCCGGTTGGGTTAATAGCCAAAGGCGGTTCGATAAACGGTGTTCTACCAAACTTGGAATTATAACCTGTCAGCATTTCTGCGCATGGCAGGGATTCCAATACTCTTACAATTAAAGGTTCTGACAAGCCAAATAGTTGTTCGCCTGAGATAAAAGCAGGAAACATATTAACTAGTTCAGCTTTTTGACGCAACTTCTCCACCGCTCTGAGAATAGGAAACCAGGCCAAGCCTGGAGTTTGTCCACTAAAAGTTTCGTCTTCAATTCCAGGTTCATGAGTGGAAACAGTGAATTTTGGTTCTCCATTTTCTTCGTCTATAGAGCAATCATATCGGCAACGGGCATGTACAGTTCTATAACTCCAGTATAATCTTCTTGTTCTAAAACCAACAGGATATATATAATTTTGAGTATGGAATTTTCCTGATGAAATCTGTTGAGGAAGCAGTTGGCCGACTGCTTCTAAAGTTAACGATCCTATCCTCACTTTACATTGTTTCTCTTCAGTTTTATGAACAATGGATGCTACTTGTTCAGTTTCTCGTCGGCTAACATATACTTTTCGGAAAACTTTTAAAGAATTCAATACACCTTCAGGTTCTGGCATATTTTTATGCTTGTTACATAAAATTGTTTTGTCATGAAAAAATGTACATCCCTCAACTTTTGCACACCTGACGTGAAAAGGAGCTGCGCAATTAGTTTTGAAACAGGATAAAGTTGCTCCAGGTCGTTTACATTTGGTACATTTTACTGATGAGCCTCTCTTTAAAGCATCAGTAACATGGATTAAACTACCATTCATTGTCTCATACACCTCAGATGACCAGAGAGCGCAATTTAGATGCACCCAGACTGACACGTCATAGTTTAATAGCCTTCCTGGTCCATCTGTTTTTCCATCGCCTAGATGACCACAGAAACAGCATTTTCTTACATCTTCAGGAGTTGGTCGAATTTTTATTGCAACACCCATTTTTTGCATTAATTCTTTCACTTCTTCCTTTGACAATGGATCCGTAGGCTTAAATTCTTTTGCACAACTGATATTCCACCTCTTCCAGCCAGCCTCTCGTAGTTTCTTCATTTTTGGTGGATCAAGAAGTTTTAAGGAGGGCTTCGAAGGCGAATCTGGTGGAGAGACTTTTTCTTGTGAAACCTGACTGGTAAAATTTCTATTTGGTGTCATCATAGTTTGAGTGGCTGTTGATGACATGCAAGCTTCCTTTTGCATTTGCATATATAGCTTCGTCTTTCTATAGTATTCTTCGGGAGAATAAGCCTGACTGCAAGTTGAACTACAAAACATCAGGTCTTCGTCCTCGTAGTCAAATTCATCTTTGTTCAAATAGTCACTCTTTCTCTTCTTGACAGCCGATTTCAGTATCATCATGTCACAATTTTTACACATTCTAGGCTTTGACTTAATAAGTGATTGAATATTGACAGCATCCTCTTTCACTGAAATAATATTGTAATTAGTAAATATTGAATATCTATAAAGTAATGCTTACTTGTAACATTGCTTTGTCCGGATGAAACAGCCTCTGGTGATGGTGATCGGGAAATTTCATAAGTTGGAGGTACAGAAATTTTCAATAGATCCGCCAAAGTGTTAAGAACTGAATTAATATCCTCAGGAGCTTTAACACTTAACGTTAAGGTTACTTCTGTTTGATCTTTAGTTGTGTCCCTTGCTTTAAACGGCAAGTCTGGCGTCATTGGCGGTTGTGATTCTGGCTCTAAGATTCCAGAAATCGTTGAATTCTTACCAAGACTTAATTGGTCCGATTCAACAGGTGGAATTGTACTTAGATTTAGAGCTAATATGAACAAGTATAAATTTTATTTACCCAAATTTCTGATAAAATTGTCACTTACCTCGTCTTGCTATAGGACGAATAAGAGGTACTTCAGGACTGCTACAATCAATGCGATCTTTGGTAATTTTTAATTCACTTGGCCTGATAAGCTTAATCAGATTATCATTTTCAGAACAATCAGCTGGCGGTGACATGGATACCACAGTACATGGAGACTGATTACTATTCCTGTGTAAAAATATAGCTCATAATAGCAAAAAAATAACATTTAAAAGCACTCTCATACCTTGACATCATATAAATTCTATTCGTAAGATTATTTTGTGGTGGTATGAGAGGAGGTGTTATTGAAGGAATAGCTTGATGAACAATTGAGTTTTCTTTATCTGAAGCTTGACCTCCGTCACCTAAAATAGTAAATATGTACACTTTAACTATGTATTTATTTATTGACAAATACGAACCATTCTCAAAGCATTCATTTACTCCTCGTGTAACTTCACTATCCATATTACTTTCAGAGTCTACTTTTGGTAGTGTAAAATGTTCTTCATTCTCATCTTTATGTGTTTCTTTTTGAACCTTAAATTTTCCAGTTCCATAAAAATCAACAGCCGGTAATTTTTCTTTATCTATAGTTATGACAGCTTTGCCATAATTTCCTGTCAAAATGGTTGATTGGGCAAAGTTATTTGGTTGGCCCTTAACAGGAACAACGCTATTATTGAATAGTACTTCTGGTTCCTCCAGATGACATCCAGGAAGAGAACGTAAATGTCCCATTACCTATACACAACATATTGAATTCAGTTTATACAGTTAATTACAATGTCTAACCTGTTCTACAACTGCGGTATTGTAATCATCTATTTGGCGAGCTGGAGCGCCTGCACCTGGTGGTGGTGGAGCCATTACTGGTGACATTTGCTGTTTCCTCTGTCGTTTCTTCGAATCTAAAAAATATCGTTTGTAAACTCATATCTAAAATTATTTATTATGGACTGTACCTTCTTTTCTTTTCCTTTGTCTTTGTTGTTTCTGACCCACTTTCTTTTTTGCCTCATCTTGAATAACAACAGCTGAAGGAGGCAAGGCCTGGTGTGGCATCATATGTATATGATCAGGAGATACATGATGATGCATAAGAGGGTGTGGTGTCATAGGGGGTCGCTCTGTCCATTCTTCTCTTTCTATATGCATAGGCATGGATTCTATTAGAGCCAATTGATGTTGTTGTTGCGGTGTTAACGGTACAGCATTAGGTGAGTGAGAGTGTGGTAAGCCTTCGGCTTGCTCCATTGCATTATTATCCTTTTGTTTGTTATTTAGAAGTTGCTTTAAAAGAGCGTTTCCAGCAACGCTTTTAGCATCTGCGTCTTTGTCGTCTAAAGGGATGCAATAAGCAAATTTAATTTGTAGCTGACATGAACACACCTATTTCGTGATAATTCACTATAGATCGAGTCAACTTGATTTTTTAATCACGTGTATGACATTTATAGCATTTACCTAGAAAATCTTTTCCTTCATCTTCTCCGTCTCTTTCTTGCTTGATACTGAATGGAGTTCCACTGGAGGATGAAGGGCGACTCGGTTCCGACTTGTCAGAAGCAGCTGATTCTGGTCTGCCCACTCCGGGTGATACTTTGGGAAATGAGGTGTGTAAAGGAGACACCTGTGGTTGCATACTAGCCAATCTTTGGAGGTCAGAAACAGGTCCTGCTCCTGCATTTGGTGCATTTATTGCACTTGGTGGCGACATCCTTGTCATGGAAGCTGAAAGTACAATTTTTTTGTAAGTTTTCATTTCATAATGTGTTAGTATATGAATAAAGCAAAACAAAATCATATCAGACAGATTTTTGAAAACATCAAGCGTGTGAACGACTGGTCTAATGATTAGTCAATACATAATATATGTATATATCTTAATATTTGTTCTTTAGACCATTCGCTGATCTCACAAAAACTCTACTAAGACAATTAGTCAATATGAAATCTGAAAATAAAATATAAATAATTAGTATAAAAAAGGGTGCAGCCGATCTCGTGTTCAAAGTTCAATTTTATCAATTTTAGTAAAATGCCATTTCTAGTGGTGAGTATATCGTGAAGCAGAAAAGAGACACTTCAAGCGCAACTAAACCTTCTTCTTTTTTTTTTTTGACTCGCTTTCGTTTTCTTTTTTCTTCTACTTTCTCTTCAAATACTGCAGATTGGGGCGTATCTGATAATTTGTTTGAATTGAATAAAAGTAAAACACATATTTATAAATATATCCCGAAATCGTAACACTTCTATTGTCACATGATAATAACTATGTTTATTCTTACTTTGTCCGTACGGGGCGTTGTACACATAAGGTATCCTTGGTCCTCCTTCGCCGCCATAGCTCATCCTTTGACCCTCCGGCTGCATTCCTGGATATCTCAATGGACCTCCATGTGGTCCAGCGTATCTTGGACCAGCAAACTGTTGTGGTCCTTCTTGATTAAAATTTGGATGAGTAAATCGTGGCCGAAAATCCAAATATTGACCTGGTGCTGTGTAAATAAGGTGTAATTCTCTTTTGCTCAATTTTAAATTAACATAAACAAACTGTGATGCTGTTGTGGCGAATCACCATGCTGTTTTAAATGTTGCTCCATTTGTATTCTCTGTTGTTCTTGCAAATGCAGCTTCTCTAAGTGTTCCCTGTGTTGATACGTATCGCTAAACGGGTTATTTTCATCCTGAAAATGAAATGTTTACCTTTAATCACTTAAAGAATTGTCATCTTAAGACTAAATATAAAACAAATAACGATTACTTTATTGATACAAAATATTACATATTTTTTTCAGAAAAAAATTAATACTTTATTTTAATATTAAGATGCTTATCCTGTGAATTACATGGAATGTCTTGTAGAATCCATAATGAGAAATATAAACAAAATTTCACAACAGATACGATGTAAATATTAATTAATTTTTAAACCTGTTGTACTGCGTACTTAGTTTCATCTCTTTTCACGTTCGGCTTGCTTCCTGACTGTTTAATAAATATAATTCTTATACGCATATGTCAATATTTAATATCCATATTACTTATTTTAAATAATGTGCCCTATTTCACGCTTTTACATTTTTACATTGTGCAATTAACATCAAAAATTTAAATTTCTTTCTATATAAGACAAACCAGCATCCAGCCTAATCCTTCGATAAGATAATAGCTATCAAAATTATTCTGACGCCTTATATCAAATATAAAAAACTACATACTGTATAATATGTAATTTCAAGTATACATATAACGATGTATATACCAATCAAATACAAATTATACAGTATTTTTAAATGTATGATAAATGCAAAGGATAATTAGACACGGTCAACGAGTCATTCAACAGAATAAATTCATGCACCAGCTGTACACACCAAACCTGAAAGAGGGAAAGTTTAGCACCAGACGGAGCAATTAAGAGGCGCAAAGAAAGAGCAAATTTCTCCAAGTCTTCGCTCTTAACGTAGGGCTGCATGCCGTAAACTAATTATCATGCTAGAGCAAAAATTACTGATCTGTGCCTACTGCAATAGAGGAATATGTGCTAAGGATAAAATTCTGAAATTATAAAGATTGACTCTTGTCGTTTTAAGAAGAGGTTTAGAATAGTTTGAAAATAAAAGCATGGGAATAATTATGTGAATGCACTTATGTGTTATGTTTCTAATGTATTATACTAACATTCGTCAAGACTTGTGGGCCTTGACTTGCTTCTCGAAGGCGTTGTTGAATGTACTCATCATATTTTTGCCTCATATGAGCCGGCAGTCTAATAGGCGGTTGACCAGGTATTCTCGGAGAATTCATTGGGCTATTCTGGGACATTTGTACGTTTTGGGTTTGTTGTTGCATTTGCAAAGCACCAAAACGTTCTTGATTTTTTGTATGATAATCTTGCATAAGTTGTTGGTGAATTTTCTGTTGTTTTCTGGCTGCTTCTACTTGTCTCTGAATGCCCGAGATGTCTGAATTTAATCTATCAATTTCTTGTTGGTCAGCTTCCGATGGTTCATTGCCAGCTTTTTTTGCTTGTCTATTTTTTGCTGCAACTGACTTTTTCGTCTTTCTTAAGCCATTTACTTTATCTTCCAGATGTTTAGTATTTGAGGTATTAATTTGATCTGTACTCAGCAACCATTGTTCATACCTTGCTCGTTCCTCTTGACCAGCATCATTTTCTGGCTGAGGAGGAGGTGGAGCTGGAGTCGGTAATTGAATATCTTGATTTGGGTTTTGTCCGGAATAAGGTCCAAATCTATGAGGTACATTTGAATGCTGTTGAGCAGCAGGTGCAGAAGAAAATCTTGCCGCTGAAGGTACAGTTGTGGCAGGACTAGTTGAAACTTCCGGATTTACGGGAGTAGGCGTAGGTTTGGTATCAACCGGTATCAATGATTGCTGCTCAGCTTGTCGTTGTTGTTCTTGCTTTTCTTGCTCAACTAAATCTTGCAACAGTAGCGGTTGCTCGTGTAAGAGCGGCGCTCTATCTTTAGAATCAGTCGGTGACGAAGATGAATCTCCTGTACTAGAACTTGAGCTAGTTGGATTGACACAACTACTTGCTGCCGTTGTTGTCTGTGTAACTGTAGTCGGGGTTTCAACAGCAATGGCGTTGGGAGGAACAGGAAGTGGTGGTGGTGGTTGTTGTTGTTGTTGTTGTTGTTGTTGTTGTTGTTGTTGTTGTTCCATTTGTTGAAGTCTAATCGGAGCAGCTTGTCTTGGAGTCATCGGTCGTATATGTTGAGTGTATGGCTGTCGCTGAACAGGCATCCTTTGGTACTGATAAGATGGTTGAGGGTGTTGGGAATGTTGTGGTGGTGGCTGTTGTTGCTGTTGTTGTTGTTGTTGTTGCTGTTGCTGCATTCTCATCTGGTGTGATTGGGAAATTGGATGATACATTTGGCCACGCATAACATGTCTAACCGGACCGGCTCCTTGAGGAGGGGTACTAACCGGCCCATATTGAAATTGTTGCTGATTCATTGGCATATCTGATGCAGTTTGGGGTCTCTGAACAGCTTGCGTATAGGACGGTAGAGTCGATCGAACGACAGGCTGATGACCCAAAAGTTGTCCAATTGACGATTGTTGTCTTCGCGATTGTTCTAAATTACATGATGAATAGGCTCCTTCTAATTGTTCCAAAGATTCTGATCCTGGGGTTGCCGGTGCTCTTGGAGATGACGTCTGCTGAGGCGTGTCACTTCCTGATCTAGGTGATGGAACAGGATGATGTAAAGGAGATTGAGCCGCAGCAGGACTTTGATTTGGACCTGATGGAATTGGACTATGAGTCGGCAAAGAGTTATGAGGAGAATGGCCAGGAATTTGACCCATTGGACTCTGTACAGGCCTCAAAGGAGATTGAATGTTAGGAACAGGTGATTGGTGAGGCTGAGACACATATTGTTGCATTGGTTGCTGATTTTGTCCTGGATACTGTTGCATAGAATTCGGCATTCTATGTTGGACATACATATGACTAGGATGTTTAGAATACATCTGCTGATGCATCGGGTGATTTTGATGACCTTGATACATTACAAATTGATTTTGGCCTGACATAACTTGTTGAGACTGTTGTTGATACGTGGGTCTTTGAATATTCATCCTGTGCATTGGTTGCTGTACCGGTCTAATTTGTTGCATAGACATTCTCATTTGGCCTTGTGGCATTTGGGGCATACTTTGTGGCTGAGCAGCTGTCATACGTGGACTCATTGCAAAAGGTGATCTTGGATGCCCCTGTCCTTGACCTGGAGTTGGAGGATTGCTAGGAGTTGTTGGAGTACTTGGCTGGCTGCCGCTGGACTGTCTTGACAAAGCGTGTGCTTTGGCAAGTTGTTGAAGTGTGGAAGCAGCCGGTTGTAAATCAGGATTAGCTGGAGGGGTTTCATTGGGTTTGTCTTTTTCGGTATCAACTGCACCATCTAAATACATTATCTGTTCAACTTCCATGTCTTCATCATTATCGTCATCATCAGATTCATCAAAAGCACCATCCAAAAAAGCAGCACCATCTGGCTTATCAGAGCTATCGTTCTTTTTGTCACCGTTTTGGTGGGATTTCCCTGGGTTGGGGGCAGCCCCACGATTATCGGCTGATTCAGTTGCAGATGTCTTTTGCAACCCGCTGCTCTCAGCGGCACCTGTTTTTGATTGAGTATCTTTTCCCAAGCCCAAATGTTCGTCAAACATGTTTTTATCTGAATCTAAGTCCAAATCTCCTTCAGCCAAATCAAGAATATTAAAGCTTCCATCCTCTCCCAACAAGTCATCCAAATCCTGATCAGATTTCATGCCAGTCATACTATTTGGTAATCTCATTCCCGTTGAAGCACCAGGAGATTGCGATGATATTGGAATCATATGATGCATATTTTGATGTTGCATTTGAGGTTGTTGTTGTTGTTGCGGAGGTTGTTGTTGTTGCTGCTGCTGTTGTTGCTGCTGAGGGTATTGATGTCTGGGCATTCCCATAACTCCTTGCATATTTTGCTCTTGATACCGTCTCATTCTCTCCGGATACATCTGTTCGTCAGACGTAAGTATTTTTGAAATCTTAAATCTAGATCTCACCATATTTCCCGGATGCCCTGGGGGATAATGGCCTGGTGGAGGAATTTGAGCTCTTGCCATATATTGTTGCTGCTGTTCTGGCATGCCAGGATGTTGCATTCGAGCTCTGTATTGGGGATCCATATCAGATGGAGCCATTGCTGGTCTCATCATGTGACTATGAGGATAACCCTGACTAACTGGCCATCGATGCCCAACAGGTTCACCAGTTGTCCGAGGGCCTACAGTAACATTAGGATAAGCCATGTGCTGTCTAGGTTCATTTTCCATTCCGTATGGATGATGTGGATAACCTAATGGACAACTATATAGGCATACGTATTTCAAAATCGAATTTTCATTACCTGATTTGGGAGGTTGTGTCCATCTTTGCATGTGATGACTCATTTGGGACGCTTGAACTTGTCCTAGCTCTTGATGTCTCCTCTTTTCCTGTCTCATCTTTGGCTGGAAGAAAAAAAATTTGTTAAATATTTGATATTTTAATGTTTTTACATGCAGCTATCTAATAGCGTAATATTTATCAACTGTTAAAAGAATCAAATTTTGGTCCAGCTCTTTGAAATCATTAGTGCTTACTTTATTCTGCCAATAATTTGTTGTATTCAACGGTCTTCTATAAGACCAGGACGTTTGCTATAAAGTAGAATTATTGAAAAATTTTCCTAGAGAGAAACTATGGATTCCAAGAAGAAAAAAAAGAAACAAAAATATCAACTTACATCACTATACATGCCATGACTGCCTTCAACATTTGATGCATAATGTTCTTGAGGACCAGGAACTCTCGGGTATGTTACATGATGAGGGCTATTCATTCTATACTGCTGTGGGTGACCATATGGAGTTCTGTGCCTGATCTCATGAGGATTTCCTTGTGGCATGGGAGTTGATGGCTGTTGAGCGTATGGATCGTAATGATCTGGCGACGTAAGTCTGGGTGTTGGAGGTTGAAATTGAAAGTGGTCATGCTGCTGTTGCTGTTGCTGCTGCTGAGGAGGCTGTTGTTGCTGTGGTTGCTGTTGTGGCATTGGTCGATTTACCGTATATGATTCTGACATGACAGGCTGTCTGATTTGACCTTGAAAATTTGTCGTTCTGATGCCAGGATATTCCATTCTACCTGGCATTGGCTGTGGACTCTGGAGGGGAGGTCTAACAGGACCAGAATGGATTGCACTCTGTTGTTGCATTTGTTGCTGCATTTGCTGTTGTTGCATCTGAGCTTGCTGAATCTGCTGATGAGGTTGCAAATGCAACTGTTGATGTTGAGTTTGTTGCGGATGCTGTTGCGGTATTTGAGGTTGTGTCTGAGGTTGGTTCTGAGATTGAGGCGGATGCTGAGGCGGGTGTTGAGGCTGACCTTGTGGTTGAACTTGGGCTTGGACTGGGCTTTGTCCTTGGACTTTTGCTTGGGCCTGAGCCTGTACCTGCGCTTGAGCCTGAGCCTGAGCTTGGGCTTGAGCTTGGGCTTGAGCCTGTGCTTGGGCTTGAGCCTGTGCTTGGGCTTGAGCCTGTGCTTGAGCCTGTGCCTGTGCTTGAGCCTGGGCTTGTGCTTGAGCCTGAGCCTGAGCCTGAGCTTGTGCCTGCGCTTGAGCCTTAGCTTGAGCTTGCGCATGAACCTGCACTTGTTGGGATACAGGTGGCGGTTGAGTTTGCGGCTGAGGCTGAACCTGCGCTTGACCTGGATTTTGCGGTAAAGGTGGTGGAATACATTGAGGCGATTGTGTTGAAATAGTAGTTGACGATATATTCTTTTTGGTCTCTATATCTCCTGTCTCTTCTTTCTCTTCTTTTATGGATTTGGGTTCTGGTTGAGTCACATTTTCTTCTGGACTGTGAGGCTTCTCTGCCCAAGAATGCTGACTATCTTCATTTGATGGTGTTACAGGAGCTGACATTGGATTATTATTATTATTGTTACTATTATTATTATTTCCCGTTTGTGGAGAATTAATTGGGGCTATGACGGGACTAGTTGTAACATTAGCAGCTGAAGATGTGGATGGACTAGAGCTTCCAACAGGTGAAGATAAAGGTAAAGCTATCGGAGACGGTGTCTCTGGTAAATTTTTTGGAGGTGGGGGTGGGGGCATATCGGTTGTTGATGTCTTTTTCTTTCTATAATCGTTTGTAACTCTTTGTGCTTTTGTCAGCCGTGATGCTGCGCGATTCTCTCTCGCTTTTGTGAGAAAAGGAGCTCGTACATCAGAAGGAACTTTTCTCCATAATTTAGCAATTTGCTTAGATCGTTCGTTCCAATCGGGATATTTCTCCTTAAGTTCTGGATGCTTCATATTACAATAGAGGACTGGAGAAATTGTTGCCATGTCACCAAGAGGTTCGTCAAGCTGCCATTTTGCAATATTTCGTTTACTGTAACTCTGATCACTTTCACTTGGCTGCTGTTGTGGCCAAGTCGGTGTGGGTGCTGATGGTCCGTGTGGTCTGACTTGATTATTGTCCATAAAAACTCCAGGATATTCTTGAGTGTGAGATGTTCCTTGGTTTGGAGTAGGATGCATAAGCGCCATATTTCCTGCAGATGGGTGAGGTTGCTGCATGACACTTGAGGGTGGATATGAAACTGGGCTATGTGTCGGCTGAGCTACTGTATGAGGATGCGGTGGTCGAACACCTCCTTGTAATGGATATCTTTGAATTCCAGCTGGTCTAGGAGACATAGCAGGTAAGCTTATAGGGTGTTGTGGAGGAGTTGCTGTTGTATTGGTGGAAAATCCGTGCATTGCCGGTAGTGGAAAATTATTTTCTGAAAAATAATATTTTTGATTAAAAAAATAAACTTTATTTTTAAAAAGTAAACCACGGTAGCCAATGTCTACAGTAAAAGAGTAAAAATCATTTAAAAAAAATTCATAAACCAGATTTCAAAAGAACAGTACATGCCAAAATTTGGCCAGTGCAAATTCAATAGGAAAGCAAAGCTTATTGATATATTTTCACATTATTTGATTGTTTTCGCTTTCCTAATGCCATGCAAATTTATCTTACTACTATAACTAAACTAAACCAAGGGAAACGAAAGCATAGTGAAATTATGAATAAAAATAAACAGAAATTCAGTGTTCTACAAACCATAAAACAACATTAAATGGCCTGAAAAATTTGCAACATAATTTACTAAATATTCATATTATTTTGAGAAGAATAAAAGAGTCTTCTCTTTTAAAGAAACCGCATACAGAGGGGAACATTCGATTTAATTACAAGACAAAATAATTAGAAACGCATATTTCAATCGCTATAGCTACATACCACACAAAAATTAAGCTACATACCTTGAGCATCAGGAAGACTATGTCCACCACTAAGGGGCCCTTGTGGTACAGTGTTAGAACCATCGTTAGATGATGCAGCGACAGAAGGTGGACCAGAATTAGAGGGTGTTGAAGCTTCACTTAAATTGCTTGCTGGTGGTTCAACCTAAAAAATATTCCCATTTAGAATTTAGTGCAAAAATAATTTCTCATTACCTGAACGTTTTCTTCATTTTCTTCATTCATTACACCAAGTAATTCCTCAACAGTTTTAGAATCCATCTCTTCCAGTTTATTGAGATCCTGAGGTAAATTAATATCATCTACAGCGCTCATTGGTTCATCATTGTCAATGCTTGGTTCAAACACATTTTCAGATTGCTCTGTTAATTCGTCAGTTTTCAAATTAGTATTAATGAACAGCTCCATATCGACGTCTGACGGTAAAATATCTTTCAAATCATCTTCTGAAGAGAACCAGGCTATTACTATCAAAAAATTTCAAAAAGTGTAATATTTACCATAATTAGAATCCACGTGTTGATCGGATGTTTCTTGCTGTCGAGGCGGTGTGGCTACAAAAGCAGTTGTTGACTCCGATGTCTAGGTATTAAATATATTAATATAGCTTTATTTATTACATTTTAAAAAACACCAACTGTTCTATCCAGGAAGGACTTTGTTGGGTAGCCCAACAGAGATCCCTTTCCAACTTCATCACCACCATCTTCTTTTTCTTCATCAAGTTCCTTAACCTCCGCATTCTTAGATCGATCCACTAATGTTTTACCAAAGAAAGCTTCCTGAAGATAGCTTGGGAAGTATTCTTCTAAATAACATCTTCTGGCTCTTCTAAACGGTTTACGTTTTCTTTTACCATTTTCCATTTCGAGATTCATGTCTTCTTGTGCATCTGAAAAATAACAATTTATTTACAGATGAGATTATCAAGCAATAATTGATACAAACCTGTTTGACTATCCATTCTGTTTAATACTCTGGCTCCTCCACCTCTATGTCTAGGAACTCCACCTCTTGCTGGCGTTCGTTTTCGAGGGCAAAAGCCACCAATCCCCAGCAGTTGAACTCGCCTGTTTTTTCGTCTTTCTGAAATTGACATTGTTTCTTCTTTAGAAATACCATCTTCTCCCTCTTCATCATCTTTACCATCATCATTCTCATCTAAATCAAACAATTTGTTGAGGGCGCCTTTTTGTTTATCATTTGATAGCTTTTGTTTTCGCCTGTCGGTTGAAAGCATAAATCTAGACATGATGACAATACATTCACTATTAAACATGAAGGGTTGATAAGTATTAATTGCAAACAAATCTACTAAAATTTAAAGCATAGATGGCGCCATGAAAAATTACTTACGGTCTCTTAGGTTTTTCTGGCACTTTTATTGTTAAACTTCGAATGTGATCAATTCCTCTTTCAGATAAGAAAACTCCATCCAACATGTAACGTTTAACACTTCTGGGCGTTGACGGTGTTTCTATATTTTGAGCCTTAGGAGACATGCTCAAAGGATTTATTGTTATTGATAAGGCAGGAGTGTTTCCAGTACTTTTTTGTGAGTTATCAGTTGTTTCATTTTCGGCAGCATATGCTGGAACTAAAAAAATGCATGACAATTTTAAAAACAGTAAGTTAAGTTGTTTGATGAATCGTAAATTTATACTTACCCGAAACTTTATGTCCAGTAAACGGCCTACATAATATACAATGATAACCACTTTCCACTGCTTTGTCAGCTTCATCTTCTGTTCTAATATTATCGCATTCGGCATGCAGCCACCTAAAATGGAAATACAAGGCTATTCAGAGCAAACAAAAGTACATTCCTACAGAAGACTCATAATTTTAGCAAATGGCACAGAATAACCAAATTATTGATCAATAATATCGAAGTAATGACAAAGCGCTATTGAGAGGGGATCAACTGTGAAGCAACTGAAAACTCTAGTATATCAAGTGTTCACAGACCGCCATGGAGTTAACGAAAACCTATACAGAGTTAGAAAAAAAACAATTCCGCCCAACGTTGGACAGAAGTTTAACTATTGATCAGTTGAACTATCCATCAAAAATTAGCGATTCTAATACATATCTTATGGTTTTTAATACCAGCACGGGTAGAGTGATGTGAATAAAAAATTTATTCTAATCTATTTACATTGTAATTTCTTATAGGCAGTTCTAAATTTTATTATATGCTCTTGGACTCTCAAAGGCGACTTCGACCATTTCCAAAAGTGAATATAATTACATGGCCAAGACTTAAAGATATTATTGGATTCAAAGTTGTCTTGTTTAGAGGTATAATATTCTTTTTGGGAGGAAAACAGTATGAAAGTGGTAATATCACAAACATCTGTATTTCATATGATCCGAAAAATAATATCTGGTTAAGGAGACGCCCGATGCTTTCAACAAGAATTAGATTTACAGTTGAAACTCACGAAAATTTTATATTCGTTATTGGTGGTGAAAATCGACATGGACAAATTATAGCGGACTGTGAGTTCTATGATCCTTTAAAAGACATTTGGAGTGAATTGAAACCACTACCAAAACCTCGAGCTGATCATGCTTCTTGTGTTGTTGGCGATCAATTATACATTAGCGGTGGTGTGAGTGAGCCAGGGAAAACAGCAATAAATTCTTTTTGGAAATATGATTTCAAAATGGACCATTGGATACAAGCAATAGGGGAAGCAGTGCTTCCATCGGGAAGAGAAAGACATTCCATGATATGCCATAGAGGAGTTATATATATAATTGGTGGAATGGGATTTGACTATGACAAGCAAATGAAGACCGCCAAAGAAAGGCAGCATGACACCATCATATCATTTCAATGTACAGGAGAGAGAGCTAAAATTTTTGGTACTTGGAATACATCTTATCCTAAAATGCCAAGAGGACGAGCAATGCATTCTGTCATTTTACTGGGCCATAATATATATGTGATAGGAGGCCATGATTACAAAATGGCTAACAATGAGAACAAATTATCGTATTTCAATTTAAGAAAAAAAAAATGGTTCGAATCATTTGTACTAACAGCTGATGGATTAATGAGCACTCAAGCGTGCTTAGTCACTGTTCCAAGAGTAAACAAAGAATTCAACAGTATGAGCCAACTTTTATCAGACAAATGGATTTTGTGGTAGAAAAAACATAGCCCTTACCTTTCGCAATAGCCACACATAATAATCAAATCATTATCCATATAGTTTCTTGTGCAAATCGGACATGTATTCAAGCTAGAGCAAGGAGCGCATTGCGTCCAATTACTTTGCCATTGACACCTATAGCCAGGTGTAGTTGAGCCGCACGATTTGCACATAACACATCGCTTACATTTCCAGGAACCTTTTGGAACGTGGTCAAGGGGAGGATCGAGACAGTAAATATGATAAGAAATATCGCAATCATCACACAAAATCAGACGACTTTCATCGTGAGGCTTTCCACATCCTTCACAGACAGTGCAATCAAGACAACGCCAACCTTTCTGAATGACTATTTGATTCAACTGAAAACGAAAATCTTTAGCTGATTTTCTTTGGATAAGCGTATTTTGTACCTTCACATTTACACAATACGGATGATAGCATTGTCCGCATTGGGCACAAGCAATGAGCCTTCCCTCTTCTCCTCTTCCAACACTACCACAACTTGTACATACATCCTATTAAAAATTATTCCTTGTTATAAAAATATTAAGTCGAAAATTATATTTGTTTACCTGTTTGAGTACAACATCATCATTACTTGCACATATAATTGCTGTTGAATGCTGTTCTTCGTCTGAATGCTTACTGCCATCTGTGGAGCCAAAACCATTCTTTGTACCTTTACTTCTTTTCCGTTCTTCGTTCCGAGATGTCTTTGGTGGTCGTCTTTTGCAGATGTTAGCTCCGCCTTTACCTTTGCCACCCTTTCCTCGTGAGGGTTTCTTTCTTCCCACTGTCATTGAGAATCCTAGTGTATTAGCGCATTTTGAAATATCTAATCCGAAGTCATCCAGACTAGTTTGAGAATCAGATATTGTTCCAGAAATCTTCTCTAAGCCGTACAAGCAATCATTGGAATCGCCATATACTGACATATTATCGGTATAGCTAGACCGAACCGAAGCATCACTTATTCTTCTATCTTCCCTTTTTCCGGCCATATCCATGCCTTTCCATTGATTAAAAACTTCAAATTTTTCCATTTCTTTTGGGACTGCTAAATCCAAACTAGAGGAAGACGATTGAGGTGCAACAATACCGAAACTTGCATGTAATTTATCTTTTCCTTTACAAACAGAGCATGTATATTCTGTTTGTGATATTTTGGTCTTATCGACATCTTTTAGAGTATTTCGAGCGCACTGTAGATGAACATACTTATTGCACGAGGAACATAGCACCATATCCTTATGTGTAAATTGCCTGTAAGCACTTCCGCATTCTGGACAACACACTCCCTTATTTCTTTGCTGATAACAGGAATCGCAAACTGTGAAGTGTAAGTGCCATCTAGAGCTAGGACCGGATCCAGGGGTTCTAGATCCACAGTCCGAGCAAACTCTACACGAAGCACATTTCCAGCCATTTTTTGGAATCGAAGTGACAGCTGGTTTCAGGCAATAAGTATGAAATGCTTTGTCACAAGTGTCGCAAACTAATATTCTCATGTCGTCTCCAGGTTCACGACATCCTTGACAAATTTTACAATCTGGACATTGCCAACCAGCTCTAACTACGGGAGAGACGGTCACATGAGGATCTAAGCACTGACCGTGGTAATGCTGTCCGCATGTGGTACAAAACAATAACTCTTGCAGATTTCCCAAAGTATCACAAACTATGCAGGGTGTACTTTCCTTGACTATAGTTGCTGTCGGAAGAGCATGTTCTGGACATAACATATTATATGTTTTCATATCCTGAAAACAAGCAGCTGCTGCAGCACAAGGAAAATGATACTTTTTAAGACATTCTTGGCAAGGTATTGACGCTCCATAGCGTTTGCAAAGAGCACATTTTTCTGACAGAGATGAAAATACGGCTTTATCGACATATAGCAAAGTGTATGATTCAGTCTGAACAACCCCTTCTGACCAGGTGGCACAACTTTGATGAACCCAAGTGTGACCAGTTTTTTCGTACACATCATGTACGCCAACTTCGTCAAAACCAATTGCATTTAGCATATCTTCAGATCCCTTAATGTCAGTACATGTGAGTTCTTCTGCTCTGGGTGATTTACTTCTTTCCCTAAGTTAATTACAATGAGTTTAATAAAAACTATAGGTAATTTTAAAAACGTTATACTTGATGACAGATTTACAAGGCCCTCGATTTCTTCGCCATGTTAAAGGCTTTTGTACTTTTTCTGTGTTCTTTTCTTCACTATCCGAAACTGGCTCGTTTTTTAGCGCAAAAGATTTCGAAAACACATCATAGTCCGGTGTTGGGTCAAATTTCAATAGACTTCCTTGACCTAAAACCGATTTGTTGGTGCAATTGCACAAGGAACATCTTTTATGCTCTTCCTCCCTGTAATATTTGAGTTTAAAAAAAAAAAATAGATCATAAACAAACTAACGGCGCGTCCGAAATAGATGATTCTTCACTCTTTATTCCATCTCCAGATCTTCTGGCTAAACTCAGATTTTGTGATTCGCCCATGACACCGGCTGATACCGCTGGAAAAAAAAATGTTTAGATGAAAGACCTAAGCTATTAAATCACGTACGAGTTGTTGGAACACTCTCGCTTGCATTGCTAGCTGACTCTTCCTGTCCTCCATTTCCTCCTATTACATTTTGAGGCACAATAGGAGTTACGAAAGGAGTTGCCGATAAACCAGGAACTAGTCCGGCAAATGGATTAACAAATGTTAAATCAGGGGTTCTCAAACCAGTCGCCATTGCAGCTAAAAGTTGTGCACTGTTCATAGGTTGAGATACTATTGGTGAGGGAAGCGTCGAATTTGGCTCAGCATCACTTTTCTCCACTTTTTGACGATGAGCCGCATTTATTCTACAAAGAGTTTTTGTTCTTTGACCAGTTTTCGTTCTTGTAGTCTTAACTTTCGCTGGAGGACTTTTTGGTGAATCCTTCTTTGGTCTGCCTCTACTTCTGCCAGTCGGCTTTTGCGGTGCCGTCAAACCAGGTAAACTTGTGTATCCCATAGGAGCAAAACCCAATGACATTAATGCCAAAGGGTCCGAGGCTGCTTGCATTAATTGATTTTCAGCTGCCTGCCTATACAACTCTTGAATATTCAACAAAGATTGAATTTGCTGGTTGGTATTCGTTGGACGTATGTTTAGGGTGGACGCTGGAGTCGTCGATCTAGGTGTCGACGTACCAGATGCTGAATCTGAATTGATACTGAGAGATGAACTTGCCCTCTGCAACGGCGCTTGTTCTTTATCATCATCTTTTTTATCGTTGTCTTCCATTCCGTCTATAAATGGTTTAAATGCAATTTTAGTGACAGGTTATCAAACACATAGAGGACACCATAGATTGTGGAGGGTAAGATGAAATCTTGCATCTAATAACCCTTTTAACACGAAATTTACAATGCGTAATATATACAATTTTGCTATTACAATATTTAAATTAAAATACAACTTTGATTGCTAGAAAAACTTGAAAGATTCACAAATAATTAAATATCACACGTAAGGATTGAAAAAAAAGAAATAATTTTATTTCGCATGTTTCGTCAACAATGATAATCGTAAAAAATTCCATAACATTTATAATAAATGAACTCATCAAATGCTTATTGAAATACAAAAGGTACCTTACTTATAAGCGTTGCCGTCGCTTTATTTCACTAATTTTGACTAGCTCGCCATTTTACCAGCCTTGTAACAACCACGCTATGTATAAATCCGCAGCCGGAAAAAAAGTAGTTCTCTCTATCAATCGCAAATTTTTAACCAAATTCCAAATAGAATACTTTAAATCTTTGTAAATCAAATATTTTAATTTTATTTAACAATAACCTTCTTTTCCAGAAAGATCATTGAGTTTGCGTACTTGGAATAAGGATATTTTGCCCATATGTGCTGCCATCTATTAAGTACACTATAACGTTAGCAACGATATCTCTAAGTTTACATTATTCACATTGTGTTGCATATTTAACTAACTAGTCAATCCTAAATTATTTAATGAATTAATTTTAGTATTTCTCTAAAAAACCATTAATTTACTGATGAAAATGCACGAAATATATGCAAATTTGTATGTAATTAGTATATATTGTTATTACTACGTCAGTGCCATCTAGAGGTTGCTTTCAGATTGTCATTAACCTGTTGTATTCTTTGTTTTTGAGTTAGCGTGTTAAATATGTTCAGTCATGCCTCGCGTAAAAATTTACGAGTAGTGTCCAATAGAAGAGAGCTTGCAACTACCCTAACTTATGAAGCTTATTTGATCTAGTACTGATCAACGTGTCCGCTAGAACTGTAAATATCCCTAAGAAATAGTAAATAATTGAACTCCATGAAATAGTAATTTTTTTAAATGGTAACGTAATTTTGCATAGCTTTACTCATTGTGTTTTAGTACTCAATACAAAACGAAAACTTTAAAAACATTGCTTCCTTCAGTATACCGTTCGTAAATATTTTAGTGCTTTTGATATGGGAGTACTATTTTTTTTAAAACACAGATTACCAAAACCTGAGTATGGGACATCATGATATATAACATGTGATACTTTGCCATTAATTTCTTGCCTTGTATATTGAAGACATTTAAGTGTTTGCAGTTTAATGTCAAATGAATGAACAACTAAACTATAACATGTAATTCTCTTTATTTATATCAGCAGACATTTTAAAAATATTTAAAAATATAATACACCAATGTTGATTCTCATTGAAATCTAATATTTCCAATATTTTAGTCTATAACCCGTGCTATCTGTTCATTACCGTCACAGATGAGCTTACACATTGTTGTTTATTAATAAACATGCGAATTCATATGGCTTACAGAGGGCGTTTCGTCTAGTGACGCTTCTTTTATAAAGAAAGCAACATGATGGTAGTAATAATCTTAACTGCTTTTTTAAAGACAGTCATCTCCTGTCCGAGCGATTCTTGCTTCTGCCGTGGAAAAACAACTGTGGATTGTTCATTTCGTGGTTTTGAAGATATTCCTCAATTCAGAGGAGAAAAAATTCGATATTCTGTTATGGATCTATCAAGAAATCACTTGAGTTTTATTGGTCCCAACTCATTTGAGAATGTTGATGCAAAAACTGTTAACTTCAGTAGAAATCGTTTAATTAATGTTTCTCCTAGGGCATTTAATGGGCCTATACGAAATTCTTTACAAACTCTAAACTTGCGATATAATCCGCTTTCGATCCTTCATTGGGCGGTCTTCCGTCGTATGAGCAAACTTAATCGCATACTTTTGGACCATAACAATTTCTTTACCATTCCAGTTGGTTTGTTCGATGATAATCACGGACTGGAAGAATTGAGTTTGGCACACAACAGAATAAGTCTTCTCAAGACAGATTCCTTTCGAGGATTGGTGTCTTTATCTATTCTAAATTTCAAGGATAACCGATTGAAGGAAATTCTAGATAATACGTTTTTGCATCTAGCAAAATTGCATACGCTAGACCTTTCCGGAAACCATTTATCGGTTTTAAAGCCTGGTAAGTAGAGTTGTTCACTTTTGTATATATGAAAAGGAATGTATTATTATGAATTGAAACTCTCTCGATAGGTGCTCTAAAAGGGTTGTATAGGCTGGAAACGCTAAGCCTCGACGATAATAAATTGGCATCTTTAAAAAGCCTTATCACAGTTCCTCGACTACAAAAATTCTCAGCAAATAGGAATCGACTAACAAAAATTCGTAAAAGCATGTTCCGGGGCCTAAGATATCTGAAAGAAGTATCTTTAACAAGCAACAAATTATGGAGTATATCCTATCAAGCATTTGCAACTCTTAATAATCTTAGAATTCTAAACTTAAGCGACAACAGGCTGGAGACAATAGGTAAATTAGCGGACGGAAAATGTGGTCTATCTTCAATAAATCGACTACAGCGACTGATTCTAGAGGACAATCCACTAAATTGCAATTGCTCAATGCTGTGGATTACAAAATTGACTAAACGTAAAGCTGATGTAATAGGTCTCTGTAAAAAACCAGGAAGCACAGCTGGACAAAGTTTAAATTGGGTGCAGTTTTCATGTCCTTCGAGAATCCACAGACTTTGCTCTTAAGGGTAAAGAAATTTAGGCTTCTATAATGTAATAGTCATTAGGGAGTGTGGTTAATATTGAGCAGAGAATTAAATCGTTTGTGAATAACTAAATTGTATAGGAAGGAACAGTTTTAGATTTATCACATTTAATTCCATACCAAAAGGGAAAAGAACATGAAATTGACTATTCGTTTAAATGTAATGTCAAATTCTTAGCACATACTACAGAAAAGTAAATAATAAACATGATATGTACTGGATTGTATTGATTCTTTAGAGTTTAAAGAGACAACCAATAGCTTATCAAATTTTTCTTTACAGCCTCTCTTCGTTTACACACAATGATATACAACATTATTACATAGGATTCTTCTAGGAAGAACATTGCTAAAACCTTATTTCAGGAGGTTTTTGTAAAAATAAAACATGATTCACTTAATATATTCCTATCTCGGAATTTTATAAAACTCGTTATTAGATTGAAAATAGCCGTTAAAGTTAACAATGAATATACATTCTATATTGTAATCTCTATTATACAATTGTCTCTATTGTTTCAAATATGAAATATATATTACAACACCTTTTCACCGTCAGCTTGAATAAAATCTATAAGTTTTCAGACCTGTAAGAGGTAATTGTTCTCACATAACAATATTAGCAGTTAGGGAGAATTTACTCATCTACAATTTCAGCTGAACTATTTCATAATGTCTAATAATTTTTAACAAAGAGGATCATGAATAGGTTAAATGCTTTCTGAAGTAAATAAGACCAGCATTTGTCAATTGCAATGGAAATTTTTGGTTTATGAATAAATGCACTTAGAATACCGAAATACTCAATAGGATCTACAAAGTTCAAGAATATTTTTTCACGAACGATTAATCAATATCTGATTATTAAAAAGCTACACCTTCTTTTTACATACTTTTTATAACATGTTGTGCTAATCTTCTATCGATTATAGTTTATAATTAATATTAATGAATTATTTCATACAAATTTCGCAATACTCTTCACCAATTTCACAAAGATCTATTACACCTATAAAAAGAACTGAAAGTAATATGTAAGAGACATGCTTATTGGTCGAGGGTTCACGAAGCAAAATGGTATAACAGACATGATATTGTTCAACGATTTAGTTCACGTATGTTGTTTGATATAAAATCAGCCATTTTCAGCTAGCTCGACTTCACTCAAATACTGTCAAGAAACTACATCTACATTTAAGTTTTTTTTTTATTAAATAAACCCAAGTATTGAAAAATCACAAAGAATAATGACCACTCTATCTGCCATTGATCAACGATCCTGTACTCTTACTCGACTTACCGTAGGTCGAAACTCTTCTTCCCGTCGAGGTTCAGCTAAAGCTTCTCCCTCTCCCTCAAAAAAAGATTTAAGAAAAGCGAATGACGAAAGTCGACCTATCACTCTTTGCCCTAAGACTCTTCAGTCGAAGAACAAAAAATGTTTGAAACTGGACACAAGCTGCAAAACAATGGACATACTTCGCTCTATAAATTCTAAGACAATTTCTCCGCTTGACTTGGAAAAGGTTATTCATAAAGTTCTGATCATCGACACTCGGTCCTTTCACTGTTATTCGAAATGCCATATTATGAACTCTATCAATATTTGCGTTGAAAATAAGATTGTTAAGAAAAAATTCATACAAGGTAATGTCAAAGTCGAAGACATCATATCAACACCCTGTGTCAGACAAAGATATGAAAACAACTGCAATTTGGAGTTGGTTTTGTACGACGAGAGTTCACGGGTTCGAAACGATACATCAGAGGCTTTTAACCTCCTAATGAGCGCTTTAGAAACCGAGGGAAGAAAAGTCCTTCTTCTTGAAGGTAAAGTCTTCTTTTTTTAGACGAATTCAGGATAATTTTACTAAAGCCTAAGTATTGTAAGATATCTGGTTCATTAAAATTTATCGATAGCCAATTTTAAAGAAAAATGGCCAAAACAACACATGTGGTATTAAATCTAGCAAACGCATAAGTTTTTAACCATATTCATTTAACCACTTGCGTCCTGATTCTGCCTGATAAATAGAGTATAGGATTAATACTTTCAATGTTCAGACTTGTATGGGTCTTATTTATTATTAATCTATTTACCTATATGACGTCACTTATTATATTTGGTGGGAGCAGGGTTAATTATATAGGAAATTTTCGACGGAAATCAACTGTGATTACAATTAATTTTGTTTTTCAAAAAAAAATTCAACATTATATTCATTGACGTCACTGTCGATAAATTTAGACGCCCTTATTTGTTTCTTTATATGGATAAAAATTTATTTTTATATTGAAAATATTAGCAATTAGAAGTAGTGCTGAAATGAAATCCTATTTTAAAAAGAGACATTCAGCAATTTAAATGAAAGACTGAAGTCTATAGTTTTAATGCCTTATTAATCTATAAATAAATAAAAATTGGCCTAAATTAACGATACCGAATAATTTTGATAAAAGATTTTCGGACATCTGTTAGTTGACTTTTTTAAAGGATCATGACGATCCCTTTCGACATATAACGCCATCTGTTGGCGCAATACATAATCAGGCCTATTTGACAGGCAAATAATTTTTGTTTACAGTAATTTTTTAGCCTGCATATGTAAACGTATATAGAGTATGGCAAAAAGCCAAGTATGTTTTATCTTTGTATAAATTCTCAAATTTATTTTAAGACATTGTATTTACCTGTTATGCAAAAAAGCACATTTCCCAATAGGCGACTGTTATCTTATCACAGTCATATAATGTAAAGGCAAAGAAAAAAACTTCTTGAAAGCTTATCAAACTTTTTTATAAAAAATTAGTCGAAAATTTATTACAATAGTCTGAAGCATTCTAACTAGGTCAGTAGTTTGATCACATCTGTAATGTAACAGATAACATATTTTTCTCAAAAATCGATACTAATACTTTTGATTCGGTTTAGATGCTGCCAAAGTGACAGCGATAATACTATTGGTTTAAAAACTCAACTAAAGAGTTCAACACTTTATGCAAAAGACATGCGTTCTCATGGAGAAAATTCACACGCATCTGCTGTTCTCTTGTTTAAGGTGTTCTGCTTAACAGTATTCTTTAAAACTATTCCTGGCCAGTGGTGGATCTGCCTAAACTCACTATAGATTTTAGTTATATTTTATTTATAGTTAATTTAGAATGAATATATAATTAAAAAATATTCAATTCATCAAAAGCATGGGAAAATATAACTAAAAGACAAAAAGGTTTATGGGAATTTGCTCTCTTATCTTGAAGCAGGTCAAGTTTTTTGCGCTGCGCATTTCAACATGTAGCATTAAAAGCATAAAGGTTATGAATCATTTTGTTGCTTCACCAACGCCATCTGTACCAGATGATTCCAAATTATGAGTCAGATTTTGTACCATGGCAATTGTCTTTCACTTTCCGAATGATAAACTGTGTTGCGAGCATTCTCAAATATGAAGATGCTTCCTTGTATAGCTTCAGAATCAGAATCACAGGGATGTAATGATTATAATGCTGTAGCATTATGTGATAGCAATAAAGAGTTGACTATCAGATCTGACAATGATCAAACAAGGAAGCTTAAAGTATGTTTAAGTATTCCATTGTTTAAACCCTACGTGCAGCTAACAAGACGAAAAGGTTGAGCATTTTTTTAAGTGTGAAGGTCTAATCTAGCTTGAATTGTAGAATTTAGTCTTGAATTGTAGAGATAATTTAGATCGACTTCGTTATAAAAATTATTCATGTGAGAAATTTTTGATTCAGGAGGAATAAAAGAGTTTAAATACCAAAAGAAGGATTTCTGTGTAGAGAAATGCGGCAATCCTATTTTAAGCCCAACAACTCCACCTGAAGAACAGAACGTTGACATAGAACTTGCACCTGTTGCGGAAGTCCTCCCATTTCTTTATATTGGTAAGTTAATGGGTAATATGTCCAAGGACATTGTTTAGTTTTGACAATCTCTAGGCAATGAACGAGATGCCTCGGATAGATGCACAATTGACTCTTTCGGTATTACTCACATTTTGAATTGTACTTCACACCTTCCTGAACACTTTTCGTCATGTGGAATTATTTATCAGCGACTTCCAGCAAATGATAGCTCGCAACAAGATCTCAAACAATATTTTGAGGAAGCCTTCGAATTTATTGGCAAGTATATTAAGAATGTCTTATGAAACAACTGTATGCTGTGAATGTTTTAGTTTTACTTTTTCATTTCCATCTGAACAATAAGTCTGACTAACTATCAGTACTGTATTTATATTGGTTGGGAGGGAGGGGGAGTGTGAGTTCTTTTCTATTAGATATCGTTCGCTAAAGAGATGAAATTCACACATAAGACATAGGGTAAACAATTGCTTAATGTTTGTAATTGTGTCTTGTTTGAGTACGCTACTGGGCCGTTGGCTCAAAGCAGAAACTTAACACTGAGAAATATTATGCAAATAGAAATGAATCAGAGAGTTAATTGAGTAAATGAATTTGATTAAGCTGAGTGTCAAGTGTTATATATGTATGCATGAATGAACTCCTATGAAAAATCCCTTTTATCACGTGACATATATTTGACTGACGAGCTGCTGTTAATCGTGTTAGAATATATGTAGATTATCGACGCTGAGCTAAAAATTTTGCTTCCTTTCTTGGGCAAACTCTTGTAAGCTTTTAGCTGAGTCATTAGATAAGAGCGCGTTTGCAGTGCACGTGTGTATGCGTGAAATGCATGAGTCACGAATGCTTGATTGCGACTCTTTTGTTCTCAGGATGAATGTGTCGTTTTTCATTAACTTTTATTCTCTAATATCTAAATTTTTATTCTTTTCTTACAGAAAAAGCCAGAAAATCTGGCGGAAAAGTTCTAGTCCACTGTCAAGCCGGCGTTTCTCGCTCGGCTACCATAACAATTTCTTATATACTCAGGAAAACCAACTTGACCGCCTACGATGCATATAAATATGTTAAGTCTAAAAGAGATGTGGTATCACCTAATTTGAATTTTATGGGACAATTAATGACCTTTGAAGAATCATTGAACAAAGGTGAAATAAAAAGGCAGCTGATTCCTTGTTTGAGGATACAGTAAAATATTTTGTTTTTTCCATCAAACTGAACAATACACACAACCAGTGTGTATAAAGATTGTTATGTATTGTGTATTTTTATAAAATTCAATTTATGTAAACTAATGATATTTCATCTTAAGAAAGAAGAAACTTTTTTAAATCCGTAGCTTAGAATAAATATTATTATTATTATCATGATTATACTTATTGTTCGTACTTTAATAATATCAAATATTATTCTTATCTTAATGTCTTATCTCTTTATCATTCATCTTTAAATAATTATTCTGTTTATGTTATTTTTATATTATTATTTTTTTGTAATAACATTATACTCGTTTAAAATAAGTTATGTGACTTAAAAGAAAATAAGCTAGTTTTTGCAACTTTCCTTTGAGCAAGGTGAAATATGAATCCTCATCAACATTTTTCATTGTACTCATCAAAAGAGCGCTTCTCTCGAGGCGTGTAATGCATGAAGAAAGCTTTGTTCATAATTCCTTTGTTCATCCATCATTTTCCAACTGCTTTGTCTTTGCTTGAAAATAGTCGATCTCAAAAGTCCAATTTTATAATGTTTCATTATAAATTTTACCGAGATCTTTAAAGTATATTATCTAAATTTTGGTATGTATTTTAAATACTAAACCAATGTGCTCCACTGTCAGTATTATACATATTGTGAGGAATTAATAATTTCAACTTGTATTATTCTAATTAATCTTGGTTTATCAATATTCTTTACATCTTAGTAGTTCACTTTTATAGAGAATTAGCGGACTTCTGGACAGTTTTAAAAGAAAAACATTGTATGTTTACGTTTTATTCCTGTTCCGACCTAAGAGTGAGATAAAAATACCTTTACACTTTCTGAACCTGATTTAATTGCGAATTGAAACTAAGATTGGAAGCTGTTTTTAAATATCTGATATTTTGTTATTAATCATTGAAAACAAGTCGTTTATCTTATCCCTGATCTCCGTCTTCCGGATCAAGCGGAAAGTATCTACGGTGCTGCCATCTGTAATCATGAAAAATATCTGCAAAAAGTAATATCTTTTACAAAATCCTACAGATTAGACTCTTTCTAGTCATATTTTAAAATTCTACGTTAACCTTTTCCAATATTTGTAATATTTTATCCTAACTATTTTCTATTTTAGGTAAAAAAACTCAATCTTCTAAAACTTATTTACATTTGATATTTTATTATATTTACGGTATATTAAAAAACCCAGTGTCTTTTAGTCTTTGTCGGCTTAAATGTTTTCAGATTTAGAATTAAAACGATTTATGCATTTATGCAATATTGCTATATTTTTTACGTATAATTAATAGTGAAACCTTAAAAAAGCCTCAATTGAATAATTTTCTTCTTTGTTTATCCCACATTCACTACAACATCTGGTGCCATCTTTATGATTGTGACTTTTATGTAGTCTTTTTTCGTTCAAAAGGAAAATAATTACATAATCCAACCATGCATTCAAGAGGCTTTTTTTAGTTCATGTGAATGTTTTTCAATAAATTAAACAAATTTCTCTAGTGTTAATTTGTTTTTATTCAAATTCATTAGTTTGCATTAAAACGGTTACCAAATTAGATATGACAATATATATAAATATGTAAGTCACACTCTACCTTTATAAACTTTCGAAGAAATATTGTTTTAACACGTGGGAAAATATCAATTTTTTCCAATACACAAATTAACATCACCTGTTAAAGCGCCACCCCTATATGCATGAGAAATAAAGAACCTGGTGCCAGTCGATTTAGTCATCTAGTACGACAAAGTAAAAAGGTTCTTGATTTGAGCAACATCCTAAAGAAATAAGAGACAACCGGTAAAGAAAAATTGGGCATATATAACATTAGCGAAAAAAATTATGAATAGAGTAAAGGAGTTAACGAAAATATTCACGACTGGAAACTCGTTGAAGAGTTCAGCTACTGTTTTATTATATATTTTAGTGATTTTAACTACAGAAGCCAATATCGGAAAAACCGAAGAAAAGTCTTTCACTGAAATGGGTATATTTTTTAATTATTTTGCTATTTAGACCATATGTTTTTTTCATTGCAGCATCGCTGAACTAATATCGATTTTTTTTACGTAGATTATAAAAGAATATATAAATTTGAATTTTTGCGCAGATTTTTATTAATTATTATTCTCTTTATTTTTATTTTGCTACATTAGCAAAAAAAAACCAACTGTTGAAAATTAACTATTAATTACAACTAGTTATCAATTTAAAAGTAATCAAATATTTATTTAGTATATGTATTTGTTATGTTCAAGATAATTTAATTAAATCGCTTAGTTTCAAAAACGATGAATGAATGAACGAATCTTAAGACGTTTTACTACCTTAAAAATACCACGTCTCTTTGAGGGCGTGGTTGATAAAAGACTGGTAGTTTATTACCGCTAGACTGTAAATCTCTTGTATATTTATTATCTTACCTGCAATCGACATTTGTGAACTTTTTATAAATCTACAATAAGTTTGTTTTGTAATCTGTCAATAATTTGGACACTTTTTCCATTGAAATTTTTACTTTAGGTTTTTTCTTCTTTTCATAGCTCCATCATTCAGTGAAGATGAACATTCTAAAATCATTGCTACCGCTGATTCTGTAGAGGAAATATTATCTACAACATCTGACCTATCTTTAACAGATTCCGAAATAAAGCAATTGAGTGATTTCACCTCTGGCTGGTCTATAGAAACTCCAAGTACTATTGAAAATGATATTATTGCAAACAGTACTGCAATTTACTCTTCAAATTCTTTATCAATAACTAATTCATTCATTACAAATAATTTAAATGACACCCAAGGTGAATTTTAAATTATAATTATCTCTTTTTTTTTTACTCAATGTCACTTTCTTCAGAATCGACACAAATACTGAATGGTTCACAGCCAGAGAGTAATTTATCCATTCAAAGCTCAACTTTGACTGAAACTAACGTTGTTAATGAAACTTATGATTCTTCAGTGCTCGAAATTTTATCGTCAACTAATGAGTTTAAAGTTGAATCATCTTCTATTGATTTGGAGGAAAATAAAACATTGAGCACAACTTTTCCGAATAGTATGTCATCTATTCAGGAGTTTTTAAATCAAACAAGTCATCAAAATATGTCTGAAGTTGAGACAGAGAAAGAGTCTTCTTTATCCACATTAACTTATGAAACATTGTCTGTAAACGTAACCATTTCGCCTACTAGTACACTTGAAAGTGAGCCTTCATTTTCAAATGTTCTAAACGATACACTTTCGCCAAGTATGCTTATATCATCGAGTGAAATAATGGAGAGCGTATCTACGTCTTCAGTTGCATTCAACAATTCATTGTCATCAACAGTTCTAATTTCACCATCCGAGCCACTGGAAAGTGAATCTTCATCTTCAGCTTCTTATAACAATACCATGTCTGTTAACGACTCTATATTACCAAGTGAAGTAACAGAAAGTTATTCTCCTAATTCAACATTGTATAACAATACTGCGTCTGTAGACAACACTATTTCACCTACGGAAACAATTGAAATTAAAAACGACACTTTTTCAACATTCGAAATGTTCACTGCTACTGATTTAGATACAAGCTTTGTCGAGTTCTCATCTAATAGTGATGTGTCATTGGCAGCATCTTCTATATTCGACTCTGATGGTAAAGAAATATGCACATTTGTATCACTTATGCTCTAACTAATGTTGTAGGTATATCTACTGTAACGCAGGACACAATATCTGTTTCTCCAACGTCATCAGTAGGTAAGGGATTCACTTTGGAGTCATTTAGTCATCTCAGAGCAATGATAATTGCTTCAATTTGTAATTAGTAGAAAAAAGTAACTTTTTAATAAAAAAAACAAGAATTTCACATTAAATCCTTTAACGCACTTGTGCCAAGTTGTTCCGTAAATGGAAAATAATGGCTTTAATAGTTTAGCTTCAATTTCAGTTAATGTATGCCTTTCGAATCCCTGCTTGAATAATGGGACTTGCGTTGACCTAAATAATAACAGTTTTAAATGCGACTGCCACTCTATATTTACTGGGAAAATTTGTGAAAAGTGTAGGTATTCAATAATCAGAGCTTGAAGCATTTATTTCATTATTGTTTGTTATAGATGTAGACCCCTGCTTGGAAAATTCTTGCCTAAATGGAGGATTATGCATTGCAAATTTGAACAGTACTTTTCAATGTATTTGTCCTAGAGGTTGGATGGGGCAAAATTGTTCTATTGGTAATTAAATTCTTTCTACAATTTTAAAATTTCCAACAATATTTGTAATATGAATCATTTATAAAAACAGATGTTAATGAATGTGAATCTGCTAATAATTGCAATATCGATACTACGACATGTGTAAACATACCCGGGTATTATATGTGTCAATGCAAACAAAATTATCATCGAATTGGAGAATTTAATTGTAGAAGAATAGTCGTTTGGCCCTATGCCTTGTCTAAAAATTCATCTAGATTTACATCTGATGACGAAATAGAGGGACCATTTATTTTTGAAAAGGGTTTTCCGTTTTTCGGCAAATTTTTCTCTAGTATATATGTAAATAACTTTAAATATGGCAACGATAAAAAAGTGATTTAATATTCATTTTTACAGATAAGCATGAATGGTTATATAACATTTGATGAAAAAATTGGAATTATCAACCCTTATTCAAATAACTTTTTTCCTGAAACTCTTCCTTTTCTGGCTATTTATTGGACAGATATTGATTCGTCGGCCGGTAACGGTAGCCTTTATGTGGATCACCTTGTTGATTTTAACACGACTTACGGACAGGATATTATGGATAGGTTAAATATATCGCAAGTACCATTTGAACCTACGGAAGTCCTTATAGCCACTTGGGAAAATGTTTCTCCGTATCCTCAAAATTTGTACAGTGATCAGAATGCCACGTTTCAAGTTATAATCGCCACAGACTTATATCAGAGCTATGCGATATTTAACTATGAACAAGATCGTATGCTTTGGTCTCCAAAGTCGCAACCTAGAAGATTTACTGTAGGTGCTTATGATGGGTTAAAGAAGAAGATTCCACTCGATATGGATTTTTATAGGCCTGATTTGTATTCTAATATAGGTATGATTTAATCTTAAATATAATGGACAACGTAGTAATAATAGGTAGTATTCAAACGTTAGATGTGAACGGGACGTTTCATATAAAATTGGGTAACAGTAGTGTTCGGTATGATGTCTGCGAAAACTTGAAGAGTTTAGAATTTGCTTCATATTCATGCCCTTGTAATAGAGCACTAGCTGAACTTGATAAAGAATTTAAATTGATAAGTAATAATTGCTTTGATTCTGTTTTTTCGAAAAATCAAATAATTCAAAAATGTTGCTACGACGGGTATGATGTTGAATTAGAAAGAGTTCTTTAAATGAAATTTAAAGTATTTTGTAGCGAATTCCTCCTCCAAGGCTATCCTGATGGAGGATATCCGCGCCAGAATAAAAATGAGGAAAATCTTAAAGATAAATGTTGTCAAGAAAAACCTTCTTGTGCAAATTTGTACAAGAGCAGACCTTCAGATACGTGCAAAGATTATAATCCTCCAAAAGCAGGTACGTAATTATTAATTTAAATGCAGTAGTTTTGTGAAATTGGTCTAGGAAAGAATCTTTTGATGATTGTAATCTAAATTGGTGTTTTCTTTCCAATTAGCTGGAATATTCAGTTGCTCCAATATAACCAATTTTGATGGAATTTCTTATACACTAAATAGTTCTGGAGAATATGACTTTTATAAAACTAATGAAAGCTGGTAAATTTAAATATATAAATAATTTTCTTATAAGAAAACACATTGTCATTAAATCATAAAGGGAAAATGATCTAAATATTCAAGTACGCTTTCAATCAACTGCCGACCTCAAAAATAATAGTTGCTATCTATTAAAAGCAATTGTTGTACAGGTAAACGATCCTTAATTCGATTTATTTTACATTTTGTAATTAATCTGTAAAATATAGCCGTTTAATTCTTAAAATCAATTTAATATTTTTTTAAATATAAATATCTAATCTTAATCAAATTATTAAAATTTAGGGTTTAAATTCACCGAAAATAGAAGTGAGAGCATCATCGTCTAAAAATAGAGTGATGATTGCAATTGATGATCAATCGTTTGACGAAATGAATAAGACCCATCCTAACATGAAACTTAACAAAAAAGAAGGCTCAATAGAACTGTTTTATAAAAAAGGAACTTACATTGAAGTATAATATAGTATAATAAATTCATGAAATACATTTGAAGAATGTTTTTTTTTTCAGCTGAAGATACTTGAACATTCTCTTAATTTTTTTATTGAAAGTAAATATAACAGAACGGACCTCGTCACTGGTTTAGTTAACGAAAAAGAAAACTTTATGAAATGTAAATTAACTTGTTAAATTAACTAATTATACATGTTTTGTTATATTATCGCCCTCTAGGGAGTCTACTCAATTCAACAACTTTATTTAATTATACATTTGATGGTCACAATAAAACTTTCTCAGACTTTAATAAAGATTTATCAGATTATCCTGAAGCGAAAATTGAAAACATAAACATAACACAATCGGAAGTAAGTCAATTTTTACTGTACTAAACTGCAATGCATATCCCATATTTATATATATTATGCTTTGCAGCAATTTGAGCAAACTTTTCAAACAAGACTAATTACGTTTGGTAAGATATAACAAAGATTCTTCTGCAGATTCTCTATTTTCTATTTATTGGGTTTTTTTTAAATATATAGGTAAAACATACAAAATTTTCCATCGTGAATTGCCTCAAAATATTGATTTAAATTTTTATTCAAATGTGTCCATAAAACTAAAAACCTTCTATAATGACGGAATAAACTTGACACTCGAAACAAATCTTCTCTCTTCCGAGTATACATTTTCACCAGAAAATATGGATATATCTATCTTTCCAACGAATAGAACATTTTGGACAAATTCTAACAGTAAATTATTTTTGAAATTTATTGCGACCAGCAATGGAATGACAGATCGTTATTATCCTCACTTAAGACTATGCCCTTGTCAAAATAGTAGACTGTGCTCGGAAAAGTTCATGTTTCTTGAAAGTACATGAAACTATATTATATTTGCATATGAAAGAAAGATTTATAATTTCACTTTGACAGATAACTTTGGTATTTTGTCTTGTAAATGTGGATTACTCTATGATAATACATATTGTCAGACTGCTAGGACGATTTGCAGTATCTTTAAGCCTTGTTATCCCTCTGTTGTCTGCACAGATGAAACCAATGGCTATCAATGTGGGTCTTGTCCAGCAGGAATGAAAGGAACAGATGGAATTAAGTGCTTCAGTGAGTATCAAATATCTGCTCATTTATGGTAATTGAGGAAAGTGAAACAATTGCAGATGAAGATCAATGTGCTATACGGAATCCCTGTGAGCAACATTGCCAAAACAATGAAACATCCTATATATGCTCTTGTTCTCCAGGATATAATCAAGTTGGTCATAAATGCACAGGTAAAGTTTCAAATTATCTTTGTCAGCATTCAATTGATGAATTTCCAGGACACAAAAGCTTTAGTATAAGGTATTATTCTCTTTCCCAATTTAGATATTAATGAATGTACTGAAGGTTGGAAAGGAGAGAAAGTTTGCACTAAGGAAGGGGAATATTGCGTGAGTTCTCAAATAGTATGCTATATTAAAAGTGTTCATTAAATATTCTCAGACGAATTCACTTGGGAGTTATTCGTGTCACTGTAGGGCACAGTGGTTTAGGAATGGAGACAATATATGCCAAAAAAGTTTGCATAAATTATAATATTTTTATTTTTCTCATGAAACTTCTCTTTCAGTTTCCAAGAGATTTTCGGGGCAAGTTAAGAGTTCTCTTTTTATGGTTAAACCTGGCGTTTACTTAAATTGGAATAATAATATGAAAACCTCGGATTCTCAAGACTTTCAAATAATGAAAAGAACAATCGAATCAAACTCCTCAGACGTAAGAGAAGACGTTAACTTTCTTTCATAGATAACTATACATTAACAAAATATTTCTTTATAGATATCACTCTTTTTCAAGTCAAAATACGAAAAAGAATTTTCTGGGATACTCCTCACTTCACTTCAGTAATTTCCTCTAAATAATACTTAACATTTAACGATAAAAACCAACTTGTTTTCCAGGAATGGAAGTATTATAGTTAAATTTGATATTTTGTTTAATGATTTAAACAATCAAGACCTGAATGCAACAAGTATATCAAAAGATTTTATGTCATATACTCAACATTGCCATGTTGGTGATGGGCCCAAATGTATTAGAGGTGAATTTTATGGTCTTGATAAATCAGCTACAACTGCCGGAGGTAATTTAATTCAGTTGAAAGTTTTATATATTTCTGTAACAGTTGTGTGTTTCCAGCTAAAGATTTATGCATAAAATCAAGCGACAATGATTGTGATTATACCTCAACTAATTGTTCCACAAATGAATACGGAAGCTTTTTATGTACCTGTAAAACAGGCTATGAAGCCTACAAAGGACAATCCAACATCTGCAAAGGTTATTATATATTATCTAAAATCCTGTGATTCTGTTCATTTTCCATTCCTTCACAAAACCGGGGTTACCTAAGTAATCCAAAAATTCTCTTTTTCCCTTCCATCAAACAGACATAAATGAATGTTTAAGAGAAGACCAATACATCTGTCCAGCAAATAGCACCTGCTTAAACTTACCTGGATCCTTTAAATGTCCTTGCAATCCTTCTTATAAGTGGAATGCTGTCGAACTTTCATGCGACAGTTAGTTCTTACAGTGTTTTATACTTTTATACTCGTAAATGGTCTACATATGAACACATTTTTTCAGAGCTTTGTCATAAAGATACCTGCAAAAACGGCGGAGAATGCAAGAAAACTGATGATGGAGAATCTATCGTCTGCAAGTACGGATATTACATTTAACAAATTCTATAAATCTCCATAATTTCCTTTTTCCAAGGTGTACGAAAGACTGGAAAGGACCATTCTGCGAAGAAGAGATAGAAAGTTCAGACAGTGAGAATATTTTATAAAGGTTTTAAATAATTTTTAATAAAAATTTACTTTAATTGATAGAATGGAAAACTATTACAATAGCAGTTGGAGCGGCACTTGGAGGAATATGCTTTTTGTTTTTGATAATAATAATATGTATATGCGTAAGGTAAATTAACAATTCTATAATTAATTACGATAGACTAACACATTTATCAAATATTATAATATATCGAAAATCCTACGGTATAAAATGGTAAGCTGAAAGTTCGTGGATATTTGACCAGCCTTATTTTTATTCATTAACACCGTTTAATTGCTTATTGATTAATTTAATTAAAATGTGTCATTGGAATAGGGATAATTAATTTGCTTTTTTAAAAAAAGTAAAAGAAAAATAATTTTTTAAATGAATCTTTTCAATTTCAGGCAACATAGAGCTATTCACTCTTACGCCTTCCTTAGACATAAGAAAGAAGACGCTTATCAACATCAAGGCGATATCAATGTTGAACACTGGGCACCAGCAAGCGCAACTGGCACAGCAATCACAAGTAATAGTAATGGTGCCCTCTATGACGATAAGGTTTCAAATCATTTCTTTACATTTCTTTCAAAACGTCTAAAGTAATAAAAAAAACATTTAGAAAAGTCGCCGTAAAGTAAGTTAATAGAAATGAATCATGTTGTTTGTAACAGTCTTTTGTTATAACTAGACAATCATATAGGATAACACTTCATATTGCACAATATTTTTATAAAAGAGATAAAAATAACAGCTTTTAGAAGACAGTGACTCCAGATCAGTTTTGGGGAAAAAAAGCGCCCTTAGGTCTGTTATGAAATACATAAGGGAGTTTATATATAATTGACTTGGTATATAGGTTAGATGATATTCCATCAACGTCTTATGAGTCATCAGACTATGACTCCTTGAAAGAAATTAAATTTCAGTTATTATCAGTTAGGAGAAAGTATAAATTGAATAAGGTATGATATCGAGTGAAAATATAGACTATAAACAGCTTTCCACTTTCCTTTTGATTTGCTTGTATGATTGTGTATTGATATGCTGTTATTGTTGACTTAAATATCAGCAATAATATAAAGTATTTCTTTCTTGACTAATCAGACAGAGGAAACTGGAGAAACTTTTAGAGGTCCATCTAAAGGGCACAATGTGTACAGCACAAATTCCAAAAAACAGATTGCCTTTCATAAGAACTAACATTATTTTATGTTGCAGCAGCAGCATCATGTTGATGGAGTTCGAAATCCAGCTTACGACGGATCGAGTGTTAAAGACCTTGGTAGAGAATATTTTTAAAAAAACTTTATTAATAATTGAATTGCAGTCTTAAAAAAAAGTTTTATATTAGCAAATTTGCAGTTACAATAAAGAGTGAAATAGCTGCATGTATATTAAACATGCTCAAAACTCTTATGCCTATTTTGTATTTTATGAAATCATAAACAAATAAAATATCTTAAATACCAAATAAGTTATTTGTTCATTTACGCTTTATTCTTAATCTGTGATTATGATAAAAATGTGAGCAGAATTCTTTGCTTACTTTATTAATATAAAACAAGTTAATTTTCGTCTATTTGGTAACTTGCATTGGCGAATACATATTTCTCAGCCTTCAAAAAAGCAGCATTTAAACTTTTTTTGTTGTCGGGGTGAGCGTACACTATCTAAATATTCTTCTTTCCATTTCTACTTTCGGGATTAAGATTGGGAGTTGCTGCATTAACGGGACATTTTTCCGACATATTTTCAATATGATATTCTGTAAGGTGTTTAATTGACACATGTTTTAAAGAGAAGTGGAAGAGTTTTCACGTTATTATATCAAGTCAATCTTATCATTTGCTATGAACTCAAATAGATTATGTCTAATCTAGAGAGAATTTTTGCTACCAGCAATTTGCCCAAAATGTAAATAAGGAAGGTACGTTTCCTGCCATTCTGAAAACTAGACCAGTCAATACATTGATTTTAAAATCATAAAGTCAAAAAAATTGAATTTTTACCCTTTTTTTATTAATACAACATTCACTTTACTTTTTAATTACTAAATTAGCAATAAAAACCCAACTGTTGAAAATTAGTCAACTAGATATCAATTTAAAAGTAATCAAATAGTTATTTAGTATATGTATAAGTTTTGTTATGTTCAAGATAATTTAATTTAATAGCTAAGCTTCACAAAAGATGAGTAAATGAAACTTCAGACCTCTTACTGCCTTACAAATACTACATCTCTTTGAGGGCGTGGTTGATAAAAGACTGGTAGTTTATTACCGCTAGACTGTAAATCTCTTGTATATTTATTATCTTACCTGCAATCGACATTTGTGAACTTTTTATAAATCTACAATAAGTTTGTTTTGTAATCTGTCAATAATTTGGACACTTTTTCCATTGAAATATTTACTTTAGGTTTTTTCTTCTTTTCATAGCTCCATCATTCAGTGAAGATGAACATTCTAAAATCATTGCTACCGCTGATTCTGTAGAGGAAATATTATCTACAACATCTGACCTATCTTTAACAGATTCCGAAATAAAGCAATTGAGTGATTTCACCTCTGGCTGGTCTATAGAAACTCCAAGTACTATTGAAAATGATATTATTGCAAACAGTACTGCAATTTACTCTTCAAATTCTTTATCAATAACTAATTCATTCATTACAAATAATTTAAATGACACCCAAGGTGAATTTTAAATTATAATTATCTCTTTTTTTTTTTACTCAATGTCACTTTCTTCAGAATCGACACAAATACTGAATGGTTCACAGCCAGAGAGTAATTTATCCATTCAAAGCTCAATCTTGATTGAATTTAGATACAAGCTTTGTCGAGTTCTCACCTAATAGTGATATTTCATTGGCAACTTCATCTATTCTACTGTTACACGGAACACAGTATCTGTTCCTCCAACGTCAGCAGTAGGTAACAGATTTACTTTGGAGTCATTTAGTCATCCCAGAGCAAGGATAGTTGCTTCAATTTGTAATTTGTGAAAAAATAACTTTACATTAAACGCTGTTGTTTGCAGCAGTTCTTTGCTGTAATTAAACAATCATATAGGATAACACTTCATATTGCACAATATTTTTATAAAAGAGATAAAAATAACAGCTTTTAGAAGACAGTGACTCCAGTTCATTTTTTGGGGAAAATTGCGCCTTTAGGTCTGTTATGAAATACATAGGGGAGTTTATATATAATTGACTAAGTATATGGGTTAGATATTCCATCAACGCTTTTGAGTCGTCGGACTATGACTCCTTGAAAGAAATTAAATTTCAGTTGTTATCAGTTAGGAGAAAGTATAAATTGAATAAGGTATGATATCGAGTGAAAATATAGACTATAAACAGCTTTCCACTTTCCTTTTGATTTGCTTGTATGATTGTGTATTGATATGCTGTTATTGTTGACTTAAATATCAGCAATAATATAAAGTATTTCTTTCTTGACTAATCAGACAGAGGAAACTGGAGAAACTTTTAGAGGTCCATCTAAAGGGCACAATGTGTACAGCACAAATTCCAAAAAACAGATTGCCTTTCATAAGAACTAACATTATTTTATGTTGCAGCAGCAGCATCATGTTGATGGAGTTCGAAATCCAGCTTACAACGGATCGATTGGTAAAGATTTTAGCAGAGCATACTATGTACATTAAAATTACTTTCAAACTCTTATGCCTATTTTGTATTTTATTAAATCAAAAAAGAATAAGATATCTTAAATACAAAAGAAGTTTTTTGTTTATTTACTATTTATTCTTACTGTGATTATAATAAAAATGTTGGCAGAATTCCTTGATTAATTTCCTAATATAGATTCAAAAGGGAGTTTTTTTAAAATCCTTGTAGAGAAAACAATAAACAGTACATCACATCTTATTTTGTAAGGAATTGCATTAGTTTTTCAACTCTTCACAGCAAGCATTTTTTTAATCAAAAAAATTTACGAAACAGAAAAAATATCAGTTACAAATCTTTCAAATTCATTTTTCTCGTGTAGTTTTACTGTTCATTTTCGTTCAAAAATAACACTTTTGGTAGGAGACAACGAACATGTATCTGATAATTGACGAACGCTGAAAACTGATAATCCTATACCAAAAAATGACATCAAGATTGCAGCTTTAAACATGGGTCCGCTTTTTTCATTTGACGAAGTTACGTTTGTTGAGGCAACCTAAAATATAAACAGATCAGAATATTTCATTGCAGAATAGATATAAAATTGTTTACACGGGATTTGAAGAAAAGATTCCTTACTTGAGTTCTATATAGAGATGCTCCTTGACGAAACATACTTTTCATCAACTGAGGGGAGGACATCTTTCAATCAAAATAGATTATTCTCCTTGCTGCTTGTTTTTATCAGTTGAATTATCAAAAAATAGCTGTAAAATTGACAATTTTCAAATATAAATGTTCAGAATAGAGATTATTTGAGCAGAAAAAATAAGCAAAGGCCATTAATAAACGCACGGGAAACTTACAAAAATATTTTTTACGATCTTGTACAGTAAAATCAAGTATATATTTGTCAATGTATATGAACTATAGTCGCTCTGGCCAGATCAATTTGATTAACGTAAAATTTACAATTCCATGCTCTTGGATATGACCTACGGTATTGCTACAATTGGAAAGGAAATATTAGTTGTACCGAATAAATATGTTAAAATTCAAATTAAAAATTTTTTGATTCTGAAAATTAAGAATAAATTTCATAGTAATGGAATATTTAATTTTTAGTTCAATAATTTTTATATATAAGTATATGTACAAGTAGTGTTAAACGCAAAAGTTGACTGACAATTCTGTTAAGTGGTATTGTATATATTAGAAACATAACTCTTCAACTTCTGATAGTTCAAATAAATATAAAAACGTCACATTAGATTTTATTTAACAAGGGTAAACGTTTAAATAAAAGCAAATTAAGATTATAGCAGGTACTAAAGTTCTAGTTTAATCTATATTTTAAATGTAATAATTATAAAACACTAAATTTTTAGACAAACCAGTCTAAACGTGAACTGCGTATTTTCAAAATAACAGTCCCTTCTAAGAAAAAATTTATGCCTTTTGGTATTTAGTGAGGCAGGAGAAACAGGAAGTGACATCTGCTAGTGGCGCCATCATTAGGCGACGATGATTGGCTGTGTGAGTTGAAGCTGCGTGAATTCGAATACAATTGGAGCTGGGTAAACTTTTTATTTATAATATATATTCAGGTAACTCAGCCTCAATTAAACTTGATATAAAGTAGTTTTATTGTTTTATTTGAGCGAATAATTTCCCGATACATATCTTTAGGAGTATATTCTTCAAAATTACTTTAATAGTTGTTACGCCTTAAAATGAATATCATTTATAACTAATTTAAAGTGACATATAAATCTGAGAGGATATGTAAACATATTTCGGATATATTGCACACCGCAAATGTCATACGAAAAAAAAAATACAATCTAAAATTCAGTCTACAAAAAACATTAGCGAGAATCCTATATCAAAAGTCGTTAAATTGTCAGAATCTAAAGAATTGGAGCTTCATATTACATTTTCTAGTTTTGGAAAAGAAGAAGACACACTCTAAAAGATATCTTCTTTTATTTATTTAAGGAATTTTATTTCTAAAAAAAACTTACTTTATAAGAATATGCTTTAATTACTTGTTATTGAGTAAGATTACATTTACTCATATTTACTGCCTCTTCTTTTGAAAACTAGACTTTTTTAGTCCCTTTCTAAGGATAGCTATAAATATGTTTACATTATCTCCCGAATATACAATTGAGCACAGATGCTATACAGCTTCTGACACGTTCTCTTCATCCTTTTCAGCTTCAAAAGTCTTAGCTTAAGTAAGAAATGCGTGTCTCCTACTCTTTTTTTTTATTTAAGTATATTTAAAGAAGGAATTGATGATTGAGTTAGTTTTAAACACTTTTTATTTATATCAATACCCATAACAAATAATTTATAGGATAAGAGAATAAACGGAACAAAATTACCATAATGCCAACTTGTTTTCTGTCGATGTTGTTTTTTCAGGCTAAATAACAAGCAACTGTTCAAAACAGTGATGCTATTTCTTTCATTGTTTTTTTTTTAAAGAGAAAATATAAAAGCCTACGTAATGTTTTTTTATTCTCTATCAAGAAATTCCTACTTTTAGTTCATTTTTCCTTCTATTTTCTATTTACTTCTTCATTTATTTATTTATTTATGGTTTTTTCTTTCTTTCTTTTTTTTTTTTTTACATATTTAAAATATTAAATTCATAAAATGACATATATTTTACCTTCGTAACATTGCTAGGCTATAAAATTTACGGTCTAATAATGGTTTATATTATTATTTATACTAGAGTTACAAGCAAATAAATTAGTTAATTATGATCAGTTAGAAATTTAAATCATATTTTTTATAATGTTACGGTTTGTATTACTTTCAAAATTCACATTCTTCGGCGATAGGAAATCGATTAGGAATTTCCATCAATGACTCATCAAAGTAGAAGCCCCATATTTTAAAATGAACTCCTCTATTTATATACGTGGGCGAGTCTATTGTAAAAATATAGGGAAGACTCTATTATCGATTGCTAATATTGTACACAAAAATCGTTGTTTCGGCTATCACTGAATCTTTACCTACAATTAATAGCCTACTCTCTGTTAAAGAGGTGAAATATACGTAAGTGATTATCATATATTCTTCTCGTAGAAATGATCAAAATTGTAACAACTATTTACAACGATATGTTTCATCAGTAATTATGCTTGGTAAATGACTACTTAATACTTTTTTATAGATGTACATATTTTATTTATTCGGTAGCCTAAAATTTTTATTAGAGATTAGTCAATCGTTAAGTCTATAAGCTGTAGTTTCAGGAGGTCTAAAAAAATAGCTAATAGAGATGGAAGGTAGAATATCAAAAGGATGTAATTATTCCACTCCTGTCTTATCTAAACAAATGATGTAATAAACGAATCTACACGTAGCTGTTGCTACAAGCCATCAAATAATGATTAAACAGTTACGATGTTGATTACTGGGAAAATAGGAAGATTAAGAAAGTGATCTGTTCCGAATTAGTGAACATCGCAATTCGCAGATTAGGTATACAGCATGGCATGCGAATTTTATATAAGTACTATGGGTTGGATTCCGATCACGTGATTTTTTTAAAACATATAGGTCCAGTGGGTGGTAGTAAACAGAAGAATAAATGTTACGTTTTATTAGTGATCAACAACAAACAAATGCCATAAAACTATATACGCTTTTAATTGAAAATTCAGCTGAAAAAGTTGTAAGCTGGAAAATATGTTCAGATTACGTGTTTTTCAATTGAAAAATCCACTTATGAATAATTTTATGAATATACTATTTGCAGTTTCGATCATGCGAGAGCTACCGCGAGAAGAACGCGGCAGGAAAAGCTTGACTAAGCATAGCTACAATGAAACTTCATATTGTAGCTATAGCCTTTCGCAACCTAGAGGTGTATCTCCTTCGTCCACTTCTAGAGGAAGATCATCCGAACGTTGCACGAAATTGAACATTCAACAGCCTTACTACACCTCCTTGTCTGCCTTAACAAAACCCAAAAGGCCTAATAAGCCAATGGATCAAGAGGAGGACGAAAAGGAAAATGAGAATGACGCTGAAGAGAGATCTGATATAGAAGAACAACGAACTGTGAGAATATCCCTACCAATCGAGTCTCTAAACTCGAAGAAAACAACCGAAGAGCTTTTGGAAGATAGACGACTAAGTTATTCAAAAACAAAACCTTCAAATTCAGGAAAACCTGTTTCAAAGCAAACAATAGAAAAGGAATATACACATGACATATCTGCCAGCTATTTACAACTATTAAATGAACAATTATATTGTAGTTATGATTATGAGTCAGTGGATAAGAACGGGGAATGGACAATTAACGATGCTTCGTATATTGACGCTGCCATTGAACTTCGGAGGTTAAGAAATAAAAACACTACTAAAACAAATGATAATGTTTCTTCGTTGCCTAGTACACCAACTAAGTCAGATAGCCCAAAGATGAAAAAGTCATTTAGTTCCGGATTATCGAATTTCTTCCGAAAGTTATCGCCTAAGACAGCCCGAAGATCCCTGCCAAGGAATAGTTCTGAACCAGATCCGGATTCGGATACATCAACTTCTTCAAAAAAAATTAAGAAGCCCTCACCCATTAGACGCTTTTTTAGTCCAACAAGAGCGAACAAAACAAAAAATAATCCCCAAAACTCGTCAGATAATGCCCGCACATCCCGTATTTTGAAATCAATAGGCGATAATGCATCAAATTTAAATGGGAATGGATTCTATCATTCATTTAAAGAGAAACAATCGACTTCAAGCGAAGCTCTCTCCACCAAAAACCAAGCATTGAAAGCTGTAGATTTGCAGTCACCCACAGATGGCGCAAATTATCGAGTAACTGTAGATGGCGAACAGAAGAAACCTGAAAGTTTGCCAACGAAAGATTCATTAAAAACAGGTCATAAGAAGATGCTTTGGGATAACATGAGCAGGGATAGCATAGGACAGTGCTCGTTGGACGTAACTAAAAGTAAGTAGTAACTTTTTTCCATCTTCTGCTCGAACCTAACTTATTGTTTGTATTATCTGGAATGATCAATGGTGGCGCGCATAAAATTAACGTGTTGCAGTACAGTGCCCCCTCTCTTTTTCTATGAGTCATTTTGCTGCTACGACTCAGATAAATAGGACACCTTAGCAATCCTTCAAAACTTAAAATTCAGACCAACTCATGACTTTTTTCGGTGTGTAGATATACAAACCGCAACAATCAGCGAGAGTCATCTGCGTTTACGGTTAGAAATCGATAGGATTGTGTGTTATTTTTTGTATATCTACTGGTCGCTCGAAACTCAAGTTGGCCTAACTTTATCAAACTCTTGGTGATTATCAACCAAACTAGGCCTATGCAAACTGTTGCCAGTAGTTCAAGTATAAGCAGTGCTTCGGCCAGCGTGGTAACTAGACTGTTACCCAAAAAAGAAACGCAGGGCTTCTGGAAAACAGTTTTTATCAAAATGTGTGGTTGTTGTAGCAGTAGAAATAACGTCATTGGTGAGTTTTATTTTATAAATTATGTCTCAATTAATCGAAAAATTGTTAAAAATTTTGTATGTTGGGTAACTAACTATAGTTCGGAATTGATAGGTTTGTTCATATGTTGACCAATTGTAGAGGGCACTTTGTCTGGATTTTCCACTTCGCCATTTATAATGGCATCGCTTAGTTGAAACCCTAATAAATATAAATATATTATATCCCTCAGTCTTTACAAAAAAAAATGAACCTTTAGAATATTCACAACTTTCCAGAGTATAATAAGCTCTAGGAGTTTCACTCCAAATGTTTCTAAGTCTGTTTTTCCAAGCCATGAGGAGTTCATCACCCTCCCCCTCCTTTAAATTAAAGGTTCCATATTCTATTTGCGGTTTGACAACTTGGAATCCGCAAAAGTGTAAGGTTCCATTCTAAAAGTAGATTTATTAAAGTAGATATTAAATTTAAAAGATTAATTGTTTGTTGTATCAATAATGGCCATAACAATACTTCTATATCGCCAAGCATTCCAATAGGAGTATAACATGTACTGTTACCACCAACGGTGAAGCTCACTACAATTCGTCTGTCTTTCATTGGACCTCTATTGAACAGCTTACCATCTTTGAAACTAAAAGCAAAAGATGCTGCAAACACTCTCTCAAACCACAATTTCAGAATAGCAGGAGGTGCTAGGCAGTGAATAGGAAACTGTAAAGGATGATTACTATGACCGCAAAGGTTTTAATATAATTGCTGTTTATTTGCCTGAAAAACAATTAAATCAGGTGAAATGATCTTTTCCTGTTCCTTAACAATATCTGGACCAAAGTTTTTGCTGAAAACGCTCTCGTAATTTCTTTAATGTATTCAAACTTGTCCCCTTCAGGCTCATCTGAGAGAGCAGCATATAAATATTTCCTTCAAATTTGGTCATTCCAGAGTTGAAGTTAGAATACTTACATAGAAAGTCATCTCCTGAGAGAGCAGGATTAAATTTCATATCATATAAATCACTAATAACAACTGTATCGCCTGCATTGGCGAATACATATTTCTCAGCCTTCAAAAAAGCAGCATTTAAACTTTTTTTGTTGTCGGGGTGAGCGTACACTATCAAAATATTCTTCTTTCCATTTCTACTTTCGGGATTAAGATTGGGAGTTGCTGCATTAACGGGACATTTTTCCGACATATTTTCAATATGATATTCTGTAAGGTGTTTAATTGACACATGTTTTAAAGAGAAGTGGAAGAGTTTTCACGTTATTATATCAAGTCAATCTTATCATTTGCTATGAACTCTAACAGATTATGTCTAATCTAGAGAGGTTAGACAGTGGCGGCTATTTAAGCAAGCTATATTTCTACTCCTAACTTAAAATTAATACTATTGCTAATTTATATATAAGTATCTTATAAAGAGGTAAATATATTATCAATAAACACGTGAGATATCAATCTTTTGTCAGTTTAGTAAATAGGAAAGACTGGCTTCTTGTCAAGTACCCAAAAATATATGTTTAATTGGAAACCAGGTTACGCACCGGAAAACCCGGCGTGCCACCGCGGAACACCTTGAAAACTACATAATAATTCCGGCATTGTTCGACCAGATCGAATAAATGTCTTGTTGGACTAGCTCGCTTGTATATAGGCGATTTTACCGCCAACACGATTAAATTAAATATTGATCATAATATTCTCTGTCTTCCTAATTTGAAATAAGTTCATAAAGTATGAAGGAATCTGATGACAGGAGAGGAAAGGGAAGAGTTCAATTTCTTATCGCAAAGTTTACGGAAATAGCTTTACAGAATGGTATTAAAATTACTTTAACTTTTAATCACAGTTAAAATTTAGCTTTCCATAATCCTTTGTGTATGCTCAAGCTATTATGAAGATCTCTCATAATATAAAGAACTGTTGATCAATAGGAATTTATATATATTGAAATATATATATATATATATATATATATTGCTTTGGCAACAATGTCAAGTTATTTTGAAGTAACTATTATTGTTTTTTTCAGGCGTTGAACCACCCCAAACTTCTAGAACATCACACACGTCACTTACAGCGTCGAAGAGAACACTAATTAGTCATGATGAACTTTCGAATGATGTCGTGAAAGATACACCTTCATATGTAAAACTTAGTTGTGCAGTGAGCGGATATGACAATTACAGAAGTAAAGAGGATGTGGAATCTTCCAATTTTCGCAACAATTTTCCTTCAAATGTGGTCATCAACGGGAATGAAGCGCAAATACCTTCAACGCCGGAGAAAGATGGCCGTTATTTTGAGGAAGTTTTAGAGAAGGAAAATAATCGAATTAATGCCCTGATGTCGCAAGCCGAAATGGATTTATCTAGTCAATCTTTATCCGAAGAGAGTTAGTTTGATTAAATTAAGTCATTTCGCTTGAGACTATTTTTTTTTCCTATAGTTAAAGGTAAACTACGATCGGTTGTGGGTAAAGCTAGATTGTTGACTACCAAAAAATTTAAACAGTTTGCTGATTTGTGCAGGAAAAACATGGTAGATACATTCCTCTACATTGTGTAACTTTTAATTGAAACATTTTCTCTTTAAGACTCAAGGTGATAATGTTAAATTTGCTACAACAAATCAAGACTTGGCAGGTTTTTGGGATCTGATTTCTATACAGGTAATTCTTGAGATGACTATTGACACTAGAGCATGATATATAAAACAATATGTAGGATATAAATAGACTAATTCGCAGGAGAAAACGTGTTAAGAATGCGCCTTTACAACCACAGAGAACAAAAAAATTCTTGTGTTGTTTACTAAGGCCTAACTCGTGAATTGAATGCCAATTAGCTTATTCAATCCAAAGCATATTAAATAGTTGCTAAATTCTCTTACATCAAAAAGTGATTAATCTCCAAGCAAATGTCATTTTAACACTTTGCTCTTAATTTTAGATTGCCGATGTTGATTCATTGTTCGACGAAGTAGAAAAATTAAGAAAAAATAATTGGCGTTTGGAAGCATTGAATAACAGTTCCTTGAAGCCAACAAACTCTATAAAACCTCCAAGTTCTGCCCCTACCCCAAGGAAAAACATAATAAAGGACGGTACTACAACGAAAAATGCAAGGAAAAAATCAATCGACTCAGCTAGAGATATTGAACGTCGACGACAGTTGTTGGAAGCCAAGAAAGCAATGCTTAGAAAGAAAACAAATCTTCAGAATGGAGATTTACAGATAGAATTTAATTAAAAATGCAGAAAAATTTGAAATTTGTTAAGAGAGAAAACAACTGCAGTGTTTCCTTTTCATTCCAGTTGTCAACATCTCAATTAAAAGGTGCTTGTCTCGTTATTTTTTATTACGCAGTAATGCCTTTTTAGTTTGATCAGTGAATTTTCCAATTGTGAAATTTTAACCGGTTCACGTTATTTATGCAAAGTGTGCTAACGATTAGTAGCTGATTTTTACGGGATAGCTTTCGTAATAAAAAAATCGGACAAACTTTCTCATTAATTTTTTCCAATTTATTATCTTTCATAAACAAGAGTATGGTCAGTCTATGCGATAGAACTGGCATTCGACGCAATTCTTGGCCACAAATCAGCGCATTCTTTAGCGACAGGTCCAGAAATTGCGGATCCTTTCATTTCTCCTTTATTGTTTACGATTACTCCTGCGTTATCTTCGAAGTATATGAAGGTTCCATCCTTTCGTCGATAAGCTTTCCTTTGACGAACAACTACAACCGGCATTACTTTCTTTCGTAATTCTGGCTTTCCTTTCTTCACTGTTGCCATTACAAGATCACCGCTGGCGGCTGCTGGTAGACGATTAAGACGTCCTCCAATTCCTTTTACAGCTATTATGTACAAATTTTTTGCACCTGCAGACAAATTATAAAACTTATGTATTGTTAACAAGATGTATTATGTTAAAATAGACAAACAAATACTTTACCTGTATTGTCGGCACAATTCATAACAGCGCCTACTGGCAGAGCCAGTGACATACGAAATTTTCCTCCAGAAGAACCTCCGCGACCTATAAAAGACGTTTGTTAATCTCATTAGACAGATCAAATAATCATTTATCTTCACGGTAAATTTTTATAGGTTATTTTAAATATTTAGTGAGATAATATTAGATTTTGATAGCTTGGTTGAAGTATACCTCTTTTCGACATGTTGATCGGTGTGTAAAAGGAAGCGGAAACCTTGGAGCGCCATCTTTTTGACTTTCTAGTCAGTAGTCACTGTTGCCTAGATAAAAGAATCGGAAATAGAATAAAGACCTTGACCTCTAAATATTAATTAATATAAGTGAATATGGATGCACCAGACAGTAGCTTATCCATTGAAATAAGATCGAAATCTGTCGAACAGACTCTGGAACCTCTTGTGACTCAGGTGAAATTGTTATATTCTTCTTCTGATTAATGGCATATTTTGCAATAACATATGCTTTGTACTTGCTCCACTGTAGATCACTAATTTAATTTCGGAAGCTACCTCACCATCGAAAAGATCGGGCAGTAAAACTACAAGACAAAAGGCTTTGGAAAGAGGGGGAAATGCTGTCTATCAAGCGGTTGAGAGATTTGTAACTGTTGGAGAAGAATTGGGTTTAACAAATCCTGAAGTCTTTGATGATATGACTAATGCTTGTACAGAAGCAAGAGAAGCGGCATTATCAATACAGAATGGAGTGAGTTTGAAAACTAATTTGTGCCTTGAAAGATCAACGGTTTCTTGTTGTTTTAGGTCTCATCCCAAGAACCCGAAAATGAGGATTTGGCACAGGGAGCAAGGAAACTTCTATCAGCCGTCACGAGGATGCTATTATTAGCTGATAGAGTGCATGCTAGCCAAGCCGCGGAAAGTGTGAAGCGAGTGAATACTGTTTTGGCGCAAATTCAAAACGCTTCAGATTTAAGCAAGTTTGTTCATGAGTTCAGTGAATTGGGTGCAGCTTTAGTACAAGTTGGAAGAACAACAGGAGAACGTCAAAATGATGCTAAAGATGATGTTATTCGAGCTCATCTTGCTTCTCATCGGTCTATTTTGGAACGATCTACGTCACTCCTTCATGCAACTTGTCGATCGGCTTTGAGGCATCCACAAACATCATCCTCTTTGACAGCAAGATCTCAAGTAATAGATATGATGTCTGCCGCTTTATCGTCACTAGAAAAGCTATTGGGAGGACACATACCAACAATTCCTCATGTTGACACTGCACATCATGCAATCGTTCAATTAGAACGAGCATTAGATGAAAATGCGCCTTTGAGTGAATTACTGGATACTTTATGTGAAACAACGCATGATTTCACTGATAGTCCATATACTAATCACGATGAACGCGAAAGGGTTTTGGCTTTAACTCATTTGTGTTGTAATGAGGAGGATAAAAATAGATTAAGGAACACAACCAGTGCCCTACGTTCTCAACTGGAATCTATTGCAAGAAATCACGTTGTTGACCTTACAAAATCTGAAATAATAGCAGACGTAACGAATGCGATTGCTGCCAGTGCCAGTCGAGCAGATGAAGTGTCGACAAAGATAACAGAAAGTTGCGAGCAAATAGTCGACGCTTGTACTCTCATTCGACATGTATCCAGTGCCCAAAGCCATCTTGTGTCCATTGAACATACAATAAATTATATACGATCATTAGCTCCCTTAATGTCTTCCTGTGCAAGTACCCTAGCCAGACATCAAGACTCCCAGATGGCCATAGATTCATTTGATGCTTGTGTCTCTTCTTGGAAAGCTATTGTAGAACAAGTTATGGCTCTGTTAAAAGAAATTGTACCGGTTGTCTATGCAGGGCATGAACTCCAAGCTGCCGCTCGAGTTGTCGACGAAGTGACGGCAGGTGGGGAATCTTCATCAATCAATCAGGAGTCGAGACAAATTGTACATCGAGCAAAAACAATGTCGGCTGCAGCTTTCTCAGTTTATCTCTTTACTAGAGGAGAAGGACCTCTTAGGACAACTAACGAACTCTTTGAACATGCTACACAGTTGGCGTCTGATGGCGAAACGTTAGCAAACGAGGTTCGAAATCTTACGGTGGTCAGAGGAGAAATTGCGGTAAGAATAGAGCGTTTAGAAGGTGCTTGCTGTAAATTGCAATCAGCATTGTGTACACCAAGTTGCGGAAAGGCAGCAACATTTAATAAAGTTGACCAAGTTGTCACAAGAGTAAAGTTGTTAATGCAAACGGTCGCCCAGCTCGTTACGGCCTGTCTCCTGATTGCTACCTCTCCTGGTAATTCAAAAACCGATATTGGATCCTTACCAGTTGGTCTGGATGCCTTATAAAAGAAAAAAGAATTCTAGTCTTTTGTTATATTTTTGTTGGTGTCTTCGAAATTTAGTTATGAGAATGAGATTTTTTTCACTTCTGGTGTATATAAAAAAGCACTATTTAAAATGACTTACTAACGTACAGTAACTAATACCACTGTAAGCATTATGAATATTTAATAAATAAACTTTTATAAATTTATGATCAGAATTTCAGAATTCAAACTAACTTTCCACCTTAGAGTCAGAAAAAAGACTTAAGCATACAGTCAATTTGACGGTCAACCATAGATTGAAATATCTTTTTTGTGTCTTACTTGGACGAATTTATAGAATATAGCAATTAATTGAATATCACGAATTTTCATACAATAGAGGGCGTATTTATCGCCAAGTCACATGACTTCATATCCAATCAGCAATTAGCTTACAAAACCTTAGTTCGGAGGAAAAATTGTGTCAAGTCTCGGGGACGTTATAAATTTACCGGTTAAACAATACTGTAAATATAGTCGATACTGTTCAGAGGAAGAACGATTTTAATAAATCCAATCTCCGATCACTCAAAAAGCTCGGATGAAGCAGTGTGGAAAGTGCAACAAAACCGTATATCCAACGGAGGAACTGAAATGCCTCGACAAGGTATCAATCGTTGTCTTCCATTCTGTTATCTAAGGATTATGTTTTCTTAATTAGTGTAAAAGAGAAATATGAAACCTTTTGTACAATACTGCCACACCCAGTCAGTGGGTGTGAAAATTTAACGATAGGTAATATTGATAACAAATTTTACCACTTTTTTCGGTAGATATGGCACAAAGGTTGCTTCAAGTGTCAAGAATGCAACATGACGCTAAATATGAAGAACTACAAGGGATTCAATAAAATGCCCTATTGTAACGCGTAAGTTCATATTGTTTTAATTTAAATACGTATGATTGCCCAATAATCATTATTTATTAACTGAATGGCTCATTACATGGGATTAGACTGATTCTTTGTTATTTTACACAGACATTATCCTTCCTTGAGGGCAACCCAGGTTGCTGACACACCAGAACAGAGACGTCTTGCTGAAAATACAAGAAATCAGAGCTTGGTCGGTTGAAAATGTTTCATAATTTTACTATTTATTAACGAGTTATCATTTACTATTTTAACAGTCCCACAGTTAATATGTTAATATGGTTATTAAGTGTATTATTTTGATAATTTGTGTCTAATTTACCTAAATAACCATACCTCTGTTAGTCTGAACAAGCTTCTAGAGCTTTTTATAATTTGAGCGCTGAAGCGAAATTTTAGGATGAATGAGCATGAATAGTACTACCAAATTTTTACAAGAATTTATTTCATACTATATAAGTTCATAAACAGCTTCCTGATTAGTCACGTCAATGTAGACACGATTTCTATTGATAGCCTCAAAATATTGAAATAGGAGAAGAGGTTAATCGGTAGATGTTAGTTTATTAAATTAACCTTGAGAATTGGTCCTAGGTAATATTTAAGACCCATTTTGAGTATATCTACAAAAAACTTCCAATATCGTGGTAAATATTTGTATGTCCTTGCACAGAAGCTGTTTGATTTAAAAAAAACTTATAAAAAGTTTAGTTAATTAAAATCTTTTTACTCTTTTAATCTATAATTTTGGACTATTCGTATTAATTAAAATAATATTTGCATATACTACCAGTGTATATGTAAATTAACTCAACGTATGAAATCTTTATTTAGTTATTATTTAGGTGATAACTTTGGAGGAATAAAATAGGATTTATTGTTCTATTCATAGAACCAATTTACACCCAAAATTAACTTACTAAAATCACAATATGCTTTTAATCATATTTTTTCACATAACCATGATTGTTTAATGATTTATTAGTTATGTTGTTTTCATTTACTTTCATGGATATTTTATACATTTTAAAATTGGCTTTTATAGATTGTGTATCACAAGGATTTTGAAGAGAATAAAAAGAAGTTTACTGTCGTCTCCGATGATCCAGAAATGAGAAGAAACATGGAGAACACAAACAAATTCAGCCAGGTAAGAAATAAAGTTTGAAAACGATGACTTGTATTAATTAGTTTGTATTTTCAAGATAAAATATGGTGCTGACAGAGAACAATTAAAAGGAAGGATGATAGCTGTGTCAGACGGTCCAGAGTTAAGGAGAATAAGGCAAAATACGGCTAATATTAGTCAGGTATGAACCGTTCTTGACAACATATTTACCTATATAGTAATAAATTTTGTATAAAGGCTGAATACAGAGGAGTTAAGGGCCAACGTGAAATTCAAGAAAGTGCAAGAAATCTCGTCCCTCAAACAGGTAATATTATTTCTAAGAATTAGTGGCATGTAATGTTTACGGTTACTTCGATCATTTTAAAACACTTGGGGGAATTTTTACAATAGTTCGCCAGGGAAGTTTAGGATCAGATGACGAGGAACCACCTGAAAGACCATCGATACCAGGCATTGGTAAAATGTCGCTTCAGCTTAACTTTCATCTCTTTCATTTAATCATTTGAATAAAAACTATTTGCTTTTGCCATCGCAAATTATAATTTGAAATTATGATTAAACCTTTCTTTTATATTTTAGGCGGATTCAGCTACGCAGCTCCTGAAGCTAGGAATATAGGAAGAATATCCGAATATACTCCTGATAGATACGGCGCTCAAGAATGGCAAGAAACTGTTCCTGCTCCAAGTGCTGGTAGGTTCTTTTATTATCCGAGAGGTGGCGAAGTGTTCTTTTTTATTACGTATGGGAAGTTAAGAATTTTTCTTTGCATAGTTTTGAAAAATTTACTATTACGCAATATAACTATTTACATTAAAAAGCAAATAAAATATTATTACTTCCATTAAATAAAAGTTATGTAAGATATAAGCCAAAAATAATAAAGAGATGTTGACAAAGCTACTGCTTGTTTATTAAAAGCTCTAACCTTGTCCTCAATTCAGTTTAGAATCATGCCTGTACTTATGTAATATCCTATATAGGACAAGTGAGTAAAAAATGGGAAGGTGCAGCTAATTCTCTAGAACTGACATTCTTTTTCTTGAAATCTTAGGCCTATGTTTGTTTAAAATCGAAAGAAATAATAATTGTAAAAAGGAAATTCGCTCACTTCTCGAAAATATGGTTTTTATGAGAAATTTATTAGTTTTGTTGTTATGGATTAATTATTAATACTAAATTAAATTATAAATTTTGTGGTTTGAGAGTATTACTAACAACCAACCTAATGCAGTACATCAACAACCTCAACATGGCAATTACCACGGCTCTTATCAGAGTAATCCGACTCGGCTACCTGGAATGGAGAAGAATCATTCAGAACCTCGTGCAACCATGAACGTTGGAGGATCTCTGGAGCTTAACTTGCAACAACCACTTCCACCAACACAGCCTCAAATTAATCCTGAATTTCTTGATAAGCCAGCAGGTAGTAACCATCTGGCATGCTACTAAGATATTAATACCGAAAATTTAATTAACTTAGTTTTCTAATTTAAATGCTTTGTAGACTTTCTTGATACTATGGATGTGGAAATATCGTCGGTTGGTAGCTCTGAAATGCTTTAATATTTTTTGACTAAATAAGAAATTATATTTATAGTACCGATTTCAAGCACTATACGACTATGATGCCCAGGATGATGATGAAGTTAGTTTTAAAGAGGACGACTACATAGTAGACTGCCAAAAAGTCGATCAGGTAAATAAAATTTGAGCGAAGCTATTTCCATTCTCAACTAATTTTATATAATAAGGATATTCCAAGTGATGAAATTCTGTAAGAGCCCCCTTAATTATCCAAATATAAATAATTTCCTAATCTTTTGGAGTTCAAAGTGTAAAGGGCTAAATTTAAAAACAAATTTATTAGGAAAACCTATAAATAGCTCTATTATGCAATTTAAAAACAAATGATAAGATGTTGTTGTTTACAAAAATTTATTTCAACCGTATCCCGCTTTATAATATCCATCCCAACAGATTGCGTCACAGATGACGTTTGTTTTTCATTGATAAAGCTCTTTTCATGAAAATTCAATAAATGTTATAGATTATAATAATGTTGTGAAACATGTTGTTCCGGTCAACACGATGAAAAGACTTCCTCATTCTAAAATATAATATTATTCTAAGGAAAAACATAATTATGTCTTTCATTTAGGGTTGGTGGACTGGAACTGTGGAGAAGAGTGGTCAGAAGGGCATGCTGCCATCGAATTACGTGAAACTGGTCTATTAACGAAGATGTATGCAAAAACATTAACATAATCAATTTTTTATTTCATTTTTCCTAAAATATGCATATCTGTTTTTGTTTGTTTCATAGATTTGCTTAAATGTACATGTTTATTTTACTGGAAGAATTTTCCTTGTCATTAAATTGCTTACGATGTGCCTAGATGAGAGTTTTTTTACTATATAAGACTTGTTTATATTCTGGTTTAAGATACGTAAGACGAAAACATGACGATCCGTACGGAAATCAGGACGAAAATGCTGATTAGAGTACCCAATGACCTATGGTGCTGTATTTATTTGTAGGTGTCGCCAAAGTAGCATGAATATTACTCTTCTGCAGTTTTCTCTAAGATTTATGGCGATAACCGTTAAACTTTTCTTAAAAATAAATTTAAACAACATTTAAGACTATATGATCAGATGCTGACAAAAAATAACTAAATAATCTGGAATATTTTAGACTTAAAGAAGGTGAGTTGATGACGTAATACGGTGCGCAGCTGACCAAAACAAAAATGAGCCAATGAGAAGGATGGCGCAATCAATTCCTGTTTTCCTTGAATTTCTTGTTAAATATCAATGTAAAATATAATTTTTTCGAGTAAGTACTTTACTAACGTGTTGTATAATATTGTGGTAATGTGTTTTCGTCATATTTTCCATACTATGTCTTTGATCGTTGATGTCATCTGATTTTTGTGTGGGTGAGTAAATGTTATGCAAGAGCCAAGCATTCGAGTATGGCTCAACATAACAATTTTAGCTATAAAATTATGACGATGGGTCTAAATAGTGCGCAGTATTGCGCAATCGATCGATTTGGAAATGTTTTGTTGCCATGTTTGTATTTGTTTGTACGATACCAAGTTAACCATCCTTGTACTCATTTTGAGCAAATTATAGGTGTTGAGTAAAATAATCGTTTGAGTAAATCAAAATTTAAGAAAGTGACAGTTTGGCAAAGCCGCTGGCGACGAGCAGGTAATTAAGAGATTTTTCTCTAATAAAACTGCGTAATTTTTGTTACGTAGCTAGTTGTTACGTAATGTGGTGCTGTATCGTTCTTTCTTCTGTTTATTATCAGGGATTGTTCGTAGTAACGCGTAAGAGGTGTGGTCTAATCATGTATTTATGACTCATATTAAACTGGAAGCTCCTTATACGAGAAGGAAGAGGGGGTGTTTTAATTTCTATGTTGTTATTTATCAGAGTGAAAGTATATCAATATCGCTTGTGTGTGTTTTTGTTCTTGTCATGTGACACAGTGACTTGTGGCCAGACCTAATGCTTATTGGAAATTCCCTTTTAACACTACTTCTCTTATGTCTTTTTTCACAATTATGAAAATGAAATAGTGTTTAGCAAATGTCCTTATTAATTAAGATATATCCCATAAGTGAAAATGGCGTCAATCACGTGATAATTATGAAATTTCCTTATTACCGAAATTTAAGTATTAGTAAGCGTAAGAAACTCAACTAGTAGAGGTGGCAAGGGGAAGGTCTTAAAAAACTCACTGTAAAGAAAGTAGCTTTTAATAAACTTCCTTCTTACTTTTCAGGAAGAATATGACATTGCAATCGTCACTTATTACTCCGCATTGCAGTAACAAAGGACAGGTGAGCTAATCCTAATTATTATGATGTGTTTAATATTATAATCAGCTGACTCGGTTCGTTTAGGCCTAAGAGAGTTCGAGAGATAGGTCGCAAAACATTTCTATAGCAAATTATCTACGAATGTAAAAAATACGTAACTGCGCAGTATTCTTCCCTTCTGTACTTTTGTTTAGATAGGCTTAAACGTCTTATAGCACAGCCTGGAAATTTTACCAATGTCACGTGATTTCCAAACAAGTTATAATTCCAGGTACAAAATGAATCATGTATCGCGTTGTTATTTCCACGATGGAAGTGACTCAGGATAGGAGTGGTTTCTATTTTGTTGTTAGTATTAAATTTACCACTCCCTTGGTTGATACACAAAAGTTCTTAAATATGAATGATAATGGTTTACTTTAGTGGATAATTTCTCGATTTTTGGCAGTTTAGGTCAAATGTGAATTACCGTGGGTTCAGTAACTTTGATCATTATTGTAATGTTCTATATTCTGCATTTCATTGTTACATGTGTAATTTTCTTATTCGTTTCGTAACCATATTTCAAAAAAAACGTGACTTGGTATTGCGAAATATAGCCAATAGGCTTTCAGCTAGGCTGTTAATTGTGACGAATCATTCTAAGGTCTACTATTCATCCTTACAGAAAATGAATCCGAATATACCTGATTTTGCAAATGAAGGATGGCCTGTTTCTGAATCTCTCTACGATGATTCTCCGCAGGTACGTAATAAATAATGGCTGTTTTGTTTTCGTCTTGTATTAAAGTCGAAGTCTAAAATATAAAAAACATGTTTACATTTTTCTATTTTTGTCTTATTTGTCCTACATATTATTTTCTTTTTTTGCAGCAGGACCCTGGAACATGGGAGAAATCAGAACAGAATCTTTGCAACAGCAGTTTATCAAGCAATGGTCTCAACGATTTAGTTTCACGTATCGTTGATGAGTCCGACAGCTTGTCAAGCAAAGATGAATGGCCAACTGCTGACGTTGCGCCGTATTCTGCTTTCGGCGGAGAGGATAATCGTTATAGCCTCTTCAGTAGTCCGGCAAAACCAAGAGGCTGGTCTCTTGGAATAGATGAAAAGAATTGGCTCCAGACTCCCAGTCCAGCCCCAGGGTTAAGCAAAAGGTTTCCAGCAACCCCAAGGAGTCTGGATGAGGCTCTACCTTTCAAGCCACAGAAAAGCAGAATCAGAGACGAGCCAGTGGATATCGAATACACTCGGGCACCTTTCGAAGAGGAGGACTCTGTCTTCAGACCATTTGAAAAACAGCCGTATGCCAGGGAACTCTTCCCTGTAGATCAGGATTCGGGTATGGGCAATAGTTCTTTGGAATCAACGGGTACTACGGAAAGTTTTTTACCAGCTTCTACCAGGGAATGGAACGAGGTGAAAAAGAGCGTTTTGAATCCGGATGCCCCGTCTTTTGAAAGATCCCAAATGAATTCGTCGAGATTTCATGAACTTCATTGGCTTCAGAAAAAGAGCCATTTTCCAGCAGCTCCAGGAACTCCGACCAGGAAGAGGAACAATAGTGGAAATAGTACTCAAAGTTCGGATACAGTTGAGCAGCCTTCTGTTCAACAAGCTGAATTATCCAGTCTTCAGGCTCAGATCGATGCTATGAAAATCAAGAGTGAGGAAGGAGCGTCATTGAAGGAACTTGCTAGTTACTTGCATATAATTAAACAGCTTCAACAAACTGGTGGATACAATCCTTTGTTTCTCCCTCCAAGACTTCATCCTCAGATATTCAATCCCTGGCCGCAGATATATCAGCCAGAAGTTTATGAACAGGCTTTGCTAAATGAAAACATTTACAATCTAGCACCTTTGGTTTATCCAAGTGGAACACAAACTCACTATCCAGGTAGCCGACCTTTCCACAAGAGGAGTGGACCTGCAAACGAACTTCATCAAAATCTTGAGGAGTGCTACGAACAGTTCAAATTAATTGAAAAAGAAAGGAAGAAGAGCGAAGCGGAACTAGCCAGACAAAATCCTGGCAAAAAGATTTCAGGATTTAATCAAACCCCAAGTAATATTCCACGTTTGGCTGCTAATCCTTCGCGGGTCGACAGATTGGTAGTTGAGAGTTTTAAAGAAGAAGCGAGGGTGTGTTCGCTTATGCAGTACATGGAACGTTTAAGAGGTGATTCTTTACCTTCGCCGTTACATTTGGCTGTTCGAGAATGGCGTGAGGCAATTTGCCAAGTTCACAATAGAAGGAAGGACGAAGTCGCCATGAATCGAGATCGACACGTCATGAGAGCTGAAATCGATCGAAGCAAGTCTAGTAAAGGTAACGCATATTTATTGTTAAGTATTATTGTTTGATAAAGTTGTTGAATTTTTCAGTTGTTCTCGCCTTATCGGCTAGCATTGCTGACTTGAGAGCTTCTGTTCAAAAGGCTAGAAAGGCTTTGTGGAGTTCGATGCAAATGTCTCATACAGATCTACCGAAACCAATTTATACGAGGAAGATAAAATCACCATTGAACGTACTGAATGCATTTGTGAGAGAAGCGGAGAAGAGAGCTTGCCTTTGCAAGTAAGATGTCAAAAGTGAGGACAGCTAAGAGAGTGAAACTTGAAGTGAAAACACTTGAAGTAAAAACGAATGTGGTTATAGCATGCAGATTGTTGGTAATTAGTTTAGTGTTCATCGCTTTGCGGTTTGTAGTTTGATATATTGCAGTTGGTTTTATTGGCTAACTGTAATAGTGCCATTTTTGCGGAACGATTTACGTTTGATGCCATGTTTTTTTCCTCTTCTCTGCAATATGCTCATACTTATACATTTTTACATATCTGTCGTGTATTAAAGGCATTTTTTCGATAACAAAACTTGATTGTCGCCTAGTATTGATTATTCGTCATGCACGTCAGGTAAACAATCATCTGATTTAGTTTGCTTTGCATTTTGCTCGAGACCTTGTTCGTAAAATTTGTGGTAGGATCTCGTTGGGATGCTTGAAAAGTTTAATTTATTTATTTATTTATTTAACGTTCGTTCGTAAGTTTTATCTGAAAAATGTTTTTTGTCTTAGCTTGAAAAAAGGGTGTGTTCTTTGGGGGGCACAAAGTAACGTATTTTAATGCGCTTCAGAATATTGCTTGAAAAAAATGTTCGTCCTTAAAAAATTTTTTATAATAATCATAATTGTTTTACTTAATTTTTTGACGTTTAACTGAAAAAGACTGAACAGTTGGGGAAGCGTATTTATACCTTATCTATTACATTTTCCTTTAAAAAAAGAGAACGCACCCAATTACTCAGCCACTTGATGTTTTAGTATAGAAGATGAATTTTTTTATAATTTGGGTAGTTCTTTTTTAGATGTCAGGTTTTTCATGTTTCGAGAACGGATTGGTCTGGAAAGTGTTAAAACTTGTTACTGCAGACACTTGAACACGTTTGTACGATGCAAAGTAGTTTCTAGTTCGAAAAGGTAAAATTTGGGTGTTATTTTGCTAGTCGATGGATATTGGGTGTTTGCATTTGTTGGTTTGTAATTTATATGTAAAAAACATGAAGATATTCTTAGAAACATGTTGTATGTATTTAACAATAAGACACTCTGCTTCCTTTTGCAGTAGTTTTACCCTATCCTATGCAGACTATACAGAATATCGTCACATCATTGCGGGTAATATTAGTATAAATATTCATTTCGAATCATGTAGTCTCAGTAGATAGTCGATATTAGCCATTGTTTCTAGATGTTTATTTGTCAAAAAAACAAAAAAAAAAAAACATACGTTATTGCTGGGGTGCACTGAGACCAATGTTTTTTAAAGAAACGTTGCAATAACGTAGGTTTTGCAAATTATTCCATTTTTATCACTGCAACAATATTCGAATTTTCTTCTTTCGCGGCTTTGACGTTGTGAGTGTCAAATAATTTTATCGGCTTTTAACTATCGTGTTCGTTGCTTAAATATTATATCCGCCTATGCTATATACATCGCTGAACTATTTTGAGAAGAAATATTTAAATAAGCTACAATAGATGAAAAATTCTGATCTGTCACTTTTTGTGCCTTGTGAAATTAATATGATCATACCCTTTGAAAGTTCTAACTTGATTTAACGGAAAATCTTGACAACTTGTTTTTATTCACTTACTGCGCAAAAACAGATGTTTTTTTAACTGAAATTTGTCTCAATTCGTGAATTTTTCTTGCCGTTCCTATTCGTTGTTAAAATAAAAAGACAATTGATTTTTTTTTTTGAATCTTAAAATTGAAAATTTTATTGTTTTAAAATACTTAACCAAACTGACATTAACTTTACATTTGCTGCGTAGAATTACCGTTGTAAAGTGCCATGTCATCGTCGTCATTCCTCCTATCAGATAACCTTGCTATATTCGAACGATGCCTCAGTGTATTTCTGTTAATATATTTAGTGTATTCTTCACCAGCTCGGAAAAGAGTTTTAAAAACCTGTTTACTTACGAAGTTGAAGAGGTCTGAGAGTCTCTTTGTTGTTGACTGTTGGATCGATTAGATTGAACTGCTGGTTGTTGTGGTGTACCAAATACAAATGTGTAAATCATGTTCCAAACAGAGGTTATAGAGTTTGATATAGTATTGTAGATACTTGAAACTAAACCCATTCCTCCACCACCATCTCCAGGAGTTGACATAAAACTTCCGAGCTATCGATACACACGCTTTATTTATAATAAAAAAATAAACCGCACATACCAATTTAACAGTAATCACAGATGAGGGAGCCAGCTGTAATTCACTAAATGATAAACCATATTCGTTCGGATTGTAGATTCTCTTGGGAAAATTCGTCATTAGTTGAATATTTTTTAGAGAGTGCTGTGAAGTTAGATAAACGATTACATTAAAATACACTTTAATTTTTTAAAAGAATAACCTCAGTCCTTAAATAATCAACTGCGTCTTGAAATTTATTACCAGAAGGGAAAAAGTGATTTACAGCCTGACCATCAGGTAAACGAAACTGTATACGGGCAGTTTCACTGCAACAAGGAAGCACCGTTTCCTTCATTTCTTTAAAAAAAAAAAAGTAAAGGTTACCTTCTTCTAGAAGCTTCCATTCGCTTTTCATCGGCTTCTCTTTGTAATTTTTCCTGTTTCTCTTTTTCGGTGGTCGCCTTCTTAAGACGTTGTGTCTCTTCAAATCGAGCCTTACGCTCAGCTCTAGGTTATCAAAAAATCTTTAAGTTTGTTCAGAGTAATAAAATCTGATTTACCTATCTCTTGCAATTTGTTCTTTAATTCTTTCTTTTGCTTTTTTATCCTCTTCTCTGTCCTTAATAATCTGATTTCTAGTTTCTTCTGCCTCTTTAGTTTCCTGCCACTGTTTCAATTTTGTGACATTTTTGCCCGTCTGAAAAATAGCACTATTTAATATATCATCACAAAAAATTATAGCATACAGATCGTCTGTTTAGTTCGTCATCCTTTTCCTTTTGACTTTCTTCAAACTTTCTTTCCTCTTGTTTTTGTCGCAATTTTTCTTTAGCTTTTTCGACTTTATCGTTTATAGACAAGTCAACTCCAGATGCAGAATCAGATGGACTGACACCATCGCATGCCTCAGTTATTTTTTTTAAAAAATCAGCTGATTCGACGTAACCTGCTACAATAAGCTTCTGCTTGCCGTCGAATCCAATAAAGTATGTTGTTGGAACTGTCATTACAGGATCTTAATATTCTCAGTCAAGGATTAAATACAATTAAATATTCTCATTGAATCAACATATTAAATACTAGAAAATGTCTAATTACTTAATCATATCTTAAAAAAAGGATACAATAGACTGAAAATTGTGCACACTCTTCACTGTGAAAAAATATAATAAATGTCAAGATTAAACACATTAATCTAATAAACGAACCTATTTGCTTCTAATTTTAGACAAACACTTCTTGTTTCTTCGATTGCTTTACAAACATCTTCATTCTCCCAAGTTTGGATCATTTTATTAGATATTTCATCAGTGCCTAAGAAGACAATATTATCATATTGTTAAACTAATAATATGTCTTGAATAGCATTCAAATCGAAAAAAGGAAAGAAACGAAAAACAACAACCTGATATATATACAATAAACAAAGATGATCTTTCTTTAGCTTGTTGAATAGCCTCAGTCACATTACCATCAAACCATTTCATTTTTACTGATAATTGTAGATTTCAATTTTAAACTAATATAAATTCCGATTAAGATGTTTTCTACAATTTTTCGTACAATCACACCGGAAATGCAAGGTTAGGAAGTGATAATATGTAAACGATATAAGAAAGCGATGCGATAATCGAGATCGCTAACCTAAAGTGGAAAAATCCATAAAACTAAGAAATCAATTCTTTAGATAAACACCATATGTTGTTAGATAATTAAAAATTTTATAATTAAATTGAACTTTGAAAAATTTTTAGCTAACTTTTAGAAAAATTTTATTGCAATAAATTTTACAAAACGAAAGTAACACGTTCCTCACATTAAATTATTTGATTTTTTAAAGGGACGTTAACAAAATATTCATGAACTAAAGTTCATCTTTCTTATCGGCAGCGACTCCTACGTTTTCATCAAGGAATTTGGAGAAACCATCGAGAGTTCTTTCCCCTTTGAAATCTATTATTTCGTCAGATCCTTTAGGGAAAAATTTGATAGTGGGGAATCCACGAATGCTAACATTTTCAATTTCGTTTGCAGTAGAATCGATTTTAGCAATAACAATATCTGAACGCTCAGCATATTTTTCACCTAATTCATTCCAAATTGGTTCGAGATTTTTACAATGCCCACACCATGGTGCATAGAATTCAACCAGAACGGCTTTGTCAGCATTTCTGGCAACATCGTTAAAGTTTTCCCCAACTAGGACTTTAACGGCTTTGCTATCCCAATCTGCAGGAATATTCTCGGTTTTGAGATGTTGCTTAACTTTTCCATCTCTAACTCTTTCAACAAAGTCTTTAACATTTTCAGTATTGATATCATCAAAGTCTTGCTTAAATTTGGCCATATCTTGTTCCAATGATATATATCTAACAGTTGGAGCATCTTTATCGCTAACACCAAAGAATTCCAAGACTCTCTTATTTTCACCCTCAACAACGTCTAAGTAAACAAAAAGAACTTGTCCTTTAAAACTGGAGGCGGCTCCTTTGAATTTGGCTACAAGATCATCGAAAGTTTCGCTAGATTTTTCCAAGAAAAGGAGAAGATGATTTTTAATTGGACCACTAAAGATTTTCGATGCACTGGCTTGGGTGAATTCAATGACTAATGGAAGACGGTTTGAATTGATAAAGCTGGTCAAGTCATCTTCAACAGTTAAATCTCCATCGTAATTTACTCTACCATCGTCGAATTTTCTGAACATTGAAACACCGTTTTCCATTTCATATTCCTTCTTTACAGCTTCATCATAAGAAATGCCAATTGGTAAATCATCAAAAGCTGCGGCAACATTAAGGAAAGCCTTTGCTTCAGCATCTTCAGCATTCTTAAAGAAACCTACAATAACAACATCATCTTTGTCAACAAAAGCTTTAGCAGCTTCAACATTTTCCAAATTAATGGCTGGGGGACCGCTCTTCTTAGTTACCCAATTTACAATATCGTTGGCTTGTCTTCCACCTGTAATTAATTGAGTATATTGAAACAGGAGTTGATAATGTACAAATGATGTGCCACATACTCATTTAACATGAATACGTGTACATATAGGACTACATTAAATAGACAAAGAGCTAATTGGTTACCTTTGTAGTCGGTTGGGTTTCCGTTTCTGAAGAATTTAAGAGTGGGGAAGCCTCCAATCTTGAATTTTTCGGCCAATTTCTTTTCAACGGTAGCATCAACCTTGCCCAACTTTACAGGGGAGCCTTCATCAAAGAGCTTCTGGGCAGCCTTGGCGTATTCTGGGGCCAGTTGTTTGCAGTGTCCGCACCAAGGTGCATCTGTCATTAACATTATTATAGATTATTGCAACAAATGCCACAATTAGTAACATATAGTTTATATGTTTCAAAATACTTACAGAATTCAACAAGAATAAATTCGTTGTTACTAACTGCATGGTCAAAGTTTCCGTCTTCCAAAACAAGAACTCTTTCTTCCTCTTTAATTTCTGGTTCTTCTGTTGATACAAGTGCCAGCTGACTAAATAGTAGCAAAGCGATTGAGAGTAATGTTAGTTTAAACATGATGTAACCAGTAAATCTAATAATTGATACAATTAATAAAGGTCTAAGACGCTATCTCTTTCCAATTTGGAGAAGGAATGCCACGTTTCGTTAAGTCGCCTAAGCCACGTTGTAAACGTCATGGAATAGGCCTGATTAGGACAAAATGTTCCCAATAGCCGAAAGATGACACTCTCTACTAGTCTATATAGAGGTCTAATCATTATAAGCATTCAGTCTGTAAAATGTAGTGCGCCATTTTGATTTTACAAAACTTGCGAATCTGTCTACTACTCTTAAGGTCACAGAGAAGGTTTCTGTATCCGGTTTGAGCCATCAATCGGTTGAAATAAAAAAACCAAGTTTCTTCACTATGATGAACTAATAATTAACAATGTGGGTTTTCGTAGATAGATAGTTGTAATCTTTTCTATATCCAATCGAAATCGGTACGTTTGCAAAACAATTTATGTGGAAAAATTCCCATCTAATCAAGCTCACAAAAATTCACGGAGCGACGAGAAGTAACCTGTGTGTGAAAAAATTATTAAAAAGATATAATACGTCTTAAATTTATGAAATTTACAAATTAAACTAATATATCTGTTATGTCAAATTCACGCAATGTTCAGGCTTATCCACCGATAAGTAATCTTTATAGCAGCAGTAGCGATACGGACGATTACAGATTTCCCCCTGGTTTGTTTGATTTCGTTGTTAAATTTTTTTTGCAGACATTTTTGCTAACAATCAGGCGAATATTCAGCAAATATGAATCGGAAGAGACAGTTAGTACCAAATGCTTACAAAAGTAAGAAACGATTATGTAATGAATCATCGAATGGTGCAACACTTGAAGAATTAAATGAGCAAGATGCCGGTATGCATAAAATAAAATAATTATATTTACCTTATTTAAAAAATATATTATATTTATATGAAACTATTCAATTTTCGATAACGTACAATAATAGAAAGCTTACGCTAACTTTAAATGATCGCATTGCTATGAATTCGAACACTGTTTAAACTGACAGATTTCGATGACTTTTCGGAAATCAGAAGTGCATATTTTTTAATAAAGAATATGTTTCCTACGGATAAATTTCAAAGTCAAATACCAGCTATAGTTCTTAAACATCAACTGTACGCTTTAGTTTCTGATCGAACTCAGGTCGATAGAGAGTTGGTGAGTTTAGCTGAAGCACAATAATTATCGACTATTATTTGATAAATATTTAATATGACATTTTGTTGAAGGATGATATGCGGAAAAATGGAGAGGTGAAGTTGTTCCGTTTAGGATCTGAAGATATCGATTTTGCCTTGGTGCTTACAGATGATTATAAGAATCACATACACGAAATTCTCTTACCAAAAGCCCTGAAAAAGACTGCTTTAGGTTGATTATTCTAATCTCATGCGAATCCTAAAAGCATTTTTTTTACATTTCAACAGATAGATTTATGAATAACATTATTTTGAAAGGTAACTTTGTTAGCGTAGACAAGAAGCAGCTTAATGAAAATCACATTACCGATAATGATATTACGTATGTATATAACTATGCACATGTTACAAATTATTATTAATAATTACAAACAGAGCATTAATTTCTGCTGGTTTACTAACTGTTCGAGACGTTGGTTGCTACTGGCTTTCAATTCCGTCAGTAAGCTTGTATTCAAAATCATTGATGAGAGGTCGAAAGGCATGTTTAACGATGATAAAAAAATGTAAATATAAGGAAATACTACAGCCGGTAAGTTTACTACATCCGTTATATAAATGATAAGTTTATAACTGTTTATAAATGATTCTTGAATTTTTAAGGAATTGGAAAAAAGAAAACTTCCAAAAGTTGCGAAATTAGGTATGACATACCATATTTATGATCTAATTGGAGCAGATTTGGTCTCATGGTTCGTTATATTGTCTCTCTTATTCACATTAAAATAATTTAGTTGCTAAAGTCTTTGTCTTTTTTCGAACCACAGCACTGAAACAACTAGTGGATTACGACTTAGACTGAGAGATTTATAATAAACAATACTTTTGAATGATATTCAGTTCTTTGTTCTGTCTAATAAATAAATATATTGCTTTACAAGAAGTATTCGAAATATATGCTATATGACAATAATATTAATGGAGTTTAAAATTGGATATTCAATGTTTTCAATCGATTGCAATAAGTTAACTTTTGTTTAATAATTTATATGGACAGCAGATAAGATACATTGTTTTTGATATTATGGATGTAAATGTTCTCCTTTATCGTTAAGTAGTTGCAATTGTATTTGACAGTGAAAAACTAAGAGGGATCATTTGTAGTGCTGTTATTCGTCTATTTTTGATGTATTAAACAATTTTACCTATTATTACCTTTTTTCTGTTTGTAATTTTAAAAACTTTTTTATAATTAAAAGTTAACATAGTGTCTTTCTGGATCAGTTTCTTTTTATCTGCTTTCGTATCTATCTTTCATTTTATTTATTACATTATAAAAGTTATTTTATTAAAGTGGTTGGGCAATCTAAGACAGGTTCAAAAGCGGTAAAGACAATTCTTATATAATTGATAGCAATTAGAAAGACTATACAGAGGAACTTGTCTGCCTCATGCAGCCTTTCCGGTTCCGGCGTCTATCGATTGTAACGCAAAATCGATGGTAGCATATCTAGTAGAGAAAAAATATCTGCTTGCAGCAGCAATATAAAATTGATAAATAAAAACAATGCTTTTTACCATAAGGAATAGAACAAATTTTTTGAATAAAGAATTCTAAGGAGCTCCTCATGCAACGTAATGATTTTAGTCTTTAAAATTATGCACAAAAGCTAATTATTATGTCTTTTCATTTTTCATTTAGATGCTCCGCTTAAACCGACCGGATAATTGTGGATGTATTCGATTAGTACTGTTGACGGTATTTGGATCTTTAGCATGCTTAATTACTGGATTGTTTCTAGGATGTATGTTGACAAAAGAGGATGCTAATACGGAAAATTTAATAAGAGAACGTCTGAGGCTAAAGCAATATTTACTAAATAAAAGAAATACTAGAGGAGATTGGTCTTATCAGAATACACCGCTAGTTTTGATGGCTTTACAATTGTCCGATACACATTGGGCTTTCGGCAACATAGATTCTCAAAGAACAATAGACAAATTAGATATTCAACTTCTCTCTTCACTTAGCCGGTTTGTTTATTTGCAAAATAATTTCTTTAATGAATTAATCTTTTCAGAAGTGTCAGAGGTATAGGAAAAGAATTGACCACAATACGACTAGCTCAATATATCAATGCCCTATTAGTACTCTTTCGTAATCCATCAAATTTTTATGGCCATAATCTAATTGAAATGTTATCCCAACATTTACAACAAACCGTATATTACAGCAAAACTAATGCTTATGCTGTCAGTTGGTCAATTATAGCTCTATTTAATGGCAGAACCGATATTCATTTGGACCATCTATATAAAATCATTAAACTGCAGAAAAGTGACGGCAGCTTCACGGGAGGATTTGGTATAATTTCTGGTTTTCTTTAAATTTCGTTTTATAGTGATGTTTATATATTTAGGTGAAACATGCATGTCTGTTATGGCGCTATCATGCTTCAGAGACAAGACTATAGTTGGACAAGCTTTGGGGAGATCCATTGATTATATTTTGAGAAAGAGGAGAAATGATAACTCTTACGGATCTGTTTTAGAAACCGCATTGGCACTACAAGCTATAAATGCGGGTGGACGTCGCTATCTTCTTGATGAGGACTACGAGTCTTCATTATTATGGTTAGCTAGAAGAAGTGAATTTGGTAAAAATTCGTTCGATAATATCGAAGTGGCAACACACGTCCTAATAGCACTTCAATCAACAAATCTATTGTCCATTCGAAATATAGTTGGCGTTTCAGGTAATTTTCGTTTTTTGGTCAAATATTCCATTTCAATGAAAGAAATTATTTTGTAACAAAGAAAAAAAAGAGGTAGCTAATCTAGTTGGTCCATCCATAAGACCTGTCCATTCAAAATTGGAAAGGTCTTTCCGTTTTGTAGCGTTATGCGATCAAACGGATGAATGTATGGAGCTACCAAGTACGGACGTCATGGAATTTACCAAGACGGCACCAAAACATACCGGTAATGTCGATCCTATCGATGTGAGGTTAGCATATACATATTACATTTACAAATGCACAAATATGTATATACTCGAGAATCTTGTAATCAGCCCTCTATATGTGGAATGCACCCTTACTGTTGTCTATGGAACGTCTATATTTATCATCAGCGCTGTAAGGCAACATCAGATATGAAAGAATAGCCATCTGCTAGTTGCTTATTAAGCATTTTATTAACTGTTGTATAGAATTCTAAAATAAGCAATGCTAACTAATTGTATAATAATTCTAAAAGATAAAAGAACTTATAACTAAAATGATTTATTCCAAATTCTATAGTTCAACTCCGAATGATAAGAAGAAAGAAGAAAAAGAGGAGAAAGCGCCTGATACTAACCTAAAGTGAATGAAAAATAAACGTTCATAGTTTTATTTTAATTTAAAGTTTATTTGGTAGGAAATAAATGTTACAATTGATTGTCGATGGTATTGAGAATATTAAAGGTCTTCTATTTCTTCGTGTTGCTTGAAGCAATAGACTTTTCTGTTATAATTTGGTGGTTCATCATAACTACCAGCTCGGGTCATGTAAAAGCCACTGAACCTATTTGCAACTCTTGTGTCATAATTCCAGAAGGAGGCTTTTGTATTTGCAGTATCGCCTTCGTTTGTCCACAATGGATTTCTTTCCAAGGTACACTCATCTACCATTGTATTATGTACACATCTTACTCTAGTTTTGTACCAACTTGGCTTAGGCCATCTGCAACCGTCACATCCATGGGATATATGTCCTAACCAAACATAATTTGTTGGGCATTCCATTTCCCATACTCCAATATCATCATAGGCTAAGCCTCCCCGGTTTTCCCAAACTTGTTTAAAATCAGTAGGCTCAACTAACAACCTTGGATTATCTTTTGGCCTTAACTCTTTTACCATGACAATAGTTCCCGATAGTCCTCCATGTGAAGGCTGAAATGTATAAAATTAGCTGATTTAACGGGATAAAACTGAAATAAGTACCTGAGCTCTCTGGCCAGCCATATACCATCCGGTTTCGTTGCTCGGATCCCAGACACCTAGATCTTTGTACGCCCCTGATCCTGAATCTTTATATACTTGCTTTCCGTTTGAGTTAGTATTCAACTCGAGAACTTGATCCTTAAAAATTTTATTATAATTTGTGAATAGGTTTCTTTTTTATTAAATTAGTTTCCAAATATTTACCCCATCCCCATTACGGATAACATATCTTATTCTACCATCTATGAAGTAGAATAGACTAAAGAACAGAGAGATTACGATAAACTCTTTTCCCTTCATATTTGTCTACTGTAGATAGTTTTGCAGGTATTTATACTTTATCAATATCTAGTTGCATATGGACTTTCTCAATTTGAGTCATAAATTTTTATTTTAAAACTCATTAGAACTGCTCTAAAGGTCGTACTCTTTCAAAACAATTTCTATTATTCCAAATTATTCACGTTTTTATCATTTTTTTAATCATTCTTCTAAATAACTATCTTATGAGCTAATAAAATTATATTGTATTAACTATATAGATCCTTCAGAATAGCACGTAATTTCCTTATGTAATTCATTTGTACAATTCAAACTATTTAAATAGTTAATTCTATATAAGACTGCCTATGTTACAGTTACAGTTTTTCGCAATAATAAGATTATTATATTTCACAAAGTATGCAATTTATGAGCTTCATTAGAAACTTCTGATAATTTTCTCTCGTTTTTTTATTACGTAACTTAATGATTTATATTTCTATTTTTAATGTACAACTGTAAATTATAGCAAAATATAAGCGATAGACGTCACTAGCGGGAACGTTACATCTTTAGTTATACGTAATTGGGAGGTATAGACACTTGTCTTAAATAAACAATATATTCTTTTTATATCAAATACTCGATATTTCTCATTCCTTATGAAAATTTGGATATCAATAGCGCAAATATTGTACTTACTTTTAAGTATTCCAAGAAAGAGTGGATATAAATTGGGTAAGAATTAATTACTAATTATCAACTTCTATTACACTGATTTTTTTCAGGTTTATTTTCGAAAAGATGTATGAAATATCAAGAAAGCTTTTGCTCTTGTCTGACAAAAGAGGTCACTAAGGTTCACTGCTTTTATAGTGAAACAGAGTTAGATTATTATTTAAAATTAGGTCTGATAAAAATTAAACTACATACTGGAGATAATTAATCTTAATTAATAGACTTTTCATTATTTCTAGGCGATCGGGACACATATATCCTATTTGATAGTTACAGTGATGCTCGAAGGTTCTCATTGTATGATTATAATAAAGAGTATAAAATAATAAATTATGACCTATTTGAAAAAAAGTTGACAAACGCCTTAACTAACATCGTTAATATTATTTATACCATAGAAAAAGGAAGTTATATAACATTTTTATACGACAAGATTTTTGGTAAGATTTATCATCAATAAAAAAGATTAGTTGCAAATACAATATCTTTTCTTCCAACTGTGTGCAATCTCTAGGTGGTTTATTAGGGAGAGCAGCTAATGAATTAAAGCTTACTAAATACAAAGCTTTTGATATAAACTATCAATTTAATAAAAGTCAGAAATACATTTATGAACAAAGGAAATATTCTAAATTTATTATTGTACTATCGTCTGGAGAGAGACAACTTGAAGAAACAATCCAATTAGTAAGTCGCTAAAAATATTCGTAACTAATCTTCTTCAAGTATTAGTTTCCACTTTCCACTAGTAAAATTTCTCCGAAAGAGAAATATTAGTATATACATTATACTCGCCCCCCACTGAATATCTTTGTGTTATTAATTTACCAGTCTAGAAAATTAGAAATAATTGGACCTTTCAACGAATGGTTTGTCATAACGAAAAAGAGTTATAACTTACAAAGAATTCTGATTAGTGGGGAAAATGTAATTTCTATCAGTTTGGATGCATCTTCAGATTTGATTAATTCATCAATATGTTCTATAACTTGTGAAAAAAATTGGGTATTTCTCGGTTTACAAAGACGTAATGAAAACTCTGGTCGACATGAGGTTAGCTTCTCTTTTAGAAAATGTATATAATATCAGATATTTTTAATTACAGTTAGAATTACATAATTCTGTCATTGTTAATAATAAATTTACCTGGAATTTCAAAGATTCTTTTCCTTTACCGCTTTCATCAATAAATCGAAAATTTTCCGGATTTGATGGAAAGATATTTAATATAACTACAGTTCCAGTTGTGTATTTATAGATAAATACAGGTGTAATTGTACATTGCAGTCTTAATAATAACTTATTTCTCTTATAGAATAAACTCTTTCAAATTAAGAAATACTACGTAAATGGAAGTGCCTACTTTTCAGGTTTGGCATTTGACATTCTTAATGAATTGTCCAAAAGGCTTAATTTTTCGTAAGTAGCCTGCTTAGGTAAAAAGGAATAAGCAATTTTTAGAAGAAATTTGTTACAGCTATGTTATTTCTGAACCTCCCGATGGTCAATGGGGAATTCAAACCAAGTCAGGGCGCTGGAATGGGATGGTGGGAATGGTCAAAAGAAAAGTTTGTTCAAGTTACTTTTTAATTTATTTTTAGAAAGCTTACTCGTTTAAGGAGGTTGATTTTGGAGTTGCATCCTTTACAATTACATCTCATAGAGAGGAAGCTATCGATTTCATAACTCCAATTTGGGAAGGCTCTCACAGTTTAGTTTTCAAAACTGGAGACACTAATAGCCACATATTGGCTTATTTAAGACCATTCAAGTTAGAAAATACTAGATATTTAACAAAATATTGAAATAAATTTGTGCTTTTCTTATAGATCAACGCTATGGTATTGTATAGCTTCGTTAGGTCCGCTAGTAGTTGGACTTCATTACTTGTTTCGCGTAATAGAAGAATCAAAAGGAAAAAATCCAAAATTGTTGTGCTTATTGATTAATAGCAAACGCTTGTTGACGCTCATTGATTCCGTAACGTTTACTATTGCTTCCTTTTTATCTCAAAGTAGGCATTAAAAACAGGATAATTCGATAACAAGATAAATTTTATATTTTAGGTTATCGAGTAAAACTTTTAGGTCCTGGGATTGGTTTATTTACTGCTGGGTTTTGGTTGACTGTTCTCATTTTATCAGCTATTTACAAAGGAAATTTAACTGCATTTCTAACTGTTCAAAAAGTGGCATCTCCTATAAATAGTTTAATGGACCTAGAAGAGGCAACTGATTATGATATTGGATTAGTAAAAGGACAAGCCCTAGTTCAAGTTTTGCAAGTTTGTAAAATGTTTACAAGATCTAGATAACTTTTAACATATATAATTCGGTTTAGTCATCGGATACAGAATTATATCAAAACCTTTGGAAGAGGATTATGAAAGATCCAGGGAAGAATATAGTAGATAATCTGACTGTCGGATTTCAAAGAGTTGCAGAAGGTCGATTTGTTCTTTTAGAGGACACGAAAAACGTTCATGCCATTGTAGCGGAGTCTTCTTCCTGTCAATACCATATAGGTACAACATCGTTCATGCCCACAGGCTATGCTTTTGCTTTACAAGACGGTAGTCCTATGATCAACATTTTCAACAAAGAGTATATATATCTAATATACTATCCAATAATGAAATACTTTTAATTATGCTATCTAATTTAAAGGATACTGAAAATGATAGATTCCGGTCTCATAGATAAATGGATGAAAACTTATTGGCCAGAAAATAAAATTTGTCTCCTAAAGAGGGGCGGAAAGAATTTCAACCATTCCTCTATCCTAGTCAAGGATATCGAAGGTATATGTTTGTTATTGTTCACCGGCGTCTGTTTAGGAGCCTTCCTGCTTTTTGTTGAGAAGACTATTATGTATAGAAAGGTCAACCGTCTGTTAAAAATTCACAATTAAGGTATTTTGTTTTTTAAATATTAAAATGATAAAAAATAATGTCAAATATGAAATGTTATTTTGTTCAAGTATGTCATAAGTTGTATAGCAGATAAAAACATAATTAAATAATTTATCCGGCGGATTTATTTTCTTGTAACGCCATCTGTCGCGAGTATATAATCCATATTTGAGATAATTAATCACAAAAGTTGTAGCCAAGCTTTGCTTTATTTTCTCCCTTTTTCTTTTTATTTTCTTTTTTTTCGCAGTAAAGGGAGATTAGCCGATATAGTTGAAGTGCTAAAACCAGAGCATTCTTGCAAGCAAAAAAACAGTTAGTGTAGTTAAACACTTTATACTTAAATATTGCAATCAAACGAATTATTACAAAAGGTCCATCTTGCATTAAAACTGATATCATAATACCCCAAGCTTCACTCTCAAGAAATATTTCTACATATTTCATGCATTTCTCTCGTTGTGTTTCTTTCTTTTCGTCCGGCTGATTTTCCTCATTTTCATCTGTTTCGTTATCCTTTGTTGCCGTTACAGTAAATGGGAACTGGAAAAGTGACCAGCTCCAAATGAAGAGAATACAATATACAAAACCCTTGTCTTCAACAATTTGTTTTTCAGACATAACTGTGAAAAAATCTACGATATCCGATGCAGTTCCAAGGTAAATCAAGAGTAAAGAAGAGAGCTGATCTCTAGTCAAATCTCCTTTCGGCATAAGCCATCTACAAACAATGATGAGAACCAAGAGAGCTTGCTCAACGATTAGTACCCAATCATCATTCGAAATGGCTAGCGGTAGAAAGTTGAGGCTATTCTAAATAATTCGTTGTGATCAGATTATTATTGTTAGAGTTAAAAGATTTATACTACTTTATTAATATCAAAAGCGAATAATGTATTATTCAATCTTGATTCATGATAGTTCAACTTGTTTAATTCCAACATCCAAATTGGTGGCACAACTGCGGCTAGATAGAATAAAACACTTGGCGTAAACCACTTCCATTCGTGACCTCTCCTTATAAAAAGAACAATGCCTGTTTCAATGATTAGTAGGCAAAATACAAGACACATTAACCAGTACAGTTGACCAGTTGTTATAGTCACCCTCCAAATAGCAATTAAAGAATGTAGAATAAAAAGTAATCTTGTGATCATCGCTTTTAGAGCGTCAAAAAAAGCTTTTCCACCAACACAACATCTCTTCAGCAACTGATTTAATCCGGACGATTCCTCTTCAAAGCTGGAACTCCGATCTAAATCTCTGTTCGTGTAACTCATTTTATTTTCTCCTCAGAGTTCTGTTGACTGAGATTTCTGCGAGAAGTTGGTTGCGAAGTACGAGAGAGAGAGACACACGAAGAGAGACACAGAGAGGGAAAAATAAGTTTTCCCTTATCACAGCCTTCTGTGTCTTTCTACGAACAAATTTAAGTGATTGAATAGGTCTTGTCGTTACCACTTTAATAAACTAAAAGTTAGGTTATTTCCCGCTGCAAATAAAGCAACACAAAATCCCTGCATCAATAAAGCCATTCAAACATTTTGATTGAGTTCTACCGTTGTTCATCGATTTTTCCGATAAAAAATTGCTTGAAATTAGAAGACGAATAGACTAAAAATCGTCAGGGAAGGTGGAGTAATTCTATTAAGTTGGTTAATTGAATAGCGCGCCGGCCAACATGAACAAATATCGTTTAAAAATTATATTACCCCAAGCGATATTTACGTAAGATAATGTTGGAATTGAACGCTCAGCTTTCATTTTTTTTAGAATAGCTAATGGCTTTATAAAAGATTATAAGTTTCCTTTCTGTATTCAAAATTTGATTTTGTGCTGTTACATTTCTTTGAGGGGGGAAAACTGAGAAGAGAGTAAGAGGGATTGACTATTTGCGATTGGATTACGTAATAAATTTCACTTTATTATCTCCAATATCTTCAGCACTTATTCAACGTAGATATGTAAATTTAGTATTATATAAATGAAAAATTTAGTGTAATTAAACATTTCATTGATAATTTCATATTATTATCACTATTGTTATTAATAATGATAATAATTTACTAACAGTTTTAATCTGTGTATTAAACATTGCACGAAATGTACAAAACTAGCAGTTTTCAATTGAGGAAACTGTAATATAAATGATTGATTAACTAGTGTCAGTTGTTATTAAAATCCGTGTTGATAGTTTGCTTTATTTGAACTTTCCGCAGCAGCCTTAACAGCATCGAGAACAACCTCGTTCGAAAGTGTGTGAGCATACTCTTCATTTGAAGGAATAAGTCCTTTATTGTCATATGCATGCTGCAGTTGTGTACCCAATGGAATTTCTTGTCCCATCACAGTATTAATATTTTGATTTGACACATTTCTAAAAGAGCTGGTTTGATTAGGATTACTATAGATTGATTCAACCGTATCTGTAAGTTGACTTTTCCTAAAATCCTGATTTCTTGGATCGCTCATGCTGACTGCTTTTGAATAGCCATACACACTTGCCGTTGACGATCTATCGTTACTATAACTGATTTTGGAATGAGGTCTTAGAGTAACTTGTGGGATGTTGTATCTTGTTCCTTCTCTATCTACTGCATCATGAGGTCCCCATTGTGGAGTTGGAGATGCTGCCTTCTTTATCGCCGACCAAGCACCATTTTTTAGAATTTGATAAATCCAGAAACATGGCATAAACACTAAAGTAAAAGCTACGATTAACCAACTGAGAGCTTCGGCCCACTTGGGATATGTATATTTTCCATCAAACAATGTTGGACTTTTGTATTGAGTGATTTTAAACACAGTGACGGTCTGTTCAAAGTTATTAGCTTATTTTGAAAAGTTTTTAGTGAAGGGTTTTTTTTACTTACAATTAACGCAAGAGGAGTTATTATACACCAAGTAAGGAAGAAATATAAAGGTGGATACTTTCCTAACATCATAGCGTAATCTTCCTTAAATCTGTTATAGCCTGATGTTGAAAAGTTTAAATTTAAAAGTGTTCTTTATAACATATAACTATTGTCTTACCATAAATCCATACAATTGATGTCAACTCAAAGAAGCCAATTATAAGCAATGGAAATCCACTAACTGTATTATCGACCAAGGAAAACAAGTAGAAACCACCTTTTGCCACCATCGGCAATGTAATTAGATAGAATATTGTCATACATACTCCTCGAAACATTATAGGCCTCCATTTATTTGCTCGTAATTGTGGGAATTCATCCATAAGAGCTACAAAAACAGCTTCGGCAATGGAAAATTCGGAGCTAAACCCAAGCATCATCATCATGAAGAAGAATAGAAGAGACCAGACGTAGGGTGCTGGCATTTGAGACAAACCTTCAGGATAAACAACAAAAACTAACCCAGGTCCAGATTGAGCTACTTGCTCAATGGGAACATTTTTTAGTTTAGCCATGAAACCTAATACAGAGAATATAGCAAATCCGGCAAATATCGATGTGAAACCTAAAATCGTTAAGATATTGCAATTTAAACATACTCTTTATATATAGTATTTTATCATCATACATACAGTTGATAAATGGTACTATCAACGAATCTCGAAGGACATTATTATTAAATTTATTATAAGATGCCATAGCAATTAAACCCCCTGAACAAGCTGACAATGAATAGAAAATTTGAGTACCAGCATCACTCCAAACTTCAGAATTTTTAAGCTTTTCTATATCCGGTTTCAGATAACTTTTTACACCTTCACCAGCTCCGTCTAAAAGTGCTCCTCTGACAATCATAGCAGTCATCATAAAATAAGGAAACGTTGACGTAAAATATACAATCTAATTGAAAAGATGGTATTTACAGTATTTCTTTAGAGAACAAAAAATACGTGCTAAATCACCTTTCCCAAAGAAGCAATACCCTTGATAAGAACGCAGAAAACGATAACCCAAGCCAATAACAAACATAGGGCTAACTGCCATACAATGCCACCCATATCATCTATTCCATCGCTCATTTTCAAAACATGCCTACTGTAATGGTTATAAAATGCATTTATCAGATATTTCTTGGTGTTAAACCCATAGGAAATTATCAGCTTACTAGAAATATTCTTCACTTGGTGTTTTCAAATCAGAAACATTACTAATATTATTTCCTGTAAATATGACAACTTTGTTTAGATAAATACTATCTCACAAGTATCTTTTAACACTAGATGACGCTTCTAATAGTTTAATAATTTTGCACATGGCTTTCACTTAAGATAGAGATATCAGACCAGAGATAAATTAGTATACTTAACGAAGTGCATTATCTTACTTTAATGAATATTACAACTTCTAAGATAAATTGAAATGAAATGATTTTTTTTATATGCAAATTTAATGAACGGAAAATTTTTACAAAAAGTAAAAGAAATAAATGAATAAGTTACACTCACTCATTAAATAATCGTCCCAATTACCACTTTCTGCTCTGCTAATATTTGCAGTTATACAAAATCTTGTATTCCAACTGTTACTACAATCAGTCCACGGTAAATTGTTTGTCATTGAGGCGAAAAAGAAATATAATGCATAAGCAATGATAACATTATAATATAAACTGATCAGCCATGAAACTGCTATCATACCATAACCAACGCCTAATAATTGAAAATATTAGTCAACTACTTATCAAAAGCTAAGTTCAAACCTTTAAATAGAGGGTTTACTTGCCAAATGGAAATAGGCCCAAGACTAGCAAATTGTCCCAGAGATAATTCAAAAAGAAAGATTGGTAGACCCACAAATAAAAGCATAAGAACTGTTCAGACAGAATGTAAAAAAAACAATTTTGTGATAAAAAATTACAATCAAACTAATAAACAACTGCTTATAACTTACCATATGGAATGAGAAAAGATCCTAAATAGGAGAGAGAAAATGATTTTAAATCGAAATTTTCTATACAAGGAAAACAAACCTCCTCCATGCTTAAAACAAAGATATGGAAATCTCCATACGTTGCCCAGACCTACGGCATATCCAACGCATGTAAGAATAAACTCTAATTGACCACCCCACTCTCCTCTCGCTTGCGATTCACCTTGTCCATCATCACTTTCAGCAACAACTGTGGAATTTTCTTTTTTCGCTCCCATAATCTAACTTCAGTTTAGTTAAAAATCCTATTTAAAAGTTCCTTCATATATTTATCATGCAGTATACAGTTATTCTATTAGAAGACGTAATTGATGTGCTCCGATGATCGCACAAGAATTAACTGATAAAAAGTTGTGTGTACCTATAAATATGTTTCTATAAATGATAAAAGAACCGATTAACAAATCTTATATATCGTATTGCCTTATACTACTATATCCATCTTTTATTGTACTTAGGATAGCTGCAAAATTCTCTTAATCAGTTTATACGTTATCTGTATGATGAGATAGCTTATAAATCTTTAGCTATTTCTTTTAACTGAGGAAAGTCTTATGAAAACATACGAATATTTTATATAAATTTTACCGCACTTTGCATTTCAATGATAAGGAATATCTTTTTTTTTGTTATCTTTTTTTCGTCTTCAGATAGGACATATATGTTGAACTTGGAGAACTATTAACACGTGCTCAGTATAAGACATAATGCGCTTACAGTAAATTACATGGTGTTGAATATTTTTATTCAATGAATTTCAAGGATGTAATTTATTGGGTTTAGTGAAATGGTAAAAGAAAAGCATTTATTAATATCATTTATTAAAATTTGTCTGGATGGAAACCAGCGTTGTACAAGCCTTCTTTATTTATCACATCTTTGTCTTGTTTACTAATAGGCTCTAATCTTATCTCAATGGGAACATGGTCGTCTATATTTGCTGAATAACGCCCCACCCTATTTTCAGGTTGGGCAGGTTGCCAATTCTTTGATGGACTCAATACATGTTTCAGAACCTTTAAATAGAAAATGAAAAGTCATATTTTATTACTTATCATATTTTAATTTTTTTGTCCAATCATATACCTTGAAGCCATTATTTCTCATGAATATTAATACAAAGACTAGTGGAATAAAGGAAATTTGGAAAGCTACAAGGATCCAACCACAATTCATAGACCAATTGGGATAGACATAATGTCCAAACAAACTCAGTGGTTCATGTTGAAGAGCTTTAAAAATAGTGATTGCCTAAATGAAAGCAAAATATATTATGATCTACTTTTTGTACTATAGATAGTCAAGTAATCTCTTTATTTTTTATCTTGATTACTTCTCGACTATCATTTAGAATTCACGAAAAAAAACTTGTCATTATAACTTGCAAAAAGAGTAACGAAAAAATGTGTAAATCGATATCCTATTATTATCTTAACTATAATTGGTGCATAAGTATTGAAAAATAATAAACTTACGAGTAATATTAAAGGAGATATAAAACACCAGGTATACTTGAAGTAACAGTTGGGCTTTATTCCGAGCATTATATGTATGTCATCCACAAAATTCTCATAACCATAAACATACATCAGGCAAACACATTCAAGTAGACCTACAATTAGCAGAGGAAAACCACCCACGAAATTATCCACTAGATTGAAGACGTAAAAGCCACCCTTTATTTATTAAAAGTAATTATTAATTTCCGATTTTTTTTCTAGTTTTGTAATATTTACTAACATTTGTAACAAAGATAACTCCTACTCCAAAGAAAAGTGTGCAAGCACCAATACGGAAATAAGTTTCCCGTCTACCCATCTTCAACTGAGGAAATTCATCGATGCATGCTGAAAGAACACACTCTATCATAGAAAATTGTGAACTAAATCCCAAATTTAACATCATAAAAAAGAAAAGGATGGACCAGACAGGAGATGCAGGCATTTTTGTTAAACCTTCAGGATAGACAACAAATACTAAGCCTGGTCCCGCTGCAGCTACTTCTTCTATTTTCACACCTTTTTCTTTTGCCATAAAACCCAAGACAGAAAAGATGACAAATCCCGAATAAAAACTAGTACAACAATTTATTAAGGGCACTATAATTGAATCTCTGCCAAGAAAAAAAATGTTACCATAGCCTATTTATCGATGAAAAGAAAATCATATTAAGTGCTGCACTAAAAGCATATAAAAAGATGGCTAAGTAGAGTAATCAATCATCTACACCTGTGCTTTATCGAACACTCTAAATATTCATCTTTGTGCTGTATCAAATTTTCTACTGCCGGTAATAAATGTGCTGAATTAAAAATTATATAATCTCTTTACCTCAGACAGTTATTATGGAATTTATTAAAGGAAGCCATCGCAATAAGACCACCAGTACACGTACTTAACGAAAAGAAAATTTGAACAGCAGCATCAGCCCAAACCTATTCAAAATTAAATAAAGTTATTGTATAGTTTCTCTAAATAGTAATTTTAAATTAAAGTTGTGTCAGTTACATTTGCTTCTAAAAGTTTTGAAAAATCGGGTTTTAAGTAGTATAAAATTCCTTCTTTTGAACCATCTAATGTAACTCCTCGAATTAACATCGCCGTCAACAGGACATAAGGAAAAGTAGATGTAAAGTAAACTACTTTTCCTAACGAAGCTATTCCTTTACTTAAGACTAAATAAACAACAAGCCAAGCGGCCAACAGGCAGAGAAGAAGATGCCAGTCTACATCTCCAATTTCTTCTATTCCAGATGAAATTTTTAAAACTTTGTTACTGGAGAAAAATTGATATATAATTAAAAGAGTAAATTATTCTTATTAGAACAAATGTTTCTCTTACTAAAAGTATTCTTCGCTAGGACTTTTCATTTCGCTTCTAGTGAAATTACCCTCGTACATAGTTTGATTTAGAGCTGTTTCATTTTGTAAAAGATCTGGTCCGATACAAAGTTTAGTATTCCAAGAATTATTACAATCTTTCCACGGTAGACTGAGTGTCATTGAAGCGAAAGTATAGTAAAAGCACCAAGCGACAATAACATTATAATATAGAGCTACAAATAGATCTACAAGCACCATTGCTATTCCAAGGCCCTTTAAACCTGGGCTAGCCTTCCAGATAGCTATGGGACCTAGACTGGCAAATTGACCGAACGACAATTCCATAAAGAAAATTGGCAATCCAACCAAAGCTAACATCAGAACGTAAGGAATAAGAAAAGCCCCTCCACCATTCCTATAACAAAGGTACGGGAATCTCCATACATTCCCCAAACCAACGGCATAACCAACACAAGTTAAAATAAACTCTAACTGACCGCCCCATTCTCCTCTATTAGCTGTCGGATTATTGCTGTCCTTCTTAAACAATTTATTAAGTATGCATTCATTCACTGAAAGAAAATTTTGTATCTTACCATATTCGATCAACTGGAATCACCTAATGCTAATGAAACATCGAATTTCTGTTGCCAATAATTAAGTACAAATATCGACTTGGAAATTTACCAAATATACAACAAAAACAGCTTTAATTAAAATAAAGAAATACGTAATTAACATATAGTATCTATTGATGTCACTTTAAAGAGTATTATCTCTTTTTAAATTAGCTACTATGATGCGTGCATAATTTAGATAAGCGATTGAGGGAAAAAAGGATTTCTAACACGTGGTATCCTATTCATAAACTTGTTGATTTAATAAAGAAATGTCAGAAAAGGAAAGATTTATCTAAAAGATCAAACTTATTACTGAATGTTTTAAGTAGTTAAAAGCTGCCTCCAGCAAATGTAAATATTAAGGGCCACATTCAGTTTAGTTTACAAACAAGCAAGTTTGATTAACACGTTATCATTCTTCCAAAGAATCGAATTGAATGACGTTTTATGCATCATTGATAGACAAAATCATTAAGTTGTTATTCAAAAATTACCAACTGTTACCATCTTTATACAAAGCGCCGGTGAGTTCGTATAAAAGCTCTAGCAGACACCAGAATTGAATCAATTTCTTTCTTTGACCATCTGGTTGTCAAAGATAGAAAGATTCTGTTGCTTATCTTATTTTTATCCTTTCTTTATTAAGCAAATTTACACCGGGTAAAGAGTAATATCAAGTATTGAAATGATGAAATTAATATTTTTCTTCTATATAACATACAGCTGGACTAAGGAATTATGAGAAGACTGATCCTCAGCAACTGGGTAATAAGCTCAGCTTTGCTCATCCTTGTGTTATTGCTACCTTCATCCGAGGCTGGTCAGGGTAAGGCACTTTTGTCATTAATTCCATTAACCATAGAAAACCTTCTTTCTCAAGAAATGTCTTTTATTTATCACTATATTTAAATTTAATGATACTTCTTAAGAGAAAACAACTATTTGAGGTCTCCTCAAATAAGCAAGGTAAGTAGTCTTTTTAAAGTAAAGAGGTCTGGATCGTTGAGAGATTACAAAGGGGTAAGTCATTTGTAAATATTACTTTTCATTAAAAAGTGACAATAATTAATCGCTAATCAAATTTTTAGCATTTCAGTAGAATAAATCTTTGATATTACTATCAAATAGACTTAAAATATGAAAATAAACAATAATATACACGAATTATTGTTTTTATTTAACTCTCTTTTATATCTTATTTTAAGAATTATTCTATTAGTTTCTCACTATATTGGCTTTTTGTGTATTCTACTTATCCTTCTTCTGCTTATTCAAATGTAAATTCTTTGGAAGAGTTTGGAATTTTTGCGATATGAAGTAATCACTAGATGGCGTATCTGACACAAGGAAAAACTCGATCATTCTGCCTTGTAGTAACGGGAGGTGAAATGATAATCAGAAGATTAGGAAAAGGAGGAAAAACACGATTTTGAATAGGTTATTCTTCAGTAAACAATCTACATCTCATACGTATGATATGAAAAATGTAAGAAATAAATAATATGCCCTTAATTATTTAATTGTAAAATACAAAATGTATAGGATAAAAAGACTCTAAACATTAGTTCTATAAAATTAACTTATCAACTCAGTTTTCAAAATTGGCTATTTGAAATTTCAGAGATGATGAGATAAATAGAGATTAGCAGTACTTTGTAGGGAAAATATGCAAGAAATTGACAAGATTCGAAAAAAAGATAAACTAATATCTGTTAAAGAAATTTAAAAATCTTTTATATATAAAAAGTGATAAAAAATTAGGAAACTGAGAGATCTACTCTTTTTTAGTTAAATAAATCAGATAAGATTTAGACGTAAAAATTTTCCATGCTTCGCTCAATGATCTCTCCAGCACGAAGGTAAGATAGACTTAATGACTAGAAAGGACGCGACAAGGTTAAAAAAGTAGAGGAGGCGGGAGTTATGCATAGACATATTCACGTAAACAGAGTTATTTGTGTTACTTTGAGAATTAAGTACAAAAATCAATGTAAAGAACCAATATTTGAAGACTACTGCTTGAATATAGTATTAATTATTCGTAAATACAGTCATTTTAATGATTGCTGAAAAGAAAAGTAAATTATATAAAGGCAGCGAGATGGCGCTAAAACGCATTAAACCTAAACACACTCTCTCTCTCCATTCGTAACGATGAAGCGTTGCTGTCAAAGGCAAACGAAATGCAACCTCTTTATTCTATCTGTCTCTTTCCTACTTTTCCATTCCGCACTCGACCTACTTCAAATTCTCCATTACGGCCACAAATCCTCTGAGGGTATAGCATCTTTAGGTGTTCTGCATGGAGTAACAGTTTTTTCATGTTTGTTGGTACCCCTTCTTCTGAAGACTTTTGGATTGAAAAAAACGATGGCAATTAGCGGTATCCTTCTATTGGTTTATGCAACATCTTCCTCAGTTCCATCACATCAAGTCTTACTTCCCTCAGCTATTCTCTTGGGTTTAATTACGGCCCCTCTTTGGAGTGCACAATGCTCTTACTTGACAACATTAACCTATAGGTAAGCTTATTATCGGATCAAAACTGTTATATATAAATATATTGAAACATCAACTTGTAAAATCTCTTTATGAGAGAAATATAGAAATTAGCTTGATTTTCTTTTGAAGTAGAGTAATGAGATTGAAAAAAGTTTAATACAAAGCTGGTATTTATTTAAAAATGATTGTAATCAAGAAAACATTCATATTTAATTCATTCCAGGTTCCTAGCAGGTTTCTTTGTTTTTAATTATACAAGTGAACATATACAGTATATACATTATACATATTGTGAATGTATATCATGTTAAACAACACGCAAAATAATTATAGTTTATATGGAGATTGGAGAAATCATTGCAGTCTATTGCATTTCTATGACAGGCGCAATCGATAGATTTTTTCGTAAAAATTGTTTATAAATCAGCAGTTTTAAAAGTTAAAAGAGGGCTTAAACAACCAATTGTAAATTGATTCATTGATTAAAATATGAACTAGAAAATGGTGTACAAACTATTATATCATATATTTCTTGACATCATCAATACGCAAATGTCCTAAGATTAGCGTCAGACAAACTTTAATATCTAGTTAAGATTTAATAATTAAAAGCAATCAACATAGATTTTGGATTCTAAGAAGTAGCTATCCTTTCTATAATTTATCAGCTTCTTATATTTTCATCTAAAAATATGTGCAATATCCTTAAGATATTACTAATTTTGGCGAATTGTGTCTCTTCGAAATATGCATTTAGCTTATTGCCTCTGTGACAAAATTTACTGTTTGCGTTATTCTTATGTCTTGTATAAAATTTCTCTTTCAGATTTCTAAACGATAGATTTAAGTCAGATATACAATGTACAACATACAAAAAAGACGTATATAGTGTATATACAATATATTTATATTGACATGTAAATATATAAAATTATTCGTATGAATCATATAGTCTATTTCGTTTGGACCAAATTGGCTATTGAAACGAAGCATTTGAAAAGCATCTGTAACAATTAATATACAAAAGCTGACAAACTCTATTCTAACTCACAATATAGACAAGTTTAATACATTTGGCTTGAACGGTCTACTTTAAATTTCCCTGTCATTTAATTGATATTCTCTTATAACTAACCCTTTTGGACCCTCTACAGCGTTCTATAGAGCTTTTAGAAGCTTTCTAATGTAAAAGAAGCGAGAAAAGAGATAGTCCTTGACAATAAATAATGTAGAAGGTCTTTCTTCACATGTTGCTTTCAGGTGATTAGCAATATAGTAATGATGATTAGGATTGTTACTGTTTTCTTACGAAAGATAGAAATTAATATGAGTGCGCCTGAGCCTTTAAAAGTATGAACAAAAGAGAAGTGAATCAATAGAGTGTTTTCAATCTATTTCAATCAAACTAAATGATTCTGTTTTTCGAGAAATATCCAAGATTGTAGAAATATAAAGTAGCATAGAAAGTTAATATCCCTTTTCCGAGTCAATAAACTATAATTCTTGATCGTTCTGTCTATTCTTAATTTCTTTTGTCAATGTAGTAAGCTGCTTAGTGGGAATAATCCTTTAAATCATATAATATTATTTGTCCATTGTAATTTTGGTTTATATGTACAAGGTTTTCTCATCGTTTTTTATTAATTATACTCTATCAGTTATCCCCAAGGATGAATAGTCTATTTTATCAAAATTTCTCGCTATTCTAGCAAATTTCATTAAGTCTTATTTATACAGCCTGAAAAAATAAAACCAAAAAAATGTTTCTATTTTCCTACAATTGAGATGATTAATGTTAGCGAACATATACATCGTATTAAAATGGCAAATGATCTTCATTTGGATTGATTTTCGATATTAACTATTATAGGAAGAATAACTTTAAAAAGGATATAATGTAATGAAATCAACAAGGACAATAAAATGGAGAAGGAAATTAAACGTAGAAAGAATTGAGATTGACTTTTAAAACATACTAGATATTTGATAAAATGAGAAGATTAAACTTGTAGGCGTTTTACCTGTAACAAACAACTTGTTAAATAGTTTATATGAATTTGCTTGCATCATTCAAAATCTATAGATGAATAAGCAAGCCAATAAAGAGTTTTTATTATTCGTTAGTGCATTACGTATGCAGCAAAAAAAATTCAATTATAACATTGAATATATATTCTTGTACATTTAGTAAGCTTTTTCGCTTAAAAAAAATCAAGGAAATAGCTTTACAAACAATGAATAAGTAATGTTTCTAAGCGCCAGCTTCTATTACCACAGGTTAAACCTTATTTTATGTAATATATATACAGTATATATATATACTTTATATTAATATATGAAGGGTCAAAAATAATAGAAACTCAGTCATAAATGAATTATCTTCTCCAACCCTATATCGAATTATTACACATAAAACATACACAGTACATACGAATTAAAAGAAAAATAACAATAAAAATCAATAAGGGAATTTTTTTTCATATATTCTTACAATAAAGCTTTCTAATGTAAAAAAAAACGTTACAGATCAATCGAAAATTCGAAAGAGACAGCAGAACAAGCAGTTGGTCGTAGTGTCTCACTGTTCGAGTCAACAACAAGAACATCGAGAATTTTTAGCGGATTGGCTGCAACATTTTTGCTTAAGCATTCAAATTCAACAGCTGCAGGCAACTCTACTATAATACCAGAATGTGGAGCGACCAACTGTAATCCAGTCAGCTATTCATTGCTTCTACCGCAAATCACAGACAATGCTCAAAAATTCATTACTATATTCAGTGCTGCTTGTGTCCTTATTGGAGTACTTTTATTAGTTTCTTTTTTAGATGATTTAAAAGAGAACTCTTGTGGACGTTGTAGTACCCGAGAAGCCCTATTGGATACGGTTCGTTTGTTGATGAATCGTAGATTACTGCTTCTTCTACCCTTGATTGTTTGTACTGGTATAGAGCAAGCCTTTATTGTTGGGGACTTTGCCAAAGTGAGTTTAATATCTTAATATCTTTACCATTTACCCTTGAAAAGGAGCTGGAAAATCTTTTAACTTTAGAAAAGAAACTAAATGTGTTAAAAGAAAGGAAGTTCATTGAAGAGTTTAAGGGGAAAGTCTGCTCCTTTTTCCGTTTTTTTTTCACACTATTTGTTACTCAATTCTATATTTTGCCAATTGCCTTACACAAAAAGCCCTTAACTTTGTGAGAAAAGGTCTTTTCTAACACCGCTCTCTCACGCCATATAACATATACAATCCGATTAAGTTATATCCTAGAATAGCGCAATCTTGCAAGAAACGTAAAATTTTCCGCATAATAGATTCTCTTAACACAGAAGTAGATAGTCTAAACGGAAGATTCATTTCATATTCCGCTTTATTTATTACTAGTTTCTCTATGATTCTCTTCTTTGAAATGGTAGTGTTTTCTAAAAATGATGTCCTTTCACTGGACATTAAATCTTTGAGGACGCAAAGGCCTATGATTCCTCTTTCATTCGCAATGCAACATCAATCTGTGAAATGAAAAAGGTTTTTACTAGCTAAACGGGGAAATCGGAGAAGAATTGTTGCATGCAAAAAAAAGGAAAGCATATAAAAGAAAAAGCAAACACTAATGACAAGAAGCACTTAGACGACCTCATTTATACGGGAACGATTCTGCTGCAATGTTCTAGCTGCCTTATTCTTAGACCTGGAAATCTTATATCTCAATAGAATAGATCTATCTCACAAAAATTTTATATTTTTATGTGCAGTGTATGGTAACAAATGGTGCTGGAAACTGCATCTAAGGTTCTTAAAAGGAATTTGGGAGCCAACTGTTCGGAAATGAGAAAACGCTTGAAGCATACTAAACAGAATTTTACTCTTACATAACTCTTCATTACGTAACTTTTTTTTCAATCGTTAAATGATAAATTTACGAAGTGATAATTCAAAGGATATACGTTTACGCTACTAATTTATATGATAATAAGATAATTTCGGTTCTATCTTAACTATAGATGATTAAAGGCGTAAGAATAGTTCAATTTAATTTAATTCCTTTTCGTTTAGTCGCGTCTTCTTTCTTCAGCCTTTAGTTTCAGACTGATATTTAAAAATTTGTTTATTGTTTTTAGTAACGAAAAAAAATATCTTGCCGTTGGGAAATTGCTATAGGATTTTATAAAGATCTAGTATTAGATTATTTAGGGACAATGATAAAAAAAAAGTTAATTTAAAAGTTCGTTAATGGCCTGCAGGTAAATTATGGCCTATTCTATTTACCTAATGATTTATTCAAGGGAGTTTCTCTCCACATACGCAATATGTATAATTTACATCCTTATTGTAAAGTATATCTATTGAAAGGTTGTTTTTTTTTAGTTCTGAGCGTCAGACCAATTGTTTTCGGTTAGTAAAGTGGCATTAGGCCCAATCTGAAAAGAGAAGCTTACACTCAATTAATCTGCAAAATTAAGGTCCTTCTAAACTACTGTTCATTTGTAACGGCTGTGACTAATGGCCTATTTAAAATATGTCGACACTGAAATGTCTTTACAGAAAGAGGATAAAAAAAAACAAAAAAATAAATTTTCTGCTTACTCTTTCTTGAGTAAAATAGGCCGTCAGTTTAGTTTGTCGCTAATAGCCAGTGACGCCCAGTGATGCAGTGCACCATATATTTGCATACTCTGAAGAATATTATCAGAACTTTGATAGCAGGTACTGAGAGTAAATAAAAAATAAAAAGAATTCTCTTTATTAAGGTCATATCTTTATCCTTTAGATTGTGCATCACAGAATTTTATTCCGATTGATGACTCAGATTCTTTTGTAGTAAAATAAAATTACTTTAATTATTAATATGATATTGAAATCTGTGATTGGAAACGGATATTATTATTTTTACGGTTTTTCTCGGAAAACGTTGTAAATCGAAGACCAATTCAGCTGCCGACATTTATCTTCGCGATCGCAAAATCTCGGATGAATATCATTGATATCGTGGGTCCTTTAATTCCCAGAAGAAAATATACTATATACTATCTCCTTCTAATATTTTGATTTTATTACTTAATTATATAGTGCAATTAACTAGTGGAAGCCATTGATATATCTTTTCAGTCGAATATCGATTAGAACTAGTTCTAGTAAAAACATTTTAGATTATTAAGAAGAAACAAATAGGAAATGGTGAATAGGCCTACTTTTCAGACTTACTGATTATGCATTGCTTTAGATTTGTTTACTACACGTTTGACTGAAAGAAAACAAAAGTAAAATTGAAGTATATTTTTCTGATTACTGACATTTAACGGCTATATTTTATATAAATAGAAATGTGTATAGTGATTCTAATGAATTATAACAAAAAACTAGTTCGTGTTTGAAATGCCTGGGAATGTGTGCACACACATGACTTAATAAGTCATGGTAGATGAATGAGAAAGATCATTTGGCAATAGAAAATTGTCAGTAGTCTTGGCTAACAGCAGAAATGAAAGGAAAATATCAAGAATATAGGAGGATAAACTAATATACAGTATTTCGGTTATGGCAATCAATCGTCAAATTCGAAATAAATTCATACAATATAAAAAATTTACAACTGTAAATAGGCAGCAGTCAACTTGACTATAGGTGCCTCCAAATCCAATTTTAAATTCCTAATTAATATTCATGTTTTTCTGGCGGGAAGGTTTTACCAACTCCAATTTTCGTATCGATTCCTCACGATAATAAAATTTTCTAGTCTTTTTCCTACTTTTACTTCATATAAGTTGTTTTTTTTACTCTTTTCCCAACAGTGGTATGCTGGCTGTATCTTGGGCGAGGAACACATCGGGCTTGCAACAATAAGTTTTGGCCTAGTCAACTGTCTGACAGCCATAGGCCTTGGTCCTGTGAATAAACACGTACCCAGATTAGCAGTGGTTTCAGCAGCGACGGTCTTTAATCTCTTATTGCTAATTGTGTTGCTCTTTTGGCGTCCAGCTGCCGATGATCGCGCCGTTGTATACGTTGTAGCAGCAGCTTTCGGTTTGTGCGATGCTATTTGGCAAACTCACACGAAAAGTAAGTATTGACAAAAAATATGCGTTTGACAGAAATCGATGGAAAACTTGTTTTTCCTCCTCTTCTCTCTATCTATCACCCTACGTCTTCTCTTGTCTCTTTCACTCACGCTCCGACTTCTTCACATTTGCCCTTTTTTTTTATCTCATAAACAATTTTTTCATTTTCCGTCTTTCATCTACCTAATCCCCTTTTACCCTTGAAGAAAACTGCAAAAATCGTAATAGTAATCTTATTTTTAAAAACTTTACGTGATTCGTTTGATAAGCAATAGTTTACTGTGGCTCTTGTAAACCTAATAATTATAGGGTATAGTTGATGCAAGTCTGACACTGATTCCTAGTGAAGGGCGATCATTACTAAACACAAATAGTTAAATAAGATAAACAACGATGGAGAAAAATGAAAAGAAAAAAAAACAACAAGCATATTTCAACTTGTTTTTATCCACCTATCATTTTTTATGAAGAAAAATTCTATTATTTGTTATTTCTAGAAATTTCTTATTTCATATAAATTTATATAAATTACTATCTAATCCTTATTTTTCCTATTCAAGTTCTATTTTTAGTAAATATTAATAAATGGACGGTAATATAAGGAGTCAATTTTGTCATTTCCTATTACAATAACGCCAAAAGGTGTATCTTGACGTGTGAAAGATCGAATTAAGAAAAAAGTAAAATTAATAACTAAAGGACGTTACCTAAAAATAACATATAAGGGAAGACTTTAGAGACGAAGAAGGGTAAAGTTAAATATCTATTATTTTCCGCCAACACTACTAATTTCTTGAAATGTTAAAGGAAAACTGCAGATAGGTTTTTAGAAACTAACTACTGCAGAAAACTGACTTTTCTTCACTCAAATCTACTACTACCGATAGAACCGCAAATATACTCATATTATAAATTGATCCGTCACTCAACTGACTGTGAAATAAGAACAAGAGAGATTCGCTGTTGAAAAGACGGAATTTTCTATTCTTTTCGGCAAGGTCTAGCTAAATCGGTACTTTAAATAGATAAGGAAATTTCATTGACAGCAAAGAAGGAATCCTTTTCTCTTTACACTGGGATTGTTAAATTGACATTTTATAATCCCAGGACAAAAAGGAGCAGATAAGCAGCAGACAAGCACTTATATAATTATTTTTGAAAGGTTTATCTAATCAAGCCAATGAAACATTCGTTGCATGGACCAAATATGTTGAATAGGAGGCTATAGGCTTTTATTTTATCCAATTTGAGTACTTGAAAAGGTCAATTCAGGGCCTTCTGTAGCTATAAAGCTTTTATAATAAATTACATACTTCTACAATAAATCCCCTTGTTGACTTTTTCGAAGTTTTATATATTTATTATAAAACTATTAATGTATACCGGTGCATATATATAAAATATATATACTGTACATATACTATATATACTTATTTTCAAACAGCTATCTTCGCTCTTCTTTTTTCCAACGAACAACATGCAGCTTTTGCTAATTTTCGTCTCTTCCAAACACTGGGGTTTGCCCTCTCCTTTGCCTTCTCCTACTTTTTGTGCACAAGGATTAAAGTTCTCTTCCTTGGTTCATCTACGCTTTTTGCGATTTGTCTTTACGTAATCGTTGAATTAGACTTACGAAAAACTGAAAAATCACAAATTACCCATATTTCAATGTTGTAAACCATGATGGACGACCAAACAAATTTCAACTCGTCTCTCTTTAACGTTAATGGAATGCAGAATAGCGTTGATATTTAGGCCTTTAAGGCGATGCCCAGGGAGTAAAATTTCCTGCACCTTCTTTTTGCTTGCCTTGTTTTCAGACAATTTTATTTTATTAATTTAAAACATTTATTATTTTCCTCAAAAAAATTAAACTAAATGAATAAAGCTGAAATTTTCTAAGTAGATGGCATTAGTAGTTACTAAGTTTTTCAAAACTCTTTTAATAACGAATCCTAAAGAAGAGTTTTTATTCATCTCTTATAATACAATTTTCAGGAAATAGAAGTTTTGTCCATTTTTTCAGTGGGGAAGGTCTTGCAGTATCTACTTTCCTCATACTTAAAGCTCTTATAGACATGACATATCCTATTTCACGTGGATAAGGGCATTTATATCTAATTAAAGTTCCCAAACTATCTCTCTTCTCTTTTCGATCCGAACACTCGGCAGCCTTGCAGAAGAATTTACCTATGAAAAAAAGAAAACAATAGATCTAAACTAGGTTCTAAAGAAAGTCTTTAATCGATCCATTTTAGTTGTATATTATTTGAGTTTTGCTATCTTTTCACGTGATAATAGATAAACAAAAAGTTTGTTAAATACCCCAAATATTACTCAAAGTGAATCAACATAACATTTTCAGTTTTTTACCTTCATGGTCATCCCTACTAAATGGCATAGGAGTGGAGTAGTTAGTAATATCTATTTTGCTGGGAAATTCTGGATCTATGCAAATGTATTGTTGACCATTCTTTCTTAGTTGATCAGCAGTAAACAATTCTAAAATATATAAACTGTTTTACTGTCTCTTACTAATTAATGTTTTAAATGATCACCTCTCGCGCAAGATCCACAACAGAAGACAAACGTTGATAAATCAACTTCAGAATCTTCACGCGTAACTCTGGATCTTCTAATTTCCTCTTCTATATTTTCATTCTGTTGAAAATATACATGTATTTTAATTACTTTGTTTTAACTAATTTACAAACATACTATAGCTTTGTCAACTAACATACGAATACGACTTGGATCGCTATTTATTTCATCCAAAGTTTCAATCATTTTAATTTCACGTATTCGATTTCGCTGCTCACGCATTAACTCATTAGAGTCTTCACGAACGATTAATACGCACTGGCTATCCTTTGCTCTTGCTCTGCCTTGAGCCTAAATATTTTTTTTAAAGAGTGGAAATTTAATCTTAAATAGAAAGTTTTAAAACTCTAAAGGAATACAACCTGAACAGATCCAATTTCATTACTAACAAAATTATAACGAATAACGAAATTACAAGCAGGTAGATCATGGGCTTCTTGTAGAATATCCGTTCCTACTAATATTTGTAGTTTGCCGTCTCGAAAACAATTTAAAATTCGTTGTTGTGACTTTTCCGTCATCTGAATCTTTCCGTCGCATTGATTTGTCCCAAATATCTGAGAAACTTTGTAATTAGGCATCTGTTCTGTAATTATTCTATGAAGGGCTCTTGTTCCATAGACAGTTCGACAGAGGATTAATCCTGATATAAGAATTTTGAATTAAACTACACAGCTAATTTTAAAATATAGCTATAAAATAATTATTACTCATAGTAGTAGATTACTAAGGTGTTGATCTGACTATAGAGTTTATATACAGAACTACATTTACCTTGGGATTTTGGATTTTTATTGTAAATTTCCTTAATTTCTTTTATGAGAATTTCTACAAGTTGATTATTTTCAAGTAAATCTTGATGGCGTGCAATGTCTATTCTGTCAATATACTCATGAAAGACTCTTATCCATTTTGTACGATTGGGTGATGTAACATCATGACAATTACTAAATATTTCGTTCAAATATAAGTAAGAATCCTCTATTTGAAAATCTTCATAAAACATTACTGCCTTTCGTAGGTGTTGTAAATAAAAGCAGGCATCTTTCGTAACTGCTTCACCATTAGAAATAGCTTTGTTTTTTTGATCAACAATCCAATTTTCAAATTGTGAGGATGTTATATCAAAACCGATTTCGGCAAAATGAGCATCCTCATCTTTCATTATTCTCTCACTTATTTCTCGAAGAACAGATATATAGTCTCCTTGTTTTCGTGCAGGTACAGGTTTTATTAATTCTTCTGATTTATTAATTAATTGTTCTATTTCTTGTCTATAGTTCACAACGTACGAAATTTTATGGGCATGATAAAATGCACATAAATTTACGTAATGATTGAAAGTTATGGACTCTTCAGAAGTCACAAACTCTTCACCTTTACTCCCAGCACCCAGAGAAGCCGAGAGTCCAATCAGCTGAGGAATCTGCTTGTTAGCCACAGTATTTTGCATACAGTGATGCATAATTTTAGCATAAGGATGGTTTTTTTTAGTATGATGACATTCATCCATAACTAAAATGTCTATTTCCTCTAGTGCCACTTTTCTGTTAGAACTGCTCGGTTCTTCTATAGCATTAACTAAATTCTGAGCGGTTAACATAACTACGACAGCAGCTTTATTTGGAGACTTTAAAAGTTCCCTCAGAGTGTTATCAGGCCCGACAGAATGAACATTTTCAAAGTATGCACGAAAAGCTTTTCTTTGCTGGTCTTTCAAAGCTTTTAATGGAACAACAAATACAATTCTTACGCCGTTATGTTTTGTACTTGTAATTTTGCGTGATCTCTCTGAACATATATGGGCAGCAGTATAGGTCTTGCCAGAACCAGTAGGAGCGCATATAATAGTATTTTCACCAGATAATCCTTCTTCGGCCAATTCAAGTTGATAATTTCTTAACACGATATCGTTAGAGTGTGATGTACTCTCGGTTGATTCATGCTCACTTGATTCCTCTTCAGTAAAATGTGTCCTTTCTGAAGGTACATCATGATCCTTCTTGATTGTTTCATGGCGTATTTGTTGCGGATCACTTTCAACATAATCCCATAAAATTTCCTTTGCCGCGTTCCGAAAGGTTTTTAGTGGAGGTGGTTCTGTGGAAAACTATACTTATAAATTAGTTACCTAGGAGCACAAACACACCTTCAGTACTTGGAGATTTAACTTGGGCGATGACATTTTTATATAAATGTTCCAGATTTATTCCAATAAAAATTTCTCTTAGTATTTCAACATTAGTCTTAAGGATAAGTTGTGTGTCTTTTAAAAGCTTGATCAACTGTCTAGGGTCTAGATTATCTGTATCCTCCTCTGTAATACTTGCTACATGTTCCTTAAATTCAGCCAATATTTCTGTACTTTGTTTTTTCAATAAATTTTGAATTTTTAGCAAAAATAATTGAAATTCTCGATCAGAAAAATTTTCCATAGTCGTCTGTTACTAATAGATAAAAGATAAAAAATTCCAAGTTTCGGTTTCAGTTCGAGCCTATCGATTTTAAATTATCAAACGTTACGAGTGCTAAAATAATATCACACCCTCAAATTTTATTAAATTGAATTTTCATATTATATCATTCTTCGAAAGTATAACCTATTTCTAAAACTTTCAACTGAATATAATGAAAAATCTTTTTATTTTCTTTAAAAAAAACTGGTACGTTGAACCGGTAAGTGTGTTTTACTTCGGTAACCGATCAAGAGATAATATGGCGGACATGGATTCGGTAAGTTCAGCTAGATAATTTTCTATTTGCTTATATTTCTAATGAATACATCGATTGACATTACATAAAATGTACTTTTCTACCTAATTCTTTATTTGAGAGTTTAGCAGTAATATAACATGTAAAATGTAACTATCAACTTGAAAACCCATCTCAAAAAAAGCCCGATTATTTGCAGAACCTCTATAATTCTCGTATCAAATTCCAACAGTACAGAAATATAATTTATTTATCCTTTAATTTTTATTGACAGAAAAACTGGAAACAACTACTCCATACGTTATCAAATTCGTCGAGTTCCTCTTCTCATAAGGAGAAAACGGATAGGTAAACATTATTAAACGCTAATATCTTTTTTAACTATTAATCATCATATCTTCGAAATTAGATTTAAAGCCATACTCTCATCAATTCTAAAGAACGAAGAAAAAAATCGTACTGAAGGCCTTAAAGACTTTGTTGATGCCTGTAAATACTCAGATAAAATTTATAGTTATCAAAAATTTTCCTTTTTTTGAAATAGCTGCTTTCTAAACTTTATTCGAGCTTGACTTAACGGCAACTTTTTTTTTCAGTGGTCAACGAGAATGTCAGTTTGGTGATTTCTAGACAACTACTATCTGAATTTTGTACGGAATTAAAAAAATTACCAGACGACAACGTAATCACTGTATCTCGCTATACTCTGGAAAGATTAAATCCACGAGTAATCTCATTCGAAGAACAAGTTGCTAATATTCGACAATACTTAGCTGAAGTTTACGAAAAATGTGGAGAATGGAAGAGTGCTGCTACAACCTTAGTCGGAATACCACTAGAAACTGCTCAAAAGCAATATTCTAACGATTACAAATTAGAAACTTACTTGAAAATTGCACGATTATATTTGGAAGATGAAGATCCTGGTAGAGCCGAACAATATATCAAGAGAGCATCTATGTTAGTCACAGACAGCAGTAGGAATGACTTACAAATTTATTATAAAGCATGCTATGCAAAAGTTTTGGATTATCGTCGAAAATTTATTGAAGCCGCCCAAAAGTATAATGAATTGTCTTATAAGACAGAAGTTGATGAACCAGAAAGAATGAGGGCTTTGAGGAATGCAATAGTTTGTACAATTTTGGCAAAGGCTGGACAAGTGCGATCAAGAATGTTGGCCACTTTATTCAAAGATGAAAGGTGTCAAATGTTTACTTTTATATCCATTCTAGAAAAAATGCATCTGGAACATATTATCAAAACAACAGACGTAACAGAATTTGAGAAACTTCTATTACCACATCAGAAAGCTGTTGCATCTGATGGGGGGACTATCTTAGAAAGAGCTATAATTGAGCATAATCTTCTCTCTGCCTCAAAGTTATATAATAATATTTCTTTTCAAGAGCTGGGAGCTCTGTTAGAAATTGGTTAGTAAAAATATAAAATAATATTCAAGTTTAACTTTTCTTTCGTATCAGATCCTTTACGAGCTGAAAAAATAGCTTCTCAGATGATCAGCGAAGGTCGAATGAATGGGCACATTGATCAAATTGCAATGATTGTTTACTTTGGATGTAAGTTGAATTTCCTTAGAGACCAATAAAGTTGTTAATTATTATTTGTTATTTAATCTCAGCGAGTGATCCACTACCTAGTTGGGATAAACAAATACATGGTTTATGCTTCCAAGTTAACAACATAATTGAAAGAATTACATCTGCTTTTCCTGATTGGTTAGGAGCAACTATTGAAAGAGAAATGGCGAACTCTTGATTAAATTAAGCATAAACAATATTAATACTTTTAATATCGTTATTAAAGTGTTTTTTTCATATTATATTAAAACAACAAATATTTTGAGAATATCGAAAGCAGTGAAATCAAATTTCACATATATAATATCTGAAATGTGAAAATTAAACATAACATACCTTTATTAACATAGGACTTACTTGAAAAAAATGTTTTGTTGTACCTAATGTGCCTATTTTTAAAAGTTTGGTAGTAAACTAAAAAGTTAAAGCTATTACTTTACTAAGTGAAGATCCGTAATGTTAAATAACCGGTTAATCTTATCACATCGAAAAGGAACAACTACTTTATTTTGTTATAAATTGAAATTCAGTAAGAAAATCAGACGAATGCAAGAAGCTATACGATAAAAATCTTACGCAGAGATAAAAATATTGTTATGATTATGTTTTTGTCAACAGATGGCAGCAAAGTCAGCATATATAGCAAAAATGTACCACGAGAAAACTGGTAAACGCCTATGAAAAGCGCTAATACCAAACAAAGTTTACATCGCTCTAACTTGGCCATCGCCAAACTTCCTTGAGAAGTCGGCATGTGGATTTTAATATTATATATTTTAACTTTTGTTTATTCTTTTGGATGTGGTCAGAATTTTACGGATTTCGGTAAGATAAATGTACTTTGTCTAAATATGGTCTTAGGTATTATCGCCCATTTTGGCGCCTACTTTAATTTTTTTGCAAAACCAGTCATTTACGTAGTTTAGAGAGTAGAAAAAAAAGAACAATAGAAATTAAAAGAACAATTGATAAAATTATATATTGCGAATATTTTTGATCGATATGGAAACTTCATTTAAAGCCAACAAAAAAACTGGGCTAGTACGGATCATGTTTCAAAGCGTTATCAGCATTTGGAAAATGCTAAACCAGCACACTTTCACTCGCCTTTGTTTTAAATAGATTTGAAACCATTAAAGTCATTAAAATATAGGTTAAAAATACTCAATACAATTTAACTGTATAATAAACATTTAAATGTTATTGTTTACATTCTAATCTTTTAACGATAGATATTACTATCGAAAATGACATTTAGTGTTGAACAAAGCAAAAAAAATAATATTGGGTTGTTGTATTTTGACAGAAGAATAATGAGTCATTTTGTTAATACCATTTATCAATCTGTATCTTAAAAGAAAAGAGCATGGCCCACTTACATATATGCAATCAATTTACTCAATTTTTAATTTCTGCTGTCAGAGTCAATTGAGACGACTAGTCGTGAGAATAACCACACCGAGACGCCCTTTGAAAACGCGTCTGGCATGAACTTAACGACCTCTAGCTGGGGCGAAACGAGAGGTCTTCTCACGCTTCCTCGATTTTATAAATGGAAACGAAATAAAGCGACTAGAAAAATACCCGTCAGATTTATTAACCTTGCAAAGGTATGTAAACCGTACATCTTGTAAACAGTTCAGCGAATGATACACTGTACAGTTTATATTATCTGTTTTATTACTTTTACAGCTTTTCTTTCTCAATAATTGTTTATTTCTCTTTTATTTTCAAGTTAAAAAAATCGGTTGCCTAGCAAAAATTTTCCGCCATAACAAGCTTTTTAACTTAGTCAAAATTAAAAATTACTTTATCCTCTTCTCTTATTCGCATTATGTAAATAATACAAGGATTTCGTTTGTGTTTTCAGCTGCCGAAACGCCTTCTTTTTGAAGCATCTTTCAACAGTCGCCTTCTCTCCTTAAAAATTCGTTTAAAAAGGAAATTTATATCTGAAAATTTTAGTAGATTGTACGACGATGCCGGAAAACGAAGCATACTCGTAAAAGAGCGTTTACCAAATTGCTTTTACGAAGGAGACGTTGAAGATGGTGGATTTATAGTATTAAGCGTCTGCCATCCTTTACGGTTAGTTTCTTACTTGGCGACCAAATGTAATAACTTTTAGAGAGTATATTTTCGTTGCCAATTTCAATAAAACCCCATATTCTCCACGATTTTGTTACTTATGAGTAATTATTGTTTATGTACAGTGGCGTTTTGGGAATAGGAGAACGCATATACCTTTTGCATCAAACACGCAATCCGAATAACCAGGTGCTTATGTGTACTAGTATTTATTTATGTTGTCGTTTTTTTCGTTATTTTGTTTGCAATTGGGCACGTTTTATTATCTTCACCCTTTTCATCCAATTTTCTTTCTTCTCCGGTTAATTCAAACCAGATTTTTATATGTTAACAGACGGATGGATCAACTGTATACGTTTGGACGGAACTAACTAGCTCTATCACTTCCAAATCTTGCGGTTAGGCCTATTTGCTTTCTCTCAAATACTGTTAGAGTTCGAAATTCGAATAAAAAGAATTTAATTTTCTTTAGGTAATTGTCAATCGGGAATGTGGAAGTCATTGGAGAAACTTAATGGAGCTTTATATAAACGGAATTTGAAGTTGATCAAACAAGATAGGATGAAGAACAGACAGCCTGACATTCTGAATGTTGCTTTATTACTTGATCATTCCCTAGTAAGTTAGATAACATTTATTCACTATAAATCAGAAAGCTTTCTGTACAAATTAAATAAACTATTTATTGATTTTATATGCATGAATATAAAGTTTAAAGATATATTTTTCGTTTAGCTTACTTCCCTAAACGAAGTTAACCTACCGATAGTCGGTGAGACTTTGCTAACGGCGGCTGTAGCTGATAAGGTGAGCAAGATTTCTTACCACAAGCGAAAGAAATTTGGTTGTGTTGTCTAAGATATCCCCTATTCACTTCCTTTGTTCGTACAGCTTTTGGGAAAAATCAATATTAAGTTGGGCGTCGCTTATATGGAAATGTGGAATAAACGAGATCACATACCGATAACATTGTCAATTAGGGAAACTTTGCACAATCTGGTTGGATATTGGACAAAAAGCATACGACCTCCCAGGGCAAGAATAGCCATACTTTACACGTAAATTATCACCCACTTTCTTATTTACTTTTTCGTAATAAGTTTAAAAAAAACATTTACTTTCTCTCCTTGAAGAGCGAAAGATTTTTCAGATGATAAGCAACACATTGCTTTACCCGACTCATTGTGCACATCAAGGGCTTTAGCTGTTGTAAAGTATTCGGACAACGTCCATGAAAGAATCGATTCAACCTTCCATTCTATTCTTAATTTAATTGGATTTAATGAATCTGGTAAGACTTTTACATTTAATCCTTAGAAAAAACTTACTCCTTATACAGATTGCAGCTGTGGCGATTCAGAGTGTATGATAGAAAGAGGAACGAATTTTAGATTCTGTTGGGAAAATATCCAGAAGGAAAAGTTTTTAAAAGTCCATGCTCATTGTTTATTTCCCTACGAATCCTCCGTAAGTTTTGATAAATTGACCTTATCTGTTTGTTTTAACTTTTCGATGAAAATAAAAGAGACTATGTCGACAGATATCCTTTCCTCAACGTTGCGGTAACGGAATCGTGGAAAGAGGTGAAGAATGCGATTGCCGTAGTAGAGAGGTAAGGGAATAATAAAATAATCTAGGTCAGCCCTATTGCTGCTATCGATAAGATAGAGAATATTGGCTTTCTCTTTCTCTTTGCTTAAAGTTTTCTTCAAATAGGAATGCATCAATTCTGACCCTTGCTGTGATCATAACACTTGCCTGCTGCAATCGTGGGCCACGTGTAGGTCGGGAAGTTGCTGTCGGAATTGCACAGTAAGTTTATATGTAATTTTCCTATTACTTAGGTTACGCGATCTCTAACGCTTTATTTTTTTTTCTACCTATTTGTCAGATTCTCTCTAATAGGCACGTGTGCAGGGAAGCGATAGGAGAATGCGATGTACCGGAATACTGTAACGGTGTTAGCGGCGAGGTCTGCATTTAGATGTCATAAATTTGAATTTTCTCTATTTATTTATTATTTTAGTGTCCACACAATGAATATGTAAGAGATGGCGAAATCTGTACAGGAAGCTATTGCTACGCTGGGGAATGCATCACTTCCACGGATCAGTGCCGCGCCATCTGGGGTCCTGATTCTGAGGCGGCCGATAACGAATGTTTTAGAATATATAATGTACATGGTAACTTCCAAGGTCATTGTGGGGTAGAGGGTCAAAATTATAAAAAGTGTGACGAAGAGTAAGTAGCGATAAACTCTTATACAGTTTATAAGAATATATTTGTTCTTCTCCTTAATCCCATCAAATTAGAAATGTTCGATGCGGCCTGTTACATTGCCGTGGAGGAAACACACAAAAAATGACTTATCACACGGAAGCTGTAGAGTCATTTCTTGGAAGTTTACATTGCAAGTTAGTTATTTTTCTTTAATCTATTAACTGACGATTTGCTAGCAACTATTTACTCCTCAAGGAGCCTCATGAAGAAAAGCAGTCAGGCTTTAGTAAGAAATGGCACAAAGTGTGACGAATCATCAATTTGCCTATCAGGAAAATGTACACATTTAAAAGAATTGCGTGTTTCGGATTGCCCAAGAGGTTTACATAGAAAACTTTGCTCTGGAAATGGAATATGCAGTAACCAAGGTAGATGTTTCTGTAACAAGGGATATACTGGAGAAAGCTGTGAGTACGTCAGACCGACTGACAAAATGCCGATGGGTGAAATTTTTAGTCTAAATAATCGACCTGATACGACTCAGGCCGATGATTTACTGCAAAGCTCGAAAGGTTAATTAGATTCATATTAAATCCTGGCATTCTAAACATTTTCTTTTGACATTTTTTTGATTTTTAACAGAAAAGAAGAATTCTTTATTATGGCTTATTATCGTTCTTTCATGCGGTGCTGGAGGAGCTTTTCTTTGTTGTTTTATCTTTATCGTTTGTTATAGGTAAGTAATGTCTTTTACAATTAGGAAATCAACACGTGAACTGAATTAATTGAAAATTAAATATTTATTACCTAGGCGTCGTAGCCCGAAGAGACTTCAAAGAAAGAGTCAACGAAAGTTATACTTTAATAAACAACTCTTAAATGCCACCCAGAATGGCTCTTTCTACGAAGCAATTAATAATGAGAACAGAATTATATCTTTTGGAAGCATGCCTACATACCGGTTTGCAAAAAAATAGCTAACACTTAAATCATCTTATTAAGTGACTACTTTATTTTACAGAAAGGAGAAAAAAGATAGAAGACAACGTAGAGATACTCCATCACTAAGTGAAGCCGAAAGTGAAAACACAGAAGAAAAGCAATTAGCTGTTGATGGCCTCCTTCGTAAGCCTGATAGAGGCATTTTAAAAAATTCTGCTCCTAATACAGTACAGGAAAGTGAAGGACCCAATAATATAGCAAATATGCTTGATACAGAACTTCAATCGATCAAACAAACATTTGATACTGCCGAAGCCGATTCTTGTGATTCGTCGTCTGATTCTGATTCTACTGAATGCAATGGATCCTTGTCAACGCCAACTCCCCCCCCTCCTCAAACTGACCCGAATCGATCATCGAATAACATTGAAAATTTGCTAAAACAGATTGACGTCGCAGCGAGAAATCTAGCTGAAGCTACAGCCAAAGCTCAGCAACTCTCCCCGTCCAGTGGTGACGCAGAAAGCTCCCTTAAGCTACATCCAAACAAAAAGTGCAAGAGGTCACCAAACCCTATTTATGAAAATCCCTCCCAAATGCGGCAAGAATCTCCAAGACTGTCTCTTCACCCCCACCGCAGTCCAAAGCGAAGGTCTCAAAGTCCTATCTATGCACCCTTATCACTTCCACCCCCATACTCGACTTATTCTCCTCTTCCCATCTCAAGTTTGTCCAGTCCCTCATCATCACCAACGTCTAACCGACGGCCCCCAAGCCTTCTTCCTTTACCAAGTGCCTCTTGCAAAATGACTATTCAAAACAATCCGCTCTATGAGTATGAAATGACAGCTGTGGGGGGTAAAAGTGAACCATTATTGGATGAATCAAAAGCTCCATCTGTTGAATTCCAGAACAGTGAAGGGTATCATTCAGATAGTGCAACAACAAAACATAGTGAAACTTAGACGCGAATCTGCTCTTTTTCTACGAAAGTTTTTAGGAACTGAAAGCAATAAATTACAAGTGTATGATAAAAATGTTCCCATGAGAACACGTTCATGTCGACTTATTTTTTATATCATATTTTTGTGAAGAAAACACTGACGTGGTGTGCTTAAAGGCTTTTAGAATACAGTTTTTTAGTTGGTGATATTTTTAACTTTGAATTAGACTTTTTGTATAAGACAGGTAACCAAATCTATAATATTTTTGCCTGGTTCACTGAACACCATTGCAAATTCATCAAGCAATATAGAACAGAACACGAACCGCATAGGTCACGTGGTGCAAATAGTTTACTAGGCAACAACTTCTCTAAAATTCTTCCGTTAAATATGCTTTATTAAGAGATTGTTCCTAACTTAAATTCTATGTAAATATTATAAACTGTGTCGAAGTGTTATTTGATTAAATTTTTAAGACTCAAATGTCCTTTTGAAGCTTGGGATGAATGTTCGTATAGATAGATATGTTTTAATAGACTCATTGCAGTTTAATAACTAATTTCTCCTGCAGCCGATAGCAACAAGGGCACCGGTTACAGAGGATTCATTTCCTTTGCCTGCCATCCTATGCGTTTCAATTGGTGGATTTTTAGTTCTGATTATAATTTTGTTCATTGTTAAAGAATTATGTCAAAGGAGGGGATGCTGCCCTGAATGCGGATGTACATGTCTCGGAAAAGAGGGAAATACCCAATGTTGTGAATGTTGCATTGAATGTGCACAATGCACAAATTGTTGTCAATCGCCAAACTTGAATGCTTGCTTAGATAGGATTTGTCCATGCGAAAGACAACGTTTTACTTGTCAAGATCTTCTCATGTGTAAATGTTGTTTCGATGAAGAAGGATGCTGTCAAAAGTGCTGTGCTGGTGGAACATGTTCGGTAAGTTAAATATTACACTCTGCTTATGCAATGTGGTTTAAGTTATCATTCTCTTTATCCCCATCAGTGTGGAGATTCGTTTTGTCAGTGTACTTCTCCAGATTGTCAGGTTGTAGATTGCTGCTGTTTCACATTGAACATGAAAAATCCACCACCTCCTAATTCTGGAACGTGGCATACTCAAGGTTACGGTCAACAGCCTCATCCAGAAGGTGGCTATGGTCAACCCCCTCCTCAAGGTGGCTATGGTCAACCGCCTCCTCAAGGTGGCTACTATGGTGGTGGCTACGGACAAGGCTACGGAGGATATGATCAACCGGGACATGGTTATGGGCAACAACGGCCTGGATTCAATACGGGAACCCAAGGATATAATCAAAGTGGCTACCAAAACCCAGGTTATTCGGGGTATCCGCCAACAACTCGTATAACTCAACCTCAATCATCGGAAAGACGATAGCGAAAACTATAGATATTTTTGTGAAGTTTTTTACTATTTGGAATCAATTGTTTTGCCTTTAAAATGATTTGTACATTATGATGAGACTGATAATAAAGTGTATTCTAAATTCTTCCACTAAATTACAATTGGGAAAAGGAACATTTGTCTACAGAGGAATATTTCCATGTTTCTTCGTGGGGTTCTTCAATTTCTTTGTTCTTAACATTTCCAGGTCCAGACAGATTCTCCTTCTAGTTGTTCTCGGCTCGATAACATCATCAACATATCCTCTAGTGGCTGCAGGGAACGGATTAGCAAACTTGTCAATGTATTCCGCTTCTTTTTCTTGTACATCCTTGCCTCTGAATATAATCTTAACGGCACCTTGGGCCCCCATGACAGCAACTTCTGCAGACGGCCAAGCGTAATTTATGTCTCCTCTTAAATGCTTGGAGCTCATAACATCATAAGCTCCTCCATACGCTTTTCTTGTGATTATTGTGATTTTCGGTACGGTTGCTTCAGCATAAGCATACAGTAATTTGGCTCCATGTCTAATAATTCCATTATACTCTTGATGGGTTCCTGGTAGAAAACCGGGAACGTCAACAAAAGTTATAATGGGAATGTTAAAAGCATCCAAAAATCTAACGAATCTTGCTGCTTTGACAGATGAGTTAATGTCCAATGTTCCAGCTGCTGACTTCGGTTGGTTGGCAACAAAGCCAACTGTTCTGCCATTCATTCTGCCAAATCCAATTACAATATTTTTCGCATAGCTTGGCATAATTTCGAAAAATTCACCCTCATCGGCTACACCTTTAATGACGTCTTTAATATCATATGCTTCCGTTGACTCAAGAGGTACAACAGTATCCAGTCCCGGAACATCTACATCCCATGGATCAGAACATTTCCTAACAGGGGCTTCATCTTGATTTGACAGGGGAAGAAAGTTGTACAAATCCCTCAAACGAAGAAGAGCATCCAAATCATTTTCAAATGAATTATGAGCAACTCCAGACAATGTAGTGTGAGTTTTGGCTCCACCTAATTCTTCTTGAGTAACTTCTTCTTGAGTTACAGCTTTTACAACATCAGGACCAGTGATAAAAAGATAAGAAGTGTCTTGAACCATAAAAGTGAAATCGGTAAGAGCTGGCGAGTATACGGCACCCCCGGCACAGGGTCCCATAATCAAAGAAATTTGTGGAATAACTCCTGAAGCCATAACGTTTCGCTATTAAGGACGTAATTCAGATATTAGTTTTATTTTCATTGCTTGAAAATATTTTAATAAAACCTGAAAGATATCTGCATATCCAGCCAACGACACAACACCTTCTTGGATTCTTGCTCCTCCTGAATCATTCAAACCAATAACCGGAGCGCCAACCAACATTGCTTGGTCCATGATCTGCAAGAAGACGATTACATTTGTTATAATTTATGATAGTGCAAAAATTGCCCAAACCTTGCAAACTTTTTTGGCATGAGCTCCAGACAAACTACCTCCAAAAACGGTGAAATCTTGACTGAAGACGAAAACCGTTCTACCATTGATTTTGCCTCTACCAGTTATTACGCTATCTCCCGCATACTGAGTTTTTAAAATTAATTTATAATTTTATAGACTCATAGTTACAAAACCGTTTACTTACCTTCTGGTTTTCCATACCAAAATCTGCACAATCATGTTCCATAAAAGCATCGTATTCAATGAAAGACTGTTTGTCTAACAAAACATTTAATCTCTCTCTAGCTGTTAGTTTTCCCTGTTTTAAAGCAACGACATTCAATTATTTGCAAAAACGTCAAAAGAGATAGTGCATACCCGTTTGTGTTGAGCATCAATTCTTTTCTCTCCTCCACCAAGCAGAGCTTTCTTCCTCAGTTCTTCTATCTTCTTTCTTACTGCCAATGTATGTTGAGCAGTATTCCATCTCTTGCTAGCAAAATCCCTTAGATATAACTGAGATTTCAAGCTGTTTTTAATACAATTTACGCCGTTAGACTTTGTTAGAGATTGCCACATCTTTCCGGTTTTATCCTCGACCTCAAGATCTGCCTATCGACGTCCTTCTCGTGACCTTGGCGACCTTTGTTTCTGGTCTGATTTTCTAATAATAATCTTTCATCACTTTTAAGAACTGAATATTTTTATTTCAACAACAAAGAAATTTTTTGTTGAATTTTACAATAGTACGAAAATAACTAATAACAATCTAAGCTAAATGGCCAGCCGCGGTGTGAAAAGCAAACCTAAAGCCGAGTAAACTTTTTTTTTTTAATTTGTAATATGATGCGACTTATATAGTAGAATTATAATTGGGGAAATCGAACTGAACTTATGATTGTTCAACTCTTCGCTAAATGATTAAAAAGATTAAGTACTTTCTGTCGAGCGATAATGAGGTATTCTTTTCAGGAATGAAACTTTACTTGAGAGTACTAATAAAAGAGTAGAAACGGCTCGTGTTTGGACCCCTGTTGGATTTACAGCCTTTAAATTGTTGTTATCTGCTAGGTTATGTGCGGCGATATGGAGTAATATATCTGATTGTGACGAGACTTTTAATTACTGGGAACCGGTTAGATATTATATTGCAGAAAAATCTATTTTCTAGCCTTGTTCTTACACAGTTACATTTATTGATTTACGGAAAAGGTCTTCAAACATGGGAATATTCACCTGTCTATGCGTTAAGATCATATTCATACATCTGGTTACACTTTATACCGGTAAAGTTTTATAATTTGTTCCTGTCTTCATTTCAGAAGGTATGTTCATTTCTTTTGATATTTACCAATAAAATACTTAATCTATTTCAAAAAACTGTTTAGGTTCTACACTTTTACTTCCTTCGTTGCACTTTGGCACTCTTTTGTAGTTTATGCGATATATATTTATATAAGTGAGCATAATATTTAGACAAAATCTGCAAAAGTACAATTTAATTTAAATTTTTTAGAGCTGTAAGCAAACGGTTTGGAGCAAATACAGGACGGATTCTCCTTTCTTTGTTAGTATTTTCTCCTGGAATGTTTATTTCCTCAACAGCTCTACTTCCTTCAAGCTTTTCAATGTACTTGACATCGGTGGCAATTGCAGCATGGCTACAAAATCAGAATCAATTATCTATTTTTGCTATAGCTGTTTCTGCAATCGTAGCATGGCCATTTGCAGCCTTGTTGGGTGTTGGAATAGCAATAGATATCGTAATTCGAAGAAAAAGAATATTATATTTCGTTCAATGGACTATAATATCAGGACTTTTCTTTTTGGTAATATACTTTAAAAATAAAGACTATAATTTACGTTTTTTAATGAATTTATTAGGTTCCTGTAATATTGATAGATTCGCACTTTTACGGAAAATGGGTTGTTGCGCCGTTAAATATTGTTCTCTATAACATATTTACAGAGCATGGGCCAGATTTATATGGTAAACTTTTAATAACTTATTATTGCTTATTGCTCTTATAAACTTTTGCAATTCAATAGGTGTAGAACCTTGGTATTATTATATAATAAATGGATTCTTAAATTTTAACATAGCATTCCCATTAGCAATTATATCACTGCCAATATTGGTAAGCTAGTATAATAAATTATATTTTTACTATTTGTAATATATCAAATTTATTTTTGCAGTTTTTCTCCAAATTGATAGTCTCAGCTGATGATACCAACCGTAATGTTACGGCTGTGTTATGTTTTTGTTTAGCACCTTTTTATTTATGGCTAACTGTTTTCATTTTGCAACCTCACAAAGAAGAGAGATTTCTCTTTCCCATATACACTTTAATTTGTCTTTCTGCTGCCATTTGCATTGATCATTTGCAAAGATTGATTTCATGGGCTAAATATGGACGAAAAGCTATTCATTATACACAGTATATCCTAAATAAATGGTTCGTTATTGGCCTATTAATGTTACACGCTAGCGGAAGTGTTTCAAGATGTTTTGCATTATACAAAAATTATCAAGCTCCGTTACATGTTTATGGAGATTTAATGAAAGTTGCTCATAATTCTAGTCTTCATCCTTTATCATCGTATGTTCAAGTCAACTTGTGCGTTGGAAAAGAATGGTATAGGTTTCCTTCATCTTTCTTTTTACCAGAAAATTGGAAATTAATGTTTGTCAAGTCAGAATTTAAGGGACAATTACCTAAATATTTTGAATCTGAGAATCCTACTAGCTCCATACCAAGTCATATGAATGATATGAATTTAGAAGAACCTACTAGATACGTACGTTAATAATTTTCTTAATGTATTAAAAATTAGAGAGTTTATTCAACTCTTTCAGATCAATGTTTCAAAATGCCACTACTTGGTTGATCTAGATGTACCAACCGAGAGCAAATTAGAACCAAGATACTCATTACAGACGAAGCAATGGAAAGTATTGTACTCAGGCGATTTTCTCTTCTCTTCTGGATCATCATCACTTTTTCGGGCTCTTTATGTCCCATTTTTAACGAGCAAGAAAGTAAAATACATTAAATATAATTTACTCCAAACAACTCGATTGGCTAAAAGACGAAAATAGTTTCGAAGATTCTTTCATATTGGACTATTGAATAAATTATTTAATTGACTTAATTCATAAAGATGAACTTAAAGTATACTGTATATAACTAGCTAATTAATTACAATAAAATAGAAATTTCTTGTGTCCAACCACTAGGGCAAAATTGTATTTTTGAAATTCTTTTCAGCAAACAATGTCTAATGTATACATTTATATACGTTTAATATATGCAGGCGCATCCCCGATTTCATTATATATTTTTGAATACACAATCAACATTCACCATCCTAACTCAAAATGGCAACAAGTAGAGCAAAGAGCAAAAACAAGTAACGTAGCATAATAACGCGAACAAACACTGCACGATATCAGGTCAACAGACAGACCTCAATGACATATTAGACAGTGCCTAATGCCATGAAAAATAAAGTTTATGGTGTATAACGCATGATCTATAATCAACAAATAAATCATTCACAATATTTATCAACATACCTTTTACACCAGAGCGCGATATCGCCTAAATAATTTCCATTCAATATAAAAACACTTAAACTTTCTTTTGTATAAGTACAATAAAATACAGGATTAACTGTCACACAAAAGTGCATCTTTTCTTTAGCTAAATATCTTTGCTTGCTGACGGAGATTCTCTTAAAGGTATCTTGTAGACTACTTGTGATAGTGATAAGCAAACATATATATTTATATATATATATGTGTATACTTAATAGTTTTTATGTACAGTCATTACCTACTTGAACAAAATAACACTAAATTTAAAAATAAAGCGAAAACGCAATCAATAACTAACAGAATATCAGATAAAACTTTTTGAGACAGCAAAAGCAACTAAAGGTTTTGAATTAGGGACCATATTCTTAGACATAATCCGTTAAAAGAGGATAGAAAATAGCAATAAAATAACTTTGTAACAATAGAGACATAGTAATGACATAGAAATTTTGAGACAAATTGCTTTTTAAAGAATACCATATTATGAGACTCGAATTACAGCAAAATAAAATACTCCACCAAAAATAATTATAGAAAGAAGAAAGTGAGATTGGAAAACAGATCCACAAAGCCAAGAGACAAAAATGGGTAAAAATATATATCTCATAATATTAACGAGAGAAGACTTTCAAAATTTTTAATATAAATGTACTAATATTTGCGTTTTCAAACGGGAACAGGATCATTTCCAGAATCTGGTGCATTGACGATAATTGAGGGGGTGTCGATTAATTTTTGGGCTTCCGGGTCGTCTCCTGATGGTTTCGTTTGAGGTCTCTTTTCTTTCAAAGAAACTCGTTTGCGAAACGTTCCCACAACAGTAGCCCTATCAGCCGGATCCTCAGATACTGGCTTCCATGATTCCGTGTTTTCTTCGATCTATAATAGGAAATAAAAATACAACTAACGAAAAGCAACATGACAGACAAACCGGATTGGTATCAAAAGTAGCTTTTTCTGCGTAAGATGATGCTTCTGGAGCGCAGCTCATTTCAATCTGAAATTGTAATGGAGCACTTTTTAGTATACATTCTTGGTGCTGAGCTATGCTTAAAAAAAAAACCGTGATAAATATGTTTCATTGGAGTCTCCTTCAGTGGATAATTCAAAGTTAAACATGTTTGTTATAGATTTTGATATTTCAGAGGATGTCTCCCTATGGCTTTGTTTTAAATTATATTTCATAGGTGAAAAGTTTGGCAACACGTTATACTTTAGTAATTTAGAGTGCGACTGCTTAATCTGGGAAATTGCATTCATAGTTGAGTTTAAAACACATTTAATAGCTATATGTTGAATATTAGATTTTTCTTATGAAATTATTTAACTAAATAAGACCTCATTGTTAGTTGATGAAAGAGTTGCTGAAGTATTTTTGTGTTTCTTATCTAATACATTTCTTTCTAGCTCAGCATGAATCAAATCTCTTGTTTCACTAGGTAAAGTCACCTTACTACATTGTATTATTTCCTGGTATGTTTTAACTTTTCATGTTATGTCAACTAATCAATTTTTGTAACATACCTGTTCTCTTTTCTGGTCTTCTTTCTCACGTTTGTGACTTTCTGGCATTATGTCATCGAGCCAAATTAGCTCATGTCTTGTGAAGACATAATCCAGCAACTTTCTAATGAAGCACATCGCCATGACCATAAGGGGAAAAGTAATTGCCAAAAAACGTGTTTTCTTTATAACCCAGAGCAAAACAAAGCAAATGATTTGGATGAGAGTGAAAAAATGAACTCTCCATAGAGGAACCTTTCGCAAAAACATATAATCTGGCTGGTACTTAGGAGGCATAAAAATTATCATTATTCTTTGAACCAATTGTACTCCTTTAAGAGATGATACACCCATATAAAGAAAAACTCCATAGAGTACAGGCATGGGAACATATAATAAAATAGGTGTCATAAGTACTGACAATCCAATTAACAAAAATACTATAATACCAGTTACCCTCTGCTCTCTTACCCCTATATATTTTGGTCTCTCTCCTGGAGCTGAACATTTCGATTCTTTACTTAAGCTACGTACATGATTTATTGACAAGACTGTAGCTGCGACAAACCATGGCAAACCCATAATCGAACATAAGCCAATTTGAATAGCAATAACGAATAAATCTAAGTGATATCCACCACCTTTAACCAATTTATTTTCTTTTCGATTTACAATAACGCCTGTAATTTGTTGATCCATAAATATTAAAATTGTAGCTAGTAAAGCCGGGCCAATTGCTGCCAGGGACGTCCACCATGGATTTCCAGAGAAAGGATGAATAAACCAATTTCTGTCATTTCGCGTTGGTTTAAAAGTAGGTGGTACCACTAACTTTGGCGTGTCCAATGACATATATATATCAAGACAACAGAAGGATACAATAGCAATCATGACACTAAAGTCACTTAAAATCGAGCGAATTTTCGTTGGGAAAAATCTTGTATTTCTCACGTTCTTCAAAGTAATCGCTATTACGAATGTTCCAACAAACAATATAATTGAAAAAAAGAATATATTATCTGTGGATTTACATCCAGGCCCAACTAGAGTTCCGTTTAGTGTTTTACATAGCTCGTCATAGGTTGCCAGCGAGTTGTTCTTCAGATAACCAGATTCAAAATTCGATATCAACTTTTGGCTGTTGTTTTTCCTACTTATATTTTCCGCCAAATTGCATTCGCATAACCGATTAATAGAGTCATAATTTACGGGATACTCCGAATGGATGTTTATGGCTTTATGAAATGCTTCATAGACGAAAATTGCAGCAATAAGAGCAGCAAAAGATTCTTCAGTAAATCTAGTAATATATCGAACGAGAGCAGATAGATCAAACATCACGATTATCAACAGGAAAAGACAGGACCACAAACCAATCCAAAATCTAAAGCTTAGATAGTGTAGACCCCATTGCCTGTTTATGCAATATTTATAGTTAAATTTTTCAAATTTCGATTTTGAACCTACTGGCAAAGCGTAAACGCCACTGTTTCAAATATCAGAACAGGTCCTGTAGATCCTATTACTGTTAAGGGCTGACCAGAGCACAGGTGATAAGTTATTCCACATACTGCAGCTGCCAAAATACTCTCCATTACTGCCTGTATAACCACAAAAAATGTTTATTGAAAAAATTGTGATAACTAAGAGTTTGGGAGAGGGTTGCTTACAATATTACTATGCGTTGCTTGGCCTAGTAGCCCTCCAAAAGTAATAATTGGTGCCAAACAAGCGAAATACATAAACAAAAATGAAGCTATACATTGTATATGCAGGCAATCTTTGAAATCGCTCACGAACAACGGGGTTTTACGTCTCACATCCGCTATCAATCCTCCAAACAATCTCCCCGTTCTCATTAAGCTGGGATCGGTATGGCTTTCGTCTTCATCATCTCCTTGGCTTGTTGCTCCATTAGGTAATTGACCTTTTCGACCTTGTTGAGAAGGTATACTTTTTGGTGGTTCAATGCGTATTTTGGGATCCCATTCGCCAGGAGGTAAAACTGTTACTTGATCTAAAAATTCATCAATTCCAGCTAACAGATCCTCCCGACATCTTGCTTTGTACGCTACGTCATGAAAGATTTCATCAGACATAAGTGTAGCTATAGAACGACCAATTTCATGATAGTCTGACTGGTTTCCTTCAGGACCAAGCAAGATAAATAAGAATCGAGTCGGTAAGGGAACCTCCGTCAGGTCTCCTAGCAAGACAGCTTTTGACAATCGAACGAAGGCGATAATTGTGCTCTTTAGAAATTCAACTTCTCCAACAAGAATGTTAGAAGCCTCAGATCCTGGAGGTATTTTCTTCATAAAATGGGCATTGGCCTGAAATCAAATTTTCATTTTAAACATTCTTTGCATAGTTTTACTTTTAAATAATTCGTTTTAATAAACTAAAAGATCTCGAAGGTAAGATTCATTACCTTGTGGCTAGATGTCGATGTTGCGTGAGGAAGATCACCCTCTCTTCCGGTAGCCAAATGACACGATGAATCTGATGAGTAAGGTGTTTTTTAAAATCTTTTATTATTAATTGTGTAAGTGCAGTAAAAAACAACAAGTAATTTATCTTTAAGAGAAAACATTGAACACTCCATGCACATATAGTGCTACCTTATAATTATTAGTTTTTTTGTTTTGAAGTAACAGTAATTGTGGACACTTCTTGGTCATGCGCGAAAGACAACATGCAATGTACAACAAACCTGTGTGACCACCATTTTGCGGTTCATCTCCAAGATGTTTTTCCCCGTCTAATGATTTTTGAAAGCCTATATGCCATAAAGCGAATGTAAAATTTGCATACCTTTATCATCTAATTTCTTTTCGGAATGCTTCTTTCCTATATCAGCAAGTGAACGTATTATAGGAATTCCGGAATTAGTTTCGTGTTGATGCTTATGTCGGCTCATTAATACATCAAAAACCGCCTGTTTCTGGCTAGGATCCAAGTCATTATTTACCATGGACTCCAATACTAGTTGTATAACATCTTTTAGATTCTCTCCCGAAATGTCTAATAAAATTGTTCCAGAGGTTATTTGTTTTCTTAACTCGAACAAGGAGTGCAAAGATAGAGTGGCTACATGGGGTTTAGACCATTTCTCAGCGCCTTCCTCTACATCTTCCTCAAATTTAATCCATCTGGCTGTTTCTTTCCATTCTCTTTCCCCCTCAACTCCTCTAAGTTCATCCATCTCACAAAAAATATCATGAGGTCTGTGATCTTCATCCTCGTAGTTTTCACCAATTATAAATTGGACTTTTTGAGCTGGTGGTGTTGCTGTAAGTAATAAGCAAAACTATTCAATCTGTTGCATCTATTATACTAAAAAGTTCAACGATGCCATGCAATAAAAAAAGCCACAAAATTTTTCACTCGGTAACTAGTTTTTTTCCACTTTTTGGTTTTATACAATAAGTATATCTGTAAGTTATCAAAAGGTCTACTATAGTAGATTATAGTTTAATATAAATTTCACTATAAACAAATATTTAACAAGACACTCTTATTCAGTTAAATTATCAAAACTGAAAGATCTCTTGAATAAGCTGTGATCTTTCTAATATGATTATTGGTTTAAAACGATCCGAGATATTTAGCATGATAGTTAGGAAACTTTTAAACGATGATTGAAATTAGCTCTCAAAGCTCTGAGGTGAAAGCCCTTGTTTCATTTAATCAACCAGATGTTATGGACTTCTTGCATACATATATATATATAGTATATTAATACCATAGAAACAAGTAACATGCGAATATAACACGCAGTTATGTAAACCGAAAGCGAACTGAACCTTCTTTCAATTCTTCTTCCTCTGCAAAGTCAGCGTCACATACAGAATATAGCACGAGTAACTCAAAAACTAGTGTTTATAAGGAAAAGAGTCGATAAAAAGTTATACGAACGGGGTTTGTTTGCATTGCTTTGGTTTTTATCAGTCTCTTCCCGTTTCTTGCTTGATGATGGTCTGCAACAATTTCATTTTAACTTTTCTCTATTATATAGATGGTAACCACACTTAACCTACCCTTTGTGACGATGATGCTTATGTCTTCTTTTATCACGATTCCTTGGGAAGTGAAGACTGGTGTACATAGCTTGGTGCTGCCATCTGTCCGTATGATGAGCTGAGGAAAAACAAGAAAATAGGACATTAAAAATAGCATTGATTTTCCATACGACGTCATTTATATTAAAATAAATGTGCTGCCTTAGGTCAGCAGCATTTAAAGAGAAAGAAATAGACAGGTGTTAGCAAATGTTCAGCAGCGAGTTCTCATCTAGCAGGTAGTTTATGCATCTTATTCTCAAGTAAACTTTTAAATATATGGGACTTATAGACGTTAGAGTTATGTTAAAATTACAAACCAGCAATGTCCTGATCTTCTATGGGTGCATGACTAAATGAACCATGATCTTTGACCGGCACGTCGGGACTATTCGCACCTCCTTTTGTATCGTCCATTATTTCTAATTAGATTAAGTCGTCATCATCCATTTTCCTAAAAGAATAAATAACAATTGAATTTGAATCATTGATATAAAAATGCTACAAACAGGCACAGAAATAATATCAAGCATCAAGTTTCAATAGGAAACTTTATTTGTATATATTCTCTTTTTCATCAAGTAGATTATAAACACTCTTGGTTTTTGAATGCATTACAAAGAAGGTAATTGGCTTTTAGATGATTTTCGCAGATTTAAAGGATATGCAATCAAGAATGTTCTATAAGTCCTATAGTCGACATTAATCATAAAATCTACTTGTTCTCTTTTTGACATATCTGTTGTCCTCTGCAACAGAAAACTATCCCATTTTTCTTTACATCTACGAAACATATGGGAGAGCGAAAAAAACAAAGTCTCTTTGTTGTTCTTGGATTGGGAAAGACTGAGATTTTACACAATAAATGGAAATTTTAACAAGGTCTCATATCACGTGATACTCAAAACCTCACAACAAAATCAATACAACATTTCCTACCAACCGAAACAGCGACGTTTTCACATTGGATCTGTTTTAGCCTACTAGGAAGTTAGCTATTGCAGAGGAGTACATAAATAGGCCTGTAACCAATCATCGCACTGATTGACGTAAAAAGCCTTGTTTCTAAATCGAAATAAATGCATTATACAGTATCTATAATTAGCCAATGTCGGTGTTTCACCTGCATTATAGGTCTTATTGGTTTTAGATTGATAAATAAACACAAAGCGACAAATAAACGGTTGTAGACAAGACGATTAATTGATCTGGAGTTTCAAATACCATTGCATGGTCGTACAAGACTCTATAGGCTTACATCTTGACGCTATATAAATCAATATCAATCGAAAAAATTATCTACCAGTCTAATTTCTGCGGATTTTACACGATTTATAGGTGAAAATCGTGTATACTTGACAACACAATACTTTTCATGAAACATTCCTAACTCAACCGAAAGGCTCTACTAAAATTCTTTTGAGTTCCATTTATTTTTAAATAAATCCTAAATAATTCTTCTAAAGCTGAAGTTTTTGGTGCAATGATTGAAGAAAAACTATTCTCAAAAGTTCATAAATTTTCGTTTAAGTGTCCTAATATTCTAAGGGAAAGGTGAAATTGTTCATGCTTTAAAATAAACATCAACAGTTTAATAAGGAGTTTTTTGAATTAATCAACTAGAGTATTCTCCTTCAAAGGAAACGGGTAGTTATTTTTAAACGTTTATTATTATTATAATTTTGATTGGTAATATATAGCTTCTTTCATAAAGAAAATTGTTCATACGATGTCGTTTTAGAATACCGAAAAATATTCCTGATGAAGGTCGAAAAGCCCTTGAACTAAGCGCCAGCTATACTTACGTATATATACGTTCGAATAGTTTAATGACCGGGCATTTACTAATCGCCAACTTTATCAATAACTTTCGATAGAATCGGTTATTTACATTAGTTCAAAATTGCAAACGCGAAATAATTAGATGTTACTACGTAAAAATATTAAATTTGAAATAAAATAACCTTAAAATCTTCTATTCAACTCCACCGGAAAAGAACCAACTCCCATAATGCACTGTACTGCAGTGTATGTATGTTAGGATTAGAATTCGAAAATCGAATCGAAACAGATCGAAATGATCGATTCTTTATGTGTTGAAAATGTGTAAATCAGCAAGAATACAATATATTTATTTCCATATACATATATACATTTCTAATAAATTTAAAAGAATTAAACTCTCTAATAGAGCCGCAATTTACATCTATTTTCTGTAAATCAATAAAATATTCAAAAAGAGATAAAAATCTCTATCAAAATATGTAACAGCTACTTTTATTGGTTTGAGTGACATGAATATCCTGGGCATTAGAAAATAAAAGATTTTTTCGAGGAAATTAGTGTAAGAATAATACAAAATCGACATTTTAAGAAATAAATTATGTGAGGTTTACTTACTTTGTGGTCATGAACAATCAATGATTTATTTTGTCCTAAAATAATGACAAGTTTTGGAATACATAAAAAATTATTCTACTTTTTTAGTCTAAATACTTAATTCCAAATGCTAATTCTAATCGTTGAAATTAATTTTCTACTCATATCGCATAAGATCGAATCGAGTCGCAGAAATCGACTACATAGCACTACAGTGGGAATCCCTAATGAGTCATTTTTTGGTTTGGGCATCTTTCCACTTTTTACCCTTTCTGGTAATTTCAAAATGTAATTATCGATATAAGTTAACAAGATATTCGCATAGCAAAGTAAGTATCTATTTAGGAGAATCACTCTCTTAATAACTATTGGTTTCTCAAGTACTAGGCTTCTTTACGACTATTTTGGATCATCAACAACAAACTCTACACACATGTTGTAGTAAAATAACCTTAAAACGATAGAGTACAAAAATTGTAATGGAAAAGAGAGTAACTCCACAATCAAGTACATCTCAACTAAATGGTGACAAGACCAAATCCATTCTACAGATATTAAATGGTTATTTAGGACCGTTCCTTAAACGATCTCAGAGTCCTGTTTGTTCTGATAGTAATGCCAACAGAGTGCAAAGACCTGTAGAAAGATGCCCATCAGAAATTGATGGTTTCGTTTTCGTTGAGCAAATAGAATTATCACATTTCAGCAATTGTCAAATTCCAAAAAAGGAAGAGAATAGAGGGCATACTTTTGAAAGAACTCAATTAAATAAACCGACTTGGTGCGATCAGTGTGGGGATTTTATTTGGGGAGCTTATAAAGATTGCCTCAAATGCCATAGTAAGACTCTTTTTTTTATATAATAACATATTTATGCCATATGTGAACCCTCTTTGAGTCTGTCAGTGCACTAATTAATTTAAAAATAACTCTTCTTTCCATAAAGACTTATTGTTTTCTAATAAGGAGTGCTTGTAAGGTTACTCAATTCCAGATTGCGATTACGTCTGCCATTATAAATGCCGAAGTGAAATTGCAATCGAATGTCAACACAACGGAGGGTCTCATAACTTTGGAACAGAGCAAAAAGTATGTCGGCTAGCATTTTCACATTTTCCTTCTATTTCTATTCTGAGCAATTAATTCGCATTAACGATTTTTACATTAATAAGTTAACCTTGATATCTCTTAACTGGCTTTATATCAGACTATTTACGTGGGCTTAGCTATTTTTATAAGTGTAAATTTAGTATATGACCTTCATGTGGCGAATTCTTTTTGTGCTGGTTTAATTCAGCAAATTTACCTGCTTGTTTTAGGAAAGAATTGAGGAACATTTTGAAGAGGACGATAATGATCTTTTTAGCGCTTCCCCTAGTAAAACTACTTTAACAAGTGATGATATTCATTCACAAATTCAAATATTTAATAATAATCAGCATGGGCTTTCTATGAGCATGGTTTGTCATTCTTATCAGATTTGAAATTGAATAAATAGTGTCTATAAAATCTTGAAATTGCAGGAGGATGATAATCGTTTCTCAGGTTCAATAAGAATTTATTTGAATTTGTTTAGGCCGGTTAAAATGATTTTGGAAAATCACTTGAGAGGAGGAAAGCGATCGAGGTAAAATAAAAGACTATTTCGTAAATAGAGCGTAAATATTTTTTTCTATTAAGTCTTAAATGAGATGGAAACATTATCGTATTACTCCGACTATATTGCTTTATCGACCTTCGTGCTTAACTCTTCTATTAATGAAATCCAATTTCAGCGATTCTGAAGAATCAGAAAGTGAAACAGACAGCACAACAAAAACAATTTCATTTCATCTCCCTCGAAGCACAAGTCTCGTGATACGGATTAACAGCCAAACGAGGACGAGAGATGTTATAAAAAAATTTTTGAAAAAATATCGTATAATCGATAATCCCTGCAAATTCGCCTTATACGAAAGTATAGATCAGGGCGAGGGACATGGTAAGAATTTTGACAGTCAGTTCACAATATAAGACATAGTAAAGAATTCAATAAAAATAATGAGTCACGGCTTTCTATTATGATTTATATAATTGATATTTTTGGCAGCTTCTATAAGAAGATTATCAGATGATGAATATCCTCTAGTTATATGTCTAAACTGGTCAGTTGATGGACTAAACAAACGTAGTTTTATTTTACGGGAGAACGATACAAATGATATTCAGGTGAGATAGTTGAATTTATTACACACATAGTAATATTTAAGTAAAACAGTGGGACGCTTTTTCCATTCCTGAGCTGGAGTCATTCTTGAAAATTCTTCAAAGAGAGGAGCTAGAATATAGAATTCAAATAAAAAATAAATACGCTCAAACGAAAAGTATTTTACAACATCGAATTGAGAAAATAGAGCGGAAACAGCTTGGTGATGATAACCGAACTCCAATATTTGTTTAGACTCAATTGTATTTCAAATTTTTGGTTTAAGATTGTATTTTTGGCGTTTTGTTTTATTTTTATTATGCACCCGTTTCTTTCATAAAAATTCAACTTTTGTTATATATTAATACCGTGATTCGACACTGATCAGTTTTATTTTTAATAGTTTTTCTGTTTCAGTCAATTTTAATAGTATTAAGAATCATAGTATAACTTTGGATTTTGCAGGAATGTTTTTGTTTTATATTTTTGTTTCTTTTAAGCTATTTGAAATATTTAACATAAAAATAGATATTGAAAACATAGATTTTTTAAGAGTATAGCATTTTATTTTACGATTTGCCAATATCAAGCTATAGAACTAGCGACATTGGAAAAGATGTAAATTCAATAGAATAAACACTATTGAAAAATTTAAGCTGAATAGATTATCTTTTATTTTGCAGCTTTAACGAGATACTTGCAGTTTTTGAAGTGAATCCCATTCTCTCTTCTTTTCATGTTACTTAAAGGGTAGATCGATTTGCACATCGTTAGGCAACTGTTTTATAATACCAGTATGAAGCAAATAGAAATATACAGGTTTAACACTATTAACGTTGACTTTACAGGCACTACGTGCATGAGATAATCTGATTCCACCATATTTATCACTTAAGGACACTAATTTCTTCTTCATTGACAAATATTTTTCGGGAGAAAAGCGTAATAAAGAAGCCAGATATTTTTCGTTCGAGTTTAGTTCTTCGTATCTAGGCATATCCTACATAAAGAAAATGATTCAAGTCTTTATTTGTGGTATGATTCATAATGTTTGAAAAAGCTTACCTTTATGTCTAAAATCTGACTAACATCCCGTACAATTTCTTCCAAAGTAAGATTCTCTGGTTTGTGTTGGCTTCCAAAAAACATATCGACTACTTCAAATCTTGTAAATGACCTCGCTTTCATTGGACTAACAATCCTCTTACTACGACAGTTTGATAGTTGCAAATATGTCCTACGACTTTTGCTGACATCAACTCTTTTCTCTTCAGTTCTTCGCTGCCTATACAAATCAACATGCATAAGTCCTCCTTCTAGAGTTTTTATTCCTAATTGCCTAAGATTTTGTAATTTTTTAACATCGTCTTTTAAGCGAAAGCAAATATCCAATTGCGAGAAATATTTATCAAAGTCTTCCTGATTCATAAATTGAGCCAGAACCTTTAATTTTTGATAATATTTGAATCCTGTACTAGATAATTCTTCCGAAACAGCATCATCTATTTCTTTGTTCCTTAACAGTCCATATCTTTTAACACATCGATGGCGCTGTCTTCTTTTCCTTAAAGCGTCCCTATAGATATCTATTAGTGCAATCTTAAAAGTAAAACGAAGTCTCCTTATTATGGATTAAACAATTCATACTATAGAGTATGAAGTGTTTAAATTGATATAATTAAAATAAAATAATGAGTTAAGACTTCAGAATTACTTTCACTTCGGTTTCCCAATCTTCACAATTATCATCTGTTTTTAGATTTATGAGAATTTTCTCGGAGTTGTTTTTATATTCGCACTCGAATTCACTTCTATGAGGATTATACTTGGCCAAATAATTATGTAAACAGCTATCGACTTTCGGGCGTATTTCTTCCAGAAATAAATTGTCTTCTGTAGAACTTAAAATAGTTGTCCTTGGAGGTTCAGCATAATTTGAGACAAGGCTCTGAAGCTCTCTGTCTTTCGGATATTTAATAAAGTTTCCCATGTAAAATTCTTTGCATTCTTCTTTTGTCCTATTCTTCATAACCTTAGCGATCTCCTCCCAATTTTCAAAATTAAAATTTTCCATTGCTGTTAATAGATCTTCCTGTTCTTCTATGGACCACTGACCTGGACCAGTGGTTTTTGGTATTTCAATCTTGTAAGCATGAGTCCTTCTATGTTCTGGAATTTCCTTTCCACTGGAGAAGCACTTCAGACAGAGTTTGATATCTCTTTCACAGTCTACGCATGATATGTGTACTTTATCTAAAATAATTCTACACTTTCTGCACAAATTATTTCCAGCTTTTAGCTTAGTGTTGCCTTGACGAGTCTCTTGATTGTTCTCCATGTTTAGGCGATTAATTAATATAATATGTTGATTTAAATAAACTAAAACTAAATTAACCTGACTTATGCAAAGAACGATGAAGCAATATTCAGCATGTACTCAAATAGTTGCCTCCATCTTTGACGTAAAACCGGTTACTATAATCATGACCGGTTCAAAACAACATTCATAAAATCAGATTTATTTTTTGACTTTGTCAACTGGGTTTCAATCTGAGTTCCTAAAGGGATATACTTAAGAACATTTTTTATCATGAATAAGTAATATTGCACAAATTAGGAAAGTAAAGATAAAATGCTGCAAACGTTTATTCATATATTAGTATAATAGTGTATACAATATGATATTGTCTTCAAAAGAGTGTTTGCTAAATATTTTTCTTTTTTGACAATATAAACAATACGCCTATTTTGGGATAGATGTAATAAAACTCCTAATAGGATTTAGGTCAATTCCCCTTCATCCTTCAAAGATAACAGTTTTAAGAAAGCCTGTCTTACTGTACTTCCCAATTATAAGTATTCCTGATAAACCTAATTAAACTTTTTTTATAATTATAATTTTCTTTTTTCATGGCATTGTTGCTATGGAGCTTCGAGCTTCTCTTTCTCTCCACTTTCCACTATAACATGGTAATTATAAAGATGATATCGAATAAGCAGATTGTAGCAAAACTTTTATCAATTTTATAGTCTATCCTTTACAACCTTTTACTAAAATTTTAGCGTCTGTACAAGTTTTTCATTTATTTAGTCATTTTATTTAAAACTGTATTAACGTGTGCAAAAGATTTATTATATACTTTTGTGATCCAAAAAGTCTGGATATACTCTATTGACATCTAAATTTGAATAAATTTCATGGATGTTGGCACGCCTAATGATATATTTTAATGAAATATTCTGTATCAGCTGTTCTGTTCGATACTGTTAAATTATGCTAACAATCAACTTAGAAATTTGTTCTTATTATATTTTCCCTTTCGAAGGTTTTTTAACATATTTTATATAAATGGAAATTGTTTCATATCAGATTTTTCATAAAAACAAAACTATACACAAATCGAAATTTTATATTTTAAGAACACTGAAACTATTATGCATGTTAAAAGTCTAACTATAGCATAAATATTTACAACTGAGGAGTTGGAACGCTTAATATGCCAGTACCCTTAACACCTTCAAATCCTCTATGTAAAACGCAAACTCCTGAACATCCATATTCTAATAGCTTCTCAGCAAAGGAAACAGCGTTGACGTCGTACGAACCACACACTACTTTGATCAACTTAGACTGACGAATGTTAGTGATAGATTCAGGTTTAAGTTCATTAGGTCTATTTTGAAATGGGATATTTATGGATCCTTGTATAGTTCCCTTAGCGTATCTAGAATATTCAAAGAGATAACCAACTAAAAGTGAATTATTAATTTGAAATTATTTACTCCTCTGGATTCCTTATATCCATAATCAGCATTTTGGGCTTCGAAGTGTCAGATCCATTAACTTTTGTTGGAGAAGAAGAAGGAGAAGACTTGCGAAATTCTAATAACTCTAGCAAGTCCTGCGAGCATATTCTAGGCAGTTTCTCTCTCTTTAGTTCAGAGAGGGATATTGGGTCATTCGCAATTAGGCACTCTTTTTTCAAAGAATACTCTTCACTGTAGTAGGTATCTTTCATTTTTTCATCTGTTTTGACGTGCGCATGACGTCGATATGTAGCTGTTTTTGGAGTTGACCGGAAAATTTTTATGGCGTTGTTGACAACTCTTTCGATGTCGAGTTCTGTAAGATCAAATAAATTGTGTTTGCATTTACTAGCCAGTTCACAAAAAGCGAAGGCCTAATATACAGTATAACAATTATATGAGGATTTTTATACAGACACAAGTTGTCTTTCCTTTAAGCTAAAAGTCGTATTAAATTACTAAGACATATTATATTATTATAATGCGTTCTGATTGGATTTGAAATACTAAAAGTATCTAGGAATGTTATCAATATAAAAAATTAATTAAAATCTGCCCTTAAGGCGCTTTTAAATATAGCGAATGGAACATGATGATCAATATTTCACATAACTATATTAACACTTTCATGGTGCTCGCTATTCTCTGAAGCATCAATACAATAAATTAGGTAAACTAATAACAATTTCACCAACAAGCCAGCCCTTAAGCTAAAGTCTGGTTATCATCATCAAAGCTATTCAATATATAATATACATCCGAGTACTTTACTTATAAAAATCAAAGAAATCTCTTTCGGAACTTTTATGGAATGCTCTCTAAGTAGTTGAAATTAAACAGAAATAATATTAACTAACATAGGCACTGATCTATCTTTTAAACTTTTCCAGTGTTATTTATCAGAGTAAAGTTATGTTTAATCTCTTTTTAGTAATTTACAAAATTATTTCCTTTTAAGTTTATGCAATCTTTCGAATTCAGTATTTATTAAGAGATGATAATTATAAAATGTGCTGATGACGATGATATCTGATGAAATAAAATTAACAAACCTGGTAAATCAGAAAATAATAGAATGCATTCGTTAAATTCACACTGAAGTAATCTTGGGGATAATTGTTCTAAGATAGCTACTCCAAGACACAACGGAAAGCTGGAATTACCAAGCAGAAGAGTATCCCAAATATGCCATAATGAAGTTAATGGTAGCACGTCTGTATGAAAATATTATCGTTAGAAGAAACTTAAATTTAGTGGCACCATCAGTATGAAATTCAACTTACGCGCAAACATTGTTAAAAACCACGGTATAGCATACAGCTATTTAGCAAAGAAGTTCTTGTAATTATTTATTTTCTATTACTTGATTTAATTAAAAGAACTTACATCAGGGACAAAGCCAATCTCATTTAAGTGATTGCTTAGTTCAGGAAAGTGAAATGATATTAGATGCGAAAATACTGCCAAATACTCTATAAGTTAAAGTATTTATAAATACAAGAATTATTCATATTTAAACGAAAAAATTCTCACGTACCTTGAATAACTTCAGAATTATCTTTAAGAAAAAAGTTATGCAGATATTTTGGTATGAAATTTTCTAAACAGCAAAAAGCCAGAGCTAAAGAATAGAAGATACTTTTATCTCCAGCTAGCTGAGATCTTTTATATTAATTGCAGCAATAATAAACAAACCTTCATCATCGAAATTTAGAGCTACAAATGGGGCAGCCAAAGAATCTAATCCTTGCCAATAAACATATTCAGGGTGATTTACAACCCAGGCCTTAAGAACTCTGCGTAACTTTTGATGACCGCTGGGTGATGATAACAGCTCATGATATTGATGACAACGAGGTATATCAACTTCAATCTGTCGATAAATGTCCTTTAGAATCTCTAAAAAGATCATGGTATCTTACTTGTCGGTCGATTGCAATAGTAGTTTCTTTGTCAATTGAGTCAAAGTGACCTTGAATATCACCCTAAATGGAAAAAGTCTTATGATGGCGAATTGAATGCGAATAATTCCTACTTTCACGTTAAGTAATGCAGACCAAATTTTTGCTCTTAGAAATGGCGGTATATCAATTCTAGCTTCTTTCTGTAAATCCCTCTGCTTTGAAGGATAAGCCAAAAGAAGCCGGTCAAAAAGTATAATTCTTCGAAACTATAATAATGAAGGAATATTAGAACACTATGAATTGTTATTATTTTTGCATCTAAAAACAAACTTGATATTCAACATCTGCCTCTCTTATTATTCTAGGTAAAGACTCAGACTGATTGAACTCGTTTGAATTTCTTGAACGATTTGTTGAAACTCCAGTTTTTTCTAGTCTATATTAAATAATTTATAATTCAATTTCATTTAAATGTTTTAACGTCTTACTCAGAATTCAAAAGTGGGAAAAAATCTTCTTCTGTTAGATTTGACAATCTCTAAAAAATATTTTAATATGAGATTTCAAAGAAAATAAAAATATAATTTATCAAACTGAAAGGAAACCTTTCGTAGCTGATCCTGAGATAATATTAGAACTGATCCGTCATATAAATTTGATTTGTCTCTCATTTGCCCAGCACTTTCACCTTCTAATGAAATGAATCTGATAATACAAATCGAATTAACAGATAACAAAATTATGTAAAAATAAGTTACTTAGGCAGAGTTGTCACTGGTGGTTCTGGCCTAACTAAGAAGGCTTTTTTGAAAGAATTAATAGCGTCTCCACCTGCTATACACCACAGATAATAAATCTCATCTAAAGTTCTTTCTTCCAGCAGAAAATCTATGATTTAATAAATATAAAAAATTTGTATTTGTTTGGAATATAACAAAAAGCATAAACAATAATTACCCGACATACATTCATTTCCAGCGTTGCATTTAAAGTCAAAGTTCTTCATGCGTGAAGTCGAAGCGAACATGTCATCACGAACATCGAATTTTTCCTTAAAATGAAAAATATATACATTTTCCTTAATTATTATATGGTAAACTCACAACATCCTTAGAAAAGTTTTTAAATAGTCTAAAGTTGTATAACGCCTGAATTTTCGGTCTGTCAGCTGCTGATATTAGCAGGCATTGACGTATAAGCGTATATATTTCGGAAGGTAAGAGCTGGTAAAAATTCTCATTATATTAATATGCTGTATATACTTAATTAGTTTTCAGTTTACTTTAATCTGCTTCTGTTGATTTTCATTAAGATCTTCTTTGATGATAATGTCGAAGGCACTTCCATCTGAAATAGTATTTACAATAATATTCTAAGAATTTCTACTAAAAATTTTTATTAAATACCAAATTTCAAATAAGATAAAATTTTCTTAATAGTTTTTGCAGTCGTAAGCTCTTTCCATAATATTGTACCCTAAAACAAATTAACATACTAATTACAAACAATGAAAAAAGTACTTATATTACGTACTATATAAGCTTCCAATAGAATGAGACCGACAGACCAAACATCCACTTTCGAAGAGAAATTACATATACCAAACTTGGCTTTTGGACCAGCTGCAATTACTTCTGGTGACATATATTTCAACTGTCTATTTGAATTGATAACAAAATATAGTTATTTCAAATATCAATATATTTCAGACAGAATACTAAACCCTATAGGAAATTTAACGTCTTGACCCCAACCAGTAACATAAAAAAGCCCATATTCAAAAAGCTTTACCCTATTCTGAAAAAAAATCATTTTTAGATAATAAATTAAAATGATCACTAGCTTAATACGTTTTCATCAAATAAAATAACGCTTGGCGACAAATTTCTGTTTACAATATCGTGTTTATCTAAATAAACCAGAGAACCAACTATTTCATTAGCAAGACAGCTCAAAAGTTCAAAACTGAAAATCAAGAAAAAGTTTTCAACATATAGTTATATGTTTGATAAAATTTAACATGCTCACTCTCTAAAATATTCACTTTGGTTGTTGATTATCTCCAATAGATTTTTCTCATAATATTCTGCTACAACTACCACTCTTTCTGCAAATTTTTTTGATTTACAGTATTCTTAATAAATCTTTAACTACTGACCATGTTTACTTCGATGAAGAGAAATATACTTGCATAAGTTTGGATGTCGTAACTTAAGTAATTGATGTTTGAACCTTCCTAAAATTTTTATTGAAGTGGGCGTTAATGGTAGTCCATTTGCTCCACATTCATCATTCGAATAATTAATACCACAAAAGGTTTGAGCCCCAAGAAGAGCTTTACCTAGTTTTGGACATTTCATCTTATATTTGGAGAAGAGCGCTCAGCTGTGTTTTCATTCAAGTTAAAGATTTATTTCTGAGAGCGATATTAAGTTGATTGAGATAAAAAACATTGATTTTTCTAAGTAAGCAATAAAATATACTTTGAAGTGCTCTTAGATTAAGCAACTAATGTTTTATAATTAAATAGAATTGTAATATAAGTTGATAAGTCTATCTAGAGGATGAGATAGAAAAAAGTTGAAATTGAACGAATCAGGAATAAATATATCTTACAGGAAGTTGGAATTTTGTCAGTGGCGCCACTGAACAGTTTTGAAACTAGTAAAAACGTGGTTGATACTGTTAAACCCAAACAAATATGCCAAACTCAAAGTAACTTTAATTCTATATTAAATATTATATAATTTGTCCATGGGAATAGCATATAAATTCATAAATGCAGTATAACATTAATTTTTAGTGTATAAACCAATTTTTAAAATATAGCAAAAACATGGCGGCTCTTGCAAATTGTTTTAGAATGTTTTTTCATCATTCGGTTGGGAATAATAGCTTACTTCTAATTTTTTACAGAAAGAAAAGATCTGTTACCAGTTTTGGAGAATTTTTAAAAGATAAAAGACAAAGCCTTAAGGACGGAGGAATGTCCGAAGAGGAAGTTATACAAATCCTGCTATCTGAATTTAAGAAGCTATCAGAAGAAGAAAAAGAAAAGTATGAAGAACGGGCGAAGGAGTCACGTAGAATTCTGCAACAGCGTCAACGAAACAAACGAGAGGCAGAATTTCAAAAGAGGAGAGACCCATTTGAAGTAATCCAAGAAACTTTCGTGCAAGATATAACAGATATGGGAGATAAATTCACCTCTAAAACTGATGTTATGATGACAAAATTCTATTTAATTAATTTCCAAATTCTCTGTCACATGGAGGAAGCCCACGAATCACATCAAACAGGACATATACCTCTGGAAATTGGCTTACTAGAATTTACTTTGAAAGACGGAATTACTAATCAATATCATCAATTCGTCAAATTGGAGGATATACCTTATGGAATTAGTTCATATGGTATAGTGTAACTTTTTATCATAAGGATACGTTGGCACATACATTGTTTCAGCACTGGCACATAGTGAAATTCACAAAATACCGATTCTCCCATGTAAATTTGGAACCAGCAATTACGAAAAAATTACTGAGAAAATTATGAACATGGTCCAATCTAAAGATATGATATTTACTCTGGCTTCAAACGAATTTTGGGATTTCAGAAGCGTTCAAAATTCGCTCAATTGGATTTTTCAGCAAGTGAATCAGGAAAACGTAGTCTTTAACTTGATATTATTGTTATTGTCTAAATCTCAAAAATCAATTGTATTTATTTCAGCTGGGTAACCTAAAAGAATTGGCTCGACTCTTTCAATTTCTAATAACCTTTGCTGAACCTCATTTAAAACCTTCAGTTCAGGATTGTATTTTTAAATTGTCTGATAGTAAATACGAATACAAGCCGGATACTTATTGTTACTATCATTGTGAAATAGATACAATTCACTGTGCACTCGGATCAGGTTTAATAACAAAGCATTAATGTCTATAATTTTGTATACACTAATAGCTATTTTTTTGTTTCAGTTCGCCGTTGGGCCTACTCTCTATTTGAAACATTATGGTACTAATCATTTACTACTTATCCCTTATTAATTGTTTTTTTTCTCATTATAGCCCTCTGTATGGTTGCGAAATAACCAAGAATCATATATTAATTGCCTAATATTAAAATTTGTCATACATACTGTTTTGGATATTTTAGTGCACTACTTATGAAATCAAAATATACTCTTATTTGAGCTCTGGAAACTAAACATTCAAAATTAGGCGCCAAACTATAACCCTCCAGATGGCCCTGCGGTTTGAATATTCGTCGACAACGAATTACACTGTCCATTATAGAAGTAGCAATCTAACGAACATCTTCTCTGTTTTTTCCTTGCAAATTAGCCGGGAATTACACCAATTCTGTTAATTTTCAACGGATTATGTTAGTGAAAATATATTACAGAATCAATTGATAATATCATATAAATGGAAAATGCGTCTTTTCATACTATAATCTTTTTGATGGCTGAGCGATAATATGTTTTCTCATATTCAAAGCTGATTAATTGTTTCTTAAAGTGAATCCGATCAACCTGAGCGAAAAATATGCTATCAAAACTCGAAAAATTTAAGAAGCAGTTCAGTTCAGGTACTGTTTATTTTTCTTTTCTAATTTATTTTTATCTATTATCTAAAAGTTACATGACATTTAAGAGGATTTACCGAAGTATCTTAAGCCCATCTCTAATGTATTAAAGCACTAAATTTCTCTTACGCTTCATAGCCAAATAGCGTGACTGCTTTCCTATTATCGTTTGTCATAAAATATTTTTCGTGTACACGACGAAGGGTGCATAAAAGGAAAACAAATTTCTTTGACAGATAATTTACGAAAGGAACAGTTAAACTCTCAAATAAAACGTGGGAGTCAATAAAATAAATAAATGTTTAACATTCCAAAGGTATGACTACCTTTGATTGAAAGTACGACAAAATTCTATATAAATATTTATTTCACATGTTCTACATTTTGAAGGTTAAAGTGTATAATTCCCAATAGTATTTCAGTTATTAATTGTTTGCAAAAAATCGGTTTTACATTTCTATCATCGGACAAAAAATGTAATTTTAGAAAATTATCTATTATCTTCTGTCAACGTAAAATATTGCTAGTTCTAATTTTTTCAAATTATAGTTTCCAATTTCTTTTCGTTCGAAATATAGATAATGAAAAAAAGCTGTTGAATATTTCTACAGTAGGTCGTTTCCATTTGACTAACGAGACTGATACATAGGTATCTTACCATTATAACAATTATGGTTGTTAATTGCATTAGTGCAATTCTGACATTGATTATCCTTATACTTCTGCAGTTTATGACTTTATTGCTCGATACGTTTTCAATCGACTATATTTTCAATATCATTTTAGAATTAATATATTATTTCGATAGATGCACAATCGTTGACGACCTTTAGGTGAACACCCTATACAGAAGCCGCGAACCGCATCTATAACTAGAAAATATTGTTGAATAGGAGCGAATGATTTTTTAAATCTAGATAAATTGAAAAATCACTTTGTGACAGATGACGAGACTTATACTTAACTGAGTATAAACTTTGAACTTTCGATTATTTCTTACTGTCGAGGGATTTATGCATAAAGTTTTTAGCTAAACTTATATATTTTATATATTTGAATATAAAATATTTAGTATACTATGGATTTAAGCGCATATGCTTGCTCAGTATGTACAATGGATTTTGCAAGTGAGCTCTAGCACTTCTGCGATCAATCAGTGTGAAATTTTAAACGCAGCCTCTTATTTATTTCGGACTGTACTCAAAACCCTAGAGGCGTCTCTCTACACCTCAAAGCTTCGTTTTACTCTACATTGTTAAATTAGAATAATTTCTTGGAATGTACGCTAAGTCTTATACTAGTAGTAAATAGAATAATAATTAACATACGAGTGTACATCATTTATCATACATTGAGCGTCTAACATCTACATTGGTTGTTCAAATGTGTTGTAGAGTGCACTTGAGAGATAAGTGTATATGATATAAAAGTATTTCAATGCATGAATGAGACAAGTGTGTTTCTTCTTTTTGTCACAGCGGAATGGCAATTAACAAGTGCAAGAAAATGTCAGCGTACAATACACATAAAACATTTAAACGCGTCAATTTAATATAACACGTCCCACAACCTTAGCAAGAGTTCATAGCAAATTCACAGATAGCCTGATTTCACTTCTTGCTAATCTTATTCCCGGCTTCAATGAGCTGGATTGATTACAAATATTGTTTGTCAATAAATACGATCGTGCCGCCAATACATAAAGAAGAGAACAGCTTTATTATATACAATCAGGATAATAATTATCGTTGTTGTGAATTATATTTTGTTTAATATTTGACTTCTAACTGCTCTATGGTTTGAATACAAATATGCAGGAAGCCGAAAAATTCTGCGGTTCGAAGCAAAAAAAGAGCGGTATTTTTACGATAATAAAAAAAAGTCCGGATGTTGAGAAAAGGTAAAAAGGTCAGACGGAAAAGCCAGAGCAAATAAAGCGCGCTTGGGATATAGATAAATAGATATTAGGGTTTTGTAACGCCCTCTGCAGAATCGCTACCGAATTTAAGTAATATAGCTCTTTAACATTGGGGCTCTTAGAATTCATAATGATAAACTTGCATTTTGTTATAAATCACGTGTCCAAAAGATTTGGCCTAGATAAGCAGTATGGCAGAACACATCATTTTTTGACTATGCGCTATAAATAAGTGAGGTAGAACGAAAAAGAGGAGTCAAATTTATTTTCGTTTAAATTGTTAACGCTTCCAAAGTTATTTTTGTAGTACAGAATGGCTAGAGGGTGGGCTACCAAACTGCAATACCTATCTAACTACCTATCTATCTATCTATAGTAATAAGTAAGCTAGAGCGGTTAACTGATAAATGGTAAGATAATCTTATCTCTATTGGTCAGTAAAAATGTAGACAAATCGTCTACGGAATTTTTATATTTAATCGCTTTATAATAAAGTAAGGCTGCACAACACTTATCAATACGATTTGGCGGTTCACAATACTGCAAACACACTCTTATTTCATCAATATTTTACATGCGTCATCGTAATCGAAATTCCCTTTCCGACTACCAATACTTCTTATGCCGCCCAGCCACTACCTAATGAACAATTTAAGCGAATTTATCCAGCACTTGTTGTCATACGGACAGCCTACTGACTTGAGCTTTATTCTGTGTGGTCTCATTGACAGTTTTAAAAATCTACTATCGTCCTTAACTTTATTAAACTAATTTGTTACGTTTTATCACCGTATCTTTCTTCACCTCAACAACTAACCTTACCCTTTTCCCTTCCTTTCTTTACCCTGTTTATGTACTTATCTGCAGGGAATGTTTTTACTTGTTTTCCTTTTGTCACGTGACCTTTTCTTTCTTTTCCCAGCTACGCTGGTCAATGTGTTATTGACTGACCGGAACTGGAATCGGTACAAAGTAAATATTATGCTTTATTGTCGATTGACAAATTGCCAAAAAAAGAAAAAAGAGCCACACCTAGTGTCAAATTAGATAGAGGATATATTTATTTTCTTGTCGCTTAAATTTTAATCAAAGCAATTATAATCTGCTAATAAAAGCTTATTACTTTAAAAATCACTCTTTAGTGAAAGCAAGTCATATATTATTCCATACAGAATTTAGTAAATGACATTTTTTGAAGTAAGTTTGTGAAGTAATGACAAACACTTGACCCTTGTTTGTCTGACTTTGCACTGGGCTGAATATAGGCAGATGTTCTTTATCTGAATAATCCATCATAAAAATAAGAAACTTATTCTCCCTTTGATTTCCTGCATCCTCGTTACGATTTATATTAACGACCTTTGCTGAAAACTTGTTTTATCTATTTAAATGTTTTATGACTGGATCTTGTAAAGAGAAAAAAAAACTAAATTGGCATGTACAAGCAGTGTTTGACCCCAGTTTACCCGATTCCCTGCTGAAACAGAACATGAACAGATGTTCCATATCAGACCTCATACACTTTATTTATTTACATTACTTTGCCTTATATATATTTATTATTAGCAACCTCAAAAAAGAAGAAGGAGCAACCACCCGAACTACCACCAAAGCCCAATCCTGCTACTAAACAACAACCGCCTCCTCCAGTACCTCCTTACCCTGCAGAATTAGCCACAGACATTCCAACAAAATACAGTTCCGGAACAGGAGATTATTATCACTTTGCACCTACTTCAATACCCGTAACCTTACCAACTGGTCATTATAAGACCTCTTCGATTGATAACAGTGATGCATCTTTGGGTCACCGCTACCCTCATCTCCAACATACAAAAAGCCCTTCTTTCGATATGGCCTATTCGGCTCCAGGATATCGTGAAGGATACTTGGCTGGGTACAACGATTTAGAGGCTTCTTCTAATAGAAATATTTATGGTGCTAGACCAATTTGCTATGATAGAGTAGAATCTCCAAAAAGTGAGAAAGGTACGAAGAAGAAAAGAGGAAAGCTAACAAAAGCAAGAACCATGCACACGGAACCCGAAAAAGACATGGAGCTGTATAATCTACAACTGACTGGTCAACGCTCCATTTATAGACCTATGAACATACAAGACGTAACCAGGCCAAGAATAATGACGGGGTCTCAAGGGGGTTATTCCACTTGTGGGCGGAATAGCCTAAGTTCGATGATTCCCACTTCGAACTACTTTAAAAGATCTCATACAAGCAGTCCTAGAACAGTCATGGGAGTTTCAAGGAATTATCCTGGAGTTGGTGGAAGTAATAATTTCTTAATCGAGGGAACGCCACCTCATGATCCTCCACCTCCAGACGTAGCTCATCATGATTTAATGACTCAATTGGATGCTGTTTTATCAAAAAAGCCTGTTAAAAATTGTGAAAGAACGACTGCAATAATGAACCATAATAATTCCTTCACATCCTCGAGTTCATACGGAAGTGCAGAATCGGAGAAAGGTCGAGTTTGTGATATTAGCCCTGGCTCTACTTTACATGGTTAGTATTTATTTGTTAAGCAGTATTGTATACTGGTCAATGGTGATTTAGCGCCTAGTAATTATATCAGTCTACTGTACTGATTAATAGCTGCTTTAAGTACTTTTAAAAGCGGAGAATATAAATAAACTCATTGCCCGCCTCAGCTTGATTGAAGTAGGCGTAATTAGATCTAGGAAAATAATTCGCCTAGTCGGTTTTTCTTCAAGTCTCTTTCTCTAGTTTTCTTCCTTCCCGTTTTGACATATCGAGGCAGATGTTCGAATTTAGAACATAGTTGGAACAAAAAATAGTCTGCATTGCTCGTTTAATTCCAGTTTTCAAATACCTTTCAATCGTTACCTGCCTCTTTCTGGATTTTATAAACTAAATTTAAATTTAGCCTACTACGAGTGTCTACTTCCATTTGAAATACACTTTCGTAATCCTAATTAGAATATCTATAAATAAAGTTCGGTTTTTAAATAATCTTATCATTAATATTCACAGATTTCGCTCACATGGAAGTGCAAGCTAATATGATGTCAACTTCCGTCCCAACCGCCCCCCGAGAGATTTTTAATCCAACTTTTAGATCCGCTTCACCGACCCGCTCAAAATTTTCCTCACCCTCTATGTTTTCGATGCAATCGATGCAGAATTCGCTATTTAATTCTGAAAGGTCGTCGAACATCTACGGAAATCGAATTCCTCAAGGGAAATTGCCGTTTAGACCATTAGCTTTCGAAGTAAGCTGTTTATTTCTCGGATATCAATTTAACAATCTAATTTAATTTTATCAATCATTTCCTAGCTATTTGTAATTAATTCTTTTAAAACTTTCAGGTTCCCAAACTGGAAAGGGTTTCGAACTTTATCGGAAGGGAATGGCTATTCAGAGACATCGACGGGGTAGGCTTACATTTTTAATGGGATTTTGCGTGTTACAAGCTGACTTTTCAATGCAATCACACTAATGATTCGCTTAACCACATATAGGCATTAACAAATGAGGATCTGTCAAAGAATCGAGGCGTAATGATAACAGCTAGCGTTGGGGTGGGGAAGACGAGTTTAGCAGAAGTGCTGGTAAATTACAGCTGTAGTGGGTCGCATTTGCCAATGCTAGTCCACTTGAATGGTTTGTTTATTGAATACTCGTGCCTTGCAAAGTGTGCCATTTTAAACGTTTATTTTTTTTTACTAAACAGACAAAGAGCATAATCACACGGGAACTTTAAAGAACAGTACTTCTATACTTTCATCAAGTCTTTCTTTATCATCAAGGGGAGCGATACATGCCTCTAATTTAAGTTTAGCTACATCCTTCGATCCTTTACATTCCCTGGCCAGCCGTTTAGTAGGATATCATTTCTGTCAGGTTAGTGGCCTTTTAAAATAAAACATCTAAATACTTTTAAAGAAAACGGCTCCATTGATGTATCTTATTTTCTACTGTCTTTTTTAGGCTGATAATAGTCCAACGTGCCTGGTTCCTGAATTTGTGCATACTCTAGCCAGTCAATTATCTAGTTCGCCACACCTGGTTGCCTATAAGTCTTACTTATTAGCTGAATCAAAAAACCAGGACATACTCTCCTTAGAATCTTGTACAAAAAATCCATCCAAAAGTTTGCTGCAAGGCATACTAGAGCCCCTCAAGAGGCTCGCTGTTGGAAGAAAGATAAACGTTGATAACTATTATATAATAATAATTGATTCTCTCTCTGAGGCAGAATATTACAAACCTGATTATGGCCAAACTATTGCTAGTTTGTTGGTAAAACATGCTTTTGATTTTCCTGTTTGGCTAAAGGTTATAGTAACTGTAAGGACAAATTATGGGGAAATTGGTAAAGATTTACCATATACTAGAATTCATATGGATAAGGCGATGGAACACTTGTACAAAGACACTTTTGCCTATACTTCTTATAGAATTCAGCATGCTACTAGTCTACAGCAAAACATTTTGAGTGGCGCTCAGTTAGATTGCAAAGATATGAATAATTATGAACCCTTTATAAATCACATTGCGGTTGTTTCAAAAGGTTGTATGCTATATGCAAAAATGATATTGGACTTGATACAGTGTGGAAAATTGACTGTAAAAGCATCTTCGTATAGAACTCTACCTCAAACTATCACTGAAATATATCAGTTACAATTTAATCTTAAATTTACAACAGTTAGAGCCTACGAAAGGGTTGTTATGATATTAAATACTTGTTCAACCTCTCTTTACCCGCTGACTGTTCAAGAAGTTAGGGAGTGTATTAATAGTTGCTTGTACAATAAAATTGTTGGATTAGAGGATATTTTTCAAGCTATTCAAGATCTTGGTGAATTTATTGTTAGTCGAAAGTGCGATGAAAGACTACAATTCGTTCATCAGAGTTTCAAAGAATGGCTAATTTCGCTTAGATCCGACTCATCGAACCCTAGTCGCTTTGCTTTGGATTTAAAGTAAGTAGTAAAAAACGCTACTAGCTGATGAATATAATAATATAACTCATTTTTCAAAACAGGAAAGGCCATGCTGCCCATGCTTTGAGGTTAAGTAGGTGCGCAAAGGCCTTACCTCTGAAAGCTGCTCTATCCCTTGAATTAGGGCATCATATTCTAAAAGCTCATATTTATAAAAATTTAAGTAAATCCTTAGGGTTTAACACTAGGGATACCCAAGCTTTCTGGTTGACATTAAGCTCCGAATCCTTAACGGCCGCCTTATCGCATCTTTCAAATGTCTATGCTCCGAATGTTAAGGTTTCTCGGCTGCTACTTTTGGCAGGAGCTAATCCCGATGCCCTGATAAGCGGATCGCCTATGTTGTGCATTTGTTCAGCATTGGGCTATTTTGAGATGGTGAAAACTCTTTTGGAATTTGGAGCTACCATCAATTCTAGCACAGATACTGGAGAAAGTGCTCTTTGTTTAGCAGCGTGTAATGGTCACGTTGACGTTTTAAGATTGTTATTAAGTCAGAATGCTAGGGTATGTTGAATTGGTTTCGAATAAATGCATGTAAAATTACATTTCTTTATGCCAACAGTTGATCCACAAGGACGATAAAAATTATTGTGCCCTTGTTCATGCTTCAGCTAATGGACACTTAGATGCAGTTTCACTGCTGTTACAATGTGATTGGTCCAGTTTCGGTAATGATATTCTCCTACAGAGACTTCAGTGTGCTCTAGTCTCAGCATCTTCTGGAGGTCATCGCAAAATAGTTGAATATGTACTAAATTGCAAAGTCCTACCTCCGGGTCAAGTATTAGATATCAATGCTACTGATCAGTTACAACAAAGCACTGCTTTATCCAGTGCCTGCCAGTATGGGCATCATGCTCTTGTTGATCTTCTTTTGAGCAAAGGAGCCCGAATAGACGTTCTAAACGGTGATGGTGAGAGTTCTCTCCTTGTAGCGGCCAAAAATGGGCATTGGCAACTATTAGAAAAGTTTCTGATGGACTCTAGCTGTTCCATCGAGGAAAGAAATAACAGAGGAGAGACTGCTCTTATGCTCGCAGCTGCAAACGGACATGTTGGAGTTGTTGAAGTTCTTTTAGAAAAAGGCGCATCAACACTAACCAAGGATCTCAAAGGACAAACATGTCTGATTCATGCATGCCGTAACAATCAAGTATCGGCTTTGAGAAAACTTATTCAGGCAAAAGTTGACTCAGATGTCGTTGATAACAATGGCTGCGGTTTATTACATTTAGCGGCCGCTACAAAAACGCCTTCCTCTGAGATGGTAATATTTTTCATTTAATTTTTCCATATTCACAAGAGAATAAACTATTTAACATTATTCATATTCTAATTTGTGTTTAGATGGATTACTTGTTGGAACAAAATTGTAATATGGAAGAGTCAAATAACGAAAATCTACGACCACTTGATGTTGCTGTAAAAGAAAAGAATGTGTCAGCAATTGTAGCTCTATTAAGGAAGGGGGCTAAGTTATCGAGTGTTACTTGGTCTTTAGCAGATGGCGAAGCTACTCTGCTCCTCTTACACAAATTACTGCAAGATGCTCACATTTTATATAAGGTAGATTATATGAAATAAGAAGAAAATAATAACCCATGCAGCTGATTCTTATTAATCTCCCTGATTACAGAAAGGGCGAATCGAGGAAGCTGAGCATCGCTACAACTATGCCCTTAAAAAGGCTACCCCTGCTACGGCTGAAGAGGATAATAGCCAACTCCATGAACTTCGTTTCCAGATATTACTCAATCTAAGTAGATGTAGAAGGAAAATGGATGTAAGAATAAATAAATAATGCAAAAGTCTTTTGTATAAATGAAATATCATTTCAACAGGATCCCCAAACGGCAATTGAATATGCAACGAAAGCTGCCCACCTCTCACCGTCTAGCTTTGAAGCTTATCAAGAACGCTGTAGGGCTTACAGAGACGCAAGACACTTGCAAGCAGCAGTGGCCGATGTCCAAATGGCATTATCCATTGCTCCGTATAATGAACGATTACGTCATTTGCTGGCCGCTTTGGAGCGAGAGGCCGGCGATGAACGCTCTACGGGAGTTCCCGACATAGTTCCTCTAAAAGATGCTTTTTAGAACCAATAAAACTAGCGAAAGTATAAAAATACTTTCAAAAGTGAGCTATAAGTGAGCTAGTTAGTTTACTAACTTTTTTCATTTTTTTTACCGATAATTTTTCTTTACGCTACTGCTATATAGGATTGAATACTTTTTTTTTAATTATAGATACCAAATAAAAGGCTTTGTAAATTGTCGTTCGATTATTGATACTTGATTGGTAATAATGACAAAAAAGATTTTGTGTTAAATGGCAATATGTTGTATTAACTGCTATACAAGAAAGGATTTTTATCGTTCTTTATGTTTACTTTTTGAGTTAATCGATAATCGACGTCATTTTTATTTAAGAAGAAAATTTTCATTTACTCGGTATTTCTATTGTGCAGTAGATGTTTATTATTTATTCTATGTTTAGATTGTTATTGTCTATGCAGATTTATTTATGCTATATTTATGTTGTTGATATATTTTTTATTATAACTTGAAACGTTCATTGGTGCTCACCTCAATTAATGATTGTAATTTTTATTGATGCACCCTATACATTTAAATGTCATTTTTATCTCGATTTAAATCTCTTCTTTCTCCTTTCTTTGTACAGTTTTTTCATCTGTTTTCCTCTGGCTAAATTTTCACTTAGTTTTAGAAAGAAGAGCAACTTAAAAAAGTTGACACTACTAATAGCATTTTCAAGCGAAATAAAAGTGCGTATTATTAAAAACTACTTTAATGAGTAAATTAAAAGTTATTTGATTATTTATATATTTGCTGGTAAAGAGCGATTGAAAATTCTGCAGTTAGAAGAAGAAAAAGAAGAAGAAAAGTTAATAGCAAATTTAAGAGTTTTTTAATCGCCTTTCGTTGAATCCAAAAGTTCATGACGTTCACTTTCAATTTGATCGTAAGACACATATTTGTAAAAATATGCAAGTGTACCAAATAATAAGGTTACAAAAATCATCACAAAGGCAAAAAAGAAAAATTCAACAGCTTGATTCTCAAAAAATTTTCCTTCGGCTACAATGGTTACAATCAAGTTTCCAAATGCAGTTGCGGACAGCCAGAGAGCTTGAACGACTGATTTCATGCTAGATGGCGCCTGTAGTATGGGACGAGAGAGAGAGAAAAGGAAAGGAGTATTTTCAATAAAGTTTTAATAATGCTTTAAAAACTAACTTGAGAATAGGCGAAAGATAATCCCGTAATAGAGAATAATATTTCAGCCGCAGTTATGATAACGTATTGTGGTACTTGCCACCCAATTGATAACTCATTTGGCTCCAAGTCAGTGTGAACTTCAGCTATCATCTATATTGAAAAAAGAGAGTGAAGAAAAAATACTATATAAATATGAAAGTATATATAAATTGTATATAAATAGAAGCTTTTATCAATGATTCTAAAATGTTAATTAAAAATTTCTATATAATTTCTTTACTCAGGAAAATTAGAAAATTTCCAATATGCAAATAATTATAATTATAATCTTTTTCAATTAATAAGTGCAGTATGGCATAGAGGAATATTACTATATTATTAATTACAGTATATATATATATATAAATTTATATACAATCTACACAGAGAGTAATTACTTCGCATTCTAGTTTCTGATCAGAAAGCATACAGATATTGACGCGTTATGATCAATGTACAAAAAAAATTAAAGAAATAAAAAAGAACTGAAATCTAATCAATGCCTAAAGCATGGCTGTGATGTTTTACATATTTAGAATATTTCACATGTATATATTGATCTCTCACCTTGTTATCTGATTCATTCAGCATACTTCTAAATAGTAGAATTGTGTAAGCACCCCCATTTCGAAGGTTTATACTTTCTGGAATAATAATTGTCTCGTTGTCTAGACCATAAATTCTTATTTTATGCCTAAGGAAATAAAAAATATAGCTTTCTACCTTAAATTGATAACCTTATATAAATGAATATAAACAACTAACTCTCCGGGCTGGATTTCCCTATTGGGTGAAGGCTCAAAAGCAGTCACGTTAAACTGATCCATTTGGGAGTTTTTTTCTAATATTACCTCCGTTTCGGGATTAACTTTAAAATCAAACACGATTATCCTATATAGAATAAAAGTATTCGTTAATAATATTACACTTACACCCTAATCAAACAGCTTTTGCTATTTAATTAATAAAATATCAAGGTTAAATAAACTATTGATGTAAGGTAAACAAGTAAAAATTGACTATATTACTTTACAACAGCACCTCCGTCTTTTGGTTTTTCTTTTGATTGAAGAAACTTTTGCGGTAAAAAAAAAAGTAATTTGTTAACACAAGTGTTTCGGTTGGATGGAAAATTCCATAATCCCTACCGATTTTGCTAATGATTGAGAATCGTTTTTTCCAATAATAACATAATATCTTTCGCCTCCCTCAAACATACTTGAAAATCGGGATTCCGCAGCTTTACATGCTGGAGCCGCTTCGATAATCATTGAATAATTCCCAGCTGGTAGGAAGGCGTCTCTTAGCTTTATATAATGAAAAAAGTATAAACTTTTCATTTATGATAAACCTTTACCATCTTTTTTGCTAAGAAGCTTACATTATTGATTCCTCCAGTCATATTGAAAGGTTCACTAGAAATCCCGTTTATTGAAATTGAGCAGGGTGCTGTATTGATAAATCTGACATTTGTTTGGTTGTTTGGAATCTTTGGCGGTAATGATTTCTAATAATTAAAGGGAGAGATAGAGAGCAAAGGTTATTCGGAGAGGTTATTTCAAAAAGCTTATTACTGGATATAATGAGATAAATACCTGTAAGTGGATCTCCAGGAATCCAGCTGCGAAAAAGGCTACAGCGGCCAACAACATACCGCTGCACATTCTTTGAAGAGGTCTATCAATATTTCATTAATATAATATTACGATTACTAAAAAAAATTAGTTAAAATTATGTCAAACCTATTTGGAATCTTTAATTTATCCAGCAATGGATATATAACCAAATCAAAAAATGGAATAAACATTAGTATTAACGACGCATTGATTGCTTGGATTTGATCAGGTTTTAAATTGCCTAAAGGACCTAAGCTTAAATTCATTCTGGCCGCCTGGAATGTCCATCGCGATCCTTGTTGATCGTATAGAGCCCAGAAAATGGGTAAGGGTAGAAATAAAAATCCCACTCTCAACACAGCTTTAACATCGGAAATTAGCTCTGGCTGTAAAGTATTTTATTAAATAAATAATCATATATTTCATTATTATTTTCAAACAACCTCGTATTTGTCTTCGGCATAGTCTAACCAATGCTTCTTTCCTTCCTGTTTCCCTCGAATTCGATTACGAAAGCCCCTCTATAGAGAAAAGGGGGAATGAGGGAAAAAAGACAATAAAAGAGATTGATTTATAAAAATTATATTATATAAAATGAATAAATGTCATATTTTATAACAAACTAACCCAACTTATACTTATTAATTGGCCAATAACATTTCCAGATGGTGGGAATTTTTTATAATAATTACCCCCAGCAAAAAACAGTACTAATAAAAGAGAATTAAATAAACATGAATGAATATTTTATCCCTATTGTATTAAAATTGTTTTTCATTTAACATTAGAGTGTTGTAACTCACTTATTGATAAAAACATTAGAATTGCGGGCAAACCGAAAGCCAAAAGGTAACAGTCTTTACCAAAACACGAAACGTTGGCTATAAACAAAGAAGATTGTAAAAATAAATAAAATCATGAGAAATTTAATTCGGTTTTAATGAGTATGTAAGAGAAGATAGTTAGGAAGAAACCAACCTCGTAAGATGGGCGTAAGAAATATGCTTATGAAACTTCCCGCATTTATCAAAAAGTAAAAGATGGAGAAATATAATTGTCTTTGTTGTTGTTGGGATTCGCTAAACTGATCTCCTCCAAATGCCGATACACAAGGTTTTATACCTCCCGTTCCTACACCGATAATTAATAATGCCACTATCGGACCAGGACTTTTTAAGGTTGAAATGAATAATTTATAATATTTATCTATAATAATATCATCTCATTTTGATAACTTACATTTCTGAGGGAGGAATAGCTGTAAGGGCAAGAACAGCATTTCCAATTCCATAGAAAAGTGACATATATAATATAGTTCTAAAAGATTAATAACCCTTAATAGAAGTATATTTTTAGAACATCTTTCCACATTTACCTATATTTTCCTAACCATCCATCAGCTAGCATGGCACCAAAGAGGGGAGAAAAGTAACAAACCATGACGAATGTATGATATATTGCAGTTGCACTATTCTCAGTTAGGTGTAAAAAATTTTTCAAGTAGATTACCAAAATAGCTATATTTATTATTTATAATAAAAAAAAATTAGGAAAATTTTAAGGTTTATCCTCCATTAGAAAGGAAGATCTTTATATTCTTAAGAACACTACCTCTTAATCCATAATAAGAAAATCTTTCACAGAATTCATTTCCGCAAATATAGAGTATAGACTTTGGAAAACCTTTGAATAGTCCTTTAGAATCCTATTAAGAATGTTAAGTTAATTAGATTAAATATTTTTATCACTTATTTTCAATTTCTCTTTCTCTCTTTCTCTCATTGAAATTGACTTATGCATTGAAATAAATAAGAAAGATCCTAAATTTTTCTCTCAGATTTCAAGCTTAGACTATATTTCAGGACAATCATTTCTTTCTATTGTTAAGAAGCATGTTAAAACAGTAAAAAAATTCCCTTACTTTATTATTATCTTTTATTAAATTTTTTGCCTCTTTTTTCTTCGTTTCTAGTTCCATTCTGTACCTATATGCTATTTCGTCATCTGTATCGTCGCTACTTGTCATATCCAAATAAAGAACCAAATGTTTACAACGCTATTGTGATTGCATTTATCACATATTTTCCTCTTGTTGTAACCCGTAGTAGCTTTATTATAGTTTAAAAATTGAAAAAAACTACTTAGACACCTGAATACTTTTATCTCAGAATGAAACTAGTGTTAATTAGATTCCATAAACCAATCAGAAATTTAATAATAAATTTTGGCCTTTTATTAACCCTTTTAGGCCTAATGCAGAGGGCGCGCTATTGACAAGTACCGCATTCTCGGATTTTATAACATAATTTGTAAATGAACATTTTCTCCTTTATTTTAAAAAAAACTATGTTTAGTTAAAAAAAATTATTTTTGTATTTCTCTTTTTTAAAGACCAGACACAACCGGAAGTATCTAAGTCTCGCGCATTTTGGTTTAAACACTTCTGAAACAAAGTACACATTATAGTGACAGAACGTATTTGTGCTGAAAAATTGGACTATCCAAATACGTTTATATATTTTTCGAATAATCCCTTCGTAATCTTGTAGATTAAGTGAAGTTATGGAAAATTTTGAAATACTGAATATTCATATCGACTGGAGACTTTTATGCGCCATTTTTTCTCCATATTGAATTTCGTTCTGGTTTGTTTTGATAGCTCGGAAACTGATTAATTTACTAACGGATATAATCGAATAAATGGACAATACGTCCATTATAACGCAGGTGAATAGGGATGAGGAGCAGTTCGGACCATATGGAAGTTCAAGTAAATTTTTCTTAATTTTGTTCGTACCCTAGCACTAGGAGTGTTTGACTTGCTAAGAAGTGTAAATAAGATGTAAAATTCAATCGTAATATACGTTCTCGCAGTGAAAATCGGGTATTTTCATTAAAATTTTCCAAAAATAGGCGCCAATCAACTGGCAGTCGAAGTGAATTTTGAACCTGATAGGAAAGAATTTATTGATTTCACAGCTCTTTTTTGAGATAACACTCGATTGATGATAAAGGTGCATTGCTAGAATTTGCAATTTAGCAATTCAAACTAAAATGTTAAGCGCACCAGTTAAGTTATATCCAACTTTTACTGCAACGTCGCCACGCCCATCTTCGAATAGCATATGTACGTTGTATTCATTTTATTTAACCACTAACAATAGCTTGTTCTATTAGATAATTAGTTTTATTTGATCTATAGCAATTTGCCGAATTTCTTATTTCCTTTTTATATTTTATTACTATCATATCATTGTTTGATGTATGGCTTTCCTTACGTTAATTAGTTAGGATGAAAAGTTTATAGGCTATTTGCAAAAATTCTGCCGCTTTGAATAAACACAGTGAAAAATTGAGCCTACATATTTGAAGGTTCACCAGAATCGATAAAAGCGATTGGCTTTATATTAAGTTAGCTGCGCGACAGTTTAACAATTGAATATATTCAAATATCTATTTTATGCGACACATATTCTTATATATATATATATGTCAGGAGCAGGCTTACAATTTTAAGGCGATGTTTTCTTTCAAAAGTATGAAATACAAGACTAGGCCTTCCCTTCTAATTTATTTAACAGCAGGCATCTTATACAAAAATAAATGTTGTTTTTTTAATATTATTTTTATGAATATTTTAAAATAAAAAAAATTGTTCTATTGTTTAATAAATAAACAATAGAAATGCTTCGTTTTTATCTTCATGACCCGTTTTTCTTTTTAATAGTGCCACTTTCTACTACAACACCAAAGCAGACAAAACCAAGAAGTAGAAGTTTCTGGCGTTCTCTATTTACTTGCTGCACGGGCCGTAATCAAACGCCCGACCCGGCTACACATCAACCAAATGGACATGCAGCAGTAGGTGTTTTTACTCAAAATATTTTGCAGTTTGTACTTCTGGGATTTTTCGTATTTTACAGCCGAGTCAGATTCGGCCCCTTCTTGGACCTCCGAGACGAGATGATACGAATAAGAAGTGTGTAATTATAGACTTGGACGAGACATTAGTTCATAGCTCCTTTAAAGTATAAAATTTCTTCCTATAAATTTTATCTCTGAATCAACTGTTGAAATTTTCTAACAAGATATTTGTTTATAGCCCGTACAAGATGCGGATTTCATTGTACCTGTAGATATCGAAGGAACAGTGCACCAAGTTTATGTTCTTAAAAGACCATATGTGGATGAATTCTTGCAAAAAATGGGACAACTTTTCGAATGTGTCCTCTTTACCGCCTCTCTAGCTAAAGTAATTTGATTACCAATCAAGGGCTTTTGGTCTTATCTCTTTAATAAATCTTTAAATTTCGTTTCAGTACGCTGACCCCGTTGCTGATCTGCTAGACAAGTGGGATGTATTTAGAACCAGGCTCTTCCGCGAATCCTGTGTCTTTCATCGCGGAAACTACGTTAAAGATTTAAGTCGTTTAGGACGAGAAATTGAACAGATTGCTATTGTCGATAATTCACCGGCATCTTACTTATTTCATCCTGATAATGCTGTGAGTGGAAAGAATGATTTATTAGCTCGTATTTTAGTCAAGTGAAGAGTATTAAGCTTTAAAAAATGTTGTTAACGATTTAAATACCGTTGATCATTAAATTTGTAACGAAGTTGTTACGAGGCAAAAATGAAAAGAATTATCACGTGATAGGAAACTATTATGTATGATTATGAAGCATATCACGTTACCTATGCCCATATTAAAGTTTATTCTACTTTATTTTCTCAATCACAGATCCCAGTGGCTTCGTGGTTCGATGATTCAGGTGACACGGAGCTTCTAGATTTAATACCATTCATGGAAGGCTTAGCAAAAGTAGACAATGTTATCGAATTTTTAAAGAATGCGAACCATAATATACCTCACGCATCGCACTCCAATGGAACATCCTAGCAAAAGAAGCAACGCAACCTCTTTTAAACTTACCCTTTCACCGAATATTTGTAAATATGGATAAAAAGGAAAAGCATTTGACTTTTTTTACTACTCTACAAAAAATAATAACTTAAATCATCTCAGTGCCTGAAGTTTTGCGGATCAAAAATTAAAAAAAAACACAAAAAAATTACTTACCAATTACCTTGGAGTAGCAGTCTTTTTTCTACCTTCTCGACGCATATCAGTGTATTAATATATAAGACTGTTGAGATGGATTGAAAAAAGAAAACTTTAACACACTTTGGTGCTATTTGAAATTTGTGCTGCATCAATCTGTCAGAAAATTGACTGATATTTTTTCATGAATGCTTCTTTTTGCTCAACTGCTGCTAGCCTTTACTCCTGCAGGTTGTTATTTGAAAAGAAGAACTGTTGTTGGATGTTTTCTTTTTGTGATTAAATGCATAATGCATCGTTAATATGATGCATTTGATATTTTAATCAGGAATGTTTGAGAGAGTGTATAGCCTAGAAAAGTCCATTATTTTTGCAAAAAAACGGCATTATATTTTTATAAGTACCTACAGCCACGAAACAAATATACATACAACTGCATGTATACTTTGTATTTATGTATACAAACATGTATATGCATATTTATATACATGTCTATGTACCTTTCAAGCTTAATTATACTAGTAAGCGAATTAATCGTTTATAATCATACTGTTGGTTTTTGGAGAAGATACTTTTGTGAAGCTTGAAATACCTGTGATACAAGAATTGTCAAGAATTCAAACTTTCAATGTGGCTGCGGTTTTTTATTAATATTTTATATAAGAGACTTCGTTGTAGAATAATAGATAATAGAAGAATTCTTTCATTGGAGCCCTGTGTCACTTGGCTCGGAATACCTTTAAAAGTATCCCACACAAAAGTAACCGCTCCATATTTCTGAATTGCTCGTCAAGGATTCCGTTTTATAGTTATTGCTTACAGTTTTTTTTAACCGCGAAACAAGCAAGTGTGATTTTTTAAACTTTTATTTGTTATGTTATTTTTCCTAATTAAAAGGTTGCTTTTATTACTTGATCATTTAACAAAAGAGAGAACTTTCATTGATTCATTATATTATTACAGAGAAAAACATTTTGTTTATTAACTTAAGTTCTTTTTAATTTTTTCAAAGCAAACTTTTTTCTATGAAAAGGTTATAAACAACATTCACTTAAGTTGTTGATATACAGATATATATATATATGTATTTATATGTATACTGTATATATACATATATGAACCAAATAAAATAGTTTTAGGAAGCTCTAGATAAAAGGCATGTAAATTATATAAAAATGGAATATACGTTTTTCTCATATTAAGAGAATAGGCTCTTTCAAGTAAATCAATATGCTTTCTTAATTAGTGCAACTACATTTTTTGTCTGCATTTATAAAAAGAGTTTAATAATATGTAAATAGATGTTTCAAGTATAAGTATTTTTGCAATGAAATTTTAGACGCTGTTCGTTGAAATTATAGAGAAAACGTTTGAGGGCGCTCTTCCCCAAGTATACTACCTGCAGAATTTTCTCTTATTTTATCTGTAGTTGGTACTGTGATGATTAATAAGTTTGATCTAAACTGAATAAAAATAATTTTTATCATTACGTATTCTTTTCTATTAAATAAATTTTTATTTAAAAAACAAAAGCAAAATTGATCTTTAAAATAAAATATATTACGAAGCTCATTAATTTACTCAGTCCAGATGGCGCCTCAACTGGCTGCAGTCGGGGCTTAAGCGTCTTTTCGCTGTTCGCGACGCCCCTTTATTACAAACCGTACTTATTGCATTTCGGACTGCTGCAGTATTCTTTTCCGGGTAAGTAAAAATCGATATACAACTATATTTTTTATTTAGATATATATATATATATATATATATATATATATATAGTATTTTTAACAATTATCATTAGTTTCGGTACATATAGTTCTTACACAATGCCTAAAGATACAACGAGTATATATGCTTTTATAAAAATGAAACTATAGATAAAATGTATGTGTACAACTCAAGATACTTTAATACAGGCTCTAAAAAGGCTAGAATAATGCGTTGTATAGTCGGAGAAGAAACATATTTAAGAGAATCTTCCTTGGCTTAAATTTATTTCTAACTATTGCTGTTTTATTTATAATTCGTAAATAGGGCAAGTAATAAAAATTTAAATTCATCTATCAGATAAAGTACGTAGACTTTGTTATATACGCGTAATGTATTAGAATATAATTTAGATATTGTATAGTATAAACCCCACAACAATAATTGGTATAATGAAAGATCTGCACACGAACGAACATTTATGTTGTGCTTTATATATATATATATTCTCACGCACAGTATATGCAGATAGTAAAAGGTACAGAGGAGAACGTAAACTTTCATTACGGTAATATTATCTCGATTTTCGTATAAAATTTTTCTCGAATTTAGGAATCATAGGCCAAGGTCTATTGCGGAAAGAGTAAAACGCTGTAGTTTCCGCGAATAGCATACTAGCGCAGCAACACACGAGTTTACAAAAAGCATCATTCATCTAAATCGACGAAAATTACATAAATTCTTATTGAAGGTGTTCTAAGATATTTATTCACACTATGTTTTATATATTTGATATTGTGATATACATATTGCACGGTTTTGGTGCTCTCACAATAAACAAATATATAGTGCATACAAGATAATGTATTCTGTACATATAAATAGAGATTTATACAGTAAGATGTATATATTAGAATATATATATATATATATATATATTAATATTTGTCTATCCAAACATATATATTTTTTTCTTTATATAAAAGCCCATTGTATTATTGACGTATTTTTTTTTATCTGCATCTATAAAACACAAAAAGCTGATTTATCAAAACGCACCCGAAAATATCGATTTGCGCATCGATTAAACAAAAAAATAAGGCATACCTCGGACAAATCTTCCATATTTCCATTACAGTCACGAAGTTTTACGTCATACACAAAATAGACGGAGTCGACTCAGTACCAATGAGTACATATGACGCTTCTTTCTCAGTATTTAAGCCTATTATCCACTCTAGAGCGACGGGCGAACAACGTTTACGTAAGAGTACTATTTTTTTCAGCGTTTCTCCTCCTTTCAGTTAACGATTCCTAATAGCCTCGCCGTTAAGTTTCTAAGGTTATAAATCACGTCCCAATCGTGTATTTTTCTAGCACATTATTGTACTCATAACCGACAATAAGAGATGGATTAATGTAGGAATATGATTGACGATGTCATTAACAGTATCCTACGTTTACCACTGCAATAGTTAGTGAATCGGTGACTAATTGATGCAACTTTTATATAATTTATCATTCTCTCATTTGATACTAGTTTTCCGTAGCCGTTGCGCTGAATGATAATTAAGTATGGTAAAAGGTTGTTATAATTGAATCTTGTAATATCCTACTTCCCATCCAGTAGTTTAATCTATTTCTTCTTTTCTCTCCTATCTATCATAGAAAGATAATTACAACTGATTTTGATATTTCCCAAGATGATAACTCCCCAATGAAAAGAAGTAATTTCTAATAAAACTCATTTAATAAGTCTTAAAATCATTTAGGAATGAAAATTTTTTTGCTGATTACGAATAATTAATGCAAAAAATAAACGAATTTATAAAAATAGAAGGGGAAATGAATGTGTCTGATGCTGTCCTCAACAGATTAATTTTAATTAATGGTACACATTTTGTCGTTTGTTAGGACTAAGAGGAAGCATCAACTTGGCCTGAGCATATTGTTGTATAAATAAGTTAAAATTTCCCAACAATCATGCTTTATAAATATATTCTATATGCCTTTCGTATAAAAAGTAATCTATGGTATTGCTTTCATGCAACTTAATAAGTAGTGATAGATTGGCCCAATGATCAAGTTAAAAACTAACCTTTCTGGAAAAACTAACACGTATTATGAAATTATGTAATCTATACTGTCAATGAAACAAAGTACAACCGGAAAGTAGTTCAAAGCGAAGGATGTAGGACGCACGTCTTAGTCTGTAATAATTAATGTGGTGACGTCATTGAAATCTGTATTTTTTCTGCAAAATTCCCAAACGATTCTGCAAAATTCAACACTGACTTTTTTCCCATAAACACTCTCGTCTTACCGATAACGTCGCGCATCAATCAATCAAGCCGCAATAGAACTGCAAATTTTCTGGTTCTTTGCAGTAAGAGACGGCCTCCTATGTAAACGCGACGCCTCAGCTTATTTACATAGAAAACAGAAGCGGTTTTATAGAGCGTTTAATGGAAGGCATTAATTAAGCGAATTTGGCTTTGTAAACAAGCTATAGATGAAGTCCTAGTCGTATTCCAGTCACGAACAACTACTGCAAACATTCTCAGTGAATTACGCTTAGAATTTCAGAGATCAAAGGCAGTAATATTTTTTCGGCGAAAAAATTGCAACACAGTTTTAATGAGTTTAGCCGTTGGGCGTCTCTTACAAGTTAATCGAAACAAGGTTTTTCTAAGACTATTTCTCATAACTGTCAATAAATGGTACACGATAATCGAGATATGAGTCAAAGGGTAAAAAACAATTGAAAAAACAAATAAATAACACAAAAGCGGAATAAAAAAACCAATATTGTCTGTTGTGGGAAATTTTTAATAGATGACGCTGTTCAAATTAAACATCTCCAGGAAAATATTTACATATGCTAAACTTCCTCAAACATTTACAAGTACATTTGCACTGCGTGTGTTGTGAACTCTGGATGATTATGAATGATTTTCCTATCGATCAATAAGGCTTTAAGAATTTCTTAAGATATATGTATATAATACATATTGCATGTTAAATATGATATACACTAGACTTGTCATCCATTTATTCATCTCTATCTATATATCTATATATATATATGTCAATATGTATTATACCCTGTAAATCTATTTATCGTATTAAACTGTTTAGGGTATATATGAGTGTCATTTGTCTATATTCATTCAAATCAAAATAACACTACAATTTAAACATGTATACCATATGCTTAAGGATATATCTACAATAGCAATTTATGTACAAATGAAGCATAAAATATGTGGGCGAAATGTGTGTGTGTTTGTCTATAGGTAATATATTTACCCACATACTTATATATATAGTTATATATCTTAAAATAAACAATTCTATTCATAGGTATTAAAACGATATGTAGCTTCTTAGTTTATCGATTTATCATATTTATACAGTCGTTGCTATTCATAATTTACACTACCTTGGCGGGTTTGTAGGCTCTTATTGTTAAGAGCATCTTCCTGAATTTTTCCAGAGTATTACGATTTCCCTGTTGAAATTATAGTACGAATAGGAAAAAACACTGTTTAACCAGCTCTGACTTCAATAATGCACAAGCTGTTTTTTTTTCGTCTTTATTTTCCATAGACCTATAAATAGGGTAAAGATCCAGTCCCCTTTTAACCCTTCAAACTTCTCGACTCCCTCCATTTTCTATTAAACCTGAAACAAAAATTATAATTTAAGAGGATAATGAAAACCTATCTGGTTTTCTTTTGTTAAAACTGATTTAGAAAACAATAAACGACGTACTTTATATCCACTTGTCCTTAATTATGTCACGAAAGGGAATGTTAATGAGCTTTCTCACGAATACATCCCTCCGAGGTTTTCGAGTTACAGAAGAATTTTCTGATGGAGCAAAACAACGAATTTAGACTTATAATCAAAGAGAAAAGCTTGATGCTTAGCCGAGTATTTATTCCTGTTGTCACGCGATAGAAGCCGGTCTTAATTTATAGCTTGATGATATATTTATCAACGATAAAACTCATGCTGAAATTGTTCTATCTATACTCTTTTCCTTTCTATATTTAAAAATATTCTTATCCGTAAATGCGTACTATTCACATGTACATCTATATTTTAATATATTTGACATATAGCAATTCATTTGAACACACATTAAGACAATAAGTAATATTGCATATTTTAGTTATAAAACTCATTAAAAGCAGCTAAGAAAATACTTCTAAGCTGTAATAGGTGCAAAGAATTGACGGAATCCAAAAATTAATAGATGAGAGCTGAACTATAGCCATACGGATATTGTTAAGCCTAAGGATACTAATAAATGACATCAATTTTAGCTTACGTCCAAGATCGAATATCTCATTATTCCTTTAAGCTTTTCCCAATCATTTCAAATTACCTACAATTATTAATAATCCTACATTAAAAGCATTAATATCAATTACATCATGTCTCTTTGCTTCGTCTAACTTTAATGAAAATCAATCTAACATCCCTGATAAAATAAATCGATTGAGTAGTAAATCTTCTTTTTCTCTTCTGTTTTCTTTTGAAGAAAAGTTCTAAAGGTTAGAAAGGCATTGAAATATTTCCTTTGCCATTAACGTGTACTTCCGGGGCCGAAATGTGCTATTAAGTCAGTTGAATTACGGCTATTTGGAACGATGGTCTAAAAATTGCATAGATAAACTTATGTATAATGTTTTGACCATAGTCTAAAGTTAAGCTTTTTCGGAGATACTATTCTGTAGTATTACTAACCAAGGTCGTTTAAAGTTAGAACAACTATTTTTAAAGCGTTAACGAGTTTATCTGCCGGATGTTCCATTGAGATTTGCGAATTACAAAAGATTTATTGTAGCTTATAGCTGCAGGGGTAAGAGATTTATAATGAACGTATAGAAAAACTAAAAGGGAAAAGTGGCCAATAAGTTAAATTCTTTGTAAAATACAAGTCATCTTACATTACTTACAACCAGTATATGTAATTTCTTTGTTGCAATCTTTTTCCTATTTTTAACAAGCTTTCCTTTCAACTGTATAATTAACCGTAAGAAAGATCAGCTGGAAAATTGGTTGAAAGACTGACTATTTTTTTTAATCCAAATAAGAAAAGGAAGTGAAGTGGAAGTATGAAGCGAAAGCCAGAAATTTTTTATCAATTCTTGTGCACGGCCCGATCCTATTCGCTCAAACTCATTAGCATACACTTTGTGAATGAAACAATCTAATCTCTCGGCCGCATATTGGCATCTTGTTCCTCGTGCCAATAAATTCCGTTACAGAAGTAAAATCCAAGCAGAATAATAAATTGACAAAAAACGCCCCGTTTCACGCCAGACATAAACGTCGATCGGTCTCATTGATTTTTGTGAGCTCTGTCATATTTCATCATTCCGTTCTCACTCTTTTTTCATTATTTTTCTTACTGTTATTACGTATAGTTAATGTTTTGAGCTTTTTCCGCTAATTAGTTTTTTTCTTTAAAACAGAAGTAGAAAAAATCAACTACAAGCAGCATGCCAGTTATGGTAATGCAGCCTTCGGGCCATACTACGATTTCCGGAAACAGAACTGGCCCAAATTCTCATTTATGTATCAGCATTTTTGCTTTTATCATCAACCCAGTAATTGGTATGATACATTTTATAAGCCTAGGTACAGACTGATCAATAAATATAATACTTCATCTTTCAGGCTTAGTGGCATTAGGTTTCTCTTGCGCCAGTCGCCATATTGCTCCAATGGATTGGGAAGCTGCAAGAGTGAGGGGGAAAGTTGCCATGGTTATAGCAGTTACTAGTATAACTTTATCTAGTATAGCAATATTGGTTGTTGTTCTTATATTTTTTACGAGGGACTCCTGATTTTGCCATTTCCACTTAAAGTTACGAAATTATATTGTATATCTTTAAACATAGCATGCATTAAAATTATAATACTTGTAATAAATTCTGTATACAACAGCTATTTGGATACGATATCCATTTGCATAAATATGTATGTATGTATGTATGTATGTGAGTGTGAGTGTGTGAGAGAGAGTGATTGAGTGAGTATGTATGTATGAGAGTGTATACCAATGACGAATTGTATGTATACCAACATTGTAAGTATACATGGAAAGTAATGTATCTGTTTTTATTTTTTATCCAACTTACACCTATATTTACATGTTCAAACTTCTCCGATCGTAAACGGCGAACTTGAATGAATCGATTAATGATTTTATCATTTAAGACTTTTCTTGTTGAATAATTATATATGTAGGGCGTTTTTTTTTCGATAATAAAATACAGTTATGATTTATTAAAAAAAATGAGATTAAACAAATAACTTGTACTATCAATGTATTCCCAAGTTGAGTTTCCAAATATTCAAATTGTTCTATTATATCAGGTATTTAACCTTTTCATTTCCGTACAAAACATATAAAAAAAACTCCAGATGACAGGACTTGAAAGGCGTTGGTTTCGAATAATCAAAAACTATCTTTAAAGGATGACAAATTAAAAGGCAGAAACATATTCCTTTCTTTTTTAGTGCTATATTATATGACAAAAAATATTTGACATAAATTAAACCTAGCTATTGTGAAGGCCAGCTAATTAAAGAAAGGACAAGGATACTTCTGATACTAGGCCTATAGTTTTCGTAATTATCATTATATTTGCCTTTTACTAGCTCAAATTACAAACTCCCCTTTTTTACTATAGACTATACAAGTTTCTACCACATGTCTTTGTCATTTTAATGTCAAACAAACACCCATCCTATTGACCTATTGTTCAACTTTACCGCCCAGATGAGTCTTTTGACTTTTTAAATTGCGGTTACTGGTTGGGCAAATACCTTTCAAGATTTCCAAAAAAAGTTATCAGCAAGTCATTTAAGATTTACAGGTCCTGCGGAAGCTAGTAATTTAACAGGCTAGCAAGTAAACTAGAATACTTAATTCGTAGCTTTGCTAACAACTCTTTTAAAAAGTATTTGTATTCCTTTCCAGTTATCGACTTCCTAAGATTCGGCGAAGTGTTGAACACTGAACCAGATCATTCGGGGAAGAATTTTTATCCTATCAGAATGCAGCAATCAACCTTTCTCTACCAGTTGCTGACTGGCTGATCGAATTATCGAAAACGATTCGAGCGTGTATCGATTCACCCGAAAAAGTCTTGTTCCAATCCTTTAACTGCTAAATTTCGATTATCGGTATCATTAACGATTCCGATCTTAATATTCTCTGATATTTAACCGCCAGAAAAAAGTACATTTAAGTTACTTAATTGAAGTATTTAAAATTCCTAAGAACTACAGTTTTACTGAAAATTACTTCAAGAATGTCTTGGGCGGTTAGTGTAAAGAAAGAAGAACAAAGAAAACTAGAAGCTGCTGGGGAGATACCTTCGGTGAGTGATAATAGAAGAAGTATGAAACGACTATTTAACGTTCCGTTTTAGCCGGCTGTGTCTGAGCCCAAAGGAAAAGAGAGTGGAAAGCTTGAAATAGGACATTGGGACAACAATGATAACAAAGAGAAGGAGGATAAAACAAAAGATGGTAATGTGGCGTGCAAAGCATGCTCTATATAAATAACCATTTCGTAATTTAGAAGCATTGTGTGACTTAGGCAATCAGAAATCACTAAATATTATAGTAAATATATCACACTTTATGAAATTTAGGAGGGAAAAAAGTTGAAAGGCCATAAATTCATTTTATATTAACCAAAATGTTATGATCTAATAAATATATATTTCAGGAGCAACTTCAGCCGACTTATCCCTGCTAAATAAACTGTTGCGATCTCGTTTAGTACCTGTTAAAGCTGACCTAGAAATTATTCAAAGAAATCCAAATTCGCCTTTGTATTCAGTTAGCTCTTTCGCAGAACTGAAATTGTAAGTTAAAATACATCTTTCTAGTTATCTAAATCAGAAGCTCTTCAAAGCTAAATGTAGCAATACATAAGTAATTGCTATTAGGACTAACTAAGACAAGAAAGTCAAAATATTGTGATCTTTCAGAAATGATGAACTTTTACGCGGAGTATATGATATGGGATTTAATGCACCGTCAAAAATTCAAGAAAAAGCCTTACCTCTACTATTAGCTGAACCCTATCAGAATATGATTGCACAATCACAGAGTGGAACGGGGAAAACAGCTGCATTCGTTTTGACCATGTTAACACGTGTAAATATTGGCGAAAAATATCCACAGGCTTTATGTCTTGCTCCAACGTACGAATTAGCACTTCAAATTGGCGAAGTCTGTGAGCAAATGTCTAAATTCATGACCGGCTTGGAAATCATATTTGCTGTTAAGGGCCAAAGATGTAAGTTTTTATCTCATATAGAAAAACCTTAAAGCTCTTGCGTTATCAGTGTTATAATTATTTCTCTGGTCAGCTATATTTGTACATCATTTTTATAAATAGAGAGAAATAAATTGAAACAATGACAGAGGAGAGTTGTCTCCTTAATTTGATTTATTAACTCTGCAAATTTATACAGTGGATCGTGGATCGAACTTGACTGCTCAAATAATAATTGGAACTCCTGGAACTGTTCTTGACTGGGGCCTAAAATACAAATTTTTCGATTTGAAAAAGATAAAAATCTTCACTCTAGACGAGGCTGACGTTATGATCGATACTCAAGGTCATCATGACCAAACGCTTCGTATCCACAGGTTTGTACATGGAAACCAGTTTTTGCTTGATTAAAATAAGTAGCCCTAAGGTAAAATCTGCAAAATAGTTTATTTCGTCATTCTTAGAAGAGACGAAAAAATAAAAAAATTTGTGTCAAGTATAGTCTCATTAGTTAGAAAGAGAAACCTAAACAGTAAGAAATTAGATATAATAAATTATAGTCTCATTCTTTTATTTTTCTTTTCAAGATTTATAACTCTGATTCTATACTATCCAGACTTTTACCAAGAGAGTGTCAAATGCTACTCTTTTCTGCCACCTACGAACAACCGGTTATGGATTTTGCAAATAAAATCATTCGAGATCCCATAATTATCCGTTTGAAAAGAGAAGAAGAATCAGTTGACAATATTCAACAGTATTACGTTGACTGTCAAGGACAAGAAGACAAATATCGTGCTATTTCTGACATTTATTCATCTGTAACTGTTGGTCAGTCAATGATTTTTTGTCAAACAAGAAAGAATGCGAATTTATTGGCTGAGAGAATGATAAAGAATGGACACAGAGTAGCAATTCTGTCAGGAGAATTAGATGTTACACAAAGAGCAAGCATTATTAAAAGATTTAGAGAAGGGGACGAAAGGGTACTAATTACGACGAATGTATCAGCGAGAGGAATTGATGTTGAGCAAGTGACTCTTGTTGTGAACTTTGACATGCCGATAGATGCTGCTGGGGATGCTGATTGCGAAACGTACCTTCATAGGATAGGCAGAACTGGTCGATTTGGCAAATGTGGTATTGCTTTAAACCTTGTTGATGGAACCAAAAGTCGAAAAATATTAGAAGCTGTTCAAAGGCACTTTGGTACGTAGCTTTTCCTTAAAGAGATTAATACCTGCTCTTCTCAAAAATATTTAAGAAAGACAAGTTATCTTAAGGTGCATTCTCTGTCAACAAGTACTTTTTTTAGTACACAAAGAGATTTAGTAGAATTTCCCCCTTCACAAAACCAAATCTAAAAATATAGACCTAATGGAAATCAACAATATTTGTTATTGATACATCGCCAGAGTGTTTTTAAATAATATTGATTACCATTGATGCTTTGTATAAGTTAAAGTGGTATTCATTGGCAGAAATTGCTGTTATTATCGAGATATCGACTAAATTTTGGTTTCCAATAGTTCTTGAAAAAACTTAATTCCTAATCTAATACTCATGAGAAAAGCTTACAAAGCTCACAAATGAAATTAACGATGCTCTACACGTTAGCTATTGGAAGGAAATATTGAAGTTATAAATTAGATACCCAATTGTATCAAAATATAAATTCACTATCTCTTTAGCAGAGGCATAGGGGATATTTTGCACTATTTGTATATTACGTTTTTATTTCAGGTCGAGAGATAAAGAAATTGAATACTGCAGATGAAGATGAAATGGCTCAACTGCCTGTCTACGCTTAGGAAAGTTGTTATTGTTTCACATGAATTATTATTCGTTTTGAAATTTACATGTATTTTCGAGAAACTTGGTTAAGATATATATTTACGTACATTATATGTTTGTACAATACATATATTGAAAAAGTTAACTATCTTTCTTTTGGAACCTGTCTAGTATTTTTGAAGTCCTTGTATCCACTTTGCTTTCTTTAAGTATTTTTTTCTTTAATTTTTTTGTTTGATTATTTTTAAGCTTCAGCTTTTTCTTTAATAGACGTTCTTTCAATTGATTACGCTTGTCCTCCCACAGAACACCCTTTTTCCTCTTTTCGATTTTTCCTGTTTTACTTCCGCCTTTTTTCTTATATCGTGGAACGAAATCGACTTTTTCAGGCTTAAGATACTGTAGAAAATCGTATGCGTGACATTTGGCGATTCGCCATCTAATTAATTATCCTTACCAGTAATTTCTTTTTTTCTTCTAAAATATCCTGAGCCGATTTTCTGTCAACTTTTCCCAAAACTGCCGTATCCAAATTTATTAAGTCTGGTTGGATCTAAAAAATACAACGAAGGTTAGATAGATATTGTAAAGAAAAATTCATTCCTCAGAGGAATGAAATTACAATACGTGTAAAGAACACAAATATACCTTATCCAAAAGCATCTTCACTTCCGCCTGACGGCGTTGTTTTTTAGTCTGATAAGGATTTGCCTCGAGCGCATCGAAATTTGGCTCACCAGCTCCTGGAACTAAATAACTAGAAAAGCCAGTCGAGTGTCCCACACCCAGAACATCTTCGAAAGGGCAAAAATCTATATTACGAATAAAGCCAGGTGATCTTTGGCACATGTAAGGAGCATCGATTTCTTTTGAAAGAGAGTCTTTATATATGTGAACGACGTCTCCGACAGCGGCGGCCAATAAATTACGTTGACTAAAGGATAAGTCGTAAACAGGAGAACCGACTTTGTAAGAGTGTAGCAGCTTATAAGTTCTCAGATCCCATATCTTGACCTTACCATCGATTCCAGACGTTGCCATATATCTATTGTTACGAAACGGTTTGAGACTCGTGTCAGAGGGTTATCAATTTTTATCATTTACTTACTGGCCACTCTGCTCCACTGATATACATCTAGTTGCCGATCGATGACAAAGCATTTTTACCAAGGGTTGCTTAACATTTGGTGACCACATTGATACAGTTCCCCCACTATGGCCTAATAAAGTTATAGCATTGTAAGGATTCTGAGTCATGACATCTAATCTTCCGTAAGCTGTTGGAAATCCAGCAACTTTTTTTCCGATAGATATATCTATGTAGGATAAGTAGCTTTTTTCATTCTGTCAGGTAACATGAATATTAGTCCATTAATAGGAAGGTACAAAGATTTTTATCTCGTTTGCAATGAGAATAAGATATTTTGGCTATCTCTATATATCAGGGACATTTATCTACTTACTGCTGACACCAAAAGAAAGTGATAAGGGAGAAATTCTAGTCGTAAAACACGATCCAGAGCTTTTAAACAATGTATCTCGATTCCTTGATTGTCATATATATAAGTCCACAAACGCTGTGCAACAGCAAACATATTCTCAGTATGTAACCATTGAATGTCATTAACAGTTTCCATGACGTTCATTTCACAAGTTAGTTGTTTAGTTTGCCAATCAAAAGCAGCTACATGCCCTTTTTCGCCACCCAATAAAATGAATCGACCATTTCTCGTATAATTTATTCTATACGGACCGAAATTCTCTAATTTTACTTCAAAATATTTCTGTTGACTTTGTACATCGACTACTTTAGTGATATCATCTTGAGTATATTGGCTAGTGTGTTCTCCTTCATCGGCTTCTAAAAACCTGAGGAAAAGAATACGAAAGCAGCTTACTACACTGTAAAGAGACTAATTACATAGTTGATTAGCTTAATTTTTTTTGGAAATCGTAAGTAGAAGTCTAAAAATATTATGTAAAAAAATGGCCATTTCATATTTAATTAATATCTCTTACCCTGCTTGTTCATTTAAAAGCATTTCTGCCCTTGCAGCATCTTTCATTGCTGAGTAAATTTTCTTCTCATTGCTTATGATTTCCGCCTTTCTGTATTTGGTTCGAACCGATTTTTCATCAACTTCATGACCTCTAGCATATCTATTCACAGCATGTTTCGATAAAGGAGCAGGACCGTCGAAAATATCCTAAGAAAAACAATTATCAAAAAAGGATGGATAGAATTTCTATTGTTAAGAAGTAAACTTTATTTAATTTATAACTTTTACTAATTTAATTTTCAAATTATGATATTGTTTGACTTGGAAAAAATTAGATTAATTGACTCCGTTACTAATAACAACACTTTTGTATATAGATTAGTAAAAAAATTTTAATGTATTAATACTTTTGGCTTTTTCCCCTTGAAATTCTTCGTGGTGGCATTACTTCTTTTGTCAATTCTACAAGTAAATTACATCATCCTTCCAGTTATTAACAACTTTGCAACGATATAACCTCAAATTCAATTACTTATGACATTCTCATGACTCTAGCGCAAGTGATTGAACACAATACGGAATAACAAATTTAGAGAAAAGGTCAGACAACCAAATTAATCTAAATGGCAACGTCAGAATTAAACTAGAGCTATGTCTATGTCTATTATTAACTGCTTGTGGGACCTTAGCTTATTTTGGACTTTGAGAAATAGAATTTTCGAATATAATGCTGTAACACTACGAATAGTACAGTATATTGCCTTCAGCATCATTGCTGCACTCAGAATTTCTGTTCGTGATAGGCTAAATTGTATACTTTCTTGGTATGTGTAAAAGAAACTATCTTTTCTTGATCTAGAGTTCGTCTGAGGTAATATCGTTGACACTTTATATGCTTAACTACTTCTCTGTTAAGTCGAAAGTTTCGACACGATCACTTATTTTTTTATCTTCTTCTTTCTGGGTAAAATCAAAAAACCGCTTCCTCTTCTAAAAATAGTACAAAAGCATTCTCAATTAGTATAAAATTTACAATTGTTTTAGCTTTTAAACCTTCATGATTGAATTTTTAGGCTTTTTAGCCTCACGTGTTTCTTTCTCCGCCATTTTTCGTCTGCTCATGGGAAAACTGGTATATTCGAATGTTTCATGTAACATAATGTTTTATTCCAAGCAGAATTGTGAGTCTTCAGTCTGCAATTTAGAGTTACAAATTTATTCTAAAAAAATCTATCTTTGTGCAGAATAATTCGCTAAAATTATTTTAACAATATGTAGGGACGCCTTGAATGTAAATTTATTATACTTTGCAAAATAAGCAAATTCTAAAGTTAGTTATAATTTTTCTATAAGGTGGATGACTCCTACCAGTATATAACCTTTTATTAATGTCTCTCATAAATTATATGAATTTCTCATTGCGTGCTAAAGATAACTTTAAGGTTTTAAGTGTATAAATTGCGCCATCTATATTCCGAAAGGGTTGGAATAAAGCAATTATCTCTGTAACTTGAAGCGTGTAAGAATGTAACCTTAATTGTTATCACTAAGCTTAAGGAACTTAGACAATTGTAGGCAGAAAAGGAAGAAAGACCCATCAGAAGTACATAGGCATAACCTTACAAGTCTAGTAAAATAAAGTAATGGAGAATTGTGAAACCAGGAGAAATCCATCAAAATATATAGTATATACAGTATATACAGTACATAACAAATAGCAGTAAAGATGTGATAGCATGAGATAAGAGGGAAAAATCTCTACAAAAGCAACAACTTAAAAGCAATCTCTAGGCAAATAAATTCAACGTTTAAATTATTACAATCTTTGAAAAAATAGTTAAATTCATAAAACATTTAGAGGATTTAGATGTCAATTTTCGGCTAAAAAATTTGTACAAAGACATGAAAACTGGTGTATTGTCAATCATATTACTTATCCATCTAACTATATTTTTGTTTTTTTTTTAGTTATTGAAATGGGAAGAAATAAATTGAAACAATGACAGAAGAGAGTTGTCTCTATAATTAGATTTATTAAGTCTATGTAAATATATACAGTGAGTTGTGGATCGAAGTTGACTGCTCAAAATATAATTGGAGCTCCTGGAGATGTTCTTCACTAGGGTCGAGGCTCAAAGGCTTTTGATTTAAAAAGATAAAAATCTTCATCCTAGCACAAGGATGACGTTTCGATCAATACTCAAGGTTATCATGACCAACTCTCTGCATATACAGGTTTGGATAGGGAAAGAACTTTTTGCCTATTAGACATAAGTAGCTTTGCAGTAAAATATGTGCGAGATACTTTTTTTCATTATTCTGAGAAGAAAGACGACATAAAAACATTTCGTACTAAATATAGTTCTATTAGTTAGAAAGAGAAACCTAAAAACAGAGGATTTAGCTATAGTAAATTATAATCCCTTTCTTTCGTTGCTCTCCAAGATTTATACAATTTTGTTTCTTTTTTTTTTACCAAAAAGTACAAATGAGAAAGTGAAACAGAATTCATAATAAAGTGAGACAAATACAATGTTATATCTGACATTTATTCTTTTGAAGCTCCTGATCAATTAATGATTTTCTGTCAAAAGAGTAGGAGTTTAGATTTGTTGTTGCAGAGAATGATGAAAAATGGACATAAAGTAGAGATTTTGTCAGGAGAATTAGATGTCTTTGTGGAACATCTAATTCTCCTGACAAAATCACTATTTTCTATAGCGCTATAAAAAGATTTAGAAAGGAGACAAAAGGACATTGTAAAAGATAAACGTATCCGGAAGTGAGGAATTGATGTTGAGCAAATGACGCTGGTGAAATTTGGCACGCCGATTGATAAGGCTTTAGAGGTGGATTGTGAAAACATATCCTTATAAGATAGACAAAACTACTCGATATGGCAAATATGTTTTGCTTTAAACCTCGTTGATAGATTTACAGTCGAAAAATATGAATACCTGTTCAAAGGTACTTTAATGGGTGGCTTTTCTTCTAAAAACGATAAACAGTCGCCTTTCCCTCAATAGTATTTTAGACAAGCTAAGTTAAGGTGCATTCTCTGTCAACAAGTACTTTCTTTTTTGGTACATATAATGATTTAGAATTTCTACTCTCACAAAAGCCAAATCTGAAAACAATAAACTTTATGAAAATCAACAATATTTGTTATTGATACGTTGCTAAAGTGTTTTTAAATAACATTGATTATCATTGGATGCTTTGTGCAAGTTAAAGTGGTATTCATAGGCAGGGATTGCTGTTATTATCGAAATATCGACTAAATTTTTGTTTGCAGAGGTTCTTAAAAAAACTTAATCCCTAATCTAATACTTATGAGAAAAACATGAAAAGCAGCTTACAAGTGAAACTAACGATGCTGTATGCTAGTTATTGGAAGAAGTATTGAACTCCAAATTAGATACTTGGACGTATTAAAGTATAGACTTATTATCTTATTTTCTAAGAAAGAAGCTAAATATTTTGTATTGGTATATATTATTTAATATATTTCAGGTCAAGGTTTGGAGAAACTGAACAATATGGATGTTATGTTATACCGGCTTAACTATTTGTCAATATATAATCAGGCTTTTTTCTCTTAATTTTTAGTCGTACTCAACGAAAGCATCTTTTAAATGGCATGAGATTAGACTAAGACTTTCAATTATTTATAGCTTCCAACTTAAAAAATGAAGCATCTTATACCTTTAAAAAATAGTGAAATTAACTGATGAAAAAAGCCTGGATAACTTAAAACGTGTCTGTTGTCGCAATAATGTTTACATATGGCGCCATCTTTGTTTAAAAAAGATAAAAAATATATCGGCTAGCTTAAATATAAGTATAAATTAGAATCGATTTACTGTAATTTATTCGAAATGAGATGAAAAATTACCTTTCAAGAGAATAGGAAAATTAATAGAATCTTAGTGCTCCTTCTGATAAACTCTTTTTCAATTATACATCCGCCAAGTTCACCAAGAAAGATACGTACTACAGTATAAACTTGTCCTAGAACTAATTATAAACTAGTAAAACTAGTATAGACCACGTAAAATGATATTTGATACGAAGATTTCTTAAATTCCAAATAGTATATTTTTGTTAATGCTTTTAAGATGGATATGGTTAGGGACATCATTTAAATAAATTAATTTATTCGGCTTTTTCTACTTTGTTGATTTCCCGATTTGTTTGAGCTTTTGCCGCTTCAAGAATACTTTTACCACCTTCATTTAATATTTTAACAGCCAAAGAATTGCCTAGTTTTTCGCAAATTTCAAAAGTAATTCTTTCTCTATTTTCAAATCTTCCCAAGTGAGCGCATGAAAATATTTCAGTTTGTCTTGACCTCTGTGAAGTATTAAAAACAGTTTCAATTAACTAACGATAGAACACTTTTCATGAATATATATGTATGTATTTATACTTTTCCTGTTGGTTCATCCAGTAAATCCAAGTTTATATTACCGCTCAATACAGAATGGATACGACAATCTTTCCCATCCAAGCTGAAAACACCTCCTGTTAGGCTGACTGAGTCTTCTTTTTCCGTGTTATTACTATACGTTCCATGGATAACTTGGCTATGAACAGCTACTGGCGCGCTACAACCTCCTTCCTAATAATATTGCATATTAAAATGATAAGGGCGTAAAGTTTTTAGCTTTTTCGAAAAATAGACTAACCAATTTTTTTAAGAAAGACCTTTCTGCAATACATCTCAGCAAAGTGTGATAGTCATTAAGGGGGAAAAGCAAATCAAGTGTATAATCGTCATCTTGTCGACATTCAACAGCCAAGGCACCTTGAGAAACAGAATACATGCAAATAATTGGTTCTAATACCTGTATGAAAGAGAAAGTATTCGCTTGTTGTATGATATATAGTTTCTTGATGTTAAAAAAGACTACCTGAGAAACCCTTTTATTCCATCCCATTCTTACTAAACCAGCAAGTGCCAATACAATAGCATCATAGTCATCTGCATCATCTAATTTTCTAAGTCTTGTATTTAAATTTCCTCTGATATCCTTGAATTGTAGTTTAGGGAATTTCTGCTTCAATTGAGAAATTCTTCTCAGAGAACTAGTTCCAATGACACTAAATGAAAGATGTTTAAGAGAAAAAAAATTATTTACTGTTGAATTATTAGCATATTCTAGTGTCTACAATACCTTCCATCTGGTAGGTCTCCAATAGATAAGAGATTTGAGTGCTTTGGATGCATTACAACTGCATCGCGTGGATCGTCACGCCTAGCCAATAGTTTAATTAGAGAAAGTGATAGTAAAAATTTAATGAGCAGTATAATAGAATTAGGAAACTTGTATTTACTTTAGTATCGCTCCAATTACCATGTTTTCTGGTAGAGTTGTAGGTAGATCCTTTAGAGAGTGGACTACCATATCAATACTTCTATCATCCAAACCTAATTCAAGCTCCTTAGTAAAAAGACTCTTTTGGCCTATCTAAAAACAGTAATTTTATAAACTTAGTAGTTTATTTTTTCGTAGATAAGTAGCGGTAAAATAATATTTGATTACCTTAGATAAAGCCAAGTTTAGTATCTTATCACCAGTTGTTTTCATCGTTTCTATTAATTATGAATATAATAATTTCATAAATACGGTTTAAATTGACGTAAATAAATCGTACGAACTTATTTCGAATTCTACATCTTTATATAATTCATTAAGTCTGTCAACGACGAAGTTGGTTTGTATCAAAGCTAGCTGTTGAAAGTTAAAATGAAAGTTTAGAATTTCAGAGTCTATATGCTTTAAAAATCTCTTTCTCACCTTGCTATCTCTAGATCCTACAACAATTTTACGTTTTGATTTTTCCATTGTTACTCAAATATGCTATTAATGAATCCGATTACTATTATGCGTCAACGTGTTCAAAGCACTAGAAATAGGAATTAAACAAAATATACTGACGATAATACACGAGGTGTGACCTATCAGTTCATTTCTCATGGTCATATCCCAATAAGAATACGAAACTGAGGGCGGGAAATTCAAAATAAGGTGATAATATAGATCGTATTGTAGCTTAATAACACAGGTTATTCATCTATATAAATAAACCAATAATAAAAATATAAAAGGCAAGATATGGTCCAGAGATTGATTACTTAATAATAAATTAAAGTTTATCGCAATGATTATAGAAGAATGTGAAAAAAAATCCCAACGTTTTATGATGACCTTAGCCTATCTTATTTTCTATAATAAAAGATTAAATAATAATTCATTTCATCTTGAAAATCGCGTTTTCTTTATAAGTCTATAATGGATAGTTGAGATTACCGTGCCAAGATAAATGTATGAGAAATCCTGAGATTTTAAATAGAAATTCAAAAGTAAATAAATCTGTTTATATAAAGCTTATTATAAGATCTAAAGCATTTCTTGGAATATTGAAATTTGTATAATATTCCTTTATAGTTTTATTGTATAGTCCATACAAAACTGAATAGAGATAGAGAGAGAGAGACAGAGAGAGAGAGAAGAAAAGTTTTGATTAGATACAGGTGTTTTTTTTTCTTCAAGAGTTATCTATTCATTAGTCTGTTAGAAAAAAGTTTCTTTAAGATCTATACTCTTTATTTGAACTAAAGAAATCACTTGCCACATTTTTTAATAGTTATAAATTTTTAAAGTATAACTATATCTACTATTTCTTTAAGAAAACCCTTTCATTTCAGCAGTATGTAGTTTATTCCAATTTACTCTGAATAAAACGTGACAGTTTAATATCTATAGTTAAGAGAAAACTAGTTAGTAATATGATATAATAAGACAGATAGTTATAAATAATAATCTTAGCATTGTAAAAATCGAAATACGAAAATAGGGGAAAAACGATGTTGAAAATATGTAGTATAAATTAAGGGAATCTTTGAAGCGTCGATTTTTTAAAACCCTTCTCAAGCATTTCTGCTTTCTTCAAATGTAACCTTCTGGTCTATAGAATATGGAAAGGTCAAAGCTTGAAATGAATTTGCTGGAAAAGCGAAACTTACAACAAAACTTATAGAAATATGTGAATAAATGTTACGAGAAGCAAGTTTATCAATGTCATATTTTCTTTTCTTATCTTTTTTCTATTGGTGTTGGAAAATATGGTCCATGAGATTTAAAGGCTAGCTTAGTCTTGTCATTTTAATAGCAATCACAACCCTTCTCCCTTCGTTTCTTTCCTCTTTGTCTCTCTGTACAAAGTTGACATATTTTCCTAAATAGGTATAATAATAAAAGAGCAATTCAGTATTTTTCCTGTCCTATGTTGTAGTAGGTTGTTCACTGTTCATTGTTATTTCCATAATAACAACGTCTTTGTCATTAACTATTTGGATGGAACGTGTTTGTGCTAGCATTTACTTCTGTTACAACTGTGAGAATACGCAATTTTCTTTATAGATTAGGTGGATATGTAAAAGAAAAGAACATAATCTGGAGAAAACTATAAACTAACGAGGTTTATTAATGTTGTCGCACCTGCTACAGGCGGTGTAATAGTTTGTCTCAATAAGAACCATTTTCGCAATATCTTAATCTTTCCATTTCTAGCTTCTATTTCCTATCCTACCTTCCATTACTCCTGATAGCAAAGAGAAAGAGACAAAAGCGTTAACTTATTATAATATGAATAATACTCCTTTAGAGATAGGTGTCTCAAAAATTATCATAATGAAAAGATTGAGAGATTTTTTAGCCTTATAGAAAAAAAAAGAGTTTTAGATTAAAAGAGTATAACTTGTAATTGCATCTTAATATCTTAAGAGTTTGTCTTTGATATTTTTTTCATTGTTTAGAAATTAAAGTGCTTGTTGCTGAAAGCAGAAAGCAGAAAGCAGAAAGCATAGCGCGTTTTTTTTAGTATGATTTTTAAGCTGAACATAGTTTGATATTCTCTCCTACAAGATTGATTTATATCAGACTTGAAATACAAAGAGAGAGAATTGGTTATCAGGAAAAAAAACAGATTTTGATTTTCTTTTTCGATAATTCCAAATCTTTTTTAACCTTCTGTTAAAGTTTTAATAATATATGACCTTAATTTATATGTCTTCTTTACAAAAGAAAAATTACGCCATCCTGTAATGGTTTCCTTTTGCGATATCGATTATTAAGCCTCAACCAACGTCGATTAGCCATATTTTCTTACTGTTGTACAAAACTATACTTGTCATTTATTCGATTTTTAGGTTTTAGTATCGAATCTTTCGTAGGTGGTAAGAAAACTTGTCAATATTCTATGGTTTTCCTGATAAAGTATTCTTCGAATGTTGAAATGGAATAGAATTAAGCTTAGTTTATTTGTTTTCTAATTTATATATTATATAACATCGACTTTATTAATAAAATATTAAAAGAACATCAATTTATATAAATCTTTTTTCTAATTTATGTATTATATTGATGCTTTTTTAGAAAATAAATCATTATCTCCTATCTCTTTTTCTGTTTCTTTTTATTGGATTTTTTCCTAAAAGGGTTAAACAGAACTGGAAAATGCCGAAAATTTGCAATACCTGATTTTTCAAATTATTTCCGGTGCGTGGGAGCTTTCTCAAGAATTCTCTTTAGACACGAAATATAGTCTAAGTAGATTCTCTTTTTTAAAGAAAATTTCCTTTATCCGTCTAATAAATTTCTTTAGAGTTAAAGCATCTTGTTTATGTTTTTCTTTTATTATAAAACGTAATTTTCTATAATCTTTTCGTATTTTCTTGTTGGATATAAGTATGAGTTGAAAGACCAGGTATGCTTAATCTTAATGATGGTAGGGTATAATAAGTTATATATAAATAGTAAATAACTGTTGTTTATAATTATTTCATTACATAAATTCAAGTGACATCTGATGTCTATAAATTTTTCTCTCCATGTAGAATAATGCTAAAATAGTTGAAAAAAATTGGAAAAACTCCCACAAAAATTCTACTAATAGAGGATTTAATTCTGAATTCTCTACATAACGAATGTTTTATTACTCCAGAGATAGAAGAGCCAAATTTTTAGACGCCCCATAAATATATCAAGATTATAGTTAAAAAAGTTGTTATTAATTTTTTTAGCCGCTTGATACTGTTTATTCCACTTTCTTTCCTATGAGAGATATTATATAATTTATACTTTCAATTAATTCCATAAAATTATACGTTAAAATAAGTAGAAGAAAAAAAAGTGACGATGAAGATATGAATATTTATGAGCTAAAGCTTATGCTGCACTCAAATCGTCATTTGCCGCCGTAACTTCGGACGGACATCAAATTTACAAGCCATTCACTTTTTTCCCTTGAAAGGAATTTCTGTGAGTATTTATTAGACTAATAAAATACATAATTAAAACAGCCTATTGCTAGTTGAATAATTAAAAAAAACCCTTCCATTAGTAAAATGTGTTCATTGAAGTTTTCTCTTACAAAAGATACTTGTATCATTCTTGATTTAATTTTATTAAAAACAAATCTTTCTTTTGTTACTTAATCGTTACTTGTACCGTATGGTATTGCTATTTCTTTATTGATTATTACTCATATAGAAATTAAGTGTATTCTTCAAAAAACAATGTTCAATGAGGTTGACATCTTTTAACTAGTAAGTAAAGTATTAAGCTTTCAATTAGAACTTATAGTTCACTGAATACAAAAAACACCCTAACATATAGTTAGTAGAGTTTCTTTATTATTAATAATAGAAACAATAATAATATAACTCCAAATAATCTTCAATATCAATGTAAAAGAAAACAATAAATATTCTATAAATATTGAAATATTCTTTCAAAAGTTAACTTTGCTTTTTAGACTCAAGTAAGAAAGTTGATACACTTGACATATGTATAATTGAATGGGGAAGGGAGGGGGTTATACAGTTTCCAACTATTCTTATATTTTTTATCATTATATATATATACTGTATTTGAACACATATATCCATCATCCACTTCGTATTGCCTTATTAGTTTTACCTGATGATTATAATCAAGAAAAATACCTTTTCTTCTATTTATGGCTACAAAATAAAAAAATAATATAGAGTTCAAGAAAAAAAAGATGGTAAAAATCTAATATAGGAACAGGGTGGTAACATCTATTAATTTACTAAATGAGCGTTCTAAGAAAAAAAATAAAGAAATAATATAAAGTAGTGGTAACGTAAGCTAAGAAACTTTCTTCATCAATCCAAAATATTTGTCAGCGAAAAGGACAGATTCGGCTAGGAATTGAGAAAGCGTTAATTGTTTTTTTTCTTTTTTTGCTCGCCTTCTCTCTCTCTCTCTCTTGCTCTCTCTTGTCTATTTCTTTTTTTTATGTCTCAATATAGATGTAAGCATTTTCTGCAAAAAGTGTGAAAATTCGAAAACCACTTATTTCTTTAGTATGAAAACTATTTGACAATTTATTATATATTCATTTAGAGAAGGATAAACGCGACTATTGTTTTCAGATGGAAGAAAATCATTATTATCCATATTTAAAGGGATATTTTTGCACTAGAACTTGTAACGAATCAATTGGTATATGAAATTGAAAGAAAAGAACGAAGTAATGTGATCTAAAATGATGGATGATTATTTATAGAACGATAGATACTTGACATGTTTCTGTACTTTGCAGTCTTTCATATTTCATTGTTTTTAACTTCGAATTCACAATAGTTAGAGAAATGTCTTGTTAATGATACAACTCTATATATTAAATTTAACGAAGATGGCTCTTTTCTGCAGCTAAATCAATTTTTCTTCGCTTATCTAAAGAAGCAATTTGCTTTAATTAGAGTACAATTAGTAAAATTATAAAGATATTTCTAGTATGCTTAATACCAATAAGACAATTTCTGGTAACTAAGGAATGCCACGCAATTTCCATTGCTGTATTCATAATAATTTAATGAGAATTCAATAATTGAAAAGGATAATTTTTATTAAGTAAAAACTATTGATTGATATAAATTATATTGATAAATTCTAATTTACGACTGTTACTTTGCAAAAGGCTTATGTAAATTAAAGAAATATAGAGTCGGATATTTTGAAATTCAGGCTACGGAGACTAATTTTGCTTCTAAACTTATTAAGGGAAAACTCTAATAGTTTAATAAAAGATACCTGAAACCTCCAATTTTCAACATAATAGGCTAATATTGACCTCTTTATACTCTTCCCTTTAATTTTTTAAGATGTTTTACTTCTTTAAAGTCTGTATCTGTAGTTTACAATTAGGCCATTCTCTTAATATGATCAAGGCTTAATGATTTTCAGAGAATATGTTCCATCACCTACTTGCCTCCATCGTTCTCCTCCTTTGCTTATCTACACCGGTATTTTCCGCCGCTGTAAAAAGAGGATTTGGTGAGAAGAGGTCATTTTCGGATTTCGGTGGAGACGTATTTAACAAAAAATGGTCTGCTACTGACTTCGGTAGCAAAATGTTTAACAAACGATGGTCGGCTCAAGACTTTGGTAATGGAATGTTTAATAAAAAATGGTCCGCTGAAGATTTTGGATCTCCAATTTTCCAAAAGAGAGAATGGGCAGATTATTTAAATCAAATATATAATAAGAGAGGATTTGGAGAGAAGAGGTCCCTCCAAGACTTTGGTTCGAATTTCTTCAATAAAAGAAAAGACGGTTAAAGATATAATGATACAACCCCGATTATGATAGTAAATAACTTTGTAATGTTCTATCTAATAGTTTATTTAAGTCATTTGGATATTTACCTATGTGTAATTTCCGTAATGGTTCATCAAATAAAAGTACGCCGCTGCACGAGAAAGCTTTCTAGACAACAATAGAACATCGTAAAAACCATAATTGTTACTTTAAGACAACATTTTACGTGATGCTTAGAAATATCAATAATATATAAAAAGAGATTTAAAATATGACGTCATAGAATTTTATTTTTTGCCAAAAATCGCTAAATAAGAAAACTTGCAAATAGATTTCATTTTTCTTTACCAGTTTCTCTTACTATAGAAAGTCTTTCAAATCTAAAGCTTTCCCCCGTCTTTATTTTCCTTATATCCTTAAAGTTATTTTTGGCTGCTTTATTTTCCTGCCGGTTTAAAGGCAACAGGTGGTTGGTTGGCGATATAATTAACTCTTTTTAATTTATACGTTTTAAACATAATTAAACTTTGAATAATAATAATTTTTTGATTAATTTCTATACTGATTGTCATTTCCCTTGTAAACGGACAATAAAATGATCAAATAAAGGAGAGTATGAGAGAAGTGTCCGAATTTTGGGTAACAATTTTACATTTTAATAATAAATAAATATTCTAAATGTTATTTTAAAGGTTTTATGCTTTTATTTACCAGATAAAGGTAAGATTAAATTTTAATCAAGTTTGTTATTTAATAAAGTTCCTCAATTAATCATCACTAACTTCTGGGAATAACTTTTCTGGATCAGACTTACTATTAAATCTTTGTAATTAAATGCCGTGTGACCATAATGCGACCGAATAGTCTTTTTTATGTATGCTGTATATATATATTTATCTTATGTCCGTCATCTCTGTCAGCTTTTTGTATAAAAACTCAAAAAAAATTAGTTAAATAAGAATAAAGATAATAGTAATAAAATAAATCGTATTAAGGATTTTCCCCTACTTGTATTATTTCAAATGGAAAGAGGAAATAAGTCAATAATAATGAGGATTTTATTTGACTTTTCCATATTCTTTCTCTTCCTCTCTCTCTCTCTCTCTCTCTCTCTCTCTCTCTCTCTCTCTCTCTTATTTTAACGTTAAAATGCGAAAACGTAATTACACTTAAAAAATATTAATACTATAAACGCCTTCAATTTTTCTATATCGGTTAATGTCGTACCCTTTTGGCCAAGTTGAACCTGGATTGACAGTTCGCTAACAGAATATTTTCTAGGAATTTTCATCAATACAACGGGAAACGGTAACATTGATTAATTTACAGAATTCTTATTTCATTCACAATGAGGAGAATGCTCTTTACATATGATATATTAACTTTTAAGTAAATATTAATACTGAAATTTATGGAATGAATGGTAGACAACTTGAAATTTAAATTGTAACTAAGAATATTCTGCAAATTTGGATAAAAGAAAGCAAAACATGTTAATATTGTTTTAAATATCTATTTACTGTATATATACACACCTTGAATAATAAATTGATTATGTTATGTTTCAAATATTAATAAATTAACTGCTGAGTTTTAATAAATAATGCTTTTGTAACATGTATATCAATAGAGTTTTTTTTATAAATATGAGAATATTGAACCAAAAATAGCATTAGATCTCCTTTAAGTAGAGAATAATGCCATATTGATACTAATTAGTGTTGGTTTTTTTTTAATTATTATATTTAGCATGATATAATATCTCTTGATTAACGCCATCTATTGGTGTATATAATTCGCCAAGTTCCGTGTTTTGGATGGTGTTAATAAGTGAGAACACAATTATCAAAGTAAAAGCTCTGTAGACAAGATACTCTCTTGATATGGTCGATAGAGGAGATATTCAGACAGTAGTCATTTCTGAAGCTATAAAAAGTGTTATAGCAAAAGTAATGTTTTAAAACTTAATCTTCTTACAAAAGAAACAGAATAGGATCTTTCCAAGTAATATTGTACAATTTAAAAAAATAGCTAGAAAAATAGAATCCAAATGTAGGAAACCAAAGATGAACAGTTTAGTTTTGACTATCTCTCATCCATAGTGAAATTTATCGATAGTCATTTAATCACAATCAGGCTAGATCATATATTTTATAGAATATATAAATGTATAACAAAGCTATGAAAGCAATTTGTAATTTAGGCTTGAAAATCATAAATATTCTTATATATAAGATTTCTACCAACAAGCCTATTGTTTTACTATAAGAATATCATGTTTATTTCTTACAGTATACAATTGCTGCTACTGGTTTCGTAGGTCTGATTTTAATTGGAAGAAGTGGAAGATTGGTGAGAGAATAAATCGTACTTCAATATTTATTTGTTGTGTTAAGATTCAATTTTTCAAATTAGTTAACGAAATTCAAAAGTGCTAATCAAATCCCTGAACGATTCATAACCCGGCACGTCAAATTACAGGTAATTTTCATTTGATTTATTGAATAACATTTCCAATTTAAACTCAACAATCAGGGATTTGTTAGATCAATTGATGAAGTTGGAAATCTTAAAATAGAGCATCAACGTCTAATCCATCTTCCTTATTTGAATAATCATACAAAATCGCTCAATGTCTCCTTAGCTGGTGTAATCCTCAAAGAAGGAGGAGTCAACTATTTAAAATCCAATTTCATGTCGGAAAAAGTATGGTTTAGGCTAATGAATAGAATCGATTCGAATAGTTTGGACTGCATTATACTACATAAGCCTTCGTTTTGGAAGCTCATAGTAAACGTCAATGAGGAAGTTGTTAAAAGGGGATTGGGTCTTCCTAAAAAGGTGAATGAAAATGATGCGATATGGGCAAGGTTTATGAAAAGGTTAAATAGAGCTGAGGGAATTGCTATTAAAAAAAGAGTAGGAGTGTGGAAAATTGAAGAACTAACTCTATTTGAAAAATTATCTGATTATATTCCTGCTAACCCATTTTCTAGGTATTTAAAAAAACGATCTTCGTGATCAGAATAAGACGGTGTGAAACAAATATCTGTTAGACTTAATCAAAATAATAATTTAAACAAAACGGAGAAGCATTTCTTGCAATTTTAAACGAATATATGAAATAGGTTCAACTGTAAAAATATTTGTATCTAATCATTTGCGTGAGAATTGAAAATTAAAAACGTTCCATATAATTTCACAAATAGAAACAAAAACGCTATATGAAGAAAATAACTCATTCATTCATAATTCTTTAAACTATTCAATTTGACAATTAGCATACTAATAAAGTCAAGCATGACAGCACACAGTGCTTTATTAACAGTAAATTTTGGAATATATCCTTTCAAGTCTGTATTTAAGAGCCACACGAACTTTGTTCTTTCATCTGTAACCGGCTGCAACAGCCACCCGACTAAGTTATTTTCACCTCTTACATACAATTTATTAACTGGTGCTTTGCTACAATTAACAGCTGTTGCCGCTGCAAGAATGCAACCTTCTTTCCATTTCCAAAATCGGGCACTGACAAAATCCCTAGGATAGAAATTTTCAAATAGCGTTATTATGTTAATCAATTAATGAGCAAATGAAAATAAACCTGCTAGAAATAACTCCGCCAGCTCCAGGTGCTGCTATACTATAGGTAATGTCTGAATTGGTAGTTAATGATTGGAGTGTTCGACACTCTATTATTTGACTATTCCATCCTGGCGTCTCTTCCAGTCTAACAACTAGTAATTCGAATAATAATTTTACATCTGCTTCCAAAAGACACTCAAGTTTAAAAAATTTCCCCAGGCCGGGCAGAATTATAGAGTGAACTGTAGCTAGCTCATTCCTGCCTTCTGTCTTCCAAGCAGTACTACTATCTTTACAAATAGCCCAGCACCGATCCCAGGCATCTTTTGCTTTATTTATTATCATCTTTGCTTCAGTTTGAGACTCCTGTCCAACAATAGTCCTGTCTAAGTCTGCTTCTTCTGCCTCATCATCAGAACCTGTTTTTGTCGATTATCTCTACTTAAACATTGGCTATCTTTCAAAAACCTTTTTTAAGCTAACCTGTTGGGCTATACCATTCTCTGCATGAATAGAAATCTGCACTAGTTGCATCATAATTAGAAGTGGCACGTAGGTAACGGTGTAACAATGCTGATCTTTCGTCCGCCATATGTGGTAAACTCTCTGCATAGATGTAATAAATTCTTGCAGAAACGTTTAAATAAATTTTAACCTATACTCTAATAGTTTATAAATTTGACTACTCTATCATAGCTTAATGTAAAAAGGGAATAAAACAAATTTAGCATTAGTGATTTAAATACTTGTTAGTAATTATCACTAACACGTGTAATAATTCTGCTAATCTTTATAAAAGCTACCAGTAATTTAAAGGATAATTATATGTTTTGTTTAGGATAAACGAATGGTAAGTAATAAAAACCTCTACCATTCAGCAGTTCTGCAGCGTAAAGTCAAATATGTGAGGGAAAAATATAAAAAAGATAGTTTGTTAAATAAGGCGAAGATTTAAGGAATACAATATATGTATGAGTTTTATTGTTTTTCTATACCTCTATCTCTGAGTTTTTGTTCTCTTGGTAGAACATTAAAATCTAGAAACCACACTTCAATCCAAGCGATGACAAACGATTCCAGCAGGAGTATATAAGTTATAACATTTTGTTTAGAACCCTGTAAAGTAATTATATATAAGTATATCCTTAAAAATTATTTATTTATTAGTAGTTTTAGATAGTTATTAAGTAAAATAGTTATCATGCATTGGTAAACTATTAAAAGGATAATTACTGTGAAGTTGAATAGAAAAATCTTGACAATTAGGAATACAGTTGTGGCAGCAGTAGTCAAACCCACAATCCAGGGATTTTTCATTCTAATTGCTAAATAGAATAGCAACAAAATGACAAAGCGACTACCAGAAGCCATCTGCGGGTTTTTATGTAATAAAAAGATTATAGTAATTTTTTGCTTAATTTTGTTCAAATAGCAAAATTACTTACAATCATATCAAACATGGACGTTTTGAAACTATATTCTCCTACTTCCATTCGAAAAGCTTCTTTTGGAAATGGTTTTATTCCAACTACTTGTGTATAAATGACCCATAGAAGAAAAGTAAGGATGAGATCGAATGTTACTAATAGGCAAAATGTTCTTCGAACAGGTGTTAAGAAACCGCAGCAAACAACTCTACTTTCGCTTTGAGTTGAGCTATTCCTAAAAAGAAATATTATCTACGTTAGAGTATTAGCCATAGGATTATTTAAACTATATATATCTGCATACACTAATCTTTCCAAACTCTGATTCAAATGATTTCCAAAAAATATAGGTGATTCTCTCCTCCTATTATCGTTCATAACGTTAGTATATTCCTATTTTATGGAGTTCAATCATAAAATTTTCTGTATCAAGCTAAGAGGCAAAAAATATTAATCTTCAGAAAAAGATATTGGTTGATTATTTGTGTCTGTTCTAATGTAGGAAACAGGTATTGTTTATTTATTTGTTACCCAAAGCCAGATCATCACGTGACCTAACGTCATGTGATGGTGTGATCTTTATATGCAGCCAGCGACGTCTATTGTGTATTTAAATATTTTAAAGTGTAGATTAAAAGTTTCTTTTCATATAAACAATATAAAGAAATTTTTTTCATCAAAGTCTTTTTTGATTTGTGGACAAGTTCTAGATTGTAACATAAAAATACTAAAACTCATTTTCGGATTGTAAACTTTTAGCAGACGACAGGACGTCTGAAGATCGTGATTGAAGAGGCAAGTCGCTATAACTCTCACAAATATGAAGAATATGTTAACAAACTGATATAAAGATTAAATTTTAATATATATCAATCATTCCATGATGAATTTAGGAACAGCCTCTTTGGCAAGAGCAGGAATCAATTATCTAGCATCTGGTAAGTGTTTAATTTCAAAATTGTAACCAATCCTTTTTGCTAAATATAATCAATATTCAAGTTACGTAACGTTTTTGACAAATTTCAACCTAAATAATATAAGCCATAGATGATTGCATTTTATGTAACTACCTTGTTTTCCTTAATAAATAACTGTAAAAGCTATTTCTTATTTAAGAAACTTGTAGAATTTTCAGTAGTTTGGTTTAGAATGGTCAAAACTAGAGGAAAACATATTCAAAAAATCATTTTAATAAATAGGCTTTTGCGAAGAACATGGATTATTATGGACTGATGGACGAAATGTAAACATATGTGGTATTAAAGCTATTAAAAGATGTTTAGAAAGATTTCTCACCAAAACCTTGATGCAACTTGAGTAAGTACATACAAATTAATATAACCTAGCAAGACTCTAAAAATATATTATGCTGTGATAGTATATTGTTAAAATAACATAATATAAACTTCTAAATGCATATAATAATAAAAAACCATATATATCTTTCTCTCTCCCTCTCTCAATATATATATACTAATATATATATATATTTATATGTATTGTAGACATATAGGCATACCAGTAACAGTAATTTAATACTTGATAATTAGATCCTATAACTATCAATTAAAATTTCATTCTTTCTTTCTCATATCTTGTTAAAGATTTGACTTTTGAATATAAATACTATTAACATATAAATTGAATCTATTTTTCGTACTGCAAAGAATTATGTGATATTTTTATTATTTTTTTTGCATAAAATATTACTCTTTAACCATAAAGAGAATATAAATCTACACCCAATATGGGTGTGCTTTATTATCACGAACAAATTATTATCACGACGTAATGCGATACTATTGAATTTTATTACCTTCTGCATCTGCGCATGTCATTAAGTCAATTATTGCTAAGCGCAAGCAGAATGCATTTCAATGCATTTTTGTTAAACTAGTATCTTAAGATATATTAAACTTATCCTCTTATTTTAATTACCTTGTTTCATTTACAGCCAAGTCGACGCTGTTCTATGGGGCTACAGAATAGATGCAAACAACAGAATTATTACAGTTCAATGTCCGAATGTTGTAAAATTGTTTATAATTACAAAGAGTATTCGAATTTCGGGAGAGGGGAAAAAATTGGATTACTATGTTAACAACTGTCGAGATATTAATTCTAAATCTTTATTAAATGGAATTCTTTGGCATCCTTTTTTGGATATTGTTTGCATAATTTCAAAGTTTTATAGTACGATATATTTGAATAACGTAGGCCAAGATAAACCTGCTAGTTTAGCATTAGATCCAAAATTTTCAAGGTTAGTAATTAGGTTTAATCTAATAAATGCAAAGTTTATTTTGAAAGTTTTTTTGATTCAGTGAAAATGCAGCTCCAATGCAATGCGGATGTTGGTCAATTAAAGGAAACTATTTCATCATTGGAAGTAGTAGTAACATAGTAGTATGTAGATATTTTTATATTTTAAGATAGACAGCTCTTAATTAATTGCTTTTTATTGTATTTTGTAGATTTATCATTGGAAAAATATAAAGGAAAAAATAACGGAATACGTTGTTCGAACTTTTTGTTTGGATATGTAATAAATTCACTAATTTTCTATAATTTTAATATTTTAACTAATAATCTTTCTCTTGTTTTAAAGCATTGAAACGTTAATTATTGCCTTAAAGTGCCAAGACGAAAGATACTTAATATGTACTAGTAGATATCAATTAAAAACTAAAGCCAACGACCGGCAGTGCTTATTGAAATTGGAAGATAAGGAAGACGAAACACAGGAAGATCATATTGATCCGAGTATTATTAGATTCAAGAGAAAAGACGACTCTATTGCAGAAAAACTCAAAAGTTTATGCATAACCGAATGCAATACTGAAAAATATTCCCAAGTAATTTTAGTCGATTTTATAGAAGAAACTATTTTGAGTACGTTTAATTTAACTGACATTTTAACACCGGATATTTTGGAGTGTACAAATATGGGTTGTATTCTTGTATCTGGACATGCTTCTTCGAAAGTATACCAATTTCGGATAAACAAAGACGCCGATAAAATATTTCAAAACTCTTGTCTCAGCCTAAATACAAATGAAAGGGCGAAAGGAATATGTAAACTATCCGATGAAAATAATCAATTTCTTTTACTGAATGCCATTTGTGAAGAAGAACAGCCATCATTTCAATTTAGTATTTTGGGAAAGTACTCGATTAGAGTTGAACTACTCGTATATCAAGGTCTGTTTTTATAGTAGCATTAAACGAAGACTATAATTCGTTTCTTATCCTTTAAAAGAGCGATTAGAAAATGACGATAATCGAACTAACTCTCCAGTCTCTATCTCTCAAAACTCTGCAAGTCCGTCTCAACCTCCATATACAATTTTTATTCCAAATAATTTTTATTCAACTCCATTTGAATATCAAAATTATGCTAGTTAGTGTTATCATTTCTAAAATTAATTAATATTTGTTTTAAAACTCTTATGTTCGTTATTAAAGCATTGCCAATGGATGTAAATCAACATTTTCCTACATTATCTGTAGGAAACTCCCCTTCTGCTTCTATTCCTTGCTTTGAAATGCAAAATATGATGAGCAGCGGTCAAATTTTTTTCAATGAGAGTAGTAAAAGTTACGAAATGCTCCCAGGAACTTTAATGAGTAATTTAAATCCTTACAACAATATACAAGCCCAGAAAATGAACAATCTCACTCTTCCAGTTTCTCGAATGGAAGAAGCAGCCACTAATTCATTTTCAGGAATACAAGATATAACAAACGATTGGAAAGAGAATATTAGACCAAAAGAGGTAAAAAGAAAGACTACGTGCTTATATTGAATGTTACATAATTTAAATTGTATTACTTTTATTTAAAGGAATCTCACTCCACATCAAATGCATCTCCAAATGAATTCCTTGATAATAATTCCAGACCATACCAATCATTTGATTCAATGTCATATCCAAGTTTGTCAACGCCTCCCATTGTTTATATTACACTTCATTCCGATACGCAGACTATTACTAAGAACTTCCTATTAGACGGCGATAAATTAAAATATGCCGCAGTTTTGGACGTTTTTAATTTAGCTAATGTAGAAATTATGATTGGTAAGTGAAATCTTTCTTTGCACATTACTTTGAATACTAATTATAATAAATCTTTATTTGACAAATAGGAACAGAATTTTGTTATGTATCGCCAAATGTAGATGGATATATACCCCTTTCTTTTGAAAGTGGATGTCAAATTCACATTACTGGCAGACGTAAAATATAAAAAAGAATAACAATATGAATAATAAATAGAGCAATGGTCTGTTTGATATTTTGGAAAGGAAAATGATTCGTTCCTCGTTTGGAGACCTCAATTTTTTCTCTATGAATTTTCTTCTGTATTTAAAAGAAATCGTGTTCTTTTCGAAAAAAAATCAGTATTGCTTTATTTGTTTCAAATTATACTGTTAACGTTATACATATTCCGTGTGATTCACTTTATGTAATACTTTCTTTTTAAAAGAGAAAATTTTCTAAATACAGTCGCGATATTAAGTAATTATAACAAGAGTAAAAATGCCTAAAAATCGAAATATTTTGTTTTACAGACAAAGTGTATGGTTGTGAATAATTTTTTCTATAGGATAGATGACTTGTGAAACATCATGCAAAATTTCAGATAAATATCTATATTTTAAGAATCAGTTTTTCACTCTTTTTTAGGATACTATGAATTTAGGTCGCTATTAAGTAATTATAACAAATCCATCGAGTTCATGAAAAGTACTTATTTTAATTTATTTATGCATTTTCAGATAGGTATACAATTGTATATGGCAAAATTATTAGTTTTAATATTTTGTTTGCTTACCCCGTGCCTTTTTTGTTGCATTTAGCCTTCTTTCAATAGAGGCATATAATGCTTGAATTTCGAAATTAGAAATTTTGAAGAATTCCTCCCTAAAAATTTCCCACAGCTCTTTTATATTTTTAGGTTGCCTAAGCATAGTTTTCTTCTGTTACCACCACCAAACTTCACAGTTTTGGTAGTGTATTTTGGATCATTTCTAGTACCAACTGGCCTCCTCACATATTCCCTTCGACGAGGATGGAGTTCAACTTTGCTCTCGTCACTAAATATAACTTTTCTCCACATATTTGAGCTCCATTTCAGTTTTTGATTGCAAAACTGCATTCGTTTTTTAATTTGTTTACTATTTAGAGCTGGCTTTTTAGCAGCAATTCTCCCATTTAATTTGTATTTGCAGAGAATTTTTTTTACGCTTGATAAAGAAATCTTTATTGGAACAGCTGAATTTTCTAGAACTTGTCTAGCTGTCCATTTTGGATTCGATCTTGATGATTTTGTTAGCTGTAACTCCATCCTCCTAGTGATTTTGCGTGGTCTACCAGATCTCTTTAAATCTTTTATTGTTCCAAATTTTTTAAATTTGTTCTTTATATTCTGCACTGTCGCAGGGCTGCAATTAAATTTTTCTGCTATGCTTCAAATCGTCATCTTCGGCATTCCCAGGTGATTCAGGATACTTTTGCGGATTTCAAGAGATAGGCGACGCATTTTTTAATTATTCCAAAATAAATTGAATGTTCTGAATTCTTTGTAGAACAGGGGAACAATATTTTTTGTAGGCCACTTTTTTTTCAATGATACTACTCATAATTATGAGGTCATAAAGATGATGTTATAATTACTTAATAGCGACCTAAATTCATAGTATTGTAAAAAAGAGTGAAAAACTGATTCTTAAAATATAGATATTTATCTGAAATTTTGCATGATGTTTAACAAGTCATCTATCGTACAGAAAAAAATATTCACAACCATACATTTTATCTGTAAAACACAATATTTCGATTTTTAGACATTTTTACTCTTGTTATAATTACTTAATATCGCGACTGTATATCTGAAAAAAAAGCTCATTATCTGTAACCTTTTCTTCTTTCGTTGGATGAACCTCTAAATGTCATCGAAACAAGGAAATTTGGCGTTTTCATAATTCTTTAAAAAGTCTACAAGAAAATAAAGAGTTCCACCCATTCCTAAAAGAAACATAGGTTATGAATATAAATTATTTAATCTAAAGTTACCTTCGAATAAAGAATACGGTCTGTCGGGTATACGACAATTATGAGTGCCATATGATAAACAGAATTCAGCAAATTTTGCGGCTCTGTGAAGATATTTTATATCTTTGGACGCTTGGTAAACAGCTAATAAAGAATATGCATTTCCAGCTGTGCCATGGCATAGTCCATAGCCTTTCTTTAGAATTCCTTTCTCCCAAATTCGGTCTGCGCACAGTTTGGCCTCATTTAAATATTTTTCATCCCCTAGTTTCTTATAAGCTTCAATGAACATAAAGGTAAATCCGGGAGTTCCATGACACCAGTGCAGAATTTCTTTTGCCTCTGATTGTAGTAATGTGAAAAAATTTCCCGATGGATATTTCAGCTTGCATAATCCCTCAATTTCTTGGACCATTAATTCTTTGTCTTCATATCAATAGAATTTTTTAATACAGTATTTAATCATAATTTAAAAGTCTACTTACCAGTAAAATTACTTTTCAAAAGTAAAGTAACGATACCAGACAAGCCATGAGCGGCTCCAACGTATTGTTCCTGATACCACTCATACATAAGAGGCAGATACTGTTCCTTTCTTTCATAATTTAAACCGCTAGTGATTACACATTTGACAATTCTTTGAATAAGATTTTGGGGTATTGGCTCTGGATTTATTTTCTTATTTAACCAGAGAAGGCAATACAAATAACCAACTCTGCCATATAACAGCTCATCGGCAGTTGATCTTTTTACAGCTTCCTCCTCCGCTGATAATAAATGTCCAATACACATTTGAAATTCATCGCTTTTATTTAATTTATAATACAAATAAGCAGCTATTGTTAAAGGTCCAGCATCTCCGCATAAGAAAGTTATATAACGTACTTTTATACTGCGAAGAAATTTCTCTACATATTTCAAAGCGATTTCAAGTCCATCAGGTTTAATTCCCAATTCATACAATTTTATGTATAAAAATGCCACTCCACTCATTCCTGTATAAACGCTGTTATCATGACGGTCTATTTCGTCCGAGTTGTATTTTTCTTCTAGGAGAAGTAAAGTATCCGATATAAACTTTTCAAGTTGAGATTTAAATACGAGAGTAAGCTATTAGCGAAAATATTAAATATCAGTATGGAAATGAAAATATGCTTATGTATTAAATATACTTCTCCATCAGAAGTTACAACATCGCTATTCGTCGAATAGTCCTCAAAAGGGTTTGAAATAAATAGTTTATTTGAGCCCAAACCCTGCATTTTTGATGAAAAGAATATGATTCTTGGGGCAAAATCAATTCCAATTTAACAGTCACTCGACAAGTCCACCAACGGCGCAAGTTTTGAACTGTTTAAAAAACGATCAATCCGACAAAATGACCTTAATGTTTAAAGTTTTTTTTACTTAAAGCGAAATGTACCTTTAAAATAATTTTTATAATAAATGTTATACTTATAAATTGCTTGTAGAAATACGAATTACTTTGCAATTAAGTAAGCTGTTGATATTATCGCTCATCCTAAAAAGGTTATTTATGGTGTTTAGTTATACTTAAAAAAATTTAATTTTTAAAAGAGATTTAATTATGTTGATTTAGAAATTCGGTATTTAAAGATTACTCTTTACAAAATTCAATTACAGGAGTTTTTTTAGTCTGAGTTCTATTGTTATCTACAGCGAGTTTCTTTATAGAATCCTTTATCAAGTGGCTACTCTGTTAAATACGTTTTGAAAATATAAACTTTCGGTGAGCACTTTGGAAAATGTAAATCAAATTTTTACATCATGTGCAAGGAACGCATAAGAAATTAAAGATATTAAATTTTGCAGAAATTTTCGTTGGATTCTGTATTTTCGTCTCAGCACATTATGAGTCGTTTCACAACTTTCTCTCAGTTATGCAAATTTGCCAAACGCCAGTATTGCTCTGATAGTCAGAATCATTTAATAAACGAGTGCTTCAAGCAAGGCAGAATTGATAAATATAAAGCTGTCACAGTAAATTTATCTCCATTGCCTGAAGATACATCAAGAAATTCATTTAAAAAAATATTAAGTAGATATGTTGAAGATTATAGTAGAGCTGGTATCATAGCTTGTTGGATGTCTTTGCCAATTTCAAAAAGTTTTCTAATTCCTCCGGCAGCCGAGCTAGGTTTTGAGTTCCATCATGCTGAAAAGAATAATGCAACTTTAATAAAAACCTTATCAACTTCTTCCTCTATTCCTCTTTTTGCTTCACACCAAGTCGGAGTTGCCGGTACGATATATTTCTTCTTCAATTATGAAGTGACTCACTTTTATTTTCTGCTTTCCCAGCCAACAATTAAACAGTTTTGTTAAAAGTCTAATTTTTGAAAACTCTAGGGTGTGTTGTAAATGATGAATCGAAAGAAATATTATTTGTCAAAGACAAGCACAGACCGGAAACGCATTCATTTTCAAGATGGAAACTACCCGGAGGTCTTGCCGATCTTGGAGAGGATATTGCAGATGCTGCCGTTAGGGAAGTTTACGAAGAAACAAATATCCAAGCAAAATTTCAGGGAATATTATCATTTCGACAGCATCACTCTTTTCCGGGTGCTTGGGGAAGGTGACTGACTTTTCAGTTATTCTGAAACTTTCTATCTATTAAAGATTATAATTGACTTTTCCATGAAAATAGATCGGACTTGTATTTTATCTGTCATTTGAAACCAATTACAACGGATATTCAACATTGTACTAGAGAAATACAAGACTGTAAGTGGATTACGCTAGAAGAAATAAAAAACGATCAACATATTTCTCCAGTAACAAGGGCTGTAATTGCAATGGTAAGTCATATAACTTATAAAGAGAATTTAATAGTGTTAAACTCTATTATAAGGTTGATGAAGGCCTATCTACAAATTGGAGAAAAGTAAATTGGGAATCTAAAGTTATGCCTAGCGTCTATCCGGGACAAACATATACTTTATTTTCGTCAGTTTGTTAATATAATGATATAGTTAGCAACAATTAAAAAAATGTGTGAATTATGGTATTCATTCGCATTATCGACGGATTATCGATATAATAAGTTGTATATCAGCAATATAAGCAAAACTGCCAATAGGATTACTCTCTAATAATAACACTCCTATCTTGTAAGAAAAAGGACATCTTTGTCTCTTTCAAAGAAGTTCGGGCTGTAGCGCTAAAATCTTGGGGAGAATATTAAATAAAAATTGAAAAAATACGATAAAAACATTAGATAAGAAAGAGTAAAATTACATAAATACACTTCTCTTTTTTGAAAAAGTCGAATTGATTTCTTTATTACTTTTAACTAATCCTAAGTAATCCGACTGAACGATAAAAGAGTATTGTAAATAGTGTAAATAGAACTGAAAACATTCCTTTCAATTTAGCATTTGTTCATTGGCAACTGAATACTGGAGACTTCAATGTTAAACATAAATCATTCGTAAACTCGCAGCAATATTTTTAAATAAAATATTTCAGGTTTTTCGAGTAATGAACATAATAGGGTTTAGCTGTCTAGTTTCAGTTTTAGCGATGCTTGTGATTTATTGCTACCTTTTGACTCAACTTTTTATCTAATCTCGTTAGATAACATCGTTACACAATCTAGACAGGTCTGATTTATTTTTTCTCCGGTTGAAATTCCTGAAAAAAAACTTCTTTTAGAAAATAACTATGGCTCACAAGTGGAGGAAAGTAAAGAACTTCGCTTTAGCTCATGGTTCCCTAATCAACGGAAATATTGAAGATTCAGAGGGTATGTATTTGTAGAAAATTCAAACATCTCTCCCAAGTTCCTCTTATATGATAAGCAATATAAATGATTGTGCTTCCTCATCTTAAATCTATCGCCAGGGACGCGTTGCTATTCATCTTAAAGTTTTCCCTTAGCTTAGTATTTGCTATAGCGATTAACTCTAGCTAATTTTTTAAACTTGAATTGAGAGTGTTAAATATCTATCGTAAATTTTTGTAGACTGGAGTAAGACATTCGAAGAGATAGAAGATAGATTAGATGAAGTTAAGAGAATGACAAAATTTAGGCCTGATAAGAGACACGTTCTAGACAGAGTTTCTCCTAGTCAGAGAAAAATGATTGAAAAATATGAGAATATGTCTGATGCGGAATTATTGGAATTACGAAGGAAAAATTGGAAGGTTATATATTTAAATGAGATAATTTTGTTTTACTAAGCTAAATATTATATTTATCTCTCTATCTATCTATATACATATCTATATATATATATATTAGTATATACTAATATAGACAGTATATATATATATTCAAACAGGCTAAGCAGAAATTGATATGGTGTATAAGAAAAATCTTTCTCATTGTTAAGTGTATGAAATATAGAAGAAAGTTCTATCAGGAACCAACCAGTAATAGAAGAAGAAGGAAGAAGGTTCAAAAATCTGAGGAAAAAATTGTATCCAGTGCTCGTACAAGTGTAAGCAATAATATTAAACTACAATAATACAAGGATAGACTATTATTATTTCTTTATATTGAATATAATAGCTTGGCTATGACCTGCAAATGACGCTAATTACTCAACCAGAGTATAGGGAAAATAATTCTGTTCAAAAGATCTTGTGGATCTTAAAAGCGGCTAAAGCATTTCAAGATCTATTTCCGGATGAAAATCAAATGGAAATGGCTAGAAATGCCGCTTATGATAGATACGAGGATGGAAGGATTGTGGCTAATCAAGGATCTGTTCCGAATAGGCTTTACTTTATACTATCAGGCAGAAGTATAATAATATATTTTTAGACGATATTTCCTTTTCGGATATATATGATTCTTTCTTTATTCAGTTCATCAAATTAAAGATTATGATTTGGCATCGGGAACAGTTTCAAAGTCTTTAGGATATTTGCATAAAGGTATGATGACAAACGTAGAAGAATTGAGGAATAGATATGTAAGAGATGTAACGTTAGTCGCAAAAGGTCAATTAGAAGTATTAATTTTGGATTACGATATGTTTGAATACCTGCAGAGAACTTGCCATCACGTACCAACAGATTTTTTATCTTCAATTAATCTTTTATCCGAATTACCATGTGAAAAATTAGCTAAAGAGGAATTGGATTGCATTAGATATAACTACTTTCCTTCTGGTAATGTTATTGTTAAAAATGCACTTAAAACTTCTTGGCTATACGTCGTTAAAACTGGCTCAGTTAAGGTCGTGCGATATCAGCAAATTTTTCAAGTTCCTAATAATAGCGTCGCCGCAGTAAAATCAAAAAATCTGGGTCTAGGTAGAAGTTTTAGTCATGCCGATATCATGTTAAACTGTACTTCAAGGAGACAACGAGAAAATAAAAAGTTAAACAATATGGAATTAACTCGATTATCTCCTGGAATAAGTTTTAATCCACTAGCTCAAACTATTGGTATAGATGTAGGCTTGGATAATGGACGTATGTCTGTCTCCCTGTCTAGACCAGCTACAAGAGCAAAGAGTAGTAGAAATTTAGAAACTGAACTCAATATCGATAATAAAAGAGAGAATAATAGCAACAAACAGAATAAGCCTTTATCGTATCTACCAACAATTAATATTCCAAAAAAATCAATCACTGAAGACGAATTATTAACACATTCGCTGTGGTTAACTAGAGAAAAGACTCAATTAACTAATTTACCGTCCGTTTTTCCCAAAGAATCCAAAATTGATTATTCTAAGAAAGAAACATTTGTTGAATTGGATAGATTGAAAGCTGGTGACGTCTTCGGCTTAGACGATATACTTAATAGATTTATGAGACAACAAGGTGTCTATATAAGTAATATGAGAAGTGAAGAGAAGGTAAAAAGTGGCGAATTAATAAGTTTGATATCGGAGAGTGCAGAAATTATTAGAGTTCATAAAAGATTCTTCCTTCAATACGCAAATAATAACGCTATGCTGAAAGTTGATACATTTTGTAAAGACTATCTAACACAAGAAGAAGCTAGTAGAAGAATTTTTGACAAGCAAAGATGGATTAATTATAAAGATGCTTTAAAACAATGCATGTTAGAAGCAATTTTTCAAACTGTCTAACAAAAACATACTTAATAATTCTATATTTATTATTTTCTTTTCTCTTTTTTTTTTCATGTAAATCTCTGGCATTTATAAATTTATTTTATATCTTTCTTTCATTTCTGTGCAGTATTGAAACCAGATAAGGCATTCAATCATAGTTAATATCTTTTTTTTAAACTACCAAAAATATAATCATCAAGAGAAAGAAAATCAATAGTTAACTTGATATTTACACATTCAAAACGTATCGAAAGGTTTCCAATAAATGAAATGTTAATACTTTAATGACAGTGTTTATGCCCTTCTTTCTTGTTAAAGGTTTCATTTAATAACATTTTTTTTGTTTAATAAATCATTTAAGCAAATTGTAGATTAACGAAAAATGCTTTTTCAACGTGTTCGATTTTTCAATTTAATAGAAATAACAACGTATTAACATTAATAATAGGCTAAATTTTTAATAGTATTAACAAGAAGAGAGCAAATATTTTATTGATCGAATGTCATTTCTTACTTTACTCTCTTATCTCTTAAAAAAAATAGTTCAATTACTATTAAAATTGAAAATTTAATTATTATTATAATAATAGGAATAATGTTAAACATTAAGAAGTTTCCTTAAACAGAGATAAGATAAGATATTTATAAAAGGCAGAACCGTGCATGATATTTTTGACTGTATTGAAGTGATATCAAAAAATGAACTTGGTAATGTATACATTTTTTCAAAAGTAGGACAACACTCATTTATTCTATAAAAATTACATGCAACTAACGATGTGAATACAAACCGATTATGCTGAATAATTATAAGAAAAAAAAATAGATCAGATCTAATCTTTGTTTTTAAGTATTTTTAAGTATTTTAGAAATTCTTTTTTTGCAAGAAAAATGCATTTAATATCAAGTGAAAAGTTTTCAGATGCATTTTTTTCCTTTAGATCTGCACTCTTTGTCTTGTCATGTTAAAGGGAGAGACTAACTACGATTTTTTTCTTTAATCATTTGCAACTATTTTTTACTGAATGAAAACGTTTTCACTACGGACAACATTATATTGTGTATAGATATCGTTTGCCAAATTATTAAGGAAAGCGTCACGGTTTGAAGGAGTTAATCTCAGTCGAAATAGACTAATTTTACGGTTATCCATCATTAAACTTGGAAAGGAAATGTTGTCATTTTAAAGTATACATTAATCGCATCCGAAAGAACCAAAACTCCAACTTCCGGACGACCAACTTCCACCGAAGCCAAAGCCACCACCCCATCCGAAAGGGCTTCCCATCATACTTCCAGCCATAAATCCTAATGCGGCTCCACCAGCAATTCCCATACCGGATCCATAACCTCCACCACCGTATCCTCGGTGATGTACAGGAGCAACTGGCTGCTGAACGTATACTAAAAGAAAACAGTGCTCAGTATGAAACAAATATTTAGAGATTGAAATTTATAGAGCTACCCCAATGTATTATACAGTATACTAACCGACATTGGTTGTTTGATGGCTTGGTCGATGATGATGTGGCTGCTGAGGATAGCTATACCCTATTTTATTATAATTGACAACGATTAGAAAAAGAGCAATATAAAGAAAATTATCAATAATCACCTGGTTGCTGATAATATTGCCCTTGTGGTGGACCAGGAGGATAGTAGGGTTCTATAAATAGAATATTGAAAATATACTTGAATTAGCTTGAAATTAGGTCAATTTTAGATATTATTAACAAGAAAAGGGATTAACATTAAATATTAGTTAGAAAAAAAAGTGCTGGAAACAGAGATGTTAATTTTAAAACATTCATTTCGTTTTAGATAAAAGACTAAGGCATAATAGATATAAGCGCCAACTAGTGGTTATTATTCAGAATTGCAATATTCAAAAAGTCTTAAAAATCTTACGCTGAGGATATGGATTATACGCTGGATAAAAAGATATTCTAAGTAATGAATCAAAAAAATTGCTTAATTAAAATTACTAACGTTGCTGCTGTGGATAACTTCCTGGAGGATAATATCCTTGTTGGGGAGGGGCTTGTCTAGGATAGTTTGTAGTTTGTCTTGGGTATGATCCAGTCGCTGGCGCTGCGCTACCTGAAGCCGGAGCTGGGGCAGCAGGGGCAGGTGGAGGAGGTGCTAATAAGTTTAATTTATTATTTTAAAATAGTTTTTAAACGGAAATCCATGACTTTATCATACCTGCTCCTCCAAGATTGACATTAAATCCTATCGGAGCGGGTTGAGGCATAGAACTTGGAGCAGGCTGATACGGGGCTTTTCCACCTGCATTAGGATTATACGGAGGAGGTGCAGATGCAATAGAACTCGCTGGTGCACTAGTCCCCTGATTTGATTGTGGAGGTGGAGGAAGCTGATAAAAAGTAAATTTTCTACATTATCAGTTGTAAACAAAGAAGCAGGATGGAGTAGGTTTTCGTAAGATCATATTCAAGGAAATAGCTTTCCAATCTCTTAAATATCATATGGGAAACAATAAAAAAAAAACTATTAACTTACTGTTGATACTATGGTATTCCACCATTCACTGTATTATCAAATATTTACAAATTTAAAATTAACTATTTTAAGAAACAATTGAATATCTTACTCAAATAATTTTTGATCATCAGCAAGAAAGAAGAATATTTTAGATTTCTTCTTAGGTTCCAATGGAATTGCAATCATCTGATTAATACTTTTACCCGCAGGTATTTCAGGATTAAACGGTATGGCTGAACAATGCTGTCCAACGGCAATAAATGTTGCTACCTCCTATATTAAATATTGATTTCATATAGATTTAAAGATGTGTTTTAAAATAATCTTACCGATAATTTTACATTTCCAGCAGATGTTGGCGAATCTTTATTTTTGTACCAAAATAAAGAAGAGTCCGAATACAATTTTAGATATACTTTTTTCCATTCGTTCTTTACTAAACCCTCTGTAAATAACATAAAAAAATAGCCTCAGCTAATTTAATCAATTAATTAAACATTCAGTTTGAAATTAAATATGGCATAACGAAAAACTTACTAGAGTACTTATCTAAGTATCCTTGTTTTATAATTGACATATTTCCAGTCTAGTTTTTCTCTCGATTGTCTGAAAAATTGTCTTTAATTAATAATAATATTATTTATAATAGTTTTACTTATTAAAATTAATTGATTAGATATTTATATAAACATAATATTCTTTTGAATAATTTTTCAAAAAAATTGAAAATAAATCTTTCTACGTTAATTTATTAAAATTGTTTCGTTACAATTTTTTATATTATATCATAATTATTACTATGTAACCTGTAGTTTGTTATTATATGTCGTATATTACTTGTTAGATTGAATAATTTTGGAAAAAATGAATAATATTTTTAGATTATTGATAATTCTACATAGTATAGAATAAATTAACTTTATTTTGTTGATTAAAAGAAATAAGATAATACGTTACCTTGTTTACTAAATAACTATGTAAAAAAATTGCCAATTTGCCAATAATCAAGTATCTTATTTTGACGACAAGCCGGAAACAGTTTGTAGTATCACGTGGTGCATGAGAGGGTCATGTGACGGCAGCTGCCATCTACATGAAGATATTTATAGCTTTTCGAAAATGTCTTATATATTATTGATCATAGATAGTGACTTTTCTTGAAAAGTAAAAGGTTTAATCAGTGGAAATAAAAAGAAATATTAAAATTTTATAGAATATCTTTAAAAAAAACTTTATATTGATGCCTAATTTTCTTTTTTTAACACATCATTTAAGGTTTTTAAAGATTTATAAATAAAACATTAATTATATATACAGACATCTTTATTTATAAACATAAAAAAAATTGCATAAATTAGAACAATTCCATTATCTTTTTGGAAAATATAAATACATTTTTTGATTATGTTCCAAAAGAATGAAGTTATGAATCATAGCCAAGAAAAAAACTCTTCCTGTTTTAATGAACTAGAATATTTTGAACAAAGCAATTCCGGCAGTCTTCAAAGAAAAAAGAAATTCTTAAATGAATGCGGAAAACTATTAAGTAAATTACCCGAAACAGTACTAGATTCGCGTAAATGTCGATATAAAATCCCAAAAGAATGGTCACCTAAGAGCGAAAAAGAGATTAAAAATATTAAAATGCAAACTAAATCTGCTAAAGAAGAAGAAAGAGAAGATAATACCATAAAGATTGATTTTGATAACAGCACTACTCTATGCTTAAATATCAAATTAACTGACAATTTACAGTGTTTAGCAGATGCCATTATAAAAGTGTTTGAAGAGTATAATAAAATTAAAAAAGAGAGGCTTGATGAAAATGATACCTTAAATAACGAGGAGAAATTATCAGACACTTGCAAAGATACTACTCTATCTGCTGATAGAGGAAGAAACGAAACATCCTCATCACCTAATAGATCACATAAAGAATCTCAAAATAAAAATTCCCACAGTATGCAGTTGGAAGCGGTACCAGAGATATCTTCGGATAGTAGGAATGACTTTCGAACAATGGACAGTAGGAATCAAGGCATTTACGAAAGCTCCAAGAAGACTACCAGTTACTACTCGAATTCAAAAGACGGAAGTAGTGGACAGAGAAGCAGATCAATTAGAATGGAAAATGAATTAACATCTATGAAATCGGCAAAACAGTTAGAGCCTAATTATGCTAACGAGGACTTAGAAAAAGTTCAACCACACACCTTGAGGAATTCAGACCTCATACAAAAGTTTTCGTCCTACTGTTATGATAGTTCTTCAGCTGCGCCCGACAATGAAGAAGAATACGATAGGCTATCAAAAACTAAAAATCTAGAAAATGAAGTTCGTAGTAATCCCTCACAATACAGTTATACGGAAAATTCGACTTGTGACACCTCCACAAATGAAACTTTAGAAAATTCAAAATATCAAAAGCCTGCTCTGACATCTGTAAATCGTCCTTTAAACCGTGAATACATTTCAGAAGACTTAAACAAAAAGAAAGCCGGAAATACTGACTTATCGAGCGAAAATATTAATGCTTGTAATTCGTCGACACCATTTAAGAAATCTCGATTTGGAAAAAATCAAATTCCACGCACAAGAGAGAATTCTCCAATACAATGTTTTCAAATAGATAACATTAGTAACTTGAATCACTCAACTCTAAGTCATGTAATGGATAAACTAAACGATTCCTACGCTCAATTCGACAAAAACCAAGATTACATTCATGCATATTCGGATAAACCGTTTGAATGTGATGATATTTACACTTTGGAAAAAAATCCATCAGATTACTCTGATGATATAGAGGACGAACAAGATTGTTTTGAACAGTCCGAAAGTGAACGAAGGAGATTAAAATGTCATAAACTTCCGAAAATGTTTAAAGACGAAGAAAGACGTCATCATAAGACCTTTTCACGTCGATCAAAGAAACTCGAAAGAGTTGGAAAGAGTTCTCCAGAAAATGTAATCGAATTTGATTTATATGATAATTTCTCAGCTGGAAATTGTCATCCTCAATGCCCTAGTCAGGGCTGTATATTAGAGAAAATAAAACAAGAACTGCAACGCCCAACAGAAAAGAAAACAAAACAAGGACATTCAACTCCTAGTTACTTGTCCACAGCGGACAAAGAGTTTCAAAGCCATTTGAAGCAGACTGTACGAAAAAGAATAAACATGACCAATTAAAATAGCCTGACTAGTTGAAAGAAAGTTAAACAAGTTTGTCGTTTCGATTAAAAGAAAATCGTCCTTCAGAAGTAAAAATGATAAAAATAAAAGTAAATTCGTATCCGCTTTTAATTATTTTATTTTGAAAAGCCGTTAGAAAATGAGAATAACAATTAATTGATCGTTCACAAGAGTTAAATCAAAATCAAACAACTAGGCAGCTATTTGAAATTTGATATTTTTATAGCTTCAATTAAATTTGCACTTGGAGAAGTCCATTTCAGGGTGCTGCTTCATAAATCTATTAAAAATATTTATATTAATCCATTTTACAAAATTGTATATTTTATTAAACCTACTTTTGTAACACGTCTTGCTTCTTTTGTTCATCAGATGTAGGTAATCCCATCTCTTTTTGCCTTTGATCAAACATCATTTTTTCAACCATAGATCTTGTCTCGCCATCCAAATCCGATAGCTTGAACATAAAAATAGTTTACCAATACTTAGAGTTACAATTTTTTAATATGAAAATGAGATACCTTCGAATTTTCTGGCTGTACTTTCTTGGTGTTGATTTCTGGATCAGTTTTTACTAACCTACTCCACCACTCCATTTGGTTAACCTTTTCTATATTTATTAATATTTCCTTTCGATCTTGGATGCACCACGTCGATTCTTCAACTTTCAACTCTGCATATGTCTCGCCTTCTATTATCGGAGGATGGCCTTTTAAACCAACTTTTAGTTTCTGTTAACGAAGTTTAAATTTTTCGTTCAAAGGAAGTTCATTTAAAAATATTTTACAAACATGTCTTTGGATTTCAACGATAACATCACGGCCTTTAACAGGAAAATTGACTTTACAAGGTATTCTAACTTCGACTTCAGATAGTGTTTGAGTCCATTTATAATTTTCTAAATCGCATCCATTTCCTGCGTTAGGTTTAATTTTTCCTTTAGCGTCTTCGTCCTCTTCATCGCTCTCATCCTATGAAAGTATAACGTTTACTTAAATTCAAGTTTAGTTTCTGATATTGAAAATACCTTTTTTTCCTTAGGAGGTTCTTCCTGTTTAGTTGTTTTCTGTAAGACGTTATTTATAGTTAATAAGACGAGAGTCAAAATAAAAAATTTTAAACCTTTTCCTCTATTTCCTGTTGAATTTTAGCAGCCTCTTCATCAGTTACTTCTTGTATCTGTGCCTCCTTTCGTTGTTCCTCCTCTTGCTTTTTCCTCAGCCTCTCTTTTCTACGACGTTCTTGTTCTTCCCTCTCTTCCTTTTCTTGGGCTACTCGCTGCAATGCACCCTTCTGATGTTTCTTAAATTTTTCCAACAAAATCTAGATAAACGACATAACAAACAATTATAGCTGAATTTTTATTTACGACTGGTTTTATAGTTTACCCTTTGAGCTTCTCCTTCCTTACCGCCAGTATAATAGTCAGTTTTTCTTGCCAAAAATGAAAATATGTAATCAAAAACCTGTGGGAAAACTCATTCGTCATTCCTCTTTTAGAATTTTCTCGAAAAATACCTCATGAATGCCTCCGTCACATTGCTGCGCCATAGTTAGGAGCATTCCATCAAACTTTTCCATATCACCTGACATTGTTATAGTTTTTACTTCTCTCTATATTTAACAAATCGAACAACAGCTTATCGTTGATTTACTGCATGGGTTCCGCCATACTAATAAACCGACCGGTTTCTCCTATTATCGTAATAACCGGTAAAAATTTTAGTATTAAAATTTCACAAAACTTATTTTAAAATTTATGTGATATACTACTTTTTTTGAATTATTAAATTAGAGAAAAGATTCTTAAAGGTGACAATTGTATTGCAGTATTTTTTTCTTACGCAATAACTAATAAATTTTGCCGACAATAATAAAATTCAACATATAGAGCCGCACTGTGGCATAAACATTTAGTAACTTTAGTTGTAGAAGAAGAAGTTTGTGCTTTTATTTTTAACATTAAAGTTCTGTCACTCTTTCACCATAAAGTGCAATTGGTGGACGGTCCTGTAAGAAAAAGATGCTTTTATTCTGCTGCTCTTCTTCGTCTGCTATCATGCTTAACATTCTCACTAAAGGTTGTTTGTTATCAACTTCTGCCAAGCGATCGGAGCCAAAGCCACTTGTTGTACTTTCGTTGTTTGAATCTAAACTTTTTGTTTTTCGGACCAACTTCCGATTAGCTGGTTGTTTTTTTCGTCTTCTCAACTTTCTGCTATCTACGGTATCGGTACTACTGCAATCCGTTTTAGATTTTCGATTAGATCTTTTTCGCTTTCTCCGTCTACTATCAATGCTGGAGGAGTCACAGCTATCAATTGTAGAAACACTAGATATTCTGGACCGTCTAACAGCATCAACAAATTCAATTCGACGTTGTTCAGCCGTTGGTTGAGGTACTTCTTCTACTACAATACTGTCTTGCCACGATTGTAGTAAATTGAAAACATTTGGAAAAGCAGACGTTCTTTCTTCTTGAGACACAACAGAACATCTATCCCAATATTCAAAAGACGGTCTTTTTGAAGCTGTCTGTTCGGGATTGGATTCAACTTCAAAATTCTTAGAGTGTCTTGATCTCCAATAAAGTATGATTTTCTTTCGTAATTTATCGGCTTGTTTACTACATTTTCTACGTAGGGCAAAGCTAGAGGCGGCAGCAAGTGATAGAACAAGAACTACAACTATACCAAACCAAAATGGTTCTTGTAATAATTTTACAAAGGGATCTTTTCCAGAATTTCTAATATCCTTCAATTGGTCGCAAGATGTCCCTATTCGTCTGTTATCGCAAATACATTCATTTCTTCCTTTGCATTCACCAGCGTTTGAACAACGTTTTTTTCTACACATATTCGAAGTCTGCTCGCAGTATCTTCCAAAATATTCTTTAGGACAGTTACAGAAGAATCCCAAATCGTTGTCACTTGTTGCTGTACAATTACCACTATTATTACATGGGCTATTGGAACAATGCGACCAAGAGCATAGTAGACCAAAATAGCCCGCAGAACATTTACAAGTTGAATATGTCGAATAATTCTGACACGTAGCTGGTTCTTTGCATGGATTTTCATTGCAATTTCCAACACTTATATTAAAATGACGCATAGATTTCTTTTCAAATTCGTTATCAGTCATTGATTCCACTCTTACAGTAAAATTATCTAAACTGTTACCAATTTCTTCAACAAACTTGAGTTCCACTTCATGCAAATAAGATGTATTATTAGTCAGAGGGGTAGAATGTTCATCGTCTGGAGTAAATTGATCGATAAAAAACAAGTTGTCCTTAATAGATTTCATCTTTGTTAAAACTAATCTATGCTTAAGTCTTGTTCTGATAACAATACGTCTCTGAATTTTTCTTTTAACATTCATGCTGACAATCCCATGGATATACTTCTCTTCGTTAGAGTCTACAAACATGTCCTCCTGAATGGAGTTATTAATTTTTGCTACAGTCATTTCAAATGCCGCAGACTGGGTACATATTCGAACATGATCGTTAACAACAACAATTTTAGGAGGAGGATAAATACGCTTATTATTAACTTGAACGAAACTATCCAATGAATCTTTAGGAAACAAATAAATCTGTGTAAACGTCAATTGATAATCTTCTCGGCTGTTAATTTTCAAATTGAAACAACATAAAGAATGCGGAACATATAATCCTCTATTTATATTTACAATCCTGTCAGAGACCACTAAATCTCTACAAATTGATGAATATCTGTACTGTTCCCAAGATAAAAACTTAAAGTCTTCATTGTAATCAGTTAAAATTTCAACAATAATCGTTCCAATCATATTTGTGATATACAAGTCCTGAACAAATTTTCCAGCTACTATTGAACGGTCTTCATTTTGTGCGAATATCGTTAATTTACAAAAATAACAATATTTCTTAGAGTCCGCACTCGGAATATCAAATTTTAAATGAACAGTTGACAATTCTTCTACTTCAATTGTATATCTCTGCTTATCATTCAGTCTCGTAAGTTGGCTATCCAGAAAATCGCAGGAGTTATTATTCAAGTTTATCGAGTAGAAGGTAACAAAGACGAAAGAAGTTGAAAGATCGAGAATTTCCTAGATACAGTAGTTGTGAAACTATTTAGAATAAATCATGAATATTTAAATTTTTTTAATACTTAAGTAGACGTTTAGTTTTATAATTACTGTATCATTTTTTAAAAAGGTTAATGCACGGAAGCCATCATTCTCCCCAGAATAACTAGAAAGATATAGGGCGTTCGTGATGTTTTTAACAGAAAACAAACGAGGAACTCTTTTGCTGTTAGAAGTACTATTGACAGAAGCAGATTGTCTAAGGTTATCTCTAGGTTTAATGTACACTTCGCATTTTTTCTTTATTAGGGAGCTATGGACTTTAAATTGCAGCTGTAATCCCTCTTGATCGTCTGCAGCGTATTTACAAGCATCATATTCTTGAGAGTTTGGAATGGTAAATATACATGATTGGTTCTTTCCAATAAGAATATTCAAATAGCAAATCATATTATCAACATCCTCAAATTTAACAATCGTTTCGCAAATAAAGAAATTTTTAGTATTTTGGCAATTTCTATCGGCCCAGTAATACCTATTCATTATGAGAGATTGATTTCTTGACGGAAACTCTTTCCTTAGTTCTAAGCAGTGATCTCCGCTGCATATGGCAATTAAATAATAAACAATAGTTAATTAGAATACCATTCAATAAAAGGCAAATAGGCAAACCTTAATCCATCATCGCTTGGTTCTTTAGAGAATCCAGAATTTAATATTCCAGGAAACCAGTCCTGAAAGATAGATGACTGGCATCTTAACCATTTTTTATTTTTCATCCCAAGCCAGAATGCTTCTCTATGATTATGACGAAAAATGATATCGTTGGAGAGATAATTAATGACGATGCTATTTTTTTGGGAATTAGTGAGTTCAGATAAAAATCCACCGTTTCTTTCGCATTTCGATTTCGCTTGAAACCAATTGAGCTTCTCTGTAAATACTTTCCAGCAACTGTCATCGAACTCCTCCCAATCTCGAGGGCATCCCAGTTTAGTAAATTTCCAATAGGCAATAATACTCTCTTGCTCCTCAATACTAAAAATATAGAAAAAATTATGAATAGAATATTTCCCTTACACTGGAAAATTACAAAGTAAAATAGAAGAAAACATTTAAAAAATGCAATAATTCACACTTACTTCGTTTCATTTTTAAAGTATAAAAATTTAAGCGTAGATGAATTTGTTAAGAATATTAAAGCCTGGTTTTTTCCTGATCGCACTTCTATATATTCTTGAAGTAGAAACAGATACATTCTATTTTCTTCGGATAAGTTTGGATTAGAGTATCGAAGTTCGATTCGATGGTTAGAATTATTTGATTTAATAATATAAGAACAGCCTCTATGATGAGATTTTTCGAGATGATAGTTGGGGAAGCTGATTGTTCCTCTATAACCGGCGATTGTATCATAGCATTCCAGTATTAAATGACCTTCAATGTGGAAATCTAAAGAATCTTGAAGAGTAGTAGATTGGAAGATAATTTTAAAAGAGTTTGACAAAGCAGAGAAAGTTTTGGTTTTGTTATTAAGTTTTCGTTGATTATTTTCTTTATCAATAATAACTAATTCATCATTACTCCCTCTCAGATACAAATATTTCAAAGTTATAAAGATATTAAATCTTGGTTGAGATATAAGAGTTATTGTACATTGAGAATTGGAAAAGCTTGGAGGCATATCGTTTGTTAAGTTTATGGATCGTTTGCTAAGTATAATAGTCCTAGAACAATCTATGAATAACAAAAAAAAATCCAGCAATGTAGCTGTTCTTTTTTTTTTTTAAAGATAAATATAAGAATTACTTACTAAAATCTTCTTTAATCCTCCAAAATTTAGCGAAAAATCCAACATGTTTACTTTTACTATCACTATAAAATTCAATAAGTAAATAAGGATATTCAGTGTAACTGAAATAGCGCCATATATCATGGAATTTTCCGCAAAGCTTTGACGATTCATTAAGAAACAACTCGGAACTTGAGAGCCTAATGTAATCTTTACAGTCATTATTCTTAAGTTGAAGTTGAATATCTTTAAACTAATAGGAAATAAAATATGCTTGTAATATTTGCCAATAAAACTAAGAATATTAATGAAACACGGACAGAAAGAAGAAATGCATAGGAAAATGAAATGTATAGGAAAGTGATATCTACAATCTTTTTTTAATGTAATATAAATATTAAAGCACAAGTTAAACGTAATGGTAACAATTATTGAAAGTACATATAAAACTATTCATCAGCTTAGTACGTCTAAAATAGTTTCATACCAAAAATAAATCATCTATTAATTACACGTTTAGAATGCTTATAAAAGTCTTTTTAATACTTTTAATTAAACAAATACACTTTTTTTTATTATTAACAACGTATTACAGTTCTAAATAATTACCTGTAAATGTAGTGTGTAATGTGGTAAATTTTTTAGGATGTAGAGGCAACTCTGAGTTTTCGGATAATTTGAAGAGTTTATAATGTGTTTGGAAGAGTTGGAGAAAATTTCAATACAGCTATCGTTTCGGGAGCATAATGTATAATCTTCCGTTATATAATTTATTCCCGCTTGAAGCTTTATCTTAGCGCTAAAAATAACCATTGAAAATTAATTTTTGCTTTAGAAAGAAAACAGTAAGAACTACAAAAAGACAAGTATTTGTTTGTTATCAAGCTTAGTTTTACATAATTGTTAGGCTTTATAAAAAAAAACTAATTCATAAAGAAAATACATTGTTCATGTGCTTTTGAACTTCTTCCCTTACTTCCGTTTGATTTGTGTAATAGCTATTCAGCTATTATTCATTTTTTTAATATTACTAATATTAGTGATATTTGAAATAAAATATACGGATTCACGTGTCAAATTTGATTCACTTTACTGAAAATAAGAAATATTAATGACTTTTTCAGTTGATTTATAAACTATTAACTATTTTCAAAGATAAATAGAAATTGTAATATGTGTTTTGTTGTTGTTGTCTGATATTTATCATGTATAAATGTATTTCGTAAATATATTTCTTTACCTGAAAGAGTAACAAGATGATTCGTCGTCTTTGTCAAATACTTTTATATATTTAAAATTTGTCATTCTTGCAAAACTCGTAGAATTCTTTTTAAATCTTTTAGCGAATATATAACTATTTGTTGCTGGAATATTTCTTTCGCTGCCATTATATGTTACACTTACTGGAGAAACATTTAATAAAGTTTAAAACGTTTTATATATTTTAATAAGCATTAAACTTACTTTCTACTGGTATATATTTGACAAAACCTTTGGTTATGTCAATTGCGTCACTTTTGAATTGGAGCTTATACAATAAGGCTTCATTAAAAAATTGAATTAAATTCAGGCAGAAAACGTGAAGAGTCTTCATCACTAGCTTTCATCTTCAAGAACACGCCCTTTTCAGCAACGAAGGACGACCTCTGGCGTTATTCGTTGTCTCTATGACAACAAATTTTCTTTCAATCCACTCTTGTTTTGTATAAGCGGATCATAATTCATAACATTGTTCAAAGCATAAACTCATTTTATATACACTGTAGTGTACAATTTCCATGTGCAAAGACAAGATGAAATAGAGCTAGTTTTCAAGAAAAAATTACCTCTAGGTTAAAGAACTTTAACGTTTATTTTCAATTATGCACTAACAAGTACAATATTTAACCTTCAAAAGCGTCTAATAAGCATGAATCATGAAATCGACGCTTTTTTGTTACATATACATAAAAATTTTAATTACACCGACACATACGTCTTTTGATACAAGTTTTAAAAAATTTAGCCAGAACATCCACGACACCCACAGTGTACGCACTCGACTATTTTCCCCTGAAAGATAGTTTTTTTAGTCAGCTTATTTTATCAAAGTAAAATACAAAAAGTATACCTCTTCTAATTTGTTCTTAGGAACTCTACAAATGCAATTTGTCCCAAAATTTGTATCTCTGGTTTGAATGCATCTAAGACAGCATAGATTTTCATAACCCTGTTTTTTCCATTTTGCTATAAGGTTTTGGTCAGCAATTCCTTCTCTCAAGCAGTATTCATACAGTTCTAAAAGAGATAAAAAAATGATAAAACTTAACAAAAACATAGAACAAAATTCCTTTTTGATTTTTAACAATCTAATTGATTTTTGCCTAATTGGAAACAGAATTATTCTTACCTCGACTAATAGCTTTTCTTTTATAAAATAGGTCATATAGATATCGAGATTTCTGGTGGTGAATTTTAAAAATTGGCCAGAGAGCTTCTACTTTTCTTTTGCCATCATGAGGATCAGTTTCAGCTACAAAAATATAACAAATAATATTCAAAGTGATCGATAAAGCATGAATTTTATTACCTTCTCTCATTTTTTGTTCCAATTCATCGAGTGTAGGTTCAATTAATTCCCAGCCTTCGGGTGGGGGTTTTCGTGATCTCTTCACCTTCGGCATTATAACGATAAGATTTATATACTTTTAAAATAATTCAGTCGCAATATGTCGATAATGGCAATACGCTTTCTTAATATCGCCCGTTAAAATTTTATACAACAGATGGCGTAAAAAGCATTTAAAAAAAAAAGATCTACTTTAATGTTTCAATAATATACTTGTTACTTTTTAAAAAAACACACTATATATTATTTAAGGCAGTTAAACAATCAGATTTTCTCAATAATTTTTTTCATTGTGTCATATCTTGAGTTTCAACACTAACTAATTTTCAGAAAGAAGTTTAGTATCAAAATAAAGTCAAAATATGAACAGTTTTCTTTCGATATAAAAATATAGCTCTTTATAACTTTGTATTTCTCTCCTGAAAATGTTTGCTTTTCAATGATAAAACTGAGCAGGTGCCAGTTTATGGTCAACCGGAAATTAACTGGCCTTTAGAAAAGTGCATATTATCGCTCGTCAGATTTCTGTCACAACTGACTGCAATACGCGACAGCTATCAATTTATATATATCTTTGTTGTCTATTTAATATCTTATAGTTGAATAAATCCAACATGCCCCGTGGTGGTAAGTAATTATTGTTACAAACTACCTAAAAGCTCTCATTATCAGTTAATAAAGAAACAAATCATTATAGGAAAACGTGGTTCGCATAAAGGTGCAAGACGACACTTTACAAATCCAGAAGAGCTGGAACATAAACGAAAACAGGAAGAAGAAGAAAGGAGCTGGAGAGTAAGTTTCTTAACCTTTGAAATAGAGTGATTAAGATTGTAACTTTGTGATGTAACATAAATATATTGAATTCGCATCTTAGGAGCAAAGAGGGGATATTGAAGAGGAAGGATCGAATGAGTCTGAGGAGGAAAGCTCTGATGATGATTCTAAGAAAAAGGGTGTTGAAGGTGTGATTGATGTTCATAATCCAAATAGAGTATCAGGTCGTCAGCATAGAAAAGCAACCGAACTAAACGAAATTGATTCTACAAAACCACAACTCTCTCGAAGAGAGAGAGAAGAACTTGAAAAGCAGCAAGCGAGATCACGCTATGAAAAATTACACGCTGAGGGAAAAACTGATGAAGCTAGAGCTGATCTTGCCAGATTAGCCCTTATTCGTAAGCAGAGAGAAGAAGCCGCTAAAAGGAGAGAAGAAGAGAAAAAAGCCAAGGATGCTGCATCTAAGGCAGCTGTTCAAGAAGAAAAGCTAAGGAGAGCAGGAAGGAAAAATTAAAACTTTGAGACGTTAATTTCTCTGACTTTAACGTAGGAAATAATCACCTGTAAAAAAAATACATTAATCTATTTCATTTATATAAGTCACTATAGCTATAGCGTAACCATAACCGTTCGTGACATCATCCGTCTTATTCAAAGAACCATTAGTTGCCTTCAAAAGATTTCTTCTTAGCAAAATTTCGGGTTCATACAAAACAATCAATATAAAATATATTGTCCATTTTTAAAAATCATCCACTTAAAAAACCATCCTGAAATTTTTAATGTTTTTATTTACAGATAATCACTTTGTAAGTTCAAATCCATATCTTTTCAGTAATGTCAGTTTGATTCAGAATTTCATTAAGACAAGGATTGTAAATGTAGAATATACCGAATGAATGATTTCAAAACTATGAGTAAATTTGGCGTTCTTTACGCTTTTCATGAATATGAATAATAATAAAATGACTCATAATTCATCGATTTGAATTTGTAATTTTACAATATATTTATTAATTTATACAAAAGAATAAAGCATAAAATAAAACCTCAGTGCTTAAAGATTTTACAATTGAAGCCTTTTGAGGAGTTGCTACTGTCTCTTTAAGTTTTCTAATCTTGCTTCCAAATCAGCATCGGCGTCGTTGGCACCACAAGCAGCGGCTTGTGGCTGTTTTGCTTTGGTTCCGGCTGCTATGGATCCACTTGTTGAAGGCAAATCTTTCATTTCATCGGCGATTTGTAAACCTAATTCGTCGAGAACTTGACCAACAACGGCGTCAGTTTCTTCTTCGTCGTCCTCATCTCCCATAGCATCGTCGATAGCATCGCTCATCATCTCTTCTTTCATTTCCATCATTTCACTCTCTTTACTAAACTCCATCATAATTTTTTGAATTTGAGGCAGATTCATTTGCTTGTTCATTGTCATCATAGCTTTTACTACGCCTTTCATGGCTGTGGCCATAGAATCATTGGCCTTTAAAGTTTGAATTTTTAGAGAAACGGCTTGAATGTTAGCTTTCATAACCATAAATTTTTTGACATATCTTCTAGTTCTAACAAGATCCTTTGCGAGAATTTTTACAGAGTCCATTTGACCCGCTTTAGCCATCTTTTTTATTTCATTTATAGTTTTTTTTTCTTGATTTTCCATCTGTTGTCGTTCTCTATCAAGTTCCCTCATAGCTTTATTGAGAGCTCGTTGATTTTGACGAAGCATTTCTTGCGGGGTTTTCTTCCGCCCAAAAAGAGATGAAAATGGCATTTTTGTTCTTTCTGGAATATACGTTACTTATAAAAATGTAAGATATCTTATTCGCATGTGACACTCAAGCTTTTTGATCATGCATTAAGATATATATATATTGTTTTGATGACTCAAAATCCGGTGATAGCAGAGAGACTGTAGTCACCACTCTTTACTGAATCGCCTCACGAGTTTTAACTTTTTTAATTTTTCTAAATCAATTACCTTGATCTAAATCCTTCCGAAGTTGTTAAAGTAATAGAATATATAAGTTATTCTTGGATATACACAGACTTGTTATCAAACCCGGAAGAACAATTTGCAGACAGTAAGAATAAATTTGTTCGTATATATTAAGCATACGAAAAAATTGATGATTTTGGCGGGAAAAGAAGTAATTTGAAGTTTTTCTATTGGATTACGATTCGACTTTGAATAAATTCGAAAAAAATGCTAAATAAACTTTGCTTTTACTCTTTTTTTATTTTTCCATTTTATAAAAATAATTCAGAAAAATATAAAAATATTAAAAAGTAAATACTGTGTGTAAATACATACGTTTAGGCGTATAATAATTAGAGTCAACAAGTGACATCTGTCGTCAACAACGTTGCTATATACAATAGAAGAAATAAAAGAAAACGTCCAATTGTTTTTTAGTGAATGGGCCTATGCAGATTTTTGTTATATAACAAAAACGAACAGAAAAATGGGAAATAAAATATAAAGGAATTATCACTCAGAAGGTCGAACAAGTGCCGAATACTCGTCGGCGCTCAGTCTCCTTAATTGGGTCAAAGATCTGGCGACGCTTTTCCCTCTGTAGTTAGCCCAATGAGGTTTAGATAGTTCCACCAAAGTTTCCTTCTTGATAGGTGCTCGATCAATTTTAACTAAAGTAGGAAAAGTTTGAACCTTGTATAAGTGTTTAGTAAATGTTCGATATTCATCCGAAGAATCGAAGCGTCGAATTCGACGTGAAGACGTTTTCAACGCAGTTCGCAGAGTTTCGGCCCGGAAAGTAGAAGAATAGATATCTGGCACTTCTTCTAATATCTCCATGGTTACTAACTGCTCAAATACAGCCGAAGGACGTCTGGAGGATGTTGATAGTTCTCGTTGGATAGCGTTAGCTATAAAATCGACCGACTTGCTCATATTCACGCTGCTGTATTGCAAAATGAGACTGTTCAATGTTTGGACATTGTTTGTTTGCCACAGACATTGATCTCCTGAGTTATTTGTTTTATTAGTGTACCGATAAGTTCTCGTTACTAGCACATAATTTTTTCCAAGCCTGTTGTAAACATGTCCAGCAACAGGCGTTATTAGCTTGTCGCTTTTCGTAAGTCTTTATCTGCTTTAGTAGGCCTATTAAAAGATCATCAACTTTATGGCTCAACATTGCCGACACTTCTGTATATTTATAGTTGTAATAACGAGCAAGATTCTTTCCTTCTATTGAATGTTAATATTCAATGATGACGGAACGGCGACCGTGAGAAAGTGCAAAGCAATGTAGGAAAAAGGAACAAACTTTAGTAAAATAATATAATAGGTGACTGTAACTTTTAGAAAATGTACTGTTATTGACTAATGAGCAGGATTAATTTTTTTTCTATATGTATTAACCTTAAACTCTTACTTACCATTCAAGTGGATGACTCTTTTCCGTACAAGATCGATTTTGTTAGCTACTAGAACAATGGGAACTTGAATAGAGCGTTTGCATAATTCGCTACACATTCGATCTGCTTCATAGTATGACGAGCGGTCCGTCACCGAAAGTAGAACTAAAACAGCTTTTATATTTTCTCTTTTCAATCTCTCTTCCTCCACTGTATCGGGATCATCTTCATCGACGAAAGTCATATCATATTCTTCGCCGTTTAAAACAACGGATACTGAGACGTCTTCGTCTTCTTCACTAATGCCACTCTCGCTGGCTGAAATAAATAATTAATGATAAGTCGAATAATGATAAATATTAGTATAGTTTCTTAATAGTTTTCTTGAATATTAATAACAATTACGAAGTAATTGATAAACTATTCAACTAGTTTGGAGATGCCTCTCTCTAGTAGAAAATTTATTTTGTGTCAATAAAATAAGGAAAAGTATTTTCATTTACAATTAAGAAATACATGAAACTCATTAATAAGACTGAATATATACAACGATAGGCAATCGATATCTTTGTTTTAAAATGCACTTTATTCTCTCGTTTTTATATC